AACTTTTATCGTCGCAATCTTCTTCGTATGCTTTTGACCAGCTAGATGACTAAAGGATAACTCGACGATTTTCATCGCCGACACAATGAGACAGAAGAGATTCATTCATTGATACAATCACGCGTGACTTTCGTGCGAATGTTTGACGAAATTAGTCGAAGAGTTTAATTACTTCTGAGTAATTCGCTGAAATCGAAAACTTGACCATCTGAAGTAGCTTACCTTTTGTTTTTTGAATTGTACCAGTGATAGTGGCGATTTCTTCATCGACGAAAACATCTTCGACTTCAAACGAATCCGTTCTTTGTTGATGTTGACGTTGATAAGAATTATTCGATGGTCGACGGTATTTTCGTTGCGAATGCGATGACGATGAGACAGATTCGCTTTTCGATGATGGTATTTGTTGTTCGTTTTTGATTGGCAATGGGTCAATTGCTCGTAAAATATCAATCATGATCTTCGTCAACGAATGAATACCATTGAGATGTGTAGGTGGAGGTTGAAGAGGTGTGTCAGGACCTGAATGTGAACGCTTTCGAGCCGTTGCTGATTGACTCGGAAACACGAATGCACGACTCGAATGAACTCGCTGTCGTTTTGATGAATGTCGATTTGGATAAAGACTGTCATCTGTTAACGGCGGCATCAATGGCGAATAGAGAGGATATGCTGGTTTGGAATGATAGGATGACGCTGTACTGGATGCATTACTCGGATCTTGCTGCCACCAACTGTTGGATGTTGCCGATTGTGGGCTGTTTGTACTCCATGATTGACGGTGATGAGGAACGTACTGTGGAACAAGTGAAAGTAGCGGTCGTATTGTTGAAGAACTTGTTGGAGCAGACTGTTGATAAGATTCGGAATAGTAACGTGAACGTGAATAACGATTATTGTAGTAATCAACTTGTGTTGCACGTCGATGTAAATGAGCTGGAGCTAATTCAGAACGATAGGTGGGAGAAAAATCGATCGGAGTGAAATCAGGTGCCTCAGGATTCAAAGGAGCCTCATTTATTGCATTCTCATTTCCTATGTGTAATAGTCGAGTTAATTCACGTGTTGCTTCACCTAGATCCATCTTATTTGCAGCTTGCAATAATGAATTTTCGTTGATATCACCGAGTTCAGACGACGAACATGATGATGTCGAATAGCGTTGCTGTGGCCGTTGTTCACGAATACTAACCGATGCTCGTTTGTCATCTGTTGATAAAATTTCGCCAACAGACACTTCCACCGATGTCGATGGTAATCGTTGTGAAACATTTGTAATTGTTGCCGATTTAGGACTGTCTAGGGATGAGACTAATGACGAAGCCGCAGCAGCAGCTGAACGTGCATCGACCGGCTTTGGTCGTATTTTCGTTGGTAAAGGCGATGATAATGATGATGGATCACGATTTTCGTCACTCATAGTTCGATTAGTGTTCGAAAGGGAGGTATTATCGGTATCAGATAGACGTATGGAACTGCTTTTCTAAAATGAGAAACAATCTTAATGAAATCGAAGTGAAACAAAGCAGATGTGCAAATGACACCATCATCGCATATGAATATCAAAGCACAAGTGAGAGTAGATGAGAACTTTTACTGAAGAACACGATCCGATGGATAAGACGATAAAAATGGAAACGTGAAAGAGTTCGTTTTCATCGAAGTTTTTCAAGTAGAATCAAATAAGACGAAACGTGGAGACAGCTTGAAAATCACGAAAGAAGTAGAAATAGATGAGGACATTTATGTCTGGGGACCTAATGAGAAAGAGAAACAGCTGTGAGTATTTGTGTACAAACGACAAACGCCATTCTAATTCGTTGACGAACACTACACGATATGCCAGAAGTTTAATGAAAATGTTTTTCTTGCAATTTTACCTGAACAACAATGCTGTTGATTATTCTCTCTTAATTGTTATTATGATAATCGTATGCACTGATTATTTTTTGGAAAGAAAAACACAGAGACGTAATTATAACTCAGTCTGTTCTATATTTTTTCGACAGAGACTTTCATCCTACGTAAGAAAAAAAAGGAACAGAAAAGAAAAGAATAAATTCTGTTAGACTGCTTGATAGTTAGGCAAAAAAGAGTGTAGAACATGGTGATACATACACACAAATATATTTGCTCAAGCAAACAATCAAATTAATAGACAAGTTTCGAAAGGATGTATCGAATGCGAAGAAGATGATATTTACTTGAATATGATCTGACAAGATTTGCTGTTGTGAGGATGTCTGTTCACTGTTCGATGCCATTGAGTTGAGTGAAATAATAAATGACTAAGTAAATCTTTTCTTTTCTTTTTTTCTGTAAATAGTTTTGCCTCGGTGTTTTTGCTTCTTCAATGAAACATGTCGGTATGATATTTTTCGTTGTCGTCGCTTACGTTTATCACTAGTGGAATGTTCCTTTAGAAGCTTGTGGTTCTGTCGTCAACGATAAGAAGTGTGATTCTCTCATTTTCATCTTCCGTTTTATCGACGTCGACGACAGAAGTTAGAGCGCGAGGAATGGTAGGAGCAATAGCATCGACGATGATGGTAACGGTTCTTTCTCTGAAAAAAAAACCGACTGCTTATATTCCGCTTTTTCTTCTTTTTCTTCATTTTTTGTCGTTCTATGGCACGTTCAGAACGTCATTAGGAGTTGCATTCCCGTTTGCATGCATACTATTCGTCGTCGACGTCAATTGTTATTACTGCTAGGTCTGTTATTTTCCTCTAAACTCAACAAATAATGAATGTTGTGTGTAGAACGTGTAGGAGTAAAAGATGAATACAGTGCAATCGTGATCGTTCTCTTTCTCTCGATGTAGAAATGACGTTCTCCGAAAAAAAAAAGAAAAAGAAGTTGTCGCGTACTGTCAACGGATAGTAGAGACAAAGAGTTACTCTCGAATCTATTTAGAAAAGGCTAGATATGACTCTGTCAAACGATAACTACTTTATTTTTATGAGAATTGACTATAAACAAAGATCATTCAATGATTAGAAGACGAAAGAAGCATCTCTGGTCGATGAGACACTTCGATATCATTTTAATATTGTGTCAAAGCTTTTGAATTCAGTGAAGTTTGCTGATCGTAGTCTGTATCGTAATCAGTTGCATTTGTGTTGATATCTGTTGTAGAATTAAACATTATCAATGTAATCGTGCCACCAAATAATTGTCCATTAACAATGGTTCGATCGAGAAATGCATTGAGTCGGGTGGCGTTTTGATAACGCGTGAATCCTAACGTAAAATCACCGATGATACTTCCATTACGATAATTGTAAACGTTACACGTCGAATAAAAGATAGCGTATTTCGTCTTTCGGTCCGATAATGTTGTACTGATCTAAAAATGTTCGAAGTACAAGAAAAACGATGAAGACATGTTATGAGAAACGACATACTAGAGTACAAAATTCTCTTTCATAGTTTTTAGCTAATGTTGAAGAAGTGGAGAGAAGAGCAGGATCAAAACGTGCTCGTACAACTATACTACCAGAATAATAATCTGTTGTGAGATTTTTAGGCTTTCGAACTAGAAAAACAAAAGAATGGTTTTATTACTCGGACGCTTATTGATAAAGAAAGTTACCTAAAATAACAGTAACAACAATCGCCACTACGATCATAACTAGAATGGCAAAAATGAATAGACTAATAATGACTTTCCGACGTTTGGATTTTAGTTTCGACAACGGTTCCAAGGACGTCTCCTGTTCAGTTTCTGTACGTCCTGGTCGACGGTAAGATGTGAGAACTTGCGAGACTTGTCCATCCTGAGCTCCGGTTAAGGAAACAGCTGTTTGATAATACTGACGAGAAAGAGGCGGAGACTTTTGACCAATTCGTGTGGCAATTCGTTTCCATTGTTCTATGTACATCGAAACTCAATCAAAGATTCTTTTTTTTGCAATAGAACCCTTACCCATGTTGTGCAAGCCAGGCATTTCGCTCAATTGCAAATCTGCCAGTGTCGTTTCTGACAAGAAGATGTCATCCAACGTCCGAGTTTCTTGTCGAACTGTTAACGGATTTCGCTAATAACGAAATAAAAATCAGAGAATTGCAGTTTCTCAAGCGAATTACTCGATGGATTTTGTCGCTGGCCAACGATGTTGACTCGTTATCATTCGAAACAGTGACATCGTTTTGCGTTGATATACTAAATATTTTACTGATCTTAAAATCGCGAAGAGTATCATCGATTGAAACACGTTCTCTACAAAATCGACGATTGACAAATGAAAACGAACGCAATTCTTCTACTTACGAAGTTTTCATTTTAGTTGTTGATAACATGTTGAGTTAATAGGCAATTCTATTTTATGAATCAATAACAACGTTGCGACTCCCTGCACGTGTGTTTAGTCATCCGTAGATGGAGAATATACACCCAACATTTGCTTTTTCGTTCGTGATTTTTCCCTGTCATCGAATTACATTACCTTACTTGAATGATACACAATGAAAAAAAATGAAACATTGATTCATCGAATACACTACTTGATGAGATTGGGCCAAATAGAGTTTATTTAACTGTCGTCACTGCTTTATGACTAAATGAAATACCTGTGTAAGCGAAGGAAGGCGTATGTTCGTTCGATGAAGATAAATATATCGAAAGAATGAAAGTAAATAAGAACACCTGTGAATATCAATCGACTGGTCATCAGATTTACCATCGAAATGATTGTTTTCAATGTTTTTTTCGAAAAATAAACTTGAGTTTTTTATTATTAGTATATACACCACGCAAAACGTGATCAAACTCTTTATTCTTCGCAGACATAAACATGTATACTTCATTGAACGTTGAAGTACTTGTTTGCGTCTTTGCGACGCAAAACAATATGCTCATTCACGTGCCATTATGTAGGTTTTATTCAACTGTTGACGTTATAACAAGTACCACTCAGCATTTTCAGTACAGATCATAAATTCAATTTCACACGCTCGAGATCGCTTTGTCATTGCAGAGGAGTAGGATGATTTGCTGGTTACGGTTGTTCACTGATATTGTTGTAGATCGCCGATCGATTAAAAATAGACAGATCAGGACATTGCTCCTGTTGATGAATTCCAAGTTCCTTTTCATGGTAATGAAATAATCGAGAATAATCATTCAAGTTATCATAAGCAATGCTGATGTTATTGTATGCATTAGCCACATTGTATTCATCGAAAGGTGTGCTTTGCTGCTCAATTTCGAGTGATTCATTGTAAAATTCAATTATTTGGTTATATTCATCTCGTCTGTCTTTAGTCGAACCAATTTCATGATAGATTGATGCTTTTTCACTGATATCTGTTATTTCCTTAAATAACATCGAATGAATTTCTTCAATTGTCTTATGTTGATTCATGTCGTTCAAATATAGACGTAATCCACACCAACCTTTGGCATAGAGAAAACGTGCTTCTTGGATACACTTGGTGAGCGCATATGAAATCTTGTCATTATCACTGACCACTGATAGTTTTACTTCTTACAGTCGTTTGTTCCCGTCAAGCGATTTGATATCAAAAGTACAGAATACACTGTGTATAGAAAACATCTCGAACAGAATTGCTATTATATCTGATTTATCCAGTAGTTTCAATACAAAATTCTACTGGTGGACGGGAAATTATTGAATGACATTAATCCACGTTTTGCGCACATGAAATTTTCAAAATCTGCTTATGATAAACCTTGCTCCCGATATACAGTAAAAATTTGACACGAAGATTCTTCCAGCCATTGGCACAAATACTTGATGAAGATTTCCATTCGTGTAATAACGTCATCATGTTCGTTTTTCATTTGCTTTTCGAAGTCAATAGTGAGTAAGATCTTCTTAAGAATATGTGTTTACATAAAAGATAGATGGGAAAATCAAGTTTCATACCACTTTGTTCTTGCGGACTTCGAGCGCAGATGTTCGTTATAAAATCCATGACAAGAAAAGCTTTGCAATCTTCGCCATGCAGTTCGTAAAGAGATACTGTAAATCAATCACCAGCATTTTGTGAATGGAGAAGAGTGTAAAATGAGCACTCACATGAATGAGGGAACTTTTCCGGGTGCTCAACACGTTTCGGTCCCATCTTTTAGCAATAGGTACATTTCAGTGAGATATGAAAAATCTTGAAAAAATTCGTATGTTTAGGCCTTATTTGCCGACTCTGGACATCATTTCAAGGCAAACGATTTTCGAACATTCGGTCACGCTGTTAGATATTCGGAACAGGTGGTACGAAACGTAGTTCGTCCTTATTAGCTACGCATCATTCATAATTAAACGGTATTAAATACAATTTTCTGTACTTCCTCGTTAAAAAGCCTTGGATTGCAACGATTAGTCGTTGTTTTTAGAATCAAAATAGGTAAAATGAATGTGATATCGACTATACATTCACACATCAGGTAGATCATTATCACTAGTGGTGTTTATACAGAAAAAAATACTATGAAGCCTTATTTGGCTTGTGAAAGACGTCTCTTCCTTATTTCTACGCGATATGTAGCCGTGACAGATGACTAAACGTTAGTAATTTCTCGTCGTAATGAATATAAGAGTATGAGGATGGGCTGCAAGTACTACATTCACGATTTCTCCTCGTGGTAAGACAGAACCGACACCAATGCGTGATTTGGGAGAAGGAAAAGGAAAGAAAGAGCAAGTACCACCACCTGGTTGGATTCCAGTGCATGAACGTCTTAAGAAAATCAATAAATACGCGGAAAGAATATTCTCATATCCATTTACAATATTAGAAACAGTTCTTGACAATATCCAGAGCTTCATTACTCAACATTCAGTGTCCTATTCATTTTGTATGTGTGCAACTATTACTGTATCTGTTTCTGCTGCGGCTATTGCTGTTGGAGTTGGGACTGGCGTCGGAGTTGGATGTAACAACAACTAGCGACCATGTGAATCCGATTGGTACTAGAACACTAATTTTACTTCGTTTTAGATTTTCTGTTCTATTCTTGAATATTTAGGAATAAAAAATATCTAAGAGTAATCGTAAAAGTCTAACTCTCGCGAAACAGTTGCATTTGTTCCATTCATAGTACTATTGATGACAGCATCCTTTGCACACGTTAATCCAACACCAAGGCCAACGCCTAATCCAACACCTATAGAAGCAGATACTGTTACTACTGAGAGAGCAACCATTGCTGGACCGAATATACTATTCGTAGCAAGTAAAGTGGATAAGATATTCGTTATTCCAAGTTTTCCTAATATGTACATAGGAAAAGAGACCATTATTTCAAAAAGTAATTGCATGGATTTGTAAATTTCTTGGATGAAATCCCATATAGACGGTGGCTTTGCTTGTCTAGTCTTCGTTCGTCTTCTCAAACGATATTCCGTTAACATGACTGCTTCAAGTGATTGTATAAACGCAAGAATATTCCAACCAAATTTCTTCTTTCGTTGATTTGATTTAGTAAATATCAACTATCGATCGTTAATAATTAATCGAAATTAATGTTACGGATCACTCGGCCCGAATAGTACGCAAACGTCACTGAAAATATTTTTCAAAAGGAAATCACCAATAAGGAGCACTATTTATAAATGTTAGACCTCGATGTAACCCATTCACACGTCGTTTGATTGAGTATAGTGAGATACCTCTAAGGTAAAAAATGTTATCAACCAACATTTCTTCTTTCAGATGTGATAGTTATTTGAAGGAGATTTCCATTCAGGACCTAGTAGCTGTTTTCAACGAATAAAATGTACATAGATGCACAAGACGAGTATTTTTTATTCGAACGTTTCGATATAATATAAACAAATGAAGATAGCTGTCCATATCGAGATGAGTTGGCATTGTTCAAAGGGGTTCTCGTTGTATTGTCACTCATTTGAATAAAGGTTAGTTTACGAGTAATTCGATTGTCAGAACAAATCTCAGAAGACGAAAGTTTCTTTTCACAAATCAAAATAATCATTATTCTCTCTCGCAGATTTAAGACTTCGAATTTCATCTCGACACTCGGCGATTTCTTACATGAATAAAGTAATTTGATCTGAAATTCAGAAATGTAACATAGTATTTGGACAGAAAAATTTCTTTCTTTTAATTAATCATTTTTCTTCACATAGGTTCGTTCACGATTATCATCGATGATTTCGATAGCATCAGCACTCGAAGCACATGATTCAACAATATAGAATTCTTACACGAAAACAAAGATTGATTCGACCACTGTTTTTCTATCGAATATTTGATGAAATTTTCTCCTCTTTTAGCGTATAGACCTTTTTTCATTCCAAATCTTTGGAAGAAAGTCATAGATATGACGTATGTACGACACATATAGATAATACCCGTGTCGTACTCTCCAGTAAATCATGCCCTGTCTTTTAATAAAAGAAGGAAAAAAAAGGTCCATGGATGAAAATGATAGATTTAAGCAAAAATGTATGTACACATATGTATGTGTGTAGAAATATTATGAAAGTTGTGTTCTAGATGATGGGTGTGTTGTTTGCATAGCGTATGTCTTTGCCAATATGGAATGTGCTATAGACCATGTTTCGTCTATGGTTCTTCTTCAATAACTTTCAATTCTTTTCGACGCTTTTCCTCTTCTAATCATATCAAAAGCAACGAATGTAAGTATTGTATTCTTCAATCACTTTATGATTGTACTAACCTGCTTCTCGTATCCATCGTTCACGATTTTCCTTCAAATATTCTGTCCAAGGCCGTCGAACAACAGTTAACCGAGATATGGGCGTTGTCATTGAAGATGGCTTTCTCTCACGTCTAGTAGAAGAAATGTGATGAATGAAAAAATGCCTCCTTTTCTTTTTTGATGTTTATTACCCATTTTCTAGTTGTTCATCTTGATGAGTACTAGAGTCATTCAGTGATCTTGGTGATGGCGGCGGTGAAGGTGACGAACTAACGCTTTTCGCTGGTATGGATGGTGATGGAAGTTCAGAATCGGGTACAGATAGTGATTTCAAAATTTTCTCAAGCATATCACCCATAACAACGAACGAGGGTTCTACGATGTATTGGATAAAACCTAGCAAGTACGAAGCAAATGAAAACTGATTGTTTCTCGCTGTCGATTTGCATACCGATTTGAGATTCCGCAACAAGTGTATTATCGCGATCGCATAATGGTGAACAGGGTAAACCAAGTTCTTTCTCTTTTTCGCCTTGTTTGAAGTATTCTTCCATCAACGACTCTGTCCATGAATAATGAATGCTCCACGGTTTTCCCGGATGGCTAATATCCGCACTGTGCAATACTAATGCTAATGCTTTGGATTTTTCGATACTAGAACGGTTCGATGAAGAGATGCACCAGTAAGACAAGCAAATGCAGTATTTACTTTTCCGGCATGCTCAGAAGACTCTTCATTGTTTTCAATTGAGCAAAATGTGAACTCATATCTGTAGCAAGAACCATTTCGATGACCAAATGACGAAAGTTTCTTTAGAAGAAAAGAAAAGAAGATTTGATGAAAAAATCCGTGTTTTCTTACTTATACTCATCGGCAGAAAATTCCGAAAGAATATTGTAGTCGTCGATACGCATCAATCGAAACGCAGCACTCACATGATGGTTTTCCAAAACAGCACGATCGTTGTAAATTAAAGCCACGTCCGACCTAATTTGTTTGATCGAAGAGAAAAGAATTCACTACTAATTTTAGAAGCAACTCTGACATTAATATAACATTCACAACTCGTTAGTTCGCTTTGAAGTCGATTTTCATACTGCGTGGTGAAGTCTTACCTCGACTGTATATGGAAATTATTTGACGTTCCTGTGTGTTCGAAATCGTGTACAATTGCCGCGATGAACATAGCAAATAGTTCATGGTCGCTGAGCCAATTCTGGAGGGAAAGAAAAGAAAACACCGGTTCCAATCATACATAATCATAGTTTACAAAGCATCTAAGTCCAACTACGCTAGGGACAAGCAAAAACAGAACTAATATAAGGATCGGTTGATTATCACAAAAACTAAGAAGCGATTTAAACATTGAAACCCCATTGACCTCTACCATAAGACCGGAATTGTAGATGATTTGATAAGTTGTTTGAAGAACGTCAGCAGCATGAATGAGATTATGGTATGGATTGCGGTATTTACTGTAACCACTTTCCATTTGTTCGAGAAAATTTTGTAATGCAGTTATTGAAATCTAATTGAACATAGATAACCACCGATTATTATCAAAAAGAAGAAATGGTTCGCTTTGTTTTACATGTAGTTTATTCGGGAGATTATACCGTTGCATAAGTTCAAAACCCACATAACGTAAACATTGGCCACTGGTAAATTCGTTGACAGAAAACACATCGAACGTCCACTCATTAATCGTCTATAAACAAACAGATAGGTATGAACGATAGGGTTCGTATTGTTCTTTTCACGAAAACAACAATAACATGAAAAGCACGTTGATTATCGCTTGCATTTTATGCAAAATGAGAGGGAAACTACCAGACTTACTTGCCGATGGATATCATACGGAGGAGCCAAAATATTCCGCCGTAAAATTCTAAAGGAGTTTCTCAATATTTTCCTTTCTCGTAACAGTCGACGATGTAAGCGTGTACTTTTATGAGAATGCGTGAGTAGAAATTACAAAACAAATGTGAAGTTGAAAGAAGAAGAAGAAGAATCATGACTAGAAAACAACTTCAATCGATGATATACCTTAAATTTTATATCGATAGACAAACGTCTTAGGTACCTAGAATAACACACACACGCACGTATCAAACCGATCAACAGATGTCAAACATTCAAATCAAACCAATCACATGCTTTGATTATCTGCATGAAAAATCATACCTTGAACTTCGCGTGAAGACACCAATCTTTTACAACCCTGACAAAGATGGAAATTACCGATAGAATCGCACGGATAGCCGATTTGAACTTTTAGACGATCCTTACTCATTTCTTTTTTTTTTATTACGAACCTGTCTACCATAATTCCTGCACGTATAGCTTGTGCCACACTCTTGAATTTCGGTTTGTCGGATGGTCGTCGCTTGATTGTAGACATTGATCGGGTGAATGTCATTGCTAACCAGTCTCGCACTTCATTCGGTACTGAATCTGGTTCGATTTCTGACAATGCACCATCATCTTCTTCCATTAATCTTCTAGAAAATCATATAAATAAAAAAAAAAACATGAATATTTTCATGCTTAGACAGTTAGTTTGTCTTTTCAATGAACGTCCTGCCATCACTGTCAAAATGATGATAGTGAGTATTCTTTCTTCTAGCGAAGAAAAGATAAATCTTTCCGTGCTAGAATAACTGATTACAAAATGCGAATTCGCCGATGTTTATGGTTAAGAAAAGAGAAACTAAAGTAGATTAAATAAATCTGCTCTACGTCTGTATATTACCGAGTTTCGTCTTGATGAACAGCTTCAAGAATATTGGCAACGTAATCCAGATTCCGGAGAAGATCTTCACGACACATACCAATATTACAATGAAGTGCAGCAATTATTGTTCGTAATCTACGACGAAGACATTCATTCATAGGGCTTTTTCTCTTTCTGAAGACAAAAAAACGATATTGCCTACCTTTCACTACCGATTTGCAATGCATCGAATGAATCAGGTGGTGGCAGATTCTTTCTTTGACTTAAGATGGCGACGTCATGCTCAATGATGTCATATGGTGTTTTGCTTGGATCACCTCCGTAAAGATGATCATCGAAGAGGTGATTTTCTCCACTGAACTTGGGTTTGTTGGAAAAGATTGGTGAAAGATGGTCTGTAGACGACATAGGTTTTAATTCCGTTTTCTCTCGTAAAAACAAAATCAACGCGGCCTGTCTTTCCTCTTCAACGCAGACTAATGCAAGTTGAAGAAGAATAGTAAATAGATTGTCATACAAATAACTAATAGACTTCGAAAAACGGAAATAACTGACAGAATAGCCTAGATCTGTTTGTATTCTATCAATCTAGGAAATAGAAAAAGCTGTCGTATTTCATCGTTGATGTAGTTGTCTGACATTGAAGGATGTTCGAACTATTATTGTCAACATTGAAGACTGATATTCTATTGTCGACAGACAAGCATCAAAATCGTTGTGACAACTAGATAAGATCGCGATGTGCTTGTCTGAGTTAATAACAACTAACCTGTATCATGATGTCGAACTGCCGATGTGCGCGTTAACTTCGGTGATTTCGCCGAATGGTGATGATGATGTCGTTTGGCAGTTGATGAGCCGGATACTGAAATGAAGAGTGCAACGATTAGAAAGTCAGCTGAGAAAAGAAAGTAAATCGGATTTGAACTACTCTTGCTATGCATCAATAGCTATTGATAGAAATAATTAATTACCTTTGATTGTTTTCGACGCTGAATTTGTAAGCGAAGTACCGATGATGATGAGCGATGATCCGGAAGTTAAGCGAATTTTTCGACCTGGCATTTCGGTGGACAAGTAGGAAGTAGAAACATGTATACAAAAAAAAAGTAGATGTGTCGTTGTCTTAAACAGCAAAGAAGAAATATATTTGTCAGTCGGTACGCTTCTCTGAATAATATAATCAACTCCGTGTGGTTGTTACGAAGAAAAACTCACATTTCAATGACGATCAACACTCGACGAATGGATAGGAAAGTGAATAAACGAGCTAGGAGCACTACATCGTCAAAACATTATCTTTTTTTCCGTTACACGACAACAAGGTGATGACGTTTTTCAGAAAGATTTGCCTATGGAAATGGTGATAATCATGTTGAAGAATTCAGTGAAAAGAAAAAAAAGGACGGAAGAATGAGAAAAGATGATTTTGTGCTCATCAGCATCCTTTTTTGTAGCAAGGATATAGAAATGACGATGACGGTAGTATATTACCTGTATACATCGGCAGCTGTTACTTCGTCGTATTCTTCCTCTTTTTTCTTCTTCTTCTTCTTCTCCGTCTTTACTTGAAAATTATCATAATTATGGGAAAAGAGAGAAAAAAGGATATAAGTATACGAATGACACGGCATCCCCCCGTCGTTAATACACAGATATCTATAGTGACCGACTAAGTGCATCGAGAAGGTAAAAAAAAAAGATTTTTCCTTTTTCTTCTTCGTCTTAGAGATCAAATAAATTTATATTATTAGCCCAGTTTGACAAACTCTACTATCTCCAGAAAAATATTATTCGAGTAATTAGGTAGAAAATCTTGTTTCTAACAAGCCTTCAACATCAAATCTTCCAAAGTCATTTCAAATCAGTTGTTTCCCTAGTTACCAGCTGCAATCCTATCAGTTACAAGAGAAAACAAACAACAATATTTGACTTTGTCGCCGGGTTAAGTGTTGTTATTGGGAACGTACTCTAACATGACTAAAATTGATCATTTTGGAGTAGAGAAAAACATCCTAATTGTGTTGAAACCAAAAGATACTTGATATCGAAGAAGACATGCAAGATCATAATGAACATGCCGACCTTAATCCGTAGTAGAACACATACTCAGTTCTTGTGGTATTTATTTTGAAGTTTTTGTTCTCTATACAAATTTCAAAAAATAAAAACCAGCACACACACACACACACACGCATACACACAGAAAAGCATGTCGTATAACAACAATAATAATAGCAAGAAAAACAAGCCTACTGAAAAAAACGATGTGTGAAATACATCGATTTTCACATTTACTAAAGTAAAACAGCACCAACAGCAACATAGACGCATATATCGGTGAGTTTCTCTTTTGTTTGTGTCGCGCATTAGAGAAAAGATGACATGGACGGTATAGAAGAGGAAAAAACCTGTGCAAGCCAAAAGAAGGTTATAATTTGGTTATGGTTTTAGTTGATGGATAGATGGATCGATTCGATTTCGCTGTTTCTTTTGCTAATGACTGTTCATATTTAAAAAGTTCAGCAAGAGTAACATCAGTTGGTAGATACGTTTTCATTCCTGAATAAGATTCCAAACGCGAGGCAGCCATATTTGCTCGTGCTAATCGAATTGATGTTTCACTAGAAATCAAAGAAGAACAAAATGTTAGTTGAGGATGTTCTTGTCTTCTGCTTCATGTTTCAATTCTCAGTCAAGAATGAAGGTCATCTGTTATTTCCGAATTTATTTTTTTGCAACCAACACCATGCTTTGAGCATCATGCAAAGAATGTAAGTTATTAGTTTACCTGACTTTACACACATGAAAATGTAATATTTATGAACTAAAATTCGATAAAGTACGTCATTGAATGTGAATGAAACTTTTGTAGAACTCGTTCTTCGAAGTGTGGAAAACAAACTGAACGCTAATTACCTTGATAAAAGACTTTCTCTTGCACGTTCGAATTGGGATGCGGATTCTGTATGCAGTTGTTGAGAATCTTTCACTAATTTATCTGTTTCATCCAGAATCGCCTGTTGACTTTTACTTAGACCTTCCATATGTGAGAGATTGCCATTCGTCAGTTTAGTTTCATAATTAGAAGTATTCGAAGTTGGATAACGTGGTGTTGGCCGATGAATAGTTCGGATCATCTCATTTGTGTTTGTTCGATAGTCAGGAAAACGTGGGGGAAGTCCTGCTGGTTTTGTAGGAATTGATGTTAGGAATGAAACATCGAGTAATTGAGGATGGCTAGCAATGTTCTCTTGATTGGCTTGTGTTGTTAAATTTTCTGCACTTGTACTTAAGAATGATTGTAATCGTCGATTCGTTACCATACGCGGTGTATGTTCGAAACTAGTTGTCATCGTTGTTGTTCGTTGTGTTGGATGAGTGTCTAGTGAAGATCTCTTCGATTCCAATTGATCAATTTTCATATCTAATTGCTTTTTCGATGCTTCCAATCGCTGACGATAAACAACGAGATGCTGTCGAGTTAGTTCAGCCATATCTTCTTCATATTGTTGCATTTTTAATTTAACTGTTTCATTATCGACAGCTGCAGTGTCGAATGAAAGTGCACGAAGCAGAGCATCTAGGCGAAAAATGTCATATTCACAATGATTGCCGGAAGGAAAATATAATTACCTGTTTCTCCAATTATATAATTCAACTTGGCCTCGGTTAATTCAACCCAAATATTCGATCGATTCCAATTCAATGAAAGTAAATCAAGTATATGTGCCCTTTCACGATATAATTGCGAAATTTCTTGTTCAATGTCATTTGGTGATGTGCTCATATTCCCATTATTGATGGTTGGATTTTCGAATGGTTCATTACCATCTGGTGACGTTTGACGAATCAGTGGCTGTGTGGTGACTTCCGATGCATCTTCACTATCGGATGAGGAATCTTTTTGATCGACTTGTAAAGCAATACTTGTTTTCATTCGGAGATTATCATCAACAAGAATGCCAGAATCAGCACTACGTTCCAATACTGCTGGCTGTGGTGGTGCGGGTTGTAGCATCGCATGGGTTTGTGTTCCATTTTGCGTTTTCAAAAAACCGGGTATTTGATAAGGAGATACTTGGGTGTACGATGTAACTGTTTCCACATAGCGTTGTAAACTTCGATCGTATTTCGTTGGTGGACTGTATTGGCACGAGCGGTCAACTGTTTGACGTATTGTAATGGGCGATGTGCCTATTGTTTGAAAGAGTTTCTCGGAAGTCGATGGAATGGGTGAAAGAGCAATTTCCTTGGTGGACGTTTCTTGACTTTGATCATGTGAACATGTCAGATTGTCGATGGTGGATTGGATTTTCTTTGTAGGTTTGAATGGACTACGCCATGGGGTACTACTTCCATTGATGATTGTATGATCACGCCAAGAATCGATAACTTCGACTTTATCTTTCTTTCCCGGATAAGTTGTTCGATAGTGTTCGCGATGTTGATTCGATATCGATTGAGTGATAGGCTTTTCTGATTCGGACTGAAGAGTATTATTTGAGTAAACAGATCCTTGCGTTATAACAATAGATTCACATATCGAATTAAGCATGGTTGACGGACCATCGATATCGATCGAGATCATATCAGACTAAAGAGAAGAAAACAAAGACTGATCACGGTAGATAACAATCTTTACTTACTTCATCGAAATGTTTAGGATTTGTTCCTATAATTGGTATTTCAATTCCTTCGTTCGTATGCTGAAATTGTTCATCTTCTTGTAAAGCATTATAACCATTTGTAAACAATACTGAACTAAAGATTTGATTTAACAAACGTTGTCCTTTAAAAGGTAAACGTATATGTGGATCACGTTCCATAACATCGGGTCCGGCTTCGATTCGTTTGGTTAATATGACTCGTTGATCTGTACCTTGCCGATCGACGTAACCAATTTTGAAACCTTTGCCTTGCTTCATGATCTCTAAATCGGATACTTTATCAATTCGTTGAGGTTTGCAGTGAACAGTAGAAGGTTTCATCACGGAGACGGATTGTTTGTTTTCGAGATGAATCGATTGTTGTGAGAGAAGTTTCTCTGTTGAAGATTTGATACGATCGAGTTGACGAATTTCATCGACAATTGAAGTTAAGTTTTCTATATTACACGATGGATTCGGCTCGGCTTTATCAAATATGTGAATATTAATAATTTCTTCTTGTTGATGAACGAGAGTTTTGTTAGCTGAATGATCTAAATGTGCTAAACGATCAGCAAGATCATCAGCATCAAGATTGATGTCAAATTCTTGATCGATTGTGATGTAATCTTCCTGAACAAGTGGATGAACAACTGTTTGATCAGTTTGTTGAATGAAATTTGTCGAATCGAAATTTTCCTTGTAGGATGCTGTTGGTTCGATCTGATCGATTACATACGTTGGTTCATAATCAAATGATTGTATAGGAATAATCGATGTTAAATTGTCGGACAAAGTTGGTGCACTCATCGATTGCTCCCAGATTTGATTATCAGCATCACAGAAATGCATCGATCTTACTTGCTAGAACAAGAAAACAAAACGAATCTCGATCGTGTTATCAATCATAACACATTTGACATACTTGACTTTGATCAGGTGATAAGGGTCGACTATGTATTGATGAAAGTGGTCTCGAACGTGGTGATGAAAACTCCGAACCAATCATTCCGTGATCATCATCACTTATATGGTACGGATAGTTTTCTTCCGAACTTCCCTTATTCAGCTGATGTTCTTGTTCGAATATATNTATATAATTCTTTTAATGTACCCATTTTGGTATCTAATTCATGAACAGTCATATCCACTGTTCCACCACCGCAATCAACAACAATATACCGTGTACCACTATCAAGGACGACTTCAAATGATTGTGTATTTGGATGATATTCACTTTGCTCAGTTGATACTAATCGAATAAACAAAGAAAATAATTCAATCCCGAGTAATGACCATGATGAATTGATTGTACGCAGACATTATGTCGGTACAGACATGTATACTCAAACATCTATCAACGGAATGTTTTTTCTTTCGATAAAAACGAAGATAAATTCTCGTAAAGTCTTTCTCTTTTGTCTTATACTAACATTTATCCGAATCGAAAAATATTGGCGATGATTGATTAGACAACGACGATGATAAGGTGCCATGCTCACGTTTGATTGAATTTCGGGAGAACGGCGGTATTTCATCTGGAACAAATTGATGCATTCGAAGCTTACGTATATAAATCGATGCTGCTTCGGGTTCAAGGGCAATCAATAGTTGTTCCGGAAATTCTCGCGAAGCAATGCCTGCCTAAAGGAAGCATTTGATCGAAATCATAGAGAACGACAATTTCGACACAAACCTGATACGCAGCTTCGCGCATAAATTGTTTCGCTGATTGTTTCCATATTGCCGGTACTGTGATAACCCATCGAACATCTTCATTGACAAATCGAGTGCCTGACTGATCGGAAAGTTCTCGTAGAGCATGTTCTTTGAAATATTGTAATGCATAGGTAAATATCGTCAATGCCGGAACTTTCCGACCGTTACTTGCCGCGATTAATGTTTGAGTATTAAGATCCTAAATGAATTCATCGATGATTGAACAAGAAAACAGACATGTAGACACAACTGTTTACTTTAATTAGATTCGTATCGATTTGTACATGTTTTAGGAAGAAAATATGCGTAGAGGAAACCGGAACAGGACATGTGTATGCTAGTCTCGGAAAGAATTAATCAGCAGTTGCTGTTCTCACTTTCAATTCGTTCTCGAACAAGAAAATACAATCAATCAATCAATAACTCATAGGAGAACAAATCATTATGAGTTTTCACTCTATTAAACAATCGTTCATCACGATCGGACTCGAGTTCTATGATGTAATAGATCATCTATGCGAGGAATGCTACTATTTTCTTGCATAATACGAGTTACAGAAAGGAAAATTTCTTCCATAGATCAGTAATCGAACGAAAGAATGCTTACTTGAACGTAATGGAGATGCATTTTGAATTTCTCGAAAAATAGCCATCGTTTAGCTTCGTCCGGATCGAGATCATGAAAGAAATCTCGCGCAAAAAAGCCGAACGAGTGAAATTCAAGATTGGGTGTGAGTAGAATCGTCGTTGGCGTTTTTTGATTGATTACACCTGAAACACAATTTTCTTTCAAAACAAAACAGAAACGAACGAGACTAGGACACTAACCGGGATCATTCCCATCAACTTTACGCATCATTAAAATCGAATCAATATCGCGCGTGAACGCAAATGCGTAGCCACTGTACGTTGTACCGAAGTCAATGGCTACCACGACAAAATGTGGATTCGATTTCTGACGATAATTTATTGATGATTCATTTCCTGAATCGTCAGATGTGGGAATATTATGAGGATTCGTTGGACATCGATATGATCCTGGACTATACGACGACGAAGCCATGCCGTTTTGATTTGCGGTTGAATGGCCATGTGGACAACTTTCGGATTCATTCGTAGGATTCATTGAACGAGATGAAGAGTTATTGATCGTTTCGGGAGAGTCTAAAAGCAATTGTATAATGAAACAAAAATATTAGAAATACTTTTGCAGAAAACAAGCTTGCTACTCTTACCCATAAGTATTGCTCTGTATTTTTTATGAAGAGAAACGATCACTTCATTTTTCTATTCTTATAACAATGTGAAAATCAGTTTTGTCTTCTCGTTGTTTTCTCCCTAACGAGTTCTAACGCATAAATCAAACATCAATGATTACACTGCTCGGGAATTATAGAGATAGCAAGAAGTATACGTTGAATGATCGGTTGTTCGCACGGCGAAGAGAAAAGAAAGATGTTTATTCCACTCACTGTACAACTCTTATGCTCTTCTTTTTCTCTTTCTTTTGTTCTCTCTTTTTCTTCGTGATTGTGTCTTGATCGAATGCATGGAAAAGAAGAAGACGTAGACGATGGAGGAGAAACGAGGATGATAAAGCAACGTACAAACGATTACTACCATCGTATCACTCTTGCTAACAACAAATGACGACGAAGGAGAAGAATATGAACTCTCATGCATCATCAAGAATGGCAAGGTGATCTCTTGTGTGTTTTCCTATCAGATGATATGTCGGATGGTATCTGTTCAGCAGTAAATTCGTTCTCTTACTATCAAAGATGATGATAAACAGATGGCTAATAGAGAGAGAGAACGAGGGAGAATCTGTGTATGTGAGGATTATTTAGAATAAGGATTAGTCTAAGACAGAGCAAAAAAAAAGAAAGACAACCTCTTGACACACTTGTCTACTTCTTCTAATCATAATTGTTTAAATATACATACAATCATTATGTTCTCAAACAGGATTAAAGAAGAAATGTATTTAATACATGTTGCAAACGCAGAGAACGCAAAGACTTTTTAACTTCGTTTCACTTGCCTGTCTCGGACAGTTCGTCACTGTCGGTCTTGTCATACGTGTATGTCGTTTCTTCACATAAAACGTAATATGTCTTTGTTAAAAGTATCGATGGTAATATCATCAAATCATCCGTTACCATTATTTGACAAATGTAAGACGAGAATGATAAAGTGACAATACGATGAAATCGATCATTTCAAAATTTTCATTGCTTTGTGGATCAACTAACAACTCACATTTGATTCCATTGATGTGTATTACATGGCCATATCGAAAGAAAGAAAGAACGCGCGTCAGTATGCAAGCAGCAACGTTTAATAGAGTTATAGTCGCAGAGATACAAACGGATAAATAGTGAAAGAAAAGAAAACTGCTGATAGTTAATGTAGCAAGAAAGACAAATGAACCTCAGTATTTGCTATTCCTGCTTCTTTCTCTTCTCCGGTCTTATTTCTTGGTCTAGAGAATCAATATGATGTGCAATAGGCAATAAATATCTCGAGTCGATCAATAATCAATGACGCAATACGAGAAGATGAGTTCTTCCAGCGAAGTTATCACCAGATGCGAACGAGAACATTCCAACGAAATACTTTTACTAGTTTAATTACATTTCGAAAACGTTTTCTCCAGAAAGGCAAAATATTTCGATTTACCTTGATATTCATCATCGGAATTCTTGTCATAAACAATAAAGGAAAAAAAAAGAACGATATACGTCAATGAAACCTAATCATGTGTCTGCTTGGGCGCTTATTTATAGCAATCATCGATCAACAAGAGTGCTTGTCTGTTATTTATTGTCACCGATTTTGTCATCGACGGATGGCTTTTTTGCCAGCGAAAATCAAGTTATTGATGATGACATATGTTGACATATGTATACCGTATTGCAGAAAACAACATAAAAGCTAGTTTTGTGTTGTCTTTTTATTAATTTTTTTCACCTCTATCATATCAAACAACGATCCGTACTTTAAGCGGTTTGTCTCAAATATCCGAAGGAGCGTAATTGTCAAACTGATATAACGATTACAATTTGATGAATGTGTTTTCGAAGCTTATTGGTAGTATCCAACATTGATGAATTTGTCAAACACTTTTCTCGTGCGACAATTAGCATCGTGCATCTCTTGATATAATGTCGTATAGAAACTAATTGATTTTTACTGGTAATACAAGCATAAACAGGCCGGTACTTGATGTTTCCATATGGTTTCGCGAGATTAAACAGACTTGTTTGATAATTAGTCGTTTCGAATGACCTCGATATGAGAAAAGCTGAATCAGAGTTTGTTTTTTTTTGTCCTTTATTGATTTCGAGCGAAGAAAATCGATGTTGTGTCTTTTCATTTGAAACAAAAAGTCCGATGATCTTTCTTTAATCTAATCAATGACAATAAAATAAACCCATAACAAACAAATATAACATTGCGTATAAGAAAACAAGTACATAATAAAATAGAAAGGAAAACAACGTCTCTAGAATCATTTCATATGTACAAAAAAAAAAAGCAAACAGACAAAACGAACAAACTATGAAATGATACAGGTGTCTCAACATAGACGCGTAAGAAATCTTCTTCACAATCGATCTAAAAGATTATAAATATGAACATACGAAAGTGATAAGGATGATGTTGATCTACATCTAGAACATTGAACATGTCTGTTGAATTAAGAAAACGTCATATTCATCGACTAGATTGAAAAAGAGATTGAAAGAAAGTCTGTTTTTTTCGGGATTATGAATTCATTCGTCGACTAAGACCGTTCGGTGAGTGTGTTATGAGGATTTCATCGTTGTCGTAGACTGCAGACGTGGATTCCTGGTTACGCGAACGTTGAAAACAATCGGATAGTTTTAGTTTTTGAGAAGCATACTGTACGGCTGGTTCGGTTAGAATAATATCATTGTTTATTTCTGAAAAGTCTCCATAACGTGATTCGTGATCTCGAATGGAATGATGCATAGGTATGACTTCACATATCAATGTGTCTTCGTCGTATGGTCGAGTATAGAAACATTCTAAAGGTGAAGTAAATTCGATTTCGAATTCGTTTTCGAAAAAATGTGCCCAGTCATCGAAATGGATTGTACGATTTGAATCTTTTGTAGACTGGCGATAGAAATCTTCAAGGAGAGATTCTTGAAATTCATCTAACATGACCATCGTTTGCTGGTGATGATAACCATTGGTCGAATTGCATTGTTGAGCTCGTGTGTTTGATTGCTGAGAACGGTTTTGATGTCGTTCATTGAGATCATGATCATCAGAGTCGAATCGAGCAAGATCATCGTGAGATCGGCGATTATGAGCGGAAATTTCGTACCATGACGTGGTTAAATTCGATTGAGGATGATTGATGACATATGCACTAGTCATATGGATTTTCTTTTCAGGTTGATTACCAGTTATGTAAGTCGATCGTACGATTTCATTAGAATGCCATGAATCTTCATCTTCGTCTGTTTCAGTGGGTTGTATAACAATGTGTTGCAGATGATTTGATTGATACTTACTTGACGACGACGATGATGTTGATGTTGATTTGTCCGATGGTTGTGATAATGCTTGACCTTCTTGTAGCCAAAGGTAAAATCCACGTGATAGAATATTGTCAATGTTTTGCACCGGAGTTTTTTCTTGCTCATCTGAATTGATGACTTGGATAATAAATTCATCGTCTTCATCATGGATATTTTCATTGTCATTGGCGTCGTCGTCAGTAGACGTTGCCTGATGGTCAGTGTGTGTTTGAGGAGTTGATGGAGAATCGAATTCGTTGGTCAGAAGAGTTTTAGCTTCGTGATCTTTTGCCAACATTTTCGGTCGTGGTTTTCGTGCGGGAATAAACTCGAATGATGATGCTGCTGACGTCACGTCATGCTCGTCCTGAGAGTGCACGGATGACGATGAATATGTTTCACTGCTATTGAGTTTTTCACGAATGTAGTCCGGGAGGAAGAGATCGAGTTTATCATTGGCACTGAAATTTGGTTTTGATAGCGTTTGTGGAGAATCGAGATTTATGTGGGTAATATGGCCGGAAATAGATGTTGTTGTTGTGGACGAAGTGGATGTGTCTTCATCATCTTCCTTGGTTTTTATTGAGATCTTCTTCTTTCGTGATTTAGACTTTCTCTTACTTGACACAGTCGTTATTTGTTTGTCTTCGACGTGAGTTGTTGTCGTTAATAGTCGAATTTCTTGTATGGGTTCAATGGGAATCTCCACTTTCGTAGTGGGGATTTCATTGAGTGGCGAAGAGGAGTCCACGAATTCAACTGATTTTGGCGTGTGAGGAAGCTTGTCTTTGATGGAATTTTCATCAGATGATCCAGTTGACTCCTTAAGGACAATTATCAATGATGTAGAGGATTTGTCCGTCTGCAATAAAACCGGAGATTCATCTGCATCCTGCACGGGTTCGATATGCGGAGTCGCAATTATTTCGTAACTATTGGCTGTTGATGATGTTTCGTCGGAGACCGACGGTAGATGGCTTTGAGATGAAGGATCTTCTGCCGTTAGAGGAATTGAGTCGGTATCATTCGGCGTTGTTGATGACGTTTTCGCCGTACTCTGTGGTATGTCATCCTCTTTTACAAGAGTTTCAGTGGAACTTTTATCCGTAGTTGACACAAGATTTGATTTGTTGAATATTGTCAAAGTCGTTCGTAAGTGTCTAGGTTTGGATTGCCGCGCTGCTTTGGACGCATTGCTACCGTTGTCCTTTGCAATGGGCTTTTCGACAATAGTGTCACAAGTGTTCAATGTGGACGGTTGAAACTTCTTGGTTGTTAACAGTGATTGTCTAGTTTCATGTTGAATTGTTTTGGAAGGTGACATAGGGACGATGTGAGTGCGCGGGACCGAACGTGAGGTAGAAGTTGGACGTCCATGGATGGTAACTGATTTGACACTGACATCAGAATTCGAAGTTTGGGTGGATGATGTTTTTGTAAGTGAATGAACGCGAGCTTTGTCAGATCCTGGTGCTGATTTCATACGTCTGCGGTGACGTACAACTTGAAACCCATCGTCATCATCTTCTTCTAAACTGGTGATCACAGGTGGTGGAACTAAGATATTTTGTAATTTTAATGCTTCTTCTTGTACAGCAGACTGGACCTCGAAGACTGGTTTATTTTCAATTTTTTCGGGCGATATTGGAGTTTTATAGGCAGTATTCGATGGTATTAATAAACTTTGATCTTCATAGACGGTTGCAATCTTCTTCACATCAATGCGCGGAGCGGGAGCTAATTTTGAGGTATCGATCGCTAGTGGCGATATTTTTTCACAGCTTGAGCCAGAACGTAAACGTTTGCGATGCGTAACTAATTGGAATCCTTCGTTATCTTCTTCTTCAGCCACTAGTACAGATGTTTGTTTAGATGCAGTAGATTTAGTAGATATCGTTAAACTGGGTCGAGTACACAATCGGATCGGTCCTGGTGGTGGTATTGGTGCTGATTTGCGATCATGTTCTGCGTTGAATTCATTCTTCTTCTTCGACGATTTCTTCTTTGACTTTGCACTTTTTATTTCGGGCTCCAGAATCTGTTTGAGTTCAGGTAGGAAGTCAATCTCGACATTACTATGATATTCTTGATCTTGTATACTAATATCCGTCGTCGTTGACTCTGTTGTATCGCACAAAACAGGCTCTTTTCTAGCTTTCTTTCTTCGTCGATGTCTTTTCTTGTTGGTTGCAGTAGTAGCCTGTAAAGGAGTAGAATGATCATGTAAGATAGTGGATTCGACATTGATATCAGAATAGGACACTGATTTTGTCGATGTAGCAGGCGAAAATGCTGTGAAGGTATCATCGATTGAATATTGTTCAACTTCTTCACTTTCAAGTGCTGCTGAATCTACTGTTTCTTTTTTAGTTTCAATGACATCGAGTGATGACACAATGAACGGTTGGATAAGTGTTTCAAGTCGATCAAGTAGTAGAGAATATCGAAGGTGTAGATCAACACTTGAAATCGTGTTTGAAATCACATCGTTGCTATGTGGAAGTTTCTCAGGTAACTCGATGAGGGGTACTTCCGCTTGTGCCAAGTCATCTTGCTTGTGATCGTTGGATAAAGTCGGCTCAGATATATGAGATGATAATTCCTCTTTCTTCTTCTTTCTGTGCTTTTTCTTGACAGTTGCGCCAGTTGGCTGTAGTGCAACAGATGATATAGGAGTAGCAGCTTGTGAATGTTCATGTACTACAACTGGCGCAGAATCAACGTTGGAACTGCTGGATATTTCAATTGTGGATATAGACGGCGGTGGTGATGGTACATTGATCTGTGTTATGGATGAATGGATGCGTTCATGAAGTTCAGCAATTTGGACGATATCTTCGTGTTTTGTCTTTGTTTCTTGATTTTGATGTTGAACAGATGTTGAAAGAGTAGATTGTTTCCTGGAAAAATCGAGCAGACTGTGAAGTTGTGCCAATTTTGTTTCGGCATCGACAATCGTGTAATAACTTGAATACCATGGATAATCATCGTATAGAACTTGAAGTTTCTGTTCAATTTCGATTTTGCCTGTTTGGTCAGTATTGGAAGCTGGTTGAGTAAAGAGTAAACGTTCAGACTCGGTGTCAGCGATCTTATATTGTGTTGAATACCAAGCGCGATGAGATGGTACAATTCGTTCATGAATATGGCTACTTTCTTTTGTTTCGGCAGAAAATATCGTTGAACGCGAATCGATTTCGTCGACGGACTTTTCGTTTTGTTCTAACGAAACAGATTCTTCAATACCTTCAGTAAGATCAGATGAAATGCCCTCTTTTTTATCTTTCTTCTTTCTTCTATGTTTTCTTTTGCAGCTTGTATTGACGGTTTGTGGAGCTGTGGAAGACGTCGTACTAGTTGAGATATCTGAATGAATAGAATAAACGGGGAGTGGCGAAACGAGTGCAGACACCACGGATGATGGAATGTGTTCTTGATGTCGAAGAACATGATGAGCATCTTCGTCACGCTCAATCATCTGTTCATCTGATTCAGCAGCAGCTTCAAGTATTGTAGAAAGAAAATTTTGCTGATGAGCCATAGCTAATAGATTATATATTTGAGCAATGCGAACTTCTGCATCGACGATATTGTAATGACTCGGATACCACGGATAATCATCATTTAATGTTTGAGTTTGCTGGCTGTATGGTTTTTCTGACGTATCGGTTGATGGTTTTCTATGGAAAGTAGTGTGGGGTATTGTTGTAGAAGGCCAAGAAGGATCCGAGGGCATGAATGGTTGTTGTTCTTGATCGATATCTTGTATTTGTTTGCCAGCAAAGTGACAGGAATGTTCCGAACCAAGAGTTCTTTCATCTGATAGAGTTAAATCTGATGTATTTGCCGAGATATCATCTACTGTGGTAACAGATGATGACCGTGTCTGGAATCAAACAAATAACTGATAGATATTTGAAAGTGTCAACATGCTGTAAACTTACTTCTGTTTCAGGTAGTTTTTCAAGAGTGATTGTCGATAATTGTGTTGGAAGTGAATCACACGTAGCATTCGAATCTGTACTGATGTTGATTACCGTCACATGAGAATTTTCACTTGATGACAAAGGTTCATCTTCTTCTTCGATTGTTTCAAGAAAATATAATTGAAGATCTGTAATAACCGAGTCTGGATCAAGCTCGCACGTTTCATCTTCGGTATATGGATCTTTTGATTGACATTGTAGTTCATTTGATTCATTTGTATCGGATGGTGATGCTTCTTCGATGTATATCGATTGAGATTGTTCTTCAATTTGTGATGGTTTGTTCGTAGATTTCACCTGTTCATCTTCGGACTCATCTGAAAGAGTGATGTAACATATCTGATCCGCAGTATTATCAATTATATTAGAAATACCGAATACTTGATGATATTCTTTGAAAGGTAAGTTTGAAACAATTGAAAACGATTCTAGTTTGCAAAATTCGGTAGGAACGTCGGCATCAGATTGTTTTACTGTGAGCTCGATGTTATTATCTAATGTCTGAAGACGACGTTGTTCTTGTAATTCAAAATAGACTTTTGTTAGATTAGAAAAATCTTCCTCTTCCACAACTTGTATATCATCGAAAGGTAAGTATTGACTCTGGAGTAAATTTGACGGAAAAGCATTGATTGAACTTTCTGTCAAGACTGCCGAAGATGTTTCTATGCCGTGCTGAACCATATTCGAGAGTATACTTAATTCGGGCGCAAGTGGAATTGATTCTAATTTGGATTCCTTGAGAAGCTCATTGAGAATGGAAGGTTCTGCATTGGTATTGACCGGCGATGGCGCGGATTTATCAATTTGTGAAGTGGATAGAGTAGGCAATGTGAAGAGTTCGGGTGACAGTTTAGTAAGAGAACCTGAGGTATGATTTATATCTTCAATCATGGTATGTGCAGTATCGGCAGTCTGTTCAGTTGGCACAATCGTGTTGTTGGACTCCATTGAATCTTTGTAAGTGGTGTTTCTTGAAAATGATGATCTAGGATGGTTTTCCGTTAGAAAATGAATGATTGCCGATGGATCTGTATTGAATCTTGTCGTTCTGTCTGGTTGGCTTGTATTGAGAAGAAAGTTCAGTAATAGTTCTACATTGTCATCACCAAGACTAGTCCCAGTTGATGTCAATGATTGTTGGTTGATATTGAGTTCTGTTTTTCCAAGTTCTAGCGTCGAACAAGTAATGGTTGGCTCATTTTCATTGAAGTCTAATTGTTGTTGTTCCAAAGGTATCTTTGTCATTGATCGTTCGAAAATATTTGTTGTTTGTTTTTCAACAACTTCGGGCGAACTGGTAATTGAATTTGTTCTCTCTTGTTCCTTTGTAATAGACTGACGATTGATTTTCATTCCAGTTAATGGTAGAGAACTAGTTGTCATTGCTTCATTTACTTCCGATTGCGAGCTCTTGCTAAGCAAATTTGTTTCGTTATCGATTCGCACACATGCACCGCTAATTAGAATAAGAAAACAATTCATTTTGTTCGACAAAAACTAGCACTCCTTGCTCTTACTTCAACTTCTCTTCAGTTGGTTGGTTCTCATTGAGTTTGAAGAATTGAATTTGATGATTCGGAACTGTCGGTAAGCAGTCACTTGCCAACAAATTGCTTTGATCTTTATTGAATTGATTGATCGATGGTGGTGCTATTGAGATCATTTCATGATTATTCTGGAGAACACGAGTTTGTTTTTCGACATTGAAATATGATCGATGAGGGTGGTCTGTTTCGTTGTCGACGTTATCGCAAGATTCTGAGCTTGTTTTATCACATAAATCTGTGTTTTGATGGTCAACGAACTTTGGCGAAAGGCGTTCCTTTGAGATATCTTCAGCGATTATATCGAAATTAGGACATTGATCATCTAAACATAGAGAAAAGAATCGACATGCTTTTACTTTGATCGGTATATAATTATAATGTTACGAATCGAAACAAAATCAAATCGATCATAGATTCTCATAGAAACTCGATTGCCACATAATACTACCGATGATGTCATCGAGATTATTGTACGATCCAGAACAAAAGAATCTAATTGTTATTCATTTGAAACCGACTCAGCATGTCGTAGGTATTCATCTAATTATCAATCACTTCGAAAGCCTTCACCTTTATCGCCGTTCAGTATGAGCGAAGTCTTCTTCGGATTAGGAAACTTCGTTTGTATCGATTTAGTTAGAAAGATGACTTACCACTGGTAGTTGACGGAATGTATTTGTCAGCGAGATAATTTCGTGCTGAGAATTGATGATTATCACCGGGTAAATCATTGTTTAACTTACTAAAAGTATCACCAGTTTGAATGATCGAATGAAAATTCGGCGTTGCGATTCGTTTCCGTTTCGTTCGTCGTTTTTTAATTTTACGAAAATTTCGAGATTCGACACGCGTATGGTGTGTTTCTCTGGTCGACTGAATTCGATCACCTGAATAAATAATTTCATAAGAGATTTCTTCGGTGATGGTCGGATCGAGCTCTTCGAATTCAACATAATCTTCGATTTTCAAGTCACCATCCTGTCGAACAACGGTTTTGGTATCCTCACCCCAACGTTCGATTAGCGTTGGATAATGATCAAGATAGGTGATTTGGACAATTTCATCATTGAGAATTTCTTCATCGGATTCATCTAAGTAATGTGTCTTACGGTAAGGTGATAACGATGATGCTGTGCGAGGAATCGGTGAGTACACTGGTTCGTAATCTTGATAATTTGAATTCATGGCATATGTTGGATACGATGCGTACAGCGAATGTCTTGAGCGATTAGCTGCAGGCGAGATGTTACTATTGAAGGACGTGGAGGCCAGATTCGTCATTGAATTGTTGACGATCGGACAGCTGTACTGTTCGCTTTGAAACGATGTAACTAAACCGATACGTTTTTGTATTTGTCGCTCTCTTTCTTTCTCTTGTTCGTCGATCGATAATTTTCTCTTCACATCATCTTCTTGTATTTCTCTTTCACCTTTTTCCTTTCCTCTTTGATACTCGCGACCATCATTAACATTTGTTCTTTTCGTTGTAACTCCACTGTATTGCTCATCACAATCGATGTGCTTGTTGTCATAATTATTACAACTATTCATCATAATTCTATGAGTAATCCTATGCAACTTACAGACAAACTTTGTGGTTACTAAGCAGATGCCATTTCTATGACTGACTCAGCTAGCAAAAGAGATTGTCGTAGATTTGTTTATTATTGATTCGGTCTATATTAATAATCTTGTAATATATTTTTCTCTCCCCCGTTCTCATTCTGCTTTCTACATTCTCCATCCCGAGAAATATTAGTCGTCTGTGGAATGTGCCACTTAGTATTCAGTGTGCTGTCGTTATTTTTTACATTATCTTCATTGTATATAACATTCTTGCTCTCTGATAAAAAACATTTTGCTAGTTAGTTCCTGATTTTTTTTCTCTTTCGCTACGCATTCTTTTGCCTTTTTTTTTTCTTTCCCAGTCAATATTATTATTAGTAATATATATGAGTAACAGTCTCATCCAATTGTTGCATTTACGATTGATTTTTTTCTTCTCTTGGTTTGAAGATGTTGATAAAACTAAATATTGATTTAACAATAAAACAGGTGATGTTTGAATGATGCATATCCTGTTCTTTATTGTTGTCTGTTTTGTTTCTCTAACGTACATGAAGTTCGATTATCGAATTTCTCCTCTGTTCCAATTCAAGAATTTTGAATGACAAAAGAGAAGCAAATGAAAAGAAATACAACGAACGTACGTGCACTCGAAAGGTGTGTACAAAAAGAAAAACGAAGAATTAGAACGAAAAAGAAAAGAAAAATATATGCGTATGTGTAGGTGTTCTTAAGCATACAAAACTATTAGTCAGACAATGATGCGTAATCTATTTCACCATTACACTTGACTTCCTAGGAATGAATAATGGATGTTTATATCAGTTCAATTGGTTGCTGCATCTGTCGTAGGTGTTGATGAATCAACATTGGTGTTCACCTTTGAAATTGATTCATCGACATTAGAATGTGTTGGTTGACAAGGATTGATATTGTTCATATCAATATCAGTTGAACTATGTAGTAGTGGTGGTGGTGATGGTGGCTTCCGTTCGTCGTTTGAATCTAAATTATTCAAGATAAAACAAATGTTTAATCGACTTTTCCTTTGTTTATATCGATTAGATCTCGTGAATATTCATTAGACATCCTATTAAAATTTATTATAAAATAGGGAACGACGAAGAAAACGTGCTATCTTGTTTTCGTCGTTTTCTGATTGATCTTATCGTAAAATCGATATTTAACGAATATAACAAAATATGATACGGTTTCAATCATTAAAGCAGAAAAAATAAACCGTTGAATGATGATTACTTTTGACAGATATTTGCAGTTACATATCACCGGCGTGCATGCTTCAATGCTCTATCATACACTTCATCATATCTTTTGACACTTCTATTATTCAGTATAGTGTCCAGATGTAAGGATCCCGCGACGCACATATTTACTACTCTTTTTTCAAAAGAAACGAAGACAATAATTAGTACTAAATAGTGTAATGTGTCGCGAACATGGTGCTTTCGTGTTCAATATGTTTAATGAGAGGAGAGTCGATCAAAGTAAACTATCTTCTCTTGATATTGATCAATTACGGAGATATTTTTCAATTAAAAACAAAAGATGGATTATTTGTTCTCAAAGAAAGTTAAATAAACGATACGACGAAAGAAGATACTGTATCGCTTGTAATAAGATCATTTGTATGCGTATGGGAGTATATTGTGAATGAAAGAATGCACATGTTGGGCGTTGTCGATATCTTCGCTCTGTCTATATAATTATAGAAAAGAAATTTTGACGATGAGCACATTGTTGTGCATGAGACGTGTGACTTCTTTTGCATACGTCGTTAACTTTTATCGTCGCAATCTTCTTCGTATGCTTTCGAACGGCTAAATGACTAACGGATAACTCGACGATTTTCATCACCGACACAATGAGATAGAAGAGATTCATTCATTGATACAATCACGCGTGACTTTCGTGCGAATATCTGACGAAACTAATCGAAGAGTTAAATTACTTCTGAGTAATTCACTGAAAGTGAAAACTTGACCATGTGAAGAAGCCTACCTTTTGTTTTTTGAATTGTACCAGTGATAGTGGCAATTTCTTCGTCGACGAAAACATCTTCGACTTCAAACGAATCCGTTCTTTGTTGTTGATGACGTTGATAAGAGTTATTCGATGGTCGACGGTATTTTCGTTGCGAATGCGATGATGACGATACAGATTCACTTTTCGATGATGGTATTTGTTGTTCGTTTTTGCTTGGCAATGGGTCAATTGCTCGTAAAATATCGATCATGATCTTTGTCAACGAATGAATACCATTGAGATGTGTAGGTGGAGGTTGAAGAGGTGTGTCAGGACCTGAATGGGAACGTTTTCGAGTCGTTGCTGATTGATTCGGAAATACAAATGCACGACTCGAATGAACTCGCTGTCGTTTCGATGAATGTCGATTTGGATAAAGACTGTCATCTGTCAACGGCGGCATCAATGGCGAATAGAGAGGATACGCTGGTTTGGAATGATAGGATGACGCTGTACTGGATGCATTACTCGGATCTTGCTGCCACCAGCTATTGGATGTTGCCGATTGTGGGCTGTTTGTACTCCATGATTGACGGTGATGAGGAACGTACTGTGGAACAAGTGAAAGTAGTGGTCGTATTGTAGAAGAACTTGTTGGAGCAGACTGTTGATAAGATTCGGAATAATAACGTGAACGGGAATAACGATTATTGTAGTAATCAACTTGTGTTGCACGTCGATGTAAATGAGCTGGCGCTAATTCAGAACGATAGGTGGGAGAAAAATCGATCGGAGTGAAATCAGGTGCCTCAGGATTTAAAGAAACTTCATTTATTGCATTCTCATTTCCTATGTGTAATAATCGAGTTAATTCACGTGTTGCTTCACCTAGATCCATCTTATTTGCAGCTTGCAATAAGGAATTTTCGTTGATATCACCGAGTTCAGACGATGAACATGATGATGTCGAATAGCGTTGCTGTTGCTCACGAATACTAACCGACGCTCGTTTGTCATCTGTTGATAGAATTTCGCCAACAGACACTTCCACCGATGTCGACGGTAATCGCTGTGAAACATTTGTAATTGTTGCCGATTTAGGACTGTCTAGGGATGAGACTAATGACGAAGCCGCAGCAGCAGCTGAACGTGCATCGACGGGCTTTGGTCGTATTTTGTTTGGTAAAGGTGATGATAATGATGATGGATCACGATTTTCGTCACTCATAGTTCGATTCGTATTCGAAAGAGAGGTATTATCGGTATCAGATAGACGTGTGGAACTGCTTTTCTAAAATGAGAAACAATCTTAATGAAATCGAAGTGAAACAAAGCAGATGCGCAAATGACGCCAACATCGCATCTGACTATCAAAGCACAAGTGAGAGTAGATGAGAACTTTTACTGAAGAACACGATCTTATGGATAGGACGATAAAAATGGAAATGTGAAAGAGTTCGTTTTCATCGAAGTTTTCAAGTAGAAACGAATGAGACAAAACGTGGAGACAGCTTGAAAATCACGAAAGAAGTAGAAATAGACGAGGGCATTTATGTCTGGGGACCCAATGAGAGAGAGAAACAGCTGTGAGTATTTGTGTACAAACGACAAACGCCATTCTAATTCGTTGACGAACACTACACGATATGCCAGATTTTAATGAAAATGTTTTTCTTGCAATTTTAGTTGAACAACAATGCTGTTGATTATTTTCTCTTAATTGTTATTATGATAATCATATGCACTGATTATTTTTTGGAAAGAAAAACATAGAGACGGAATTATAACTCAGTCTGTTCTATATTTTTTCGACTGAGACTGCCATCCTACGTAAGAAAAAAGGAAGAGAAAAGGAAAGAATAAATTCTGTTCGACTGCCTAATAGTTAGGCAAAAAGAGTGTAGAGCATAGTAATACACACACACACACACACAACTATATTTGCTCAAACAAACAATTAAATTCATAGACAAGATTCGAAAGGATGTATCGAATGCGACGAAGAAGATATTTACTTGAATATGATCTGACAAGATTTGCTGTTGTGAGGATGTCTGTTCACTGTTCGATGCCATCGAGTTGAGTGAAGTAATAAATGACTAAGTAAATCTTTCTTTTTTTTTCTGTAATATTTTTGCCCCGGTTTTTTGCTTCTTCAATGAAACATGTCGGTATGATATTTTTCGTTGTCGTCGTTTACGTTTATCACTAGTGGAATGTTCCTTTAGGAGCTTGTGGTTCTGTCGTCAACGATAAGAAGTGTGATTCTCTCATTTTCATCTTCCGTTTTATCGACGTCGACGACAGAAGTTAGAGCGCGAAGAATGGTAGGAGCAATAGCATCGACGATGATGGTAACGGTTCTTTCTCTGGAAAAAAACCGACTGCTTATATTCCGTTTTTTCTTCTTTTTCTTTATTTTTTGTCGTTCTATGGCACGTTCAGAACGTCATTATGAGTTGCATTCCCATTTGCATGCATACTATTCGTCGTCGACGTCAATTGTTATTACTGCTAGGTCTGTTATTTTCCTCTAAACTCAACAAATAATGAATGTTGTGTGTAGAGCGTGTAGGAGTAGAAGATGAATACAGTGCAATCGTGATCGTTCTCTTTCTCTCGATGTAGAAATGACGTTCTCCGAACAAAAAAAAGAAAAATAAGTTGTCGCGTACTGTCAACGGATAGTAAAGACAGAGAGTTATTCTCTAATCTATTTAGAAAAGGCTAGATATGACTCTGTCAAACGATAACTACTTTATTTTTATGAAAATTGACTATAAACAAATATCATTCAATGATTAGAACAAGAAAGAAGCATCTCTGGTCGATGAGACACTTCGATATCATTTTAATATTGTGCCAAAGCGTTTGAACTCAGTGAAGTTTGCTGATCGTAGTCTGTATCGTAATCAGTTGCATTTGTGTTGATACCTGTTGTCGAATTAAACATTATCGATGTAACCGTGCCACCAAATAATTGTCCGTTGACAATGGTTCGATCGAGAAATGCATTGAGTCGGGTGACATTTTGGTAACGCGTGAATCCTAACGTAAAATCACCGATGATACTTCCATTACGATAATTATAAACGCTACACGTCGAATAAAATATAGCGTATTTCGTTTTTCGATCGGATAATGTTGTACTGATCTGAAAATGTTCGAAGTACAAGAAAAACGACGAAGACATATTATGAGAAAGGACATACCAGAGTACAAAATTCTCTTTCATAGTTTTTAGCCAATGTTGAAGAAGTGGAGAGAAGAGCAGGATCGAAACGTGCTCGTACAACTATACTACCAGAATAATAATCTGTTGTGGGATCTTTAGGCTTTCGAACTAGAAAAACAAAAAGAGTGCTTTTATTACTCAGACGCTTATTGATGAAGAAAGTTACCTAAAATAACAGCAACAACAATCGCTACGACGATCATAACTAGAATGGCAAAAATGAATAGACTAATAATGATTTGCCGACGTTTAGATTTTAGTTTCGACAACGGTGCCAAGGACGTCTCCTGTTCACTTTCTGTTCGTCCTGGTCGGCGGTAAGATGCGAGAACTTGCGAGACTTGTCCATCTTGAGCTCCAGTTACGGAAACAGCTGTTTGATAATACTGACGAGAAAGAGGCGGAGACTTTTGACCAATACGTGTGGCAATTCGTTTCCATTGTTCTATGTATATCGAAATTCAATCAAAGATTCTTTTTCTGCAATAGAACCCTTACCCGTATTATGTAAGCCAGGCATTTCGCTCAATTGCAGATCTGCCAGTGTCGTTTCTGACAAGAAGATGTCATCCAATGGCCGAGTTTCTTGTCGAACCGCTAACGGGTTTCGCTAATAACGAAATAAAAATCAGAGAATTGCAGTTTCTCAAGCGAATTACTCGATGAATTTTGTCACTATCCAACGATGTTGGCTCGCTATCATTCGAACCAGTGACATGGTTTTGCGTTTGTAAATTAAATATTTTACTGATCTTAAAATTGCGAAGAGTATCATCGATTGAAACACGTTCTCTACAAAATCCTCGATCGACAAATGAAGACGAACGCAGTTCTTCTACTTACGAACTTTTCATTTTAGTTGTTGATAACATGTTGAGTTAATGGGCAATTCTATTTTATGAATCAATAACAACGTTGCGACTCCTTGCACGTGTGTTTAGTCATCCGTAGATACAGAGTATACACCCAACATTTGCTTTTTCGTTCGTGATTTTTTCCTGTCGTCGAATTGCATTGCCTTACTTGAATGATGCACAATAAAAAAAATGAAACATTGATTCATCGAGTAAATAACTTGATGAGATTGGGCCGAATAGAGTTTATTTAGATGTCGTCAATGCTTTATGATTAAGTGAATTACCTGTGTAAGCGAAGAAAGGCGTATGCTCGTTCTTTGAAGGTAAATATATCGGAAGAATGAAAGTAAATAAGGACACCTGTGAATATCTATCGACTGGTCATCAAATTTACTATCGAAATGATTGTTTTTCATTGTTTTTTTCGAAAAATAAACTTGAGTTTTTCATTATTAGTACATAAACCACGCAAAACGTGATCAAGCTCTTCATTCTTCGCAGACATAAACATGTATACTTCATTGAACATTGAAGTACTTGTTGGCGTCTTTGCGACGCAAAAAATATGCTCATTCACGTGCCACTATGTAGGTTTGTTTCAACTGTTGACGTCATAACGAGTACCACTTAGCATTTTCAGCACAGATCGTAAATCCAATGTCACACGCTCGAGATCTTTTTGTCATTACACAGTAGTAGGATGATTTGCTGGTTACGATTGTTGTATATCGTCGCTCGATTAAAAATAGAAAGATCGGGACATTGCTCCCGTTGATGAACTCCAAATTCCTTTTTATGATAATGAAATGATCGAGAATATTCATTCAAGTTATCATAAGCAACACTGATGTTATTGTATGAGTGAGCCACATGGTATTCATTGAGAGTTGTACTTTGCTGCTCAATTTCGAGTGATTCATTGTACAAGTCTGTCTTTATTCGAACCAATTTGATGATAGACTGATGCTTTTTCACTGACATCTGTTATTTCCTTAAATAGCATGGAATGAATTTCTTCAGCTTTCCTATGTTGTTGATTCGTATCATTCAATATTAGACGTAATCGATACCAACATTTGACATAGGAAAAACGTGCTTCTTGGATGTATTTGGTGAGCGCATACGAATTCTTGTCATTATCACTGACCGCTGATAGTTTGACTTCATACAGTCACTCGTTCCCATCGACCGATTTGATATCACAAGTACGGGATACGCTGTGTATAGAAAACATCTCGAACAGAATTGCTATTATATCTGGTATATCCAGTAGTTTCATTAGAAAATTTATCAGAAACCTGGAGAATTTTACTGGCGGATAGTAAATTATTGGACGCCATCAATCCACGCTTTGTGCGCATGAAATTTTCAAAATCTGCTTATGATAAATAGTTAAGATTTGACATGAAGATCCTTCCAGATCCAAACATTGACACAAATACTTGATGAAAATTATCATTCATGTAATACCGTCACCATGTTCGTTTTTCATTTCCTTTTCATCAGCAGAAAATGTAGCTTTTCGAAGTAAATAGTAAGTAAGATCTTCTTGAGAATATGTGCTTGCATAAGAGATAGATGAGAACATCAGGTTTCAAACTACTTTGTTTTTCCGGACTTCGAGCGTAGATGTCCGTTATAAAAGCCATGACACGAAAAGTTTTGCAACCTTCGTCATGCAGTTCGTAAAGAGAAACTGTAAGTGAATTACCAGCATTTTCTAAATGGAGAAGAGTGTAAAATGAGCACTCACATGAATGAGGGAACTTCCTCGGGTACTAAAGACGTTTAGGTCGCATCTTTTGGCGATAGGTAAATCTCAATGAGATATGAAAAATCTCAAAAAGATTCTTGCGTTTAGGCCTTATTTGCCGACTCTGGACACCACTTTTGTCAATATCTACATCATTTCTAAGCAAACCATTTTCGAACGCTCGGTCACGCTGTTAGATGTTCGGAATGGGCGGTACGAAACGTAGTTCGTTCCTATTAGCAACGCATCATTCATAATTAATCAATATTAAATACGATTTTCTGTACTTCCTCGTTAAAAGTACATGAGATTGCAACGATAAGTCGTTGTTTTTAAAATCAACATAGGTTAGGTGAATGTGATATTGACTGCACATTCAGGTATAAGGTAAAGCATAATCACCAGCGGTATTTATACAGAAAAAGTACTATGAAGCCTTATTTCTACGCGATATGCACTCGTGACAGACGATTAAACGTTAGTAATTTCTCTTCCTAATGAATATAAAAGTGCGAGGATGGGCTACAGGTACTACATTCATGATTTTTCCTCGCTGTAAAGCAGAAACAACACCGATGCGTGATTTGGAGGAAGGAAAAGGAAAGAAAGATCAAGCGCCACCACCTGGCTGGGTTCCAGTGCATGAACGTCTTGAGAAAATCAACAAATATACGGAAAGAATATTCTCATATCCATTTAGAATATTAGAAACGGTTCTTGACAATATTCAAAGCTTCATTACTCAACATTCAGTGTCCTATTCATTTTGTATGTGTGCAACTATTTCTGTGACTGTTTCGGCTGCGACTATTGCTGTTGGAGTTGGGACTGGCGTCGGAGTTGGATGTAGCAACAACTAGCGACAATGTGAATCCTGTTAGGAAATACTAGAACAGTGATTTGACTTATTTTGTGATTTTCTGTTCTATTCTTGAATATTTGGAAATTAAAAAAAGCCTAAGAGTAATCGTAAAAGTCTAACTCTCGCACAGCAGTTGCATTTGTTGCATTTGTTGTATTTGTTCCATTCATAGTCGTATTCATGACAGCATCCTTTGCACACGTTAATCCAACACCAAGGCCAACGCCTAATCCAACACCTACAGAAGCAGATACTGTCACCACCGAGAGAGCAACCATTGCTGGACCGAATATACTATTCGTAGCGAGTAAAGTGGATAAGATATTCGTTATTCCAAGTTTTCCTAATATGTACATAGGAAAAGAGACCATTAATTCAAAGAGTAACTGCATGGATTTGTAAATTTCTTGGATGAAATCCCATAGAGACGGTGGCTTTTCTTGTCTAATCTTTGCTCGTCTTCTCAAATGATATTCCGTTAACATGATGGCTTCAAGTGATTGTATAAACGGAAGAGTATTCCAACCAAATTTCTTCTTTCGTCGATTTGATTTAGTAAATATCAACCGTCGACTACTAATTATCAATCGAAATTAATGTTACGGATCACTCGGCCCGAATAGTGCGCGAACGTCATTGAAAACATTTTTCTAAAGGAAGTAGCCATAAGAAGCGCTATTTATAAATATTAGGCTTTGATTTAACTCATTCATACCTTGTTTGATTGAGTATAGTGAGATACCTTTAAGGTGAAAAATGGTATGAACCAACATCTCTTCTTTCAGATGTGATAGTTAGTTGAAGGAAATTTCCATTCATGGCCTAGTAGCTATTTTCAACGAATGAAATGGACATAGATGCACAAGACGAGTATTTTCGATTCGAACGTTTTGGTATAATATGAACAAGTGAAGATAGCTGCCCATATCCTGATGGTTTGGTATCGTTCAAAAGGGGTTCTCGTTGTATTGTCACTCATTTTAATGAAAGTTAAGTTACGAGTGATTCGATTGTCAGAACAAATCTCCGAAGACAAAAGAGCCTTTTCACAAATCAAAATAATCATCAATCTCTCTCGCAGATTTCAGACTTCGAATTTCATCTCGACACTCGGCGACTTCTTACATTAATGAAGTGATTTGATCTGCAATCCAGAAATGTAACATAGTATTTTGACAGAAAGATTTCCTTATTTTAATGAATTATTTTTCTTCACATACGTTCGTTCACGCTTATCATCGATGATTTTGATAGCATCAGCACTCGAAGCACCTGATTCAACAATATAGAATTCTTACAAGAAAAACAACGACTCGGCCGCTGTTTTTCTGCCGAACATTTGATGAGGTTTTCTCCTCTTTTAGCGTATAGGTCAGTTTTCATTCGAAATCTTTGGAAAAAAGTCATAGATACGACGTATGTACGACCCATATAGATAATACCCGTGTCGCATTCTTCAGTAAATCATGCCCCGTCTTTTAATAAAAGAAAGAAAAAAAACGTCCATGGATGAAAATGATAGGTTTAAGCAAAAAAGTATGTACACATATGTATGCGTGTAGAAATATTATGAAAGTTGTGTTCCGGATGATGACTTTGTTGTTTGCATAGGGTATGTCTTTGCCAATATGGAATGTGCTATAGGCGATATTTCGTCTATGGTTCTTCTTCAATAACTTTCAATTCTTTTCGACGCTTTTCCTCTTCTAATCATATCAAAAGCAACGAATGTAAGTATTGTATTATTCAATCATTTCATGATTGCACTAACCTGCTTCTCGTATCCATCGTTCACGATTTTCCTTCAAATATTCTGTCCAAGGCCGTCGAACAACAGTTAGCCGAGATATGGGTGTTGTCATTGAAGATGGCTTTCTCTCACGTCTGATAGAAGAAATGAGATGAATGAAAAAGTGCCTCCTGCTCTTTTTTCGATCTTTCTTACCCATTTTCTAGTTGTTCATCTTGATGAGTACTAGAGTCATTCAGTGACCTTGGTGATGGTGGCGGTGAGGGTGACGAACTAACGCTTTTCGCTGGTATGGATGGTGATGGAAGTTCAGAATCGGGAACAGATAATGATTTCAAAATTTTCTCAAGCATATCACCCATAACAACGAACGAGGGCTCTACGATGTATTGAATAAAACCTAGACAGTACGAAGTAAATGAAAAGTGATCGTTTCTTGCTGTCGATTTGCATACCAATTTGAGACTCAGCAACAAGTGTATTATCGCGGTCGCATAATGGTGAGCAGGGTAAACCAAGTTCTTTCTCTTTTTCGCCTTGTTTGAAGTATTCTTCCATTAATGACTCCGTCCATGAATAATGAATGCTCCACGGTTTTCCCGGATGGCTGATATCCGCACTGTGCAATACTAATGCCAATGCTTTGGATTTTTCGATACTAGTATGGTTCAATGAAGAGATGCACCAGTCGGACAAACAAACGCAGAACTTACTTTTCCGGCATGCTCAGAAGACTCTTCATTGTTTTCAATTGAGCAAAATGTGAACTCATATCTGTGGCAAGAACCATTTCGATGACCAAATGACGAAAGTTTCTTTAGAAGACAAGAAATGAAGATCTGATTAAAAAAGTGCGTGTTTTCGTACTTATACTCATCGGCAGAAAATTCCGAAAGGATATTGTAGTCGTCGATACGCATCAGTCGAAACGCCGCACTCACATGATGGTTTTCCAAAACTGCACGATCGTTGTAAATTAAGGCCACGTCCGACCTAATGTGTTTGATCGATGAGAAAAGAATTCACAACTAATTTTAGACGCAACTCTGACATTAGCATAACATTCACAACTCGTTAGTTCGCTTCGAAGTCGATTTTCATACTGAGTGAAGTCTTACCTCGATTGTATATGGAAATTATTCGATGTTCCTGTGTGTTCGAAATCGTGTACGATGGCCGCGATGAACATAGCAAATAGTTCATGGTCGCTGAGCCAATTCTGCGGAGAAAGAAAAGAAAACACCGGTTCCAATCATACATAATCGTAGTTCACAAAGCATCTAAGTCCAACTACGCTAGGTACAAGCAAAAAAGAACTAATATAAGGATCGGTTGATTTTCACAAAAACTAAGAAGCGATTTAAACATTGAAACCCCATTGACCTCTACCATAAGACCGGAATTGTAGATGATCTGATAAGTCGTTTGAAGAACATCAGCAGCATGAATGAGATTATGGTATGGATTGCGGTATTTACTGTAACCACTTTCCATTTGTTCGAGAAAATTTTGTAATGCAGTTATTGAAATCTAGATGAACATAGATAACCACCGATTATTATGAAAAAGAAGAAAAGGTTTGCGGTGTTTTACATGTAGTTTATTCGGAAGATTATACCGTTGCATAAGTTCGAAACCCACATAACGTAAACATTGACCACTGGTAAATTCGTTGACAGAAAACACATCAAACGTCCACTCATTAATCGTCTATAAACAAGCAGATAGATATGAACGATATGGTTCGTATTCTTCTTTCCACGAGAACAACAATAACATGAAAAGCACGTTGATTATTGCTTGCCTTTTATGCAAAATGAGAGGGAAACTACCAGACTTACTTGCCGATGGATATCATTCGGAAGAGCCACAATATTCCGCCGTAAAATTCTAAAGGAGTTTCTCAATATTTTCCTTCCTCGTGACAGTGGACGATGTAAGCGTGTACTTTTATGAAAATGCGTGAGCAGAATTTACAAAACAAATGTGAAGTTGAAAGAAGAAGAAACATGACTAAAAAACAACTTCAATGGATGATATACCTTAAATTTTATATCGATAGACAAACGTCTTAGGTACCTAGAATAACACACACACGCACACGTATCAAACCGATCAACAGATATCAAACATTCAGATCAAATCAATCACATGCTTTCATTATCTGGATGAAAAATCATACCTTGAACTTCGCATGAAGACACCAATCTTTTACAACCCTGACAAACACGGAAAGTACCGATAGAATCGCACTGATAGCCGATTTGAACTTTTAGACGATCTTTCCTCATTTCTTTTTTTTTATTACGAACCTGTCTACCATAATTCCTGCGCGTATAGCCTGTGCCACACTCTTGAATTTCGGTTTGTCGGATGGTCGTCGCTTGATTGTGGACATTGATCGGGTGAATGTCATTGCTAGCCAGTCTCGCACTTCATTCGGTACTGAATCTGGCTCGATTTCCGACAATGCACCATCATCTTCTTCCATTAATCTTCTAGAAAACCGTATAAAAAGAAGAAACATGAATATTTGCATGCCTAGACATTTAGTTTGTCTTTTCAATGAACGTCCTACCATCACTGTCAAAATGATGATAGTAAGCATTCTTCTTTCTAGCGAAGAAAAGATAAATCTTTCCGTGCTAGAATAACTGATTAGAAATGCAAATTCGCCGATGTTTATGGTTAAGAAAGAGAATCTAAAGTAGATTAAATAAATCTTGCTCTACGTCTGTGTATTACCGAGTTTCATCTTGATGAACAGCTTCAAGAATATTGGCAACGTAATCCAGATTCCGGAGAAGATCTTCACGACACATGCCAATATTACAATGAAGTGCAGCAATTATTGTTCGTAATCTACGACGACGACATATTTATTCATAATGCTTTTTCTCTTTCTGAAGATAAAAAAAACGATATTGCCTACCTCTCACTACCGATTTGCAATGCATCGAATGAATCAGGTGGTGGCAGATCCTTTCTTTGGCTTAAGATGGCGACGTCATGCTCGATGATGTCATATGGTGTTTTGGTTGGATCACCTCCGTAGAGATGATCATCGAAGAGGTGATTTTCTCCACCGAACTTGGATTTGTTGGAAAAGATTGGTGAAAGATGGTCTGTAGACGACATAGGTTTTAATTCAGTTTTATCTCGCCAAAAAAAAATCAATGCTGTCTGCCTTTCCTCTCCAGCTCAGACTAATGCAAGTTGAAGAAGAATAGTAAATAGATTGTCATACAAATAACTAATAGACTTCGAAAAACGGAAATAGCTAACAGTATAGCCTAGTTATGTTTGTATTCTATCAATCTAGGAAATAGAAAAAGCTGTCGTCTTTCATTATTGATGTAGCTGTCTGACATCGAAGGATGTTCGAACTATTATTGTCAACATTGAAGACTGATATTCTATTGTCGACAGACAAACATCAAACTCGTTGTGACAACTAGACAAGATCGCGATGTGCTTCTCTGAGTTAATAACAACTAACCTGTATCATGATGTCGAACTGCCGATGTGCGCGTTAGCTTCGGTGATTTTGCTGAATGGTGATGATGATGTCGTTTGGCAGTTGATGAGCCGGATACTGAAATAAAGTGTGCAACGATTAGGAAATCAGCTGAGAAAAGAACGTAAATCGGATTTGAACTACTTTTGCTATGCATCAATAGCTATTCATAGACATAATTAATCACCTTTGATTGTTTTCGACGCTGAATTTGTAAGCGAAGTACCGATGATGATAAGCGACGATCCGGAAGTTAAGCGAATTTTTCGACCTGGCATTTCGATGGACAAGTAGGAAGTAGAAACATGTATAAAAAAAAGTAGATGTGTCGTTGTCTTAAACAGCAAAGAAGAAATATATTCGTCAGTCGGTACGCTCCTCTGAATAATATAGCCAACTCCGTGTGGTTGTTACGAAGAAAAACTCACATTTCAATGAAGATCAACACTCGAAGAATGGATAGGAAAGTGGGTAGATGAGCTAGTAGCACTACATCGTCAAAACATTATCTTTTTTCCGTTACACGACGATGAGGTGATGACGTTTTTCAGAAAGATTTACCTATGAAAATGGTGATAATCATGTTGAAGAATTTAGTGAAAAGAAAAAAAGAACGGAAGAATGAGAAAAGATGATTTTGTGCTCATCAGCATCCTTTTTTGTAGCAAGGATATAGAAATGAGGATGACGGTAGTATATTACCTGTATTCATCGGCAGCTGTTACTCCGTCGTGTTCTTCCTCTTTTTTTCTTCTTCTTCTTCTTCGTCATCGTCAGTTGAAAATTATCATAATTATGGAAAAGGAGAGAAAAAGGATATAAGTATATGAATGGCACGGCATCCCCCGTCGTTAATACACAGATATCTATAGTGACCGACTAAGTGCATCGAGAAGGTGAAGAAAAAGACTTTTTCTTTTTCTTCTTCGTCATAGAAATCAAATAAATTTATATTATTAGCCAAGTTTGACAAACTCTACTATCTGCAGAAAAATAGTATTCGAGTAATTAGGCAGAAAATCTTGTTTCAAGCAAGCTTTCAACATCAAATCTTCAAAAATCATTTCAGATTAGTTCTGTTTCCCTAGTTACCAGCTGCAATCCTATCAGTTACAAGAGAAAACAGACAACAATACTTGACTTTGTCGTCGGGTTAAGTGTTGTTCCTGGCAACGTACTCGAACATGACTAAAGTTGATCGTTTGGGACAGAGAAAAACATCCTAATTGTGTTTGAATCAAAAGATACTTGATATTGAAGAAGACATGCAAGATCGCAATGAACATGCCGACCTGAATCCGTAGTGGAAAACATACTTAGTTCTTGTGGTATTTATTTTGAAGTTTTTGTTCTCTATACAAATTTCAAAAAATAAAAACCAGCACACACACACACACACACAGAAAAGCATGTCGTATAACAACAATAATAATAGCAAGAAAAACAAGCCTACTGAAAAAACGATGTGTGAAATACATCGATTTTTACATTTACTAAAGTAAAACAGCACCAACAGCAACATAGACGCACACATCGGTGAGTTTCTCTTTTGTTTGTGTCGCGCATTAGAGAAAAGATGACATGGACGGTATAGAAGAGGAAGGTTATAATTTAGTTATGGTTTTAGTTGATGGATAGATGGGTCGATTCGACTTCGCTGTTTCTTTTGCTAATGACTGTTCATATTTAAAAAGTTCGGCAAGAGTAACATCCGTTGGTAGATACGTTTTCATTCCTGAATAAGATTCCAAACGTGAGGCAGCCATATTTGCCCGTGCTAATCGAATTGATGTTTCACTAGAAATTAGAGATGAACAAAATGTTAGCTGAGGATGTTCTTTTCTTCTGCTTCGTGTTTCAATTCTCAGTCAAGAATGAAGGTCATCTGTTATTTCCGAATTTATTTTTTTTTGCAACCAACACCATGCTTTGAGCATCATGCAAAGAATGTAAGTTATTAGTTTACCTGGCTTTAAACACATGAAAATGTAATATTTATGAACTAAAATTCGATAAAGTACGTCATTGGATGTGAATGAAACTTTTGTAGAACTCGTTCTTCGAAGTGTTGAAAACAAACTGAACGATATTTACCTTGATAAAAGACTTTCTCTTGCACGTTCGAATTGTGATGCGGATTCCGTATGCAATTGTTGAGAATCTTTCACTAGTTTATCTGTTTCATCCAGAATCGCCTGTTGACTTTTACTTAGACCTTCCATATGTGAAAGATTGCCATTCGTCAGTTTAGTTTCATAATTAGAAGTATTCGAAGTTGGATAGCGTGGTGTTGGTCGATGAATAGTTCGAATCATCTCATTTGTGTTTGTTCGATAGTCAGGAAAACGTGGAGGAAGTCCTGCTGGTTTCGCGGGAATTGATGTTAGGAATGAAACATCGAGTAATTGAGGATGACTGGCAATGTTCTCTTGATTGGCTTGTGTTGTCAAGTTTTCTGCACTTGTACTTAAGAATGATTGTAATCGTCGATTCGTTATCATACGCGGTGTATGTTCGAAACTAGCTGTCATCATTGTTGTTCGTTGTGTTGGATGAGTCTCTAGTGAAGATCTCTTCGACTCCAATTGATCAATCTTCATATCTAATTGCTTTTTCGATGCTTCGAGCCGCTGACGATAAACAACGAGATGTTGGCGAGTTAGTTCAGCCATATCTTCTTCATATTGTTGCATTTTTAATTTAACAGTTTCATTATCGACAGCTGCGGTGTCGAATGAAAGTGCACGAAGCAGAGCATCTAGGCGAAAAATGTCATATTCACAATGATTGCCGGAAGGAAAATATAATTACCTGTTTCTCCAATTATATAATTCAACTTGGCCTCGGTTAATTCAACCCAAATATTCGATCGATTCCAATTCAATGAAAGTAAATCAAGTATATGTGCCCTTTCACGATATAATTGTGAAATTTCTTGTTCAATGTCATTTGGTGATGTGCTCATATTCACATTATTGATGGTTGAATTTTCGAATGGTTCATTACCATCTGGCGACGTCTGACGAATGAGTGGCCGTGTGGTGATCTCCGATGCATCTTCACTATCGGACGAGGAATCTTTTTGATCGACTTGTAAAGCAATACTTGTTTTCATTCGGAGATTATCATCAACAAGAATGCCAGAATCAGCACTACGCTCCAATACTGCTGGTTGTGGTGGTGCGGGTGGTAGCATCGCATGGGTTTGTGTTCCATTTTGTGTTTTCATAAAACCGGGTATTTGATAAGGAGATACTTGGGTGTAGGATGTAACTGTTTCCACATAGCGTTGTAAACTTCGATCGTATTTCGTTGGTGGACTATATTGGCACGAGCGGTCAACTGTTTGACGTATTGTAATGGGCGATGTGCCTGTTGTCTGAAAGAGTTTCTCTGAAGTCGATGGAATGGGTGAAAGAGCAATTTCCTTGGTGGATGTTACTTGACTTTGATCATGTGAACATGTCAGACTGTCGATGGTGGATTGAATTTTCTTCGTAGGTTTGAATGGACTACGCCACGGTGTACTACTCCCATTGATGATTGTATGATCACGCCAAGAATCGATAACTTCGACTTTATCTTTCTTTCCCGGACAAGTCGTTCGATAATGTTCGCGATGTTGATTCGATATCGATTGAGTGATAGGCTTTTCTGATTCGGGCTGAAGAGTATTATTTGAGTAAACAGATCCTTGAGTTATAACAATAGATTCACATATCGAATTAAGCATGGTTGACGGACCATCGATATCGATCGAGATCATATCAGACTAAAGAGAAGTAAACAAAGACTGATCACGGTAGATAATGATCTTTACTTACTTCATCGAAATGTTTAGGATTTGTTCCTATAATTGGTATTTCAATTCCTCCATTCGTATGCTGGAATTGTTCATCTTCTTGTAAAGCATTATAACCATTTGTAAACAATACTGAACTAAAGATTTGATTTAACAAACGTTGTCCTTTAAAAGGTAAACGTATATGTGGATCACGTTCCATAACGTCAGGTCCGGCTTCGATTCGTTTGGTTAATATGACTCGTTGATCCGTACCTTGTCGATCGACGTAACCAATTTTGAAACCTTTGCCTTGCTTCATGATCTCTAAATCGGATACTTTATCAATTCGTTGAGGTTTGCAATGAATAGTAGAAGGTTTCATCGCGGAGACGGGTTGTTTGTTTTCGGGATGAATCGATTGTTGTGAGAGAAGTTTCTCTGTTGAAGATTTGATACGATCGAGTTGACGAATTTCATCGACAATTGAAGTTAAATTTTCTATATTACACGTTGGATTCGGTTCAGCTTTATCAAATATGTGAATATTAATAACTTCTTCTTGTTGATGAACAAGAGTTTTGTTAGCTGAATGATCTAAATGTGCTAAACGATCAGCAAGATCATCAGCATCTAGATTGATATCGAACTCTTGATCGATTGTGATATAATCTTCCTGAACGAGTGGATGAACGACTGTCTGATCAGTTTGTTGAATGAAACTCGTCGAATCGAGATTTTCCTTGTAGGATGCTGCTGGTTCGATCTGATCGATTACATATGTTGGTTCATAATCAAATGATTGTATAGGAATAATCGATGTTAAATTGTCAGACAAAGTTGGTGCATTCATCGATTGCTCCCAGATTTGATTATCAGCATCACAGAAATGCATCGATTTCACTTGCTAGAACAAGAAAACGAAACGAATCTCGATCGTGTTATCAATCACAACGAATTTGACATACTTGACTTTGATCAGGTGATAAGGGTCGACTATGTATTGATGAAAGCGGTCTCGAACGTGGTGATGAAAACTCCGAACCAATCATTCCGTGATCATCATCACTTATATGGTACGGATAGTTTTCTTCCGAACTTCCCTTATTCAGCTGATGTTCTTGTTCGAATATATCATCACTGTCAATACTGGACGCATATTGACTGGCGCGTGAACTTGGTATTGTCGAGAGAGAATGTGGTCGAAACTTAGCTAATTCTAAATATGTATCTTCGATCTGCATGACATCGGGAATATCGTCTTTATCAAACGTAATCGATATGCTTAGAGGCTTGTTTTCAATTTCGAATATAGATTCTAAATCATATTCATCATTCGTTAATTGTTCATGTTGCAATTGTGAAAAATTAAAAACATAATTTAATGGTTCTTTGATTATTGATGTGGATGACGACGATGTTGCCTGTGTTGACGGTGGTGGTGATGGTGTGGGAGAGGGAGGGACTTCATTAAGAATTTGTTCAGCTTCTAATGACTGTATACTTTCAAGATCGGATTGTACCGATGTTGAAATGACACGATCAGCAAATGGTTCAGAGATGTCCGCACCTTGGAGAAGACCGAGATTAGCGGAATTTCTGATTGATGACGATTGTTTTAATAAGGACGTGATATCGAATGATTTCGATCTTGATTTGCTAATCGATTTCTTTTCGACAGTTGAAAAAATATCGTTGTGACTACGCGATTTTTCCATCATCAATTGATTCATATTCGAATAAGAACTCGATAAACTGATAATATGTCGAAGTTTATAATCATCCAGATCACCTTCATCTTTTTCGCTGAATGTTACATCCAGCAAAGATAGCCACATTTGTTCTAGCGTTTCATGTGTGATATTGAGATGAGCATATGCATCAAGCGTTGTCAGGGAGTAGGAGCGTCGGTGCATAGATGGTTCGTTAGATTTCAAAACTAAATTTGGACATGAGCCAGACGAGTGTAAAATTTGGGGTGAATAGTAAAATTCGTCTTCATTATCACCGATGGTTTGTGTTTGATGAACAATACGAGGTGAATTGTTATCGTTCTCGGCTGGTTTATCAACATTTACCGACGAGGGCGAATTGTCTTCCAACCATTCACAACGATACTGTTCAGCAAGATGAAGAGCAGCAGAACTCCCAAAAGCTTTATAATACATGCCTAGAATAACAGATACAGAACGATTCGATGCTGTGAAGAGGAAAAAACGTATCCAACAGAGCGCAGTATTTCTTTTCGGATCAGATTTCATTTCTCACGAAGAATTCATCGTTAACTCGCTGTTGATTAGAAAAACGTCAAGTTAAGTTTATTTGCCGTAACCTTGACGTTTAGAAAAAGAAAGTTCTAATCTTCTTTGTCTCATCAAGTCCTACCGCGATGACGCACATGAACTTTAGATTTCATGACTTGTCACTCGGGATTTCACCTTGTCGCTGAACGATAGCAAAATCTCTTGAGCTGTTCTTTTTCGGATGAGGAAAAACAACAAATTACCAGTTTGTTTTTCTTTTGGTATGAGATGTTCCGAAGAACTGGATGAGATGGTTCGATGGACGCTCTTCTCATCTTCCGTGGAATACAATTCATCATTGATACAGATCATTGTATCATTGTTTTGCATGGTTTCATCGTCAATGTAACTATCCAAATCGACTGCTAGAATGAATACAGAAAAACATCAAATGAAAGCATAGTCATAATAATAATAAAAAAAAGCAAGAATCCGAATGACAGAGAGAACGAAATTATCTCTCTTTCCTTTATTTTAACGATCGTAAGCAAAAAGCCGATTATACTCAAGCTGCGTTAACGCGTCGACGCATATACCTTTTTGTTGTATTCTCTCATTACTTTGTGTGCCATACGCGTGTTTCGTATCTCATTTTTAACATATTTGTGTACGTATGAAGTCTATTTTAGACGTGCTTGTCTTTCTCTAACACGTCCACATTTATATACTTCATTAGCTGGTCAATGCATATAGACAGAGAGACAGAGAGAGAGAGAGCGTGATGAGCTCTTATCGAAGGGCGAGAACACATTGAAGGATTAGTTAATAACCAATCAATTTAGATTGAATGGGAGTGAAACAAACGGATGGACATTGTACACATGTCTAATGACATATCTAGACATCTCACTAAAGTAATTCAAGGATAATTGAGCTGAAAAAAATCCACGCGTGACTAGAGATATCTAAGATAATCTCTCCTTCTAGGTAGAACTTGCCTAACAGGATGTGTAGCCTTTGATCGGTTCGATAACTTTCGGAGAAAAAAAAATCTAATTTACTTTTATCTTGAAGTTTGTTCAATGGGACAATTCGTTCTTGGTCATCGTCATTATCCGATATTGGCGGTCGATGAAAATTGTCATCAGATAAATCCAGTGCGGAATCTTTCGAATAGAAATTTGATGAAAAGAATTGATTGGTTTTGGTTAGATCATCGGTGGATGATGTGGCCGTGTCCATTTGCTGATCCGAAGGAAGAAATGAATCATGACTATGCGACGAACATTGAAATTCTTCCGAATTCGGCAATGATGTCACATCATCGGTATGCGTTTGTATGTGTTGTTTAGAAATTTGAGTCTTGTTAAGTTCAATAAAATTCTCTTCATCATCATCATCGTCGTCGTCGTCGTTCTGTACACGTTCGTTATTCATCAGCTCTACAAATACAAAGATGAAGAAGACAAAATGAAAATACATTTACATCGGACAACTTAGATGTGCGCATTTTCAAGTATTCTTCTTCGGGGCTCTAGTCGCCTTTGTTCAGTCACCTCTTGTCTAAGTACTCGAGATCATTATTAAACAAGACGGAGGGATTTGTGTGTCTGATTTTTGATTGAAAATAATCATCAGAACTCGAATGTTAGCTTTACTCTTTTACAGCACATTGATTACTTACATTGTCGAAAGAAATGACCTCCTTCATGATTGAACAGTTCAAAGAATGCATAGAAGAAGAAAAAAGCGACGAGGAAACGTATATCGTTTGCATTTCGTTTCTTCCTCGTTCATTTTTTTTACATTCTCACCTTGCTGTTCAAGAGCAATGACACATACGTGTACATATGTCATTCATTTTCTATATTGGTAATAATAATAAAAGCTCACCTTGATCATCATTTGCAATCGATGATGTGATTGATGATAATAATGATTTTGATCGTTTTGTAATGGAAAGAATTTCATTTTGTTCATTTGTTATTGAAGGATTGATCTTCTCATAATTGCTGTCGATAATATATGTATCGAAGTCGACCTTTTCACTGCTGAAACTCGAACTTGACATGTCTAAAAGAAAGCTGAAGTTGAAGAAGAGAAAGGAAAACGTGTTCACAATGTTTCTTTTGTTTATTCATTAAACTATCATTGCCATCTAGTGCGATTGTTCATTGTTCTCACACTCATTTTTCTTCTCGCTAGCCTTCATCGATGCATCTGCGTACGCCTTAGGATAGATTTGTCTTTGTCATTTATTGAAAAAAGACGGTCAGGTAGAAACAAAGAAAAATATTGATTCTAATTTTATTGAAAAAAAGAAAGAAAGAGAGAAAACGACTCTTTGCACTAATTATTTTTAAATAAATTTCAACAAACGAATAAAATTTGCTTGATATGCATACAACTGTACATAATGTCGAGTTACGCATTCTGTTCTATTCACTATATGACGCATGAAATTCCAAGGACGTACGGAAATCAAGTTATTCGCAAAATGAAAACAACAACAATAACAGTCATAACGAATTTCTCGAGTTACTACACCGATACAGTCAAAATCGGCTATGCTACTAACGACTCTACGAAGAAACGAATGCATCCATATCGGAAATGTTTCACTTTGAATGTGAACATATGTGTAATATCCACTTGACACCTTTTTCCGCTTCTGTTCTCTCCATCCTGAAATCATTCATAAAGCTTCAATGACCGTATTGTACTCGATGATAATTTAATGTAGTGATTGAAAAGTCTTGCAATTAGAATGCGTCAGATGGAGTTCCGGATGTTTTTCTTTCACTATTCAACGAGCGGGGAAAGAGAAAGCTTTTGCAACCAATTTTCGACAGTGTTCATAATTAAAAAGTGTTACTAAAGTGAGCGATGAGTGTGAAAAGGTTTCGTGCTCTGAATTATGTTTTATCTGCCAGAACGAAGCAGAAAACGAACTGTCGAGGTCCTCATATTATAACTAAATGTTATCTCAATGCACATATCCTTTCATCTTGATCGAGCACATTAATCAAGATTTCTGTCATGACGTTCCTCTAGTGTTTTTTGCATTGTTATAATGAACAAGCAGACTGGCGTAAGCAGTATCTAGTTGGCTTAGAGCAATTCATACTAACCATAACTTTGAAGAGAAGAATGATCCGAGTCGAGACTAGTTCGCTCCATTGCTGAACTGTTCTCGACGTACTCAGAAGTCATCGGCACCATTGTGTTGTATATTGTGACAATACTCAGGGTTATTCTATGTCTACTGTCCTCGAGACTTGAATACAATACCTTGGTACGAGGCGCCAAATAACTTTATTACTCAGCCGAAACGGATGGCACAATTTTTCTGAAGGGCAAGTGGTAAAAAACAATTAACGAGACCAATTCAAATGACAACTATCATCAAGACAAACACGCAATATGTGTTTTCGATCTTCATTATCAATCGATATTATTAAAATTGAAAGAAAATTGTGTACATACCGTTCAGGCTTTGTTCATCATCATTGTTCGATGTTGATTGTGTTGGACAGAAGTCGATACTTTCATCTTTAGATAGATTTCGATTTTCACGTACAGTGACAATCTGGGATGACGAAGATGTGTTGATCGTACTCTGAGAACCATGGATGGATACGTCGGATGACGAGCGACTTGTTGATATTGTCTCATAGGGAGTTTGATCAGCTTCGGAAAGAAATGTATTAAATGCACGATTGATCCATTCACCAAAGGATGGTAATTTGAATTCAAATTCAGGAGGAATTGATGATGGAGGTGGTGCGGGTGGTGTTGGAGCAGAGTGTGTTGTTGATGATGCTGTCGAGGATTCCGAAATGATTAGATATTCATTGAAATCATCTTTTCGAGCATCATCGTCTTCTTCATCAGTGATACTTTCAAGTTCATAACCGCTATAGAAATCTTTCTCAGTTGTTAATTCACTTTTTGCCGAAAAAAACATTTCTTGTTCAGCTGTATAAACTGACGTCGTCGGTTCACTATTTTCTGCGGTGAAATGAATTAATGGCGATTGGAATTCTGTATTCACTAATGAGTCGTCGGATATGGTTAAATTGTCATTATGATTTGTGATTTCTTCCGATACTGGTTCATCGAGAAGAGCGTTCAGATTCGTTTGATTAACATCGTGTCCCCTGTTTACTTCAATATCAAAAGACTGTTCCAGAGATGATTGGTTTGAATAGGTTCGAGGCGTTGCACCATTTCGACTTGATTGATCAAGAGTTTCAGAACAATGTGAATTGAATTCGTCCACGTCTTCGTCTGTACTTGCATAGGAGATTTGCTTGGACTTCGAGATCATGGCTGGATTGGATAAGAAATGACTGTTGTGTTCGGACTGAATCACAGTGTGAAGTGTTTTATATATATCTGAGTGAATGATGAAAGGATCAGGCTCAAGAATTTCGTCTGCTTTCGCGTCGATCTTTTTTGGCCCATTCTCTGGAAAATCATCGATTAATAGACGTTCTGTGATACCCTGAAATCGAATACCTTCGTGAATGTGATCGGTTGTCTTTGTCAGATGTTCTTGATGGAGTACGGGTGGCGCCGAGAGATTTTTTTCGTCACTCGATGATCCACTATCTGTGTTACTATCTGATCCATATTGCGTGCGATATCGTCTTAGTAATTGTTGATACTTATGTAGACGATCGTCGCTATGTGATTTAACGATGGAATATCGCCGATGGTTTCCGTCACCTCCCACAGCCCATTGAATGTTTTTCGTATCATTCAATAGCGATGGTTGACAGCGTTTTGTCGTTGTTATTGAGATGATATGTCCCTGAGAATTTGTTGGAGTTCTATTCTGTTGGCTGTCCGATGGCAAAGAAATGATTTGAAATGCTGATCCTGTCGAATTCAGACACGATGATGTGAGTATTGACTCAGATGATGGATCAAAATTCTGCCAACAATCAATCTGACCACATTGTAATACGATATTTCGGGATGAAATTGGTATCGATGGTCTCTTTTCATCGATGATAGGTTGAACTTGTTCAATTGAATAGCGTGGGTAAGTAACTCGGTCAACATCATCGTTGCCTGTCGATGCATTTTTCCAAACGCATGTTATTGTTTTTGTTAAACCGAATGAGTTCGTCGGGTGTGTTTTCTTTGTCAATTGAATTAAGTAGAGTGATGGCGCGGGGGTGGAGTGATTCGCTTGATCGTTTGTAGATACATACGTTGATTGAGTACGTAACGGACGATTTTGTTTAGGTTCAGATAACGAATCATCCGAGAGCGATGAGAGAACTTGCGTAGGTGAAGAGACCCGATACGAACGAGATTTTTTCCGTAGAGGAACACCTGAGGTTGATGATGACGATGATGACGAAGACGAGACATCATGGGAGGACGAGGTGGATTTTGAAGAGCGTCCTAGGCAGAACGAAAAGAATAAGTCACGTCATATATATAGTGGTAAGAAGATGTTGAAATGCATGGTCTAGGTCAGTGCCATCATCTCGAGTGCTTTTACTAAACGCACCCACATCGATTTCAATTATTTCATTGTCAAATCAGACTCGTCATCAGTCAAATTTTTTCTATTGATCGGATTATAATCGAAAACACTTGAGAAGTCGTTTTCGCTCATCTGAGTTTTATTCAATGATTGACAATCGATGCAAATATAAACAATAGAGACTGGGCATTCAAATCGTCAAATATGGACAATCAGAGGACATTTCTCATGTTTACTTGAGGATATATCTCACTTCTATCTTCACCCTACTACCTAGATTCAACAACCTTCAGTAAACAATCGCAAGAGAAGATGTAGCGAAAAAAAAGAAGAAGAAGACAAGCTGTTTAAGATACTCCCGATGACAAACAATCGAACTTACCGCGAAGAACAAGTACCGTCTTGTTGAAAAATGTCCCAATCGAAGGTAACATATCTATAACCGATCGATCGGCATCCAAATGAAATCTTTCTGTTCAAATCAAGTCAAATTAGAACAAGAGCAATATTTCGATCGATTAAATAGTATCGTACAAAATGTAATACATAATGTTAATAGTATTCATTTATAGTCGACACCGCCTCCTGGGTAATGACATTAGGGTAGAGAAGGGAAAAAAAAGAGAAAACGACTTGATCATTGTTCATTGTCTACTTCTTTTTATTCTCTCATTTTCTTCTCTCGTTCTTTGGTCATCAAGAGAAAGAGACTTATGTCCACAAACGCATACTTATGATTACTAATTACAAATAGTAGTCTTTTCTCTCCCTCTCTCTCTCTCTCTTCATGATCAACTATAGTGAAGAGAAAAGAAGTCAATCTTCTTAGATTTGTTAGATTGACTTCAGTCATGAATAATTTCTAATTCTCAAACGTGTTTCTCCATGTATTTGTCTTGATCACCTGGATCGATCTATTCATGCAAATATAGCCAATGATGTGCAAATAGTAATGGTTTCTACCTTCTGTCATCAGTTGCTCTTTTGTTTTACTTTGATCAGATTACACGACTATATGGACAAACAGAATTTGTCTGACCGGAAACAACTAAACATTGATAGAGTTCTCGAATATCTCATTTCACACTCGGACCTCTTTTTTTTCATATGTAAATATGTTGATGATGAAATAAGTACATCAAAAAAAGAAAATATCCGATCGACTTGCATATGAAATATATGTATATTTCTTTCTTTCTTTTATTCTTCAACGCAATCATAAATGAATTTCGAGTCGAGTGATTTGTTTGATAATAATCGTTAAAATATTCAAAGCTTATTCTCTCGAACAAAATTTCGCGGTATTGATTGTAACGTTCGTTGTTCTATAATTATTCATCCGCTCGTCTACCTATTACTGTATTGTTCAAGAAAAAAGAAATTTGTAATAAGTACCTCGTGTGAGAACACCATATATGATAATGTTGTCGATAGACATGATAACAAATTCAATCTACTTATAGTAATATCAATGAGAGAATTAGTGCGATTTGGAGTAATTCGAGAAGGAACTTTATCGGGAGTCGCTTTTTTTTGGTTATTGATGAGGTATATTTGTGTTTGTCATTACTAATCCGTACTTCACCGAATTTGCAAATAGGAGGATGATTTCCTACGAAACAAAACAAGCTATTCGTTACCTTCTCGATATCGACATCGGCGTTGTCGTTTGTCGATCGTTGTTGATGAATGATTATGCTTGTATCGTCGTTTTTTCTTCATGCCGATCAAAGTATCCATGTGATTGTTCTCGTTATCGGACATTGTCAAAACCGTTTGATACGTATCATCATTTAAACTAAAATATTAATAAGAAAAGAAAGATTTCGGTTTGATTGTTCGTAGCATATGTTTTTTTATCGTATCAATTCGGCGTCTGATCAGAGATAGTTCGAATTACCTGTTAATATGAACAGATTCAAATGAAAACGCATGGAAGAGTAAGCAAAAAAAGCGAAAAGAATGAAGTAAGAGGTTTTTTCCTCGTCATTGTATATATATGTAACTTCTTTCTTTTTACTCTCTTAACTGCGAAGATTTTTCAAGTGTTCAAAGTAACATCGACCTTCTCATATTGTAGAATACGAAGAGAAAATATCAAGCTGACTTATTTACTAGTAGTTAGTAGAGTGTAATCGTGTAAATTGAACAAAAAATTTTTTCGTTACTGCCTGCTTTTGCATAACTAACGTGTGCATTTTCTCTTTCTCTCTCCTTCTGTATCAAAGAAGAAGCCGTGGAAGAGAATCGTGCATATGAAATTATTTATTTTACAGTTCTCTTCATTTCACAGACAACTTGTGAATTGAAATACAAGATCGTAAGTTTATCTTTGCTTCGATTTCTTCCCAATAGAGGAGAAAATCCTTGAAGCAATACACCTTTTCTCTATAATCAATGTTAGCAAAAAAAACACATTCATATTGTGACAAGTGAGGTTGTTTGTTCACAATTGAGACTCTCGTCTTCATCTGATCGAGCTTTCCAGGAGACTTTTTTGTTTGTGTTTACAATATAAATAAAAATGCCAAGATCTATCGAACGTTTAGTCTTTCGTTAATTATCTTTGAATATTCCGAAATAAAAACACGCGTGTTTAAACAAAGAGAGCAGCGCGTAGACTAAACTTGAACATATTGTTCTTGGCGAGAAGTACGAAGATTTCAAGAGAAGGCAAGGTTAGATGTACACACCTTTTCAATTGATTTTTATGATGGGATTAACAAAGAGATATAAATACTTCTCTGTCATAAATTTATGACGAAAAAAAATCTTGTGCTTCGTTTGATTAGAGATTGAAGCCTTAGTTGATTTGCTGAGTTTCTATGTGCTCATCAAATATATAAATAGAACATGCCTGACAATTGATTACCTATCTATTTCATATTGAGTGTCGATGGTCGGCGCAGGCGATGATGAGTTGTGCAACAGAATCAACCGTGGAATTTTACTCGCAGGAGAAGTTGGTAAATGAGATCGTGTTATCAGTGAGGAAGAGGAGGAATATTCACTGGTGGGTGTTGATATTTTCACAGGAATTTTGGATTTGAAATGTTTGCATTTAGGAGAATCTGGGGGAGATTTATTTGTGTTGAGTAGCAACGGTGATGAATCGTGTGAAGCAGCACGTCGTTTGTCGAAATTGGGTTGTTTAACTGCTGGTTTGATTTGTTGTGGATAATGACGAAAATTCGGACATGTGGGTTCGTGCCTATGATGATGATGATGATGATGAATTGTATGTGCTGTTGAATTAGGTAAATCTTTTAATGATTCACATTTGCATGTTGCGCAACGTGGACACGGAGGAACTAGAATGCGTTCGTAACCTTGTAATAATGGATCACGCCAATCTCTTAACGTTTCAGCAAAAACTAAATGTTCATTCGAAGGTGTTGCACGAATATTGAATAGTCCTTGTTCGGGATTTGTTCCTGATTCAGCCATTGAATTTGATCTTACTCGTCGTTCTACACCCTAAAAATATGTTTAGACGAGGTGTAATGTTCATATTCAACAAAGGTGTGTATGTATGAAGAAAGAACAAAAATTTCAAAGTAATTGATTTGATTCTGAACAATGAAAAAAAGAACGTCGAGCAAGTTCAATTGTTATCTATCATTCGTACTTATGTCTTCAGGGCCGAAGTGAACTTTTGCCAGTCAAATTCGATCGTTAGGTAGTGTAATTATCATAACAGTTATTCGTTCTTTCTCTCCCACGCTTCCATTGTCCTTCTTATAGGTATATATCCGATCTTTCGTCAGGTAGAGCACGCACAGTAGAACATAATACAGATCTCATGTTTATCGATCCCTTTGAGATAGAAAGATAGCATGATTTCAAAGTACAATCTTGTAATGAATGAGAAAAGAAACGACGAAAAAACTTATGAATATATTCAACGTTCATGCGTCCGATGCGCTTTGAAATCATACTTATCGAATGGAATCGGAAGAGAAAACATCTGGGTTATTAATCAAAACGCATGTCGTTCGCAGTCAGTCTAGCCTACCGTTTCACTTCCGTCGAGATGATTATTTAATGTCTATGGAATAAACGATTTCCGAGCATGAACGAGCCAATTGAACTCAATCGATTTATCATTTCAGAGACGTATATGATAAAAAAAAAAGGTAAATGAAATAAAAGAAGAGAGAGAAAAAAAACTAACAATACTATTCAACACTGTCATTTTTTCTCGCTCTCTTTCTCCTCTCCCTTGCGTCAGCTACTAATGATCGAATATTCTCCTGAGGATCAACAATGACATTATTAGGTTTCTCTCACCTTCGTTTTCTTTGTCTCACGATTCAACCGAAAAATCAATAAAATCGAAAATTTGTAGCAAATCGATTCTGATTTGCTTTCTCACTTGAAAATGTAAGAAGAGCGAGGAACGAATGAACAAAGAAGTATAACAAAACTCTTCCTCTATTCTTCATATACTCTCATGCTTATGCGTCAAGTGCTCGAAGAAAAACAATGAGTGGCACTGATACGGTAAACTTCAATAAAGACGAAAAGACCGATGGACAATGGAAAAAGACAACAAGGGGCGGTGGACAATCGGTATGATTCTTACGTCATGTACTTGAGCATATTTTTCTTTGCATCTATTACAAAAGATGATTTATTAAACTATATAATATCATTGTTTATACTCTTATTCAACAATGTGCCACCGAGAGAAAAAACATCGAAGTGGAGAAAAAAAAAGAAGGAAAAAAGATGGTTTAGAAACAGTGTGTCAAAATATAAACAGAACAAACATACGGCCGAGATTTTAACCGTTCATTAATCGAGAGTCTTCTCTTTCTTCCACTTTCATGCCTGAGAATTATGCTACCGTCGATGGAGAAGGATGAATGAGCAGTGCCTACAATCACTAACAGAAAAAGAACGAGAAAGAAAAAAAAACGTGTGTTATGTGAAAAAGATTTTTCTCCCCTCTTTTCTCAAACAATGGTACTACCACCTGATCAATGTTGGTTTGATGATGTGAGCAGTGTATATAGTGAACATATTGAATTGCTTCATAGGCCTAACATGTCATAATGAAAAGAATTCTGTGTTATTTTAACTGAAGTGAAGTGGAGTTAGTTCCGTACATGCATACGCATACATGTATATCAATCATATGAGAAGTAGAAGAACATTTTTCATACACTTGTTATAGTTCAAGTACTTTGCTGTCGTTTTCTCTCTCTCTCCTTCCTTTTTGTGTGTGTGTTTCTAATAGTGATCAAAATACCTTGTACTTAATCATATTAGTCGAATCTGACATATACTTCGATTGAATATATTCACCAAAGGTCAGCAATGATTGTGCATATAGTATGAGATGATTATTATTATTATTAGGAAGTATAGCATTAGAAAAAAAAAGTGTCATTTGCTGGTGTCAATAATCGAGTTTGTATATGTAACTTGCATTATTACGCCTTTCTTTCTACCTTTTCTTTTCATCCAAATACGCATTTTTATGCCGGTGAATCAAAACGTACACACAGTAAAAAAGTAGACTACATTATCGATATGTTAATACTGCTTAAACTTTGCTGTAGTCAAAAGAATGTGTGTTTCGTTATCGATTTCTAACCTTGATAACGAAAAATACAAATGGAGAAACGATATTTATTTTCATTGATTCGATCATGTCTGGATATGAAAGTGAGAATCGAATAGAAAATAGTAAATCGACACAGATGATTTCTGCGGTCGTTGTGAAAAAGGATCTTGCGGTAAAAAGGAAATTATAGTACACATCGAGGCTCGATCAACTTCCGGCTTCGATTATTTATCTCTGACAGTAATGTGTTTTCAATGTCGAATTATAACGGAACTCAATCGATTGAATGAATCGCATCGCTTTCATCTGTACAGAAGAAAATGCATTGTCGCCGGAGATTTGCTAAGATCTAGTGCAAAAGATGCTTTGTATGTAGTCACAAATATTTCTTGAATGAAAAGTATATGTTGGTTACATTACTGGTACTGTCATCGATTTTCACAAACGTCAAGCAAACTAATTTTAACATACAAACAATCGAATGATTGAAAATTGTTTAGAAAAATGATAATCGGTATATCTTAATTATGTAGGATCAACTTCAATCAGAGTTTTCTTTTCAAACAGTGCTTCATGAGCTTCTTCTTCTTACAGCCCAGTTTGTTCCTAGAAAACAACGAAGAAAAAGAATAAACTCGCAGAATAATATAAACACACTTGATGCGGTTTTGGTCAGTGCAGACGCGCGTAATTTTATATCCGAATGTTTTTAATCGAACTATCAAGTTCTTATATTTACCAAACATATGCGCTAAAAGATGATGGAAATAAATAAACAAATAAATTCTCTTTAACTATCAATTACCGGCACCAATTGCGAAAAAATATCGATTTTTATTCGAACGATGCAACAATCGATGAATGTGTTTCGACATTTGAGCGTCGCGTTGTTCCAGACTTTTTCGTTCTTCGGGCGATTTTATCAGAGTTTCAATGTAATTCCTATCGATTTCATCACAAATGTACTTTTTATTTATTGATTCTTGAAGATAATCTTGAGCATTGATGATATTCGACGGTCGACTTTTCATTTCTTTCCTAACAACATTCAAAATCAATTGCCAAGTGCTTATATTATAACGCCAGCCTTCATTCTTTCAAAAGAAATCCACTGTATTCGATACACACAGACAATGATATCGGTATACCTCACAATGATATTCGGCTGGTTCTAGACTTCCGACAGTTTTGTTTAAGCGTCGTGCTTCTTCCGCAAGATGAATATCGAACAAATCGCCTTCTGCCATCGGTTCATCTAAATACCAACGGAAAAGATTCATTTATTTCACAAATGATTTTTCTATTGACTTGATCGTCGTGCACGAAGTGAACGATTGAGTAAACATTGATGAAACTCGTCCCAGTACGCATCGTTTTTCGCGTCGATTTCCGCGTAAAAATGCGTACTAGACTGGAACGCTTTCCTAATCTCATTCGATACGTGCGACGAAACGAGATTGTACGGGATATGAATTGTACCCAAAATATATGCCGGCGGTGACGTTTCAATCCGCCAGAGTAACGTTGCTGAACAAATCTGTTGTCAAACAGAACAAAATCACCTTTTTGGTTTTAACACAAAAAAGAATCACAAAACTAACCGAACAATCAACAAGTAAAACAAAGCCCAAAACCAAGTTTAGCATGACTGCAACTGTTCCCTCACTCGAACCGACTCTATCATCATGCTTATCTCACCGTCGATAGATTTGATTTCAACAAATCTTAATAACATTTTTCTTCTTGTTCCCTTACCCACCCCATCCTATTATTTCTGACACATGCATATCTTGTATAAACACAAGGAAGTAAACGCGTCTAGTATCCCATGGACACATCGGACAGATTATTTATACATACACATTCCCGTTCACGTCGACGATGATGTAAATCTAAAACGTTTCTTTCTTTCTTTCTTTCTTTTAATCCATTGAACTAATCAAATATATATGTCTCGGGTATATTTGATAGTCAAACAAAGTTCATTTCTAAATCGATCATTGTTGCTATCAGTCTCGATTAGAAAGACATATCGAATGTTNACAAGATATGCATGTGTCAGAAATAATAGGATGGGGTGGGTAAGGGAACAAGAAGAAAAATGTTATTAAGATTTGTTGAAATCAAATCTATCGACGGTGAGATAAGCATGATGATAGAGTCGGTTCGAGTGAGGGAACAGTTGCAGTCATGCTAAACTTGGTTTTGGGTGTGTATGTGTACAAATTCATAATTGAGCGGAAATAATGTTTTCACACCAGCAGGGGCGGAGAGATGATGGCTATTCCTTAATGCTTACTCAAACATAGGACAGAAACGAAGGGATTAGATGTCGATCTGACACTTTGCTAATCTGATTCGAGTAGAAAAACTGTTCGCTTGAAATTGTTTATCAGTTTCTCATTTGCATAAACAAGTGTTAATTGATTGAGTGTGTCTTTCTCTTCAAGCAAAGACGGAGACGTTCGATCGATAAAGACAAAGTCATGCGGAGTTCATAGAAACGTTACTATCAAAGAGAAAAGTGTGACCGAATAACATTAGAATGATAATTTTCTCACATGCTTTTGATACCACTATAATTAAATTCATTAGAAAAGATACGTAAACGGAGATTTTTTTTCATTCTCTGATCATCAAAATGGAAAAAGAAGAAGAACCGGTAGGAGGAAGACGAAGTAAAAAACGAGTTAATTAGAAATTTGAAACTTGTCGAACATGTGTGCTGATTTTTAATTGTTAAATTGACAGATTCGTGTGAGTAACGCGTGAATAACAAAAATGATAATAAATCAACCAGACGGACAGACAAGTGCTCGATAATCGTTGAACATATCGATGTATCTAGGACATCTCGATATTAGATTTGACCTTTTAATCGCTAAAACTATTCTTTTATAGATCAGACAATAAATTTTCCAATATCTTTCCACGACAGGTGGGTGTCTTTCTTTTTTCTGCTTTCTCTCTCTCTTTCACTCTCTTCCTCTACCTTCTTCTCCTCCTTACTTCATTTCGATTCGTTTAAAAAGAGAACGATGCGTTTTCTCTCCTTCTCTTGTACCTGATAAAAAGGCATCACCTTTCTCTTTTCAAGTCGAAGTGTTTGTCTGTTTGCTTGCATTACCTTACAGAAGGAATAGAGGTAAGATTTCACTCGTGTAAAAGTAATCAGATCCTAAACAGATAGTGTTTTTCTTCCCCTCTCTCTCTCTTTCTCTTCTGTACGCGTTTATTTTTACTAAAAAAAATTTCCACATAGTCACGTCCAATATGATATATCATGTTAAAGCTTAAATTTTTTGTTATGATTACAGAAAATCATACATGCACGCATGTCTAATGCTCACAGAGGTAAGATGAAATGAGGGAGAATTCAAATGAATTTTCAACATTGGAGATGGATGAATGCTGCTAAATTTCTGTACGTCATCGTTCTTCTCTTCCCTTTTTCGATTGAGAACACAATGATTCATAGAACGGAAGAAACTTTCACTGATAAATTGCCAAATTCTTTGTATTTCAGTCAATCAACTATGGCGAGCTATTCATTTTCATCGCCGGGTTATGTCAATATCCCTCCGTACTATAACACAACATCTAACGGCTATTCAGGTTTAAATTTTCAATACTCATTACCCGATAGTAAGACTCTATCACATCTCTGTGATTTGTTTTTGCTTAACGATTTTCACTTAGGTTATTCGACAACCGGGACATCAGCACCTACCAGTACATCTCCCTATAGTACTCAACCGGTATTTAATTCTCGGCTGTTCTTATTGAATCTTAACTTGCTGTTTGTAGGGTCTCGATCCAGCATACTATCATCAATTTCAGCCGACACTTGGTTATCCATGTTACCCATCGTCTGCATATCCTTCGTCGTATAGTTTTAATTCGCCGAATCAATTAACATCTTCGATCAAGCTTTCGCAAGGATATCCCAATGAATCAATTCCCTCTTCACTTCTCGGTAGTGTATTCGAAATGTAAAATCCATTGATAAGGAAAACTTGTCGTTTTCTCGCCATCTAGATCATTCGAATCCGAGTACGTCAAATTCTCCGTCGCCAACCATAAAAACCGAAGGCAAATCGTGTTCATCATCGAAATCGAAAGCAAACCGAAATCGAAATAAAATCCAACAACTATCACCCGATCCCGATAATAATATTGAACGTATATTTATTTGGGATTTAGACGAAACGATCATCATCCTAAGCTCTCTAATAACTGGAACATATGCTCAACACTATCAAAAAGTACGAGAAAATTTGTCCGCATTTGCTTGTTCATCCTCATTTCCATTTCAGGATCATCAAGCAACAATGAATTGCGGTGTACAAATGGAAGAAATGATCTACGGTTTAGCCGAATCACATCTCTTCCTAAACGATCTGGACGATTGTGATCAAGCGCATATTGACGACATAGCATCGGATGATAATGGACAAGATTTAAGGTATAGAGCAATGGTCAAAAGGACATTCGCGAGGTTGAATATTTCTAATTTAGTAATTATAACTTTGCGATCGATGGTTTTCATTCTTCGCCCTCAAATGTGAACACTACAGTTCGTGGCGGTGTCGACTGGATGAGAAAATTAGCGTTTCGATATCGACATATAAAAGATGTTTATAATAACTATCGATTAGATATTCAAAGTAAGCGAGGCAAATGCATGTCTAGAAGAATTCGTTTTCATTTCGATTGTTCAGATTTACTTGGTCAAGAAAAATATGAACGATTACTTCAATTACGCATGGAATCAGAGACAATAACGGAATCATGGCTTATCCTAGCATTGAAAGCATTGAATATTATAAAACAAAGGTAGTGAGATTCAGATCTCAGCTGTAGGAAGATCAGTTTTGCTAAACAAAGTTGCATTTCTAGAAAAAATTGCATCAACGTTCTGGTTTCAACTGATCAATTAGTTACAGCTTTATCAAAAGTGCTTCTCTATGGTCTCGGCGGCGTCTTCGATATCGAGAACATCTATAGTGCAGCGAAAGTTGGTCGCGAAAGTTGCTTCGAGCGTATCCATACACGATTTGGTCGAAAGCCCACCTATGTTGTGATCGGCGATGGACGTGATGAAGAATCATCAGCTAAACAAGTAAATTGCACATGTTTTTCTTTGAATTGTCAACTAATTCATCTCGATTTCAATTTTTAGCTTGGTTGGCCATTTTGGCGTGTCAACGAACATCAGAATCTCACGGCATTAGTTCACGCACTTGAATGGCAATTTCTCTGAAACGTTCTTTTCTCTCTCTTTCTCACATCTTTTGTTGTGTTATTGTTGTCTTGTCGTTGTTTGGCTTTGTTTTCTCTTCTTCATCTTCATCTTCTTTTTCGTTTTTGTAATTATATTCACACACAGTGATTGAATCGATGATCGACGTTCAAAATTTCTTCGTATGATTATCTTTTGATTGTTTATTATTTATGAATATGAAGAGAAAAAAGACATCAAGACATTTCTATGTATATAAAGACAAAAATTCTTTTTCTCGAACCAAGTCGTCACGAGCTTTCTAAACATGAAACAAATCAGCATGTACGACATGATTTTTCAAAGTTTTGTTCTACTTGAAAGCAAGTGTATGTCATGTATTGAAAGAAAAATACTTTCACATTTACTCGTCAAATGTCGGGTATTTTATTCCAATTGATGAAAGCATGTCATTTCACCAGGAATAGAACATGGGTACTGATTCACATGATTTTCTCAAATACTTAATCAATTGATGGCAGCGACCGCGCCGTAGCATCAGTTGAGAAATGAAAAAAAATTTATTCCTGAAGCTAGAAAAGTGCTTCCGGACATTTTTATCGTTCTGCTTTTTTTCTATTTACTCAAAAATAAAGCGATAATGTCGAGTATTTTAGACAGAACTAATGTTCTTTAGGTGTCTTTCACATTTGTCCTTATCGAACATAAACAAACGTCCGTTAGGGAATAAAATGACATGACGGATAAGTCTTTTTCAATTATTCTTCTATGGATAGTTCTACAAAAAGGAATACCGAACGAAAGATTTTCGAACTCGTTTGATTCGCATTTCAAAATTTTCAAACGTATGTTGCTTTTTCTCCTGCAAGCATTTGAGTTTATATCGTGCTGCTATTTATACATTATAATTAATTAGTTTTTCATCTCCAGAAAAGAAAAGGAAACTAGGAGTGCTATTTCTGATAACTGTTCACTGAATGACTAGTTGAAACCATGTGAAGTCGACGAATTCATTCGATTTTAAGCTTCTGTTTTCAAGTTTATTTGTATGTATATGAATAAAGAACATATTTACAGTTCTACGGAAAATCAACTAACTTAAATTCAAAAAACTTACAAGAAAAATGTGTACTTGGCTTTGCCACAGGCAAAACTGCAAAGTTTCTGTGTACTGATCACAAGACATATATACAATGAATGAAAATGAGCTGAGAAAACTCTATACAAAAACGAAAATCGAATCGACTTTGATTATCCATCACCATCAATACTGTAAATTAGAAATAATTGGTTCGAGCGGGAATCGATTGATGATGTAAGAGGATTGTTTGGGGCTAAAGGATGGAAACCAAGAAACATGAATGTTTTGACCAAAGATGCGCGATCGGAACGTGTCTTATCAAAATAAACAATCAGATTTTTACACTTCAAAATATCATCAGCAAATTCCAGAAGACTAACAAATCTGTCCAGAATCAAATAAAAAGGATGAAGTTTTTTAATTAGTCTACATGAGACATCCTACTTTTCTTTGGAACCTTCACCTAATTGTTGCGGAAGTGCAACATAGAGACAATCAGCACGTAGTTTTATAGGCCAGAGAAGATTGTGTTCATCTGTAAACTGAAGAATTTCTTTCTTCTTAGCAGGCGAATCTTCACCAACGTCGATTCGACAAGCAGACGTCTACATTTAAAGAAAAACAGCTGAAAATCGTTCGCAGACATAAAGAGCATAGTGACCTCGTTCGATTCTATAGAATTAGCAGTAGATACACTGTGGCGCGAGGCTAATACTCGTCGTCCAACGCTGCCGCCCTCTGCGCTTATATTTGATGTTAAGACTACAGCAGCTAAAGAAATGTCAATCATAAGCATAAACATAGTCGAATTGAATCTTTGCAACTAACCGTTGGCAACATCAGGAACACCACTGTAGTTCGGCCGCGTTCATATAACGGAAACGATTGATACTAGAGAAAGAAATAAATAAAGATCTCGGTCAATGATTCGATGGCGGCAAATCCAATTATGTCGAAGACAAACTTACGCTTCACTATTTGATTGAATTTTTGTACACGACATAATGAGTAATGTTAGGAAAGAAAATTGATCAATGGGATATTGTGTTTTTGGTAGTTATGAATAATTTCGAAAAACAACGACGTTTTTAGTATTTGTATACCGAGTGATAATAATAGTCGTAATAGCACAGTCAAATGATTGCGAACTGAAGTTATTGTGTACGTAGTCTGTTTTTATAGGATCTAAAAATAAACAAAGAAAAAGAAAGAAGGCGATAGAACAGAATGCAAAAAAGAAACGAGAACGAGTGGAGAAAATCAAAACCATAAGCGTCTATTTCTTTCTTCTTCCTACAGCGCAACATTCTTTCATATATGCTAAGGGTTGAAACCCCTCGCTTTCTTCTCTTCTACGATGCATCATTATTCATTCACCTGAAACGCTGATAATGTATCGCTTTGAATGGGTTTAACCTTAACAAACAGAAAATGCCTTTTCTTTTACTGTCACACTGCATGACGTGTTTATATCCAAACAAAAACAGATTTTTTTATCTTTAAGTTAATAGATTGATCAGACAGATACAAATAAAAGGAATGCGAGCAAAAGACGAAATATGTATATATGTACATGTAAAATATGGCAAAAAGAATAGAAGAAGAGAAGCAAGTTGAACAATTCAAATAGCGTTCTGTTAGTTGGTTTGCAGAATTCATCCATGCCATTGGACGGCATTATCATCAAACGAGATAGACAGAGGAAAAGAAGAAGAAGAAGAAGAAAAAAACAAAATTATCGCACCGGGATAGTTCGTTAAAAAAAAACAGATATGAAAAGAAAACAAAATTAAGAAAGATTCTCTCCATTTGAAGTTGAAGAGAGACAAACGCCTGTTTCAACGCTCAATGCGAGTGCTTCAAGCCATGGATGTGAAACACAAAAGGCAGGTCTAAACAATGGTGAAGAATATTCGAGAATACTTATTCAATCCAACTCACCTTGAATCAGGTTTAATGTCACAACAAGCAATAGCAATAGCAATAAACTGTTTTGGACAATCTTTACTGCAATATTTTTGATTAAATAGATGTACATTCAACCCGAAATCTTGTGTACGTGGTAGATAATCAGGATCGGCTTGTACACGTCCGATAATCTAAATAAGCAGGAAAATATTTTCATGCAGTTGCCTTTCGGAGTTTTCATTTTACTTCACATAGCATAATACCAAAAGAAAAGATATCCACACGCTCATCGTAACATTGACCTTTTAACATCTCCGGAGCCATCTATACGACAGGAAAAGTTCAGATTTCATACAATCAACACACAAATTTCGCATCTTACCCAATAAGGAGATCCGACCACTGTATATCTACAAAAGAAAGATAATCAAAACTGATGCTCATGTCACCCGTTTCATTTTACCTTTGTCGATCTCTTAGCAGCTGTCGACGAGTTTTTGGTCTGACAACGACGACATTTCCATTAGAACTTATCGTCGTACTTGTACTACGTTGTTCTCGTCGAAATGAAGATGTCAATGTGATATCATTCATAGTCGTTGGAACATCGTCATCATCGTCGAGATTGATTCTTGAGAGACCAAAATCGGCTACAACAACTTGGCCGCTCGTCTTCACTAAACAGTTCGAACTGTTTAAATCGCGATGAATGATATTACATGAGTGAAGATATTCCTACAAATGCAAATGAGTCAGAAATGATTTGACCTGAAATTTGCTTACCATTCCAGCAGCAATATCTTTAGCATAGCGTAAACGTTTCAACCAAGTCAGTGGAATAGATAGATCATGGATGACGTTTTTTAATGTACCACCGGCGATGTAATCTTTGGAAATAGAATTTAATTTAGAAGACAATATATTCAAGATCGAAATGTACATACCAACAAGGAAACACATTTGATTATCTTTATCGAGTAAAAGTCCCATGAAATTCAAAACATTCGGATGTTTCAAGCGTTTAAGAACTTGTACCTGTAACATATATTTTTATCAGAGCATTCGATTCGTCTACGACTACGTACTTCTTTAACAAAGATTTTCTGAGCTTCTTTATCTAATGTTTTTGTTTCCTTCATAACCATTATCTGACCAGTTTTCCTGAGAGTAACCTAAATAGATCCAAAACAGAGATAAACGTATGTGTGAAGTCATTCTCTCAGTTGGATATAGACTCACGGTTCGAGCAATACCATAAAAGCCTTGTCCGATAACTGGACCGAAATCTAATTCATTGGCACGAAATACTTCATGTGGATGAAGATCGTGTACCGATGACGAACGTGCAAGCGTCTGCGAACGACGTTGTAATGATAAGATTTGATGATTTACACTAGAATCATTCACATAATCTCCTCGTGTTCATTGAAATGAGAGTTTACTTGTAGGTACTATCATCTGGAAGTGATAGCGAACGTGTGCGCACGAAAGAACTCAGTTTATCATGAGTACAATCATTATTTCGTCGTTTGTTACTGCTAGATGATTCTTCAAAAGCAGAATCATATCGGATGGCTGGTGAAATACGTTTCTGAATATGCCCAAGAAAACGTGTCGCATCTGTCGCACTTCGACTTCGAGTCAAAGTTCGTTTCGGATCGACAATGAATTGTTGAATAAAATTCACAAACCACCATCGATTTGACTAAACGAACAGAATTCACAAGTTCGTATGGCAAATCTCAATTCAACTTACATCATTCTCTCGATGATTGAAACGAGATTTACGATTGTCGCCATTCGTTATTTTTCTAGAAAAACATGAAGATCATTTCATAACAAACGGAAATGAAATCCTAATATTGATTTAGTCATTCGTGATAAAACTTGTTTGGAAGTAATATTTCTGTATCCGTACCTGACATATGCCAACAAAGATAATGAAATCGCCGTAAAGCTCAACAGTTAGTTAGTGCGTCTAAGTCGAAAAATTGTACTTACGAGCAGATTTCGATGTACTCATTTTCATTTCCTCCACCGCCATAGTCATCATCTGTTCGGTTTTGATTTGTACTTGAATGATTGTTTTGCTTAGTCATCGATTTGTTAATTTGCATTGGAAAATACTTCTTCTGCCGAGAATTATTTGTCATTGATGAAACTGGTGGATTTGAACAGGTCTCTACAATCATTGTTGTCGTTCATTTATCTACGTAAAAGAAAATGCAAGCGATGTTTGCATTTCTTGTTCAATTCAAATCCTGAAAGAAAAAACAAATATACTTATTGTAATCAATTCAAAATAGTTTGTTTAGATTACGAGGTCAAAAAACGAAATTGAACTTTTACACTGAAAGAATCTGAAAGGAGAGAAGAAGTGAACGATGGCACATTGTATAATCCGAAAGGAGAAGAATATCTTTAAGCTCAAAGTAAACATTGATGTTGAATGCATCGACTACGAAGGCGGAGACTCGACGCGTGTGCTTATACACGACTGTAATTTTGTCAATAGACGATGTCAATCGATTAGAACGAAAATTTTCTCATATCATCTTCATATAAAGCATACGATGATACATTTGTTTGTTAAATCTCAACTCTCCTGTCAGATTTTGATATGTGTAGAGCGAAGAAGACAGCTCAGTTGGATTGAAGAAGAAGTAAATAGGTCAGCGCGATGAAGAACAAAGAGAGAGGAGAAAAAGAACAGTTACTATCGCCAATTAATGTTAAGATCGACAACAAAGAACAAAAAAAAATCGTTTAACACTTTGCGAAAAAAAAAATCGCGAATCAAGTTTAGACATCTTAAATCTATTCATCCTATGCCAAAAGAAAACTAAAAGAGAATCAAAACATACAATATGCACGAGACCAGACAAAGAAGAAAAAGAGATAAGACGATGATTACTCATAGTAATGAAAATTCTCATGTCGGTGTGAGTTACGAAAGGAAGATGGAAAAAAAAGTAAAGACGAAAGAGAACACTAGTGAGATTGCATTATCAGCGTGTTTTGTAACTATTTATATTCAAAAATATGTCGATAAAGAACAACAAGTTGTGTTTTTTTATCACTGCTTCCTTTTCACTCACTCTCTCTGCATGTGAGATCATTAATCATAGCATACACACTCTTTTTCTGCTACTACCTTTTTTTATATAATATACTCACGTCCGCTTTCTACGTACATCAGTATGATTTCGACTCGAATAATCAATTTTTTCGAGGCGATCTGTCGCGCGAGTGTTCATTGACAGGCGAACGTTACTATCATTTATCTTCGCATATTTATCTAGCGAAAAATTCTTCTTCTTGTTCGACAGAACAAATATGCAGGAGAAAAAAGAAATTTTCTTCATCATTCAAATAAAATAATCTCGAGATTTTCAAGGAACCAACATTTACTTACACGCTCACGAGAAATAAAGGACGTTTGACATCAGCCAATCAATGTGAACAAATAGTCATTGAACTATATTCACCATTCATTCAGTTTCTATTGGATAAATTGTTCTTTTTTTGGATGGCGTTAGTTGCCGCATGATTATTTCATCGCCGGACTGATTCTCCAAGAAGAAATTACACACATCTCGTGAATTTAATTAACCGTGTTGATAGTACAACTAATCAGTAGACCGACAAGTGATGTAATTGACATAACTGATGAGTAGAAGACAAAAGAAAAGTGTTGATATTCACTAGAACTACTATTCGTCTTGTCACATCTGTCTAGGGGCCATAAGAGATGGTCAGTATCCTTTTGCTTTTGTCATGCAATTCGTTCTCTCTATGAATCACTTGAAAAAGTCATATCTTCGCATTTCTTTCTATTATTAGAACAAACAGAACACAATACCGCCAGAATTCTCTCACATTGATATTTATACCATCAATTTGTCTATGAACGATGATTACAGAGGAAAAGATCTAACCTCCTCTAGCCGTTTGCATAAGTATAAATGTTTGCATCTTTGTTCATATACTCTGAGGTGTAATTGTTAAGAATTCATTCTTGTATTGCATCTTGCAGAAAGCAATTCGTTAATACTCAGTAAATAAAAAAAATTCTCAGTGTGTGACAAAACAGGCGAAAGTGTACAGTGACTCATCAATTGCGTCATATACAGGTGAAAATGACACATTCAACGAGCTTTGCCCGTGAAATGAGGCAAACTACATCGAGGTAAGTTACTCTTCCAGCTTGGGTAATTTTTCAAGTACACTGGGAAAATTCCCAATCCACTATGTTTTTATAGAAGAGCATCAGTTGGGAAAATGCTATATCATTCTGCACTCTACTATTCAATAAACTCTCGCAACGATGCAAATCATCAAAGTTTTCCTTCAGATTGCTGAATATATTTGGCAACTTGTCTACCGAAAGTCTTCCTCAACACAAACAGTTCCACTAAGTGTGAATTATCATTTAACTCGTGCGTGCAATTACCGATGCAAATTCTGCTTTCATACTTCCATTACCAATGATCGTCTTCCGCTGGAAGAAGCTAAGCGCGGTTTACGTTTGTTACAACAAGCTGGTACGAAAAAAATTAATTTTTCCGGCGGTGAGCCGTTCTTAATCGAGCAAGGACGTTACGTCGGCGAGTTGACACGCTTTGCCAAAGAAGAATGTCAAATGGCAACAAGTATTGTTTCCAACGGAAGTTTAATATCCGAAAAATGGTTTGAAAAGTATTCGCAATATTTGGATATACTTGCTATATCATGTGATTCATTCGACGATGATTGTAATCGTGAAGCTGGAAGAACAAATGGCCATCATTCTCATTCGCAAGTCGGACATATTCAGCGTGTCCGATATTTATGTCAACAGTACAATGTTATCTTTAAAATCAATTCGGTTATACACAAGTTAAATTATCAAGAGGATATGACCGATGCGATCGAACGATTAGAACCTGTGCGATGGAAAGTTTTTCAATGTTTAATGATCGATGGAGAGAATATGGGCGGAGAAAATAATCTACGTGATGCACGAAATTTGGTAATTAGTGAAGAACAATTTCAAGAGTTCTGTCAACGACATGAGCATTTGAAATGTTTTGTTCCCGAATCGAATTTAGCAATGAGAAATTCGTATTTAATCTTGGATGAGAAAATGCGATTTCTGGATTGCACAAAAGGCCGCAAGGATCCATCACTGTCGATCCTCGATGTGGGTGTTGAAGTAGCATTAGATCGAAGTGGCTTCGATGAAGATATGTTCTTCAAACGCGGTGGACAATACAAATGGACTAAAGATGTTGTTGATGTGAATGATTGGTAATCTCTGTATTAACGACAACTCGACTTCTGATCAAGATCGTTGTTGTATTTTGTTTCTCGGATTTTGTATAAATAAAGTTCAATTTTTTCAAAAGTCTTGAAAATGGTGCAATGTGATAGTTATTTCATTCTGAATATTCAACGAAAAGTTATTGTTTAGGTCGACTTCGATGTTTCGTTCGAGGTTCCACTGGATCCGATAGAACAGATGTTGTTGCCGTCACATGTCGATCTTCTTTTCCGTCACTCAGGGGAATGACAAACGAGCTAGAACCAAGAAAAGGGATTCATTTCTATACTTCGAAATTAATCAGTGAATACTCACGACGCAAAATCGGGTACATTGGAGAGAAAGTATTCGAAAATTTCAACAGTTATCTTCTTTTCATCACGCAAATCAACTTCGCTGATAACCTGAAACATCAAAGATTCAAATGAGCTTTCTCATTCTCTAGTGTGAACAAACGGCTTCGGCGATCCTTGTCAAGTCTTCGTCACTGAATTTCTCTCCCGACAAACGACGAACGATTTCTTTAATATCATACAGATCAATAGCATCGGGTGTTGCAGATTCTCCATCTAAAATCCGACAATACATGTCAATATTGACTAGAAATCCATCACGTTCTCACCTGGTCGTGGGCCTTTATAAATTCCTTCTGAAAAAAGTCATGGAAATGAAGAAGATAAGATGTAAGTGACGTCATGTTTACGATAGATTTTGAATGCATAGGAAACTTTCACCGACTTCGGTGCTTTCGCCGAAAAGACACTCATCATATCCAAAAAGTCTTCGAATGTTATCGAACCATCGCGTTCAGAAGAAAATACTTCGACAATTCGTTCCCGAAATGGATTTTGCTAGAAAGAATATCAGTGCAAATCATTCTCTTTCAAACTCGGAACTGACTTACGTAAAGTTCATTGATATTAACAGCTTGTTTCTTCGATAAACGGCATTGCGATATATCCGTATTTTGATGATTAATGGCGACCAGTTGACAAAATCTTTCATAGACTCTAGATGAAAAACAAACAGGAGTAGACTTTTTTAAAAAGGTATATGTTACTTGAGAATTTCTTGTTCGGTTAAGAATGTTAATGTCTAATTAAAAGGAGAAATATTGATTGAGGAATCTGACAGAACGAATTGAAATTTACTCGATAATCGTCTAATTCTTTTTTCGGAATTTTGGATCTGTTGTTGCCCATATTTGTATAAAACTGAGAGGAAAAAGAGTCAATTCAATTCAATTCAAGTATCCGCAAACATTGATAACGGTTGGTTGTTAACTATTCTCTAATCGCAGCATGACAAAATATCAACATCAAAGCGACATGGACAATTCAATGTTACTGTTGAAGTATCCAAAGATTTGCGAGGAAAATATGAAAATAAGCGTAGTATATAATTCTCTTAAAATACGAGTTGTTTTGCTCGAATCTGTTCGCCCGGTTGCAGGTTGATCATTTCCTTTTCCTCCAAGTATGATCTATTAGATGATGAAACAGACTTGATGGAGAAGTTCGATCTTTACATACTAAAACAATTGAGAATCAAATAAAAACAACTCTTAATTCATTTCGCTTTTCCTGTCAGAAAAAGGCTCCGCTAACTATCGCGCTATAAATATTGATGTTTTCCCCTCTACGCCAAACTATTCGAACAAGTCTCTCTCCGAAAATTACATAAACTGAACATTCCACCTAATTGGAAGAAACAAAATTTTGCAGTGCAATCGGTGTGAAGTCAAACATCAAAATTATCAATACTCATTTAGATACGTGATCAAACAATTACTACAACGTTGTAGTACTTAATATGCAAATATTGGATGCAAATGGACAATTTCACACACACAGATCATTTTCGTTGTATTTAAGAAAAAAAATAGATACATTTTTCAGTGTATTCAATGCAAACGAACTTGTTTGAAGTTAACGACAATCTTCTAGCGACACTTCACATTGAATTTCTATTGGTTGATCAGCAATGTCAAAGGTATATATAAGTTGAGCTATCTTTATGTAAGTTTTTGTTTCACAAACGATCGAATTCAACAGCATGCCGTATGCGAATCAGCCCAGTGTTCAAGTAATTGAATTAACCGAAGATAACATCAAATTCGTTATTGAAAATACGGATTTGAGTGTTGCGAATGCCATACGTCGTAGTATGATCGCTGAAACGCCAACGGTCGCCATCGATTCAGTTCACATCGAATCGAATACAACAGTTTTATTCGATGAATTTCTTGCTCATCGTATTGGTCTCGTTCCAATATATTGCGAAGAATTAGTTGATAAGATGATTTATCATCGGGACTGTTCCTGTGACGAATTTTGTCCACAATGTTCAGTAGAATTTACACTCAATGTACGAAATCAAGAAGAACAGACAAAGAATGTAGGAAGAAGACTAAGCCGAAATAGACGACAAAACACCTGATACTTTCCTGAATGTTTAGGTGACATCGGCTGATTTGATACCGAGCAATCAACATGTGATGCCAGTTCCAACAAAAGCTAAAAATGATGACGAAGGACAGGATCGTTTTCTCGAAGGTAAGATTTCCATTTGTTTTCACAGACCATATTTGATGAAAGATTAAGTTGCTAGTTTGACATTTAGTTTTGGCAAGTGAAAGGGCAAATAACTATACTTAGGAGGTGTTAAGTAGGAGAAAAGTATTAAGATACAGTATAATTTCATGCGAACGAAGAAATAGATCTACGCATATTCTTCAGAAGACAAAGTAAAAAGATACTTTCAGATTCAATAGATGAATGAAAGTAATCGATACTTCGTTTCTTTGTCCAGCTACTGATGAAAAGAAAGATGGTATAGTAGATCTTTGTTGATTCATGTCTAGCAGATCGCCGCTCGAATTACGATACGTTTGATTATCTTAATTTCCTGTACAGCACGTAAAACAACCAAAGGAATGGAATCTTCCATGTTTTTCTCCTTCTTGCATATTAACACTGCGTGATTGTTATTCGGATTCTATTTAGATATTCTCATCGTCAAACTTCGCCAAGGTCAAGAATTGCGTTTGAAAGCTTATGCACGAAAAGGCTTTGGAAAAGAACATGCAAAATGGATTCCAACTTGTGTAAATGATGCACTAGTAAATTTGTGAATGAATTAGTAGTTGATGTTGTCTTTTAGGGAGTTTCGTTCGAATACGATCCCGACAATGCTCTCCGGCATACAGTTTATCCAGTGCCGGAGGAATGGCATAAATCGGAACATTCTGGTAAGTGAAACAAATGTGGTGTTGAGTATTGACAGCCAATTACTCTTGTGTTCGATTGTAGAATTACTTGAACATGAACAGGAAGCTCCATTTGATGCAAATAAGGTTCCAAACAAATTCTATTTCAATGTAGAATCAACTGGCGCGCTCAAACCAGGAACGGTATGTCTTTCTGTTCGATGTACTAGTTGGCCCAACATATCTCTCTTTTAGATCGTTTTGTCTTGTTTGAATGTTCTGAAACAGAAATTGAGTAATTTACAAACATTGCTCAAACAGGAACCGGTTGAAGGATTGTAAAGAAAGAAAGAGAGAGAGAGAGAGTGTGTGTGCGAAAAAATTGTGTTGCTGTTGTTCTTTAGAAACAAAATAAACCATTCTTGAATTTATATTCTAGATTTCACATGTATATATTTCTTCCTGAATAGAATGTAAATTGAAAGATTTAGAAAATGATGTGGAAATAAAGTCGAAATTGATATACAGATGCCCGAACGAAAATCGAATGGAACGATCTCACCTAATTGTCGGCCGCAACCGGTGAACAAACATGACCAAAAGCGAGACGATGACGAACAACAACATACAAGAACTTCATCGAATCCAGGTGAATATATTTCAACATTAACAGTTTTTCGCATGATGAGCAGTTTCGATGAGTGTAGTAAATGTTCAGCTACGCCTACTTGATCACACTACTCATGAGTTCAAACAATGCGTCGAAAATATTCGATCGTTACAAAGTTTCATCAGAATAAACCATTCGTCTACACCGACTCTTGACAATCATCATGATATAATTGTAGTCAAAGATCAATAACTGTTCAGACGACATTTCATAATTGATATACATAGTGATATGCGCGACCCGTTTTGTATACGGTAGCTTGTTTGTCGATCAATTTACCATCTTCTTCTTCTCTAGAAGGTCAGATCACAGTGGTTTGTCGTCCTGATCAAACCCCTTCCTCGTCATCGACGCGTCGATCAAATACATCTATGTGCGAAGTCAATCGATCACGTTCAAAGACCAATTCGAGTACGAGTGTCACGCCAGAAAGTGAAACTCCATCAATCCAATCAACTGGTTTCAATATTCTTCAGTCGATCAGAGATGTCACGCATCAAGAACTAAATCGTGCGAATCCATTAGGTCTTCTCGGCAAAGAAGTCATATCTGCAACAGGCACTACACACTGTCCGGAGCCAATACCACCGAAAGAAACAGATGAAAACGTTCTTAACATTAGCCGCACATCGTCATCATCTTCTTCAACACCACCCATCAATGACAAAGAACCTCAACAGCTACATTTTCCCTTGAATGAAGAAGAAAAAATGCAAATGCAACGTCGTCGCTCTACACTGGCAAATATAACCGACGTCACCCTGCCACCATGTCCTGCAGAATTTATTCCTACCGATGACGAACCTAATCTTCAACCACATCTCTTCTCTCAACCGTCACCCGGTACAATGGTTGCCGATTTCATTCCAGACACAATGTCAATCAACGTTTTTGAAGTGTTTATCTATGCATGGGGTGTCTTCGCCTTCTTCTTTGATACGGTAACTGACATTGTCCTAGCTCATGCTTATTATGTCGAAGGTGCGTATTGGTTATTTATCTTAACGTTAATGTGTGTCATCTTGCCGAACGTCACTCTCTCGGTGTTCTCACTCGTGTGGTACATGGATAGCAGTCAATTAAAAGCCGCTGCGAACGGAAAACTTGAAACAGATTACGAAACGAGGCGGCAGACTACATATTGTCAAACGGATGATTTGATGGAGAATAAACACGGGGAAGATCAAGTGGATGCTCATATCTCACGGATCAGACATCAACCACAAATTCCGGAGGAAAAAGTGAAAAAGAATACATTTGAATTATCATCGGCAACACTTAAAGGTTTTACGTGGATTATTCGAATTATTATCTTAGTTCTACAGTTAGATCTATGTCTCAAGTAAGTTTTGCAAATATTTTGGTAGAAACGATGATGAACTGGTATTTAGATACATCCGAGGTTTATATTATACATGGAAAGGCTTCCAAAAGCGGCATAATCCCAAATGGGCACGATTCTACTTAACGAAACAAATCTTGATCGATGCTGACATCGCCTTACTACGCGTATTCGATTGTTTTATGGATTCCGGCTCTCAGGTGATATTACAATTATATATTATGCTACGATTAGGTTCATCATCGATGAAATGTGAGAAATTTCAGTTTCGGAAAGTAATTCTATTCGTTTTGTTCGTAGTTGATAATCTCTTTGCAAAGCAATGTTTATCAATCATATCTTCTCTCGGTTCATTAGCGTATGCGCTAAGTGGCTATTCCAGATGCTGGAGACATATGCAGTTGACACATTCACCACAAGGTTGGCCAAAAGGCAAGCCACCACCACGGTTAGTGTCATGGTGGAGTACGATCATTCAATGGGTACGCAGGGTTGTTTTTTTCTGGAAGGAAAAACGATATTGATCATTCTATTGATTTAGTTTTGGTATTTATTTTTAATAACGCCACGAGTTTTCGCATTGGCAATGTTTGCGGCAACCTTTCGCTCCTGGTTTTGGATTATTCTTGTTGGCCATTGGTTTGGAATGCTTTTCTGGATTCTTCGCTTTGTAAGTTCGAGTCTTCAAACGCTGTGCTAAGTCTTCATCTTCGTTTATTAGCGGACAATCTTCTGTATCAGTGATCAAACAAAATACAACCCGCGCGAAGCAATCTTCGAGAAATGTTATAATCTCGTTTGCTCGTACATCTTCATCTTCTGTTATATGGTAAGAAAACACTTTCGAATGAACGAATCTTATGAAGATTTCATTAGAATCTGCGCAAAGGTGATACACGTTTGCATTATATTGGCTTCTATACCATCTATTATATTGAAAACATCTCTTTTTCGATTATTTATGCTGTCCATTCATCGGAATCTAATACGATTTTTAAATATTCGCTTGTGACATTTGTTTGCGTGGGATTTTGGTTTGCGATTTTGTTTCAACTTATCTACTATCGTTTTCTTCATCCAAGTGATCATGTTCGACTGAATACAAAACAAAATGTCGCCTCAGTTGTACGCATAAGACCATTGCCACGATTTAATCGTTTGAGAAAGTCGAAATCATGCGAGGAGATGATTGATCACAATGAACTACAAAACCAAAATGAAAACAACGAACTGGCCGAAACGGGTTCATTAGAAATGAATACAAACTCGATCAACGAACGATGGTTCAATCGATTCTCCAAAGAAAATCGACAGAAGCTTATCTCCCAACAACAAGCCATCGACCAAAAAGTCAAATTGACCAAAGCACAGGTATGACAACATCTTTAACTATACATTCATATGTATCATTTCTTTTGTAGGAAGAAGCAACGAAACGTCAGCACGCTTCCTCGCATAGTGTACTGTCGAAAATATCCAATGGTTTCAAGCGACCAACAACAATTTCGTTACCAGCATCGTCTGAACATGCAGATCAGAACAATCTTAGTGTAACTGACACTCCTTCATCCTATTCACACATTCGACATAGTCGACGACAACCCTTCTTCCATGGAGCTCATGTTTCATTAAAACGATCTCCACATCAAGAATCGTATGCAAAAATGCAACAAGAAGATGAAGATGATGTTGAGAAACCCACGATTTCGTACATATCAGATAAACGAACATCTCAGCAATCATCAAGAATCTTCAGCATCGACGAAGACGTACACCCATCCGACGATAATCACAGTACGATTTCATCACATATCAACCACGCTAGTAACGATGACGGTGAAGAAATGATACTCACAGCTGCTAAATTGACACCATTGATAATTTCGTCGTCTTCGAATGATAATAAATCATTCATTTCAACCAATGATACCTCTCAATGTTAAAGTAAAAGACATTCGAATACCTTCGTCTTGATCGTGTTCAGGTAGTTTCCGTGCAAAATATTCTGTTTAACAGTGAATGAATGAACTTCCTCGATATCAATGGAATTCTCTTTCATTGAATTAAATGTGATCGCATTTTTGGAATCTCGTTTACATACAGATGCATGCTATACATAGTTGTAAGACATTTCCTCTGTGTTTTCTTACTAATAAATCGTCTGTTCTAGTTGATAATCAATTCAATTGCATCTAGTCATGAATATTCTCAATTGGCCTTTTTGTTCAAGCCTTTAGATATCTGAACATTTCTTGTAGAGTTTCGTACATGTATACTACGTGTGTGCTAGAAGGTATAGAGCTAGTTTTCATATAATACATATCCAATGTGTTTCCATAGAAATGTGACGGTAGATCGAAAACTTTTTGATTTGTATTTTACAATAAAAACGCAACTAACGAAGTATTTTTTGTCGGAGACATTCGATCGAAGAAGTTGATGCAACAAATGTTGTTGCTTTTTGTAGAATATTTTATTAAAGATTGAAATAGATTAATCACTCCAATGTTTACTGTAGAATAAAATAGAAAAGATTTGTTTTGTCAAGTGAAAAGGGAAGAAGTTTTTCTAGTAAATGGATTGAAGGACCGGGCGAATGCCACTCGAGTCCATGTTCATCAGTTGTCGAGTACGATCAACTTCGGTCATCGGTGTGATTTCTGTGTTCAGACGACGGCGTGTTTCTAGGGCGCGCTTTTCTAACATGATGGAATTGGATTTGACGGCAATTTCGTCTTCGATACGGTGTAAATTTTGTTGAAGAATGTTCCATGCATGTCTAAAAGTAATGAATTACGGGAAAAATCGTAGATTTTGGTTACGATTTACTTCGCTTGTTTTAATTGGTCTTCTAAAGCACGTTTTTCGGCTTTCAGTTGTTGAATTTCATCGCATAACTAAATATTTCATATTGATAGAGATCAAGAAAGAATTCGAACACCATCAACATACTCCATAGCTGACTTCATCGCGAACAAGATCCATTCCTGGACGGCTATGACGATTCTCTTGTCGGGTCATTGCTAATTTAATCAATGGTTCCTTATCTCGAATAGCTTTCTCCAAACGATCGATATCGTTTTCATTGCTAAGAATTTCTTCTTGCGTCTATAAGTCGAACATAGTCAATGACGTCGACATTACTTTTGAGCATATCTACCTGTTTCTTTTGCCATTCCAGTTCGTTGAGCGATCGTTCAAGTTCGTGTAAACGTTTTCGTAAGGCATATTCACTTGCTTTACTTTGTGATTCGAGATCAGCAGCTGATTGTCCCATAGTATGGAAGATGCTTTCACGAAGACGTGTTGATTCGTACACTAAAGAGAGTTATTTTTCCGAGGAATCGATTCGGTTGTCAAGCATACTTTCTTTTTCTGCGCGATCTTTGTTGTATTTTGAAAACGCCATCCATTCTTCAGGTGTAATTTGCCCTTTGATTGGTCGGCATGGATCAGGTTTATAACTGATGTTCGGTGAGAATTCGTTCAATTGGAGATTTTCTTCGCAGATAGCAAAAGCAGTGTGTTTATCTTGCAAATCCTCAATGAAAGTTGGAGTTTAGTGAAAAGAGAAATTGAATAGAAAAACAAAGCGAGCCTACTCGGATTAATTGTTGTTTAGCTTCGGTAAGACGAGCAATTTGATCGAAGGCAGTTTGGACTTGTTGATGAAGTTGTCGTTTGACCCCGTCGATAACATATACTTCCTAGAAAAGTCTTGCAATCACTGATATTCGTAAGGAAATACTCGACTACCTTCTTCAATTCACGCTCGGGTTCATCATCAACATTGTCGATGGCTTTACGTCCATCGCGTGTCACATGGTTTTCCAGAGCTACATCTAAAACAAGGCAGAGAGATTTGTTTTTCCACGGAAAAAGCAATGCACAGACCTAAGGGGCGACGCATTGATTCAAGGTACCGTTCGCATTGTTCTTTGGCTGTTTGAATGGCTTGAATTTCTCGATCAATATCTTGAATAGTATATTCGAGTGTTTTGCGCCATTTGTCAATTTCATCAAGTCGATCAGAAATTCGCACATCGCTAAGAAAAACATCGTTACAATGCAAGATGTTCAGTTGGGAGAACTTACTTATCATGTTTGTTCCACCATGATTCGTTATAAGTTTCATTAGTCAATCGTCGACCATCTTGTCGCACTTGATGAGAAACATTTCGACTACGTTCAGCATCATAGGAAATCGCATAACTAAACGAGCAACAGAGAAAAGAAATACACATCAACCGAAAGTTTCCATTCTTTTTTACTTATGATTGAACCAGTCTGGTACACTGTATTTCGAACGTGGCTTTTCTTCAAGTGTTGGATGAATGGTATGAACAGCGACTTCTGATCGCGGTTTCAACGGTTTCGAAAGTGCTTCAAATCCACTCATTGGTATATATAGTACAGAATTCTAACAAAAACACACCTTGGCAAAGAATTCTTCAAGAGTGTCCAAGTTATGTTTGTATGCCATTCTGATCAGCATCTCTATAGAAAACCTTGACAACGGAACATTTTCAATTGAAATTTCATTTCGAATAAAGAAATACCATACTACATCAGATCATATACATACGTCAAGATAATTACATAATGGATCATTGATTATTCATTTTGACAGAGAGAGAGAGGTCGCTAGAGATCATTCTGGATTATAGCATTGGAATAATCGTAACACAATTCGAATAGATCATGATAAGGCAATATCTATGTAAATGAGCGAACACGAAGTTCAAATTAAGAGACACATCAAGATCAACTGTTAGTTTGACGAAGGAATATGAATTTCTAGTTGAAAGTCCATTTTCTCTCGAGCTGATCGTACTCTACTTCTATTCATTTGTGACATCACAATGAGAAATATTATCCAGACAATTTCCACACTGTCTCTACTTTGTATGCCGACAAACGCGTCTCAAAGAAGCAATTATGAAATGGCGAAAAGATCAATATTGAGGACATTGTTTCAAGAACATTTTCTAATCGAAATCCTTCCATACTAATGTTCGCCTCCTCCAACAAACGATAGGTACATTCAAAAAGTGTTTCATTTATTTGATTACATTCGAAGAAAACAATATTATCTAAACCTATGTTCTCTATTCAATCAAAGAACATCGAGACGATTCGTTAGCTTGCTGTCTGTGAAAGAATTACATATTTCTATCACATTCTTCTTTTTCGAATCGCGGTTGTTTTTCCTTGTCGAGAAATTTACGTCATCGATTGCCGAAACAATACAGACGATTCCTTCAGATCTACTTATTCATATAGAAAGCGCATATTAACATGATTGTCTCTTATCTCGAATGACAAAGAAGAGATGGTAAGTACGGTCAAATGTAAATCGCAATTTATTAGTGATTTTTTTCCTTGGAGATCAGAAGAAAAATACGAACAAATGTTTTTTATGTCTTGATCGCCTCAGTATTCCTTCTTTTTTTCATATATTTTATGATTGATTTTCTATCTCTACGTGAGACGTATGTATACCGTTCTTATTTTCTCTCCTTGTAGTTTATTAATCTATCTACTCAAGATAATGAATGGTGAATTCGAATACAAAATAGGTCGCCTAGAACTAACTAGAAAATCGTGAATAATACCGGAAATGTTCAATCATGGTTGGTATAATAAGCATGGGCGATGTCGAAAAAAAACAAAAACATTAGTTGTAACTAGATCAAACTCACCCTGTTCTCGCCTCTCTCTGTTATCTATTTTCAATAAATGATTCAACGAGAGGAAGAGAAGAGAAGGAATGTATCATAAATCTAGGATGAGCAACACTATTTATTAGTGATGATGAATTCCAGACATGAAAACCCCCGCATTACCATATAGACATACATATATAAACGATTGTAAATCAAATAGATAAAACTCTTATTATTTGATTTCAGATTTAGTAGATAATTTTCCAAGAACAAAAAAAAAACAAGATGTACAGTACCAAATATCCACTCTTATTCATTTGTGTCATTCTTTCTCTGGGTAAGATCATCTGTCAGAGGCATCGTCTTTTGAAAAACTCATCTTTAGTTCTTCTTTGGTGTACCAATGCTGAATCAAGTGAACAACAAGAACATATTTCGGAATTCAGCCCTGAAGAAGATACCGATGAATCTGTTGATGTTTATCGTCGTGCATCGCTTCGTCCTGTTGTTGTGTATCAACGAGCATCGCTTCGACCATTCACTGGCAAACGAGCATCATTAAGACCATTTGGAAAACGTGCCTCACTTCGACCATTTGGCAAACGCGCATCGTTACGTCCTCCGAGTTATTTCGGCAAATGAAACATGCAATGCGAACAATGATCCATCGTCTTTGCAACTTTCTCTCATTTTCTTTCTCATAGACGACATCGAAGAAAATAAAAATGAAATCTCCTATGGAATTCTCGCTTTTTATTTATCATAAAAAATTCTTTCGTGCTCATTGTTGTTATTGTTCTGTATTGCAGAAAATTAAAAGAAAAAGGTACACTAAGCAAGCACCAGATGCCGTGGTTCATCACTCGTGTTTTGCGTGCCGGCGAACTTTAGCAATGTTTGTTTTCTGTTGAGATTTCGCACGTTTAGCTTTTTCAGCTCGGTCGATATCTTTTGCTAACCGATAAGCTAAATAACCCGATATAATAAACATTGGTGTTAAAAACATAAAGACGTAATAAAGAAATTGCCAAGGATTGGTCGCTAACAACGAAAAAGGGAAAGGACTTGTGAATTACGTCAGAAGAATGAAAGTTAAATACCTGCATAGACGACAATATCCATAAATTTTTGATGCCAATCAATGGAGAACATGATGGTATACGAGTCACGTTTGGAATGATGATGAATGAATGAACGAAGAAAGGTGAACGAAACGTTTAAATGGATGATCTATGTACCAATAAGAAATTTACAAAGCGAAAAGCAACATCATATCTGCAAATATAAAGAGTGACAGAAAAGACAAATGGTATGGGTCACCAGATGAATATCATTGTTTCGAATGCTTGTGCAATGTGATAAACTATTTTATTATACTAAATGATTAAAAAAAGTTGTCAACATGATCAGATCGAATATCGAATGGGCTCTTCTTGAGATATCCTAAGTCTTTATTAATTGTTTGACACAAAGAAAAACCAAGCTATTCTCTTTCATATAAAATGTATCTAAGAAAAAAGCAAAAGAATAGTTAGAAAGGAAGGAGTGGACAGTACGGATAGAAAAAAATTGTATTGTGAAAGATGATGTTTTTCTTCTAGGAATGCATCACCCAAGTTGGCCGGCTGTTGGTTGTGATTGTCTTAGCTAACGTAATTAAGTTTCTTATTCAGTGTAATTTTGATTTCATTGATGAAATCTTTGGTATTCAAATACATTCCTTCTTTGACACTAAAACGAATAAAGTCGGTTCGTTATTTCATATAAAAAATAATTATCTAATTACTTCTTCAATCCATGAATACAGGCAACAAGATCTTTCGTCATTTTCTTTGAATCGACTGTTTCAACGCAAGCTTCTTCAAGTAATTGACACCAGCTAAATGAAATTGCATATGAGAATGATGATATTTATTAGTCGAGCTAGTTTATCTACCGTCGAAGTTCTTCGTTACCATCGAGTTTACCACGATGTTCAAGACCACGTGTCCATGCGAAAATACTTGCAATAGGATTTGTACTAGTTGATTTTCCCTATAGACATCATATTCCCCATTGATGTTCTGTTATACTTTTGCTGTTTTAACTTACTTTTTGATGTTCACGATAGTGACGTGTTACAGTACCGTGTGCGGCTTCGGATTCGATCGTTTTGCCATCTGGACAAACAAGCACCGATGACATAAGTCCAAGACTGCCATAACCTATTTAGGAATTCGAAACCACAATTTTGATGTTCATTAGCTGACGAAATCGCATTTCATACCTTGGGCAACAATGTCTGATTGAACATCACCATCGTAGTTTTTACAAGCCCAAACGAAGCCACCAGTGCTTTTGAGAGCTTGGGCAACCATATCGTCGATTAAGCGATGTTCATACCAGATTTTGTTACGTTCGAATTCTTGTTTATATTGTCGTTGATAGATTTCTTCGAAGATATCTTTGAAGCGACCATCGTATCGTTTAAGAATTGTATTTTTGGTTGACATATATAATGGGTAATTCTATTCGCAAGAAAAAAAAACGAAGAACTTGTCACCGTTCGAACCGATCTGTGCGTTCTACCTTCTTCAAAGCGTATTGAAAGCATGCATGAGCAAAGCCAGTGATGGATTCGTCAGTGTTGTACATGGCCAAGGAAACACCTCCTGAGTTAGTAAAGTTGAAAACTTCGACTTCTTGTGGTGGAGAACCATCAGCCGGCGCATATTTCAATGTTACACGGCCGGGATGTTTGATGACCATATCTTGGCAACGATATTGATCACCAAAAGCGTGACGACCGATGACGATGGGTTCCTTCCAGCCAGGAACTAATAGTGGGATTGTTTTGCAGATAATTGGTTCACGAAAAACGGTTCCACCCTAGAAGAAATCGATTTGTTTTGAGAGAAAAAAGAGAGAAAAGAAACCAACAAGAATATTTCGAATGGTTCCGTTGGGTGAAAGCCACATCTTTTTCAATTTGAATTCTTCGACTCGTTGTTCATCAGGTGTAATGGTTGCACATTTAATACCGACATTGTATCGCTGGATGGCATGGGCTGATTCGATTGTCACCTGATCATTGGTGGCATCACGATTCTCCAAACCCAAATCGTAGTATTTGGAATCGACATCGACATAAGGAAAAACGAGCTGAAAGAGAATTAACCAAAAGTGAATACTTCGATTGGGTCGGTGTTAAACAAACCATTTCCTTGATCCATGCCCAGATGATGCGTGTCATTTCATCACCATCTAATTCGACAATTGGATTGGCAACTTTGATACGTTTTTTCGGTGCGGCCGATGATCCTTAAAAGACATGTTCAATTTGTTTTAGATGATTCCAAGTAAGCCCGAAAAAGAAGGTGTGTACGCGTCCGTTGCAAGCGTCGTGTATCTACATACGGTGAATATTTTTCTCTGTCAATGCCTACCTTGTCGAGTTTGAATATTTTGTGATGATGCTGTTGAGACGATACCCGACTTCAAAAGATATGCCGATGTTTCGTGCGCTTTGAAATTTCTGGCAATAGATCGAAGAACAAACGAAGCCATTGTACGAGCAATCGTGGGTTAAACTTTCTACAACAGCAAAACAACTACGATAAGAAATGCATCAAGGAGAAAAACAATTCGACAGTGAAGCACTGAAGTTCGTCTGTCGACGTGTCTCGCTCTATAGAAAACAATATTTTAATCGACTGCGATTGGATCTACTAGACGAACGAAGTAGTGAATCAACAAATCGTTTGAAAAACATCTTGTATTTATCTGTCTGTCTGTGTACCTATACATGAGGAAGAACTAGGTCAGCTACTGTGCTGCACTCTACATCACTGTGAAGGCAACGGACGTACATTAATAAAATGGTAGGAATCAATCAGAAATGAGCCGTTCTTCTTGTGATGATATGTTGTAAATTATCGAATATCTTGTCGAAAACAGACATAATCTGTTTTTCATCTTCCTAATGGCCACAAATGCCGCTTCTTCATCGATCAATCGATACGATCTCACCGCCCTACCACCGCGATGGTTAGATTGCCCAAGAAAATCAAGTGTTATTGCCGGTACTGGACAATACGAGCATTTCTAGTAGTATCTCGATTTGTTATTTTCATAGATAAGTTTGTGGCATGCAAAACACCACTTGATGATCGGTATAAAGAGAAAGTCAGTCTCGGTCAACGTTGGACATGCGCGCTAATGATCAGTACTTGCAAGACTGAACAAGTATGTTTGCTTCTTTTATTGATTACAAGCATGACAATGCTAATTCATGTAGAAAACTCTCGGTCTTGTTATTGATTTGACGAATACAGAAAGATTTTATAGGAGTCAAGTAGAATTCGAAAAGAAAAACATTCAATATGAAAAGATTCGGTGTCGCGGGTAAAAGAATAGCCAAAGTGATCAAACGAATAAATCATCTATATGTGATGTACAATTTTGCTTTCAGACACGGTGAAACGCCGAGTGATGAACAAATCGATCGTTTTATAAATGTCTGCAATAGATTCTTTGAGCAGAATCCTACCAAAATCATTGGTTCGCTTTGTTTCCTTGAGTGTTCATCTAATCGAAAGGAAATGTTCCATATCGTCTAGGTGTTCATTGTACACATGGTTTTAATCGAACAGGATTTCTTATCTGTATATATCTGTGCCGTGAACACGACATGAGGTAAGAGAATTGAATCATCCATAGACTACAAAGCTGTCTGATTTCAGTATCGATGCGGCAATTGATATATTTGCTAAAGCACGCGAACCAGGAATTTACAAACAAGATTATTTAAATGAATTGCTGCGAAGATACGGTGATGAAAGTGCCACGACTATACCTGCACCTCCCCGACCAGCATGGTGTCTCAGTAAGACGAGAAGTTTCCGTCGAATATATGAAGATCGAACGGAATTTTTGTTTGTAGCCAATAGTGAAGATGAAGATGAACCAAACGAACGACCAGTGGCCAGCGGTGGAGTTAAACGACCACACAGTAGTACGGGTGAAATGTCTAATAAACGATTTCAAGGAGATACTCCAGTAAGGAATTCTATTTGCATAATGAAAGCAAGATTCGAACAGTTTCTATTTATTTCAATAGAAGAAAATTCCACAATTTGCTGTTAGCCTTCCGGGAGTGACGGTTGTATCCCTTCAATCGGCCATGACTCCTATTCAACTAAAGTGTCAGCGAATGTGCGAGTGGAATCGGTAAATACCTTATCTCTCTTTTGTCAAATCTAACTTTTTGTATAGACGAGGTTTTCCCGGATCACAGCCGGTATCGATGGATATTACCAATTATATGACTATTGTACAATCTCCATATATGGTCAGCTGGAAAGCTGATGGAACACGGTGAGTTCCAACGAACAATCGTTGTTTCAGATCTCAGCAAGCTTTCCTCTACAGCTATATGATGTTGATTGAAGACGAACACAAAATTTATATGTTCGATCGCGACAACACCGTGTTCGAAATCAGCCATATACGTTTTCCATTCGATGCTGATTGCACACGCCATCTAAGGGATACACTTGTCGATGGGGTATATAACTTTATTTGTGCTCAACAGTATAGTGGATGTTCCGCAATTTAGGAATTGGTGATCGACGATGTCAATGGCACGAAATATCCGAGATTTCTAATCTATGATATAGTTGTTTATGAAGTAAATGAACAAAATAATGAAAGACATATGTATAAGGAGATTTGACCTGTGAATGTTTAGAATGACAATGTTGGCAAGAAACCATTTCGCGAACGACTTGATATCATACGCCGTATAATTGATGTACGGAACAAAGCAATCACGAAAGGTCTGATTGATCGGAGTCAAGATCCATTTTCCATACGAAACAAGGATTTTTGGGATTTATCCAATGTGCAAAAGGTAAGAGTAAAGTTTTCAGTCGTTGTCAAGTGTTTGTAAACATGTCGAAAGCAATCTTCTATTTGTTTATATTCTATTTCTAGTTAGTTGGACCAAAATTCCGAGCACAAATTGCTCATGAAGTTGATGGTCTGATCTTTCAACCTGAAGCAGATGTAAGATCAAATCAGATGACTTTCATTGATCGAAGCATCATCTTTTCGTATCACGTTTTAGCCTTACACACCAGGACGTTCACCGCGCGTACTGAAATGGAAGGAAGACAATACGATTGATTTTCGTCTAAAAATTGTTCAAGAACAACGGATGGGGTATGTTGAAACATTGACATTGTGTTTCCTTTTCAATCAACTATATTTCAATTCGTTACAGACAATTAGCCGAAAAAAAAGCCTCGTTGTATGTCAATGGTCTGGCAACGCCGTTCACATATATGCGCTTCACACCGAGTCTCCGTCAGTATGACAATAAAATAATAGAATGTTCTTTCTATAAAGGCGAATGGCACTTTCATCGTGAACGGACAGACAAATCTTTTCCCAATGCAAAAGGTAGGATAATTCCTTCGCCCGAATTACTCAATATTTTATCCTTTTTCACTTATTCTAGAAACGGCTTTTGGTAAGAGAGCCTAATAGCTAGGCCATTAATCTTGAATTTCTGTTTAGGAGCAATCGAAGCGCTGAACAATCCGATAACAAAAGAAATTCTCTGTAAATTAATCGAAGACCATTGGAAACCCAATGGGCATCATCAGGCATCACATTAGCATGGAGGTTTTCTGATTTTTCTTCTAAACTCTGTTTTGCTGGTTAAATACGAAACTAGAACAAAGTACACATGTAAATATACGGGCTGATCGAAAGATTCAACAATGAAAACAGCTTTTTGAATTCTCTAGCGTATATGACATTTATTATTTGAGCATACTAGAAACACACAAAATGAAGAAAAAAACGGTACAGTAACATGTTTCGATCAAATCAACTTGATTCAATCCGATATTTCTGTATTCGATGATTCGAACTATCGGCAACATAGAGGTTATTCTCTCGATCCATTAATAATCCTCGAGGATTATAAAGTTGATTGGATTGCCCACCATGTCCATGACCACCAACCACTACAGTGCCTTGTGATGCATTTTTTAACCAACGCATAACTCGATGATTATTTGTATCGGCGATGTAGATAGTGTCAGATTGATCAACAAGAATACTATTCGGACCAGATAATTGTGCTAAGCCATTCCCTTCAGTCTGACTTCCAGCAACGATTGTTCCTTCTTGACTGCCCTCTTTCCATTTCATTACACGATGGTTAAAATAATCGGCAATATAAACTGATTGTTCATGGTCAACAAAGATACCTGTCGGTGAATCTAATTGATTCAAGCCACTGCCACGCTTATTACCACCAGCAACTAATACTCCTCGAACATCACCTATTTGCCATCGTCTTACTTCATGTCGCTCATAATCGGACACATAAAGATTGCCACAATTATCCATAGCTAAACCTTGGCATACAATATCTGAAATGATTACTTTGATCGGTTCATTTTGATGACGTGGCCATTGTACTATTCGTCGATTGCCGACATCACTAATAATTAAACTATCGTTTAATTCGTCGATAATAATGTCTCCTGGACGATTCAATTGATCTAATCTTTGGTCAGAATTGATGTCGCACATAGCATTTGATTTCCATTTCATAATACGATTATTCCAATGATCAACAATATACAGCGTTTGATTATTATCATCCATGCAGATTCGCACTGGATTACAAAACTGAGTAATTCGACATCCTGACTCTTGTTCACCGGCGATAGTTATACCGTTTCGTGACCATCTCTTGTAGTTTCCCACTGGTGAAGAGGGTAACTCTGACTTTGATATCTCCGGCACTAGAATATAAACAAAAATATGTCATTTTAATAAGCGTTACAATCATCGCTTACCTGTAGGTTCGAGAATGATCTTGTAAACAAGCGGCGTAGAATCTTTTGAAATTTTCATCTTGATTAATTTACTTTGTACGTCATTTTTCAATTGCGTTAAATCGGCCTTCCATCGGTAGAGATCTGTTTCGTGAAAATTATTCTCGTTTCGATTGATTCTTAGATCTTCCGTTAGCTTCTGCAAGCGACTTTTCAGTTCATCTATACGTTCAATCGCGTGTTTTGATACCATCAATCGTGCGTCAGTCGCTTCTCGTCGAATGGTCTCAATGGATGTTCTTTCCCATTGATTGATTCTTTCTATCATTGCATCTTTTTCGAATGTCGCCGTGTGTTCAGTGAGAATCTGTAGAATAAGATTGCGTTCATTTTCAACAACGTCCATTTGTTCAGCTAATTCTTGTTGATGATAGTTCACATGTTCAGAGCAAAATGCTTGTGAACAGCCTTGGCATTTCCACACACCGTTACTTTTACTACATACAGCACAAGACGTTTTCCCGACCATCGTTCTTATCTATAAAAGAAACTGTTTCGAATGTGTAAGATAATGTATGCTTAATGAATCTATATGACAAGTATCATGATGTTTATATGCTTCGTAAATTACCTATGTACGATATGTGAAAAAGGTGAATCATTGCGAAAGAATCAGTTTGAAATAGAGAGTATGAGAAAATATCTCGTCATGCAATGTCATGTGATACACACAGATCGTTTAGGTATTCTCTATTTCGATATCGATCGTCAATCTGTAACGTGGATTCTTCTCCTGATTAAAACTCAAGTTGATGTACTTCGTACGTATTCGTATATCATCTTCGATAATTGTCTAATCGATCCTCCTACGTCAAGTAATAAAATAATATTTTTTTGCCGAGTAATTTTGGTCATGACGTGGATACTCTATGTTCGATCGTAATTGTTACGCACCTCATTAGAAGAGCGTAGTACGAATAGTTTTGTTGTACGTATCAATTTATTTGTCATGCAATTTCGTATCAGAATATCATCTCCTTCGTTCATGAGTGTCTGATCGCTGATTTTGTTGAACGATACCAACCAAATGAATCATTTAACGCAATGACGATAGACAAATTTCCGTGTCGAAAGGAAAAATCGTTCGTTTCTTGTCCATGTCATGCGCTTGACTCATTTTTCCACCTTGAAGTGTGTTCGCTTCCGTTATTTCATATTATTACCTCAGCAATTACCCAGATTACTTCATCGTTGACAGAAAAACTCGAAAAGTAACCAACACGGATGATCAGATAATGATTTGAAATCAAAGATGAGTCTGTCAATGACAGCTGACAGCAAAGTATCCTTATCAACATTGATACGATCAAAATTAATCAATCACTAAATATTCATCACTACTTCTCGAATGAAATTACACTTATTGCGAAATACATACGCAATAAAATCGGAATAACATCACATATTGTCATAGTTCCTGGAAAAAAAACAACTAACAGATGTGCTCGATTCAACATTCTACACATTTACAATGTGGTTTTCTCTCTCGAGTAAAGCTATTGAAATCGAGCAAATATCCCATTTTGTCCCAATTCTCATCAAACGTTGACAACATTTCCGAAATGACTAATATAAAGAATCATTATTATTTTCGAAGGAAAAGCCAATAAAAACAAGAAGTTATTCTATTTTCACACCATAATAAATTATGGAAAAACAAACTCTTATCTCCTGAAAAGTCTCTTACTTATGCATGTCATGCGACAAGATCTTTTTGTATGTGAAATATGAAACCTTTTTGAGTAGATCGAACAACTGTCGACGCCATTTGCTAATCAGACTTTGTAACAACTTCTGTTCCATACATACATTCTAAGAATTCACTGAAAAATTTCTTTTATATGAAAACTAAACGCAACCGATCTTTGTCAGCGAGGAGAACTAATATTAACAAGTAGCGTCCCCTTTCGTTATATTTACATGTAAGTCAATATAATATGCGGATAATGAAAATATGAATATTTGATTAATCTTCCAATCATATTATCAGTTGGGCAGACATCAAGAGGCATAGAGGCCACTTCATATAAATATATTTGTTCGAAACGGATACCAATGACAGTGAAGAACTACTCAATCGTCGATAAACATGAAAACAAATACTCATTAGATCATATCAATATGAGACATTCTTTTTTTCTGTCGATTCGATCCTTCTATTCATAGAGGAAAAGTTCGTTTTGGCGTTTTCTAGATAATACGAAAAGCCCATTTGCACGCAAGTCGATTGTGAGAGCAGAAAAACAAGATGAACGACGAAACTATGCGTAATGAATTATCCACGATTCAAATGCAAATCAATCAAACAACAAATGAAGTGAGTAGTGAAGAGTGTTCTCGTTTTTATTCTGATCAATGAAAGCAAACATATTAGTGAAGTGCATAGAAGAAGAGAAGAACGGAAAGCACCGGCCGGAGGCATTTGATTGTTTCAGTGCAAATACAAAAGGAAAGGAAAAGAAAGTCATTGAAAATTCTTTTCAACTATTTACTTTACGCGATGTTCTTATATAAATATATGTATACGTCAGTCTATTTGCCAGTTGTGCTCAATCTTTTTTCGCTTTTCTTTCTTTTTCTCATGTGTACGGTCAAACACAAAATTTTTCTGGAAAATAATTATGACAACGACAAGTTTTGTATTTCCTCGGAGAATTGAAGTAAAAACAATAGTTTAAGCTCATCTTTGGATGATGTGACAACATGAAAGAACAATGAACATTTCGATTGATTCCTCCTTTTCATGTAATCAGAAGAAAACATGAATTGTTTGTCGTCATTTGCTCTCTCTCTCTCCCTCTCTTTTGTTAAATGCAGCTTATTCTTATCAGTAAGACGACTGATGACGATTTCCGGAAATGAACTACTTGTATTTGTTTCTTTTTCTCTTTTCGATGATGTTCAAAGAAAGAAAACTTTGTCGTACTCCACAATGCTCCCCTTCTCTAACTTCCGACATCAATCGACAGCAAGTAAACGTGTGAACTACAGCGTTTACTATTCTTCTTTCTTTTAAAGCAATCATTAAATATCTACAACCTTCTTTTTCTTCTCTTCTTTCTAAAATGTAAAACTATTTGAAAACAAAAAGAAACAAGACGAGCAAATTCCTTTGTCTATCTGAACTATGGTCTTACCGTTCTCATTGAATACGGCTAATACCACTAATAGTGGTGAACTACCGAGATTACTTACTGAAGAAGAACAAATCGTGTTGGCTATCGATCAGACTGTACATGAGGTACTTACAAGTTTGAATTTCACGTTTAAATTTGATTAGTTTTATAAGACTAATTCGATTGTTGATGATGCATTTGCTCTTTAGTCGCTGGAATCAACTCGACGAATGCTTACTCTTTGTGAAGAGGTATGCGCTTTCCTTCGGAGAAATGTCCACGATCTTTGGAATGTACCCGTTCGTTTTAGAGTAAAGAGGCTGGCATTCGAACATTAGTTATGCTTGATGAACAAGGGGGTAAGTCGTAAAGATTATCAAGACGGAGAAGGACTTGAATATGTATGTTATTTTTTTCCTTAGAACAACTTGATGCTATCGATTCGGGTATGGATCGCATTAATGCTGAGATGCGTGATGCAGAGAAGAATCTGGAAGGCTTGGAGAAATGCTGTGGTCTGTGCGTACTTCCATGGAAAAAGTAGGATGAAAGGAATTTTTGTAGGTAATTTAGGTGAATTGTGAAATTTTTAGATCGAAAAATGTCGAAAAAAGTGCAGCATATAGTAAAACATTCAAAGGTAATGATGATGGTAAAGTGAATTCATCGGGCCCTCGCCAAATCGTTGCACAGAACGGCGTTGGGCCAGGCTCTGGCTATATCCAAAAGTAAAATTCAAAGCAGAAACATTCTCATACACACTTCACATTCGTCTAGAATTACCGGCGATGCACGAGAAAACGAAATGGAAGACAATCTTCAGCAGGTCAGTACAATGATTGGAAATCTGCGAAATATGGCGTGTGATATGGGCAATGAAATTGAAAATCAAAATAATCAAATCGATCGTATTAAGGGCAAAGTAAGATTCGAACGGCATTGTTATGATTTGTAACCATCGTTATTCGTTTCAGACGGAGATCAGTCAAGTGCGTATCGAAGGTGCCAATAAACGAGCGAAAACTCTATTGAAAACATAGACAGACAGAGCAAACCATATAATATATCAATAATATCTCAGCTTCTCTTCCTCAAAACGTTTTTGTGCAGAAAACCAGAGTTTTCTTCTTTATTGCCTTGCTTATTTTTGTTTTGAAAAATGATTTTTATCTATTTTCCTCTGATCTGCACGATCTTTTTATATTTCTGAACATAAATTTCTTATTGACTTTGTTTTTTGTTATGAATAAGATCTGCCATATCGAGAGAAAGACACCAAGTGCATTGTAACTGTCGTTCGTTTTTCGGACAATTATGTTTCCGTGTTGTCTGTGTTAGATTTTCTCTTCACTGATGCAATACGATCTTCTTTCTTTATTTCATTTTCTTCTCCTCCGACTCGATGAATATTTCATCGAGATCTTCATCAAATTGATATCCATATCGACATACGACGACTTGTTTTGTGCGTGTTTTTTTCTTGTTGATGATGTCACTGAAAGTTTTGAAACAAATATATGTTTGTTTTTCTAATTAAAAAATATAGAAATGGATTCGTACGTCTTGTTTTATAAAATAAATATCGGAATACTAACACTGGCATATCAATGAATTTCTGTGGAGCTCTCTTGCGTGACTATTTCCTGTTTTCATAACACACTACGACCATCTAGTCGAACGGTCCGGGACGCTTTGATTTACACCGAATGCAACCGCACCGTTGCCTTCCTTTGAAATTATCATGTCGGGAAAATAATCAAACGTAGAAGATTGCTTCCGCAATTAGTCGTCAATAGCATCTTCTCACGTATGTGGCCGATCATTTGCATATTTGACATAGTTCGAACTTTTTCTTTCTTTAGTTTCTGTTTATGTACACAGGGAAGTATTTACCGAGTCATAACCTTCGAGCTTAACCATGTTGATAAGAACGAGATTATCAGCGATAATTGATGTTTACCTCCATCGAACTATTCATGCGTTCCTTCACACTTCACGACGTGTTATTTACTTTCCTGAGGTGAAAATAGAAGTATATTTACATTGGAGCCAATTTCCAACGATAACGTTGAAATATCATTTATTAACGAACGATCTTATTTGGTAGATATTAAAAATTGACCTATGCACATCGTTGTATAGCGACCGTACGTATCCAACTATCGAATACTAGGATAATACGACAGATTTCATTAATGGAACAAGCTCATCGGCTGTTTCCGAAGTTTGCCTAGTCACATCTTCTTTCGCTTCCCGCGCCATTGCGTATGCTTTCATAAGAGAAAAGGCTATATGTGGGAACATTAGTGACGCTTGTCCATCTCCGAAACGTAAGTTCAAATAATTCCAGAGAATATCAACAAAGGCGCATTGAGAATAAAATACTTTCGTTGATTCGACCAATACCGGTTCCATATGTTCAACGCCTTTGGAGAAAATCACAATTAATATTAGTAATTTCAATATTAAATGGTCATCTGCACACAGATGTTTTAATTTTCTAGACCAATCTATCATTTGATAATAAAGAGAATCCGAGTATTTACGTAACGCACTAGCTTCATAGGAGTATTCATTTGGGGTATCTGGTTCGTGATAAATTCCCGTGTTTATGTCGACGCAGATACAAAAATGGTATCCCAATACAACCATTAAATTGTGCTTGACAAGTAAAAGGCGATCGTCTTCGTGTAAAGACTAAAAATAGGAGATTTTCAAGGAAAACTCGACGATATCGAAATCATTTACATTGAATTCTGGTGTCAATTTAAAAAACGTTATCAACCGTAAAGTGGCAAGATGAGTTGGTTCGTTCAGGACGTCAATTAAGTCATCCATGTATCTCAAACATGGACTCGTACAACCTTTGATCACAGATACATTCAGCTGAACGGCTTTTCTATAGCGTTCGGCGATTTTCGTTAACGAATGAACCAAACGATCATCAGTAGACGGTTTGCACTCATTCGACGTAGTACTATCACATGAGTCATCGCTTCGGTTGAGAGTTGATGGCAACATTTGATCATCGGGTGCAACTGATAACGAAGAAGCCGATTGTGAAAGGATTGACATTGCACGTAAACGACGATTATCTTCAATTTTCTGTTTTTTCGTACGTTTTTCCTCTTCGGACATGATCCAGTCTTTTCTTAAACCTTTGTCAAAGCATTTTTTCAAACGACAATATTTACATCTCTAAAATCGATGAAGTTCAAGCGAATATTTTCGTCTGATAACTGACAACGTACCTTTCGAGTATCTAATGTAATCATACAATCGTTGGTACCAGTCCGACATTTAAATTTATCCTAAACTCGAAAATCAAAGTCAGTTTTTTTAGTGGGACACTTTCCATCCTGAAATTTACCGCATTAGTTAATGCATTACGTCGGAAGAACGCTTTGCAACTTTCGCACGTGATTTGATCAAAATTGTAACCTAAAAATAGATTGAAGTGATGAGTAGAAAGGAAAAAAGATACATCCGGGGAAAGGTTAGTTAAATAATTTTAAGTACGCGACCCTTCTTACCAATTGCGGGGGCAAGACAAATAACACAAATGAGATCTTGTCGATCACGTCGACGAAAAGTTCCGTTCGAGTACGAACGTTTTCGATGTTCTTTTCGCACGGATGTTGTACTAATTGTAGATATTCGACGATCTGATTGCATTGCAAGTATTGAAGGAGATCTAGATGAAAATGGCAGATGGTTGGAATGAATTTCGAAAGATAAGCGCTGAGTATTAAGGCATAGTCGTGCGATCAATCACAGGCCCCTAACTGAGTTTTGTATACAATTGTCTTGACGAAAGAAGAAAAAAATAAGCAAAATAACGACAGTAAGATACGAGAACCAGTAGGGTCGACAGAAAAGAAAAAGAAACAGAAAGAAAGAAAATGAGAGAAACGCAAAAAAAAACAGAATGAAAATAGTGGTGAGAACATGTTAGATGATGACAGTGCATTTCTGTGCCAACAAAATACATTTGTAGGTTTTTAGTAACGACAGGTATCTAGAGTAGAATTTGACGTGGGAATTGTAATTTCATCTCGCGACAGACTTGTCTTCCGATATATGAGTTGCATAAAGATCAGTATGTTGGTGATTCTTGAATTCTCAATGACTCGATGTATAACGACAAAAATCTCTGCAGAAAGCGGGTGACCTGGAGTCGAATTCATTAATATAATTTTTGGTAAAACTCCGTTTATATTTTTCAATAACTTCCGAGTTATTTCTCAAGTGCTCCTTTAAAATTTCACTTGTTTAAAAGCAATCATGATTAATGCCTACTTCACTAATTGCTTTCTAGTCGCACTGTGATAGACCAAACTGACCTCAATCTTAATATATCTCGCAAGGATAATCGCTCGATGTCTTTCAGTAACAAGCAGTAAACGAATCTGGTTTCTTTGCCTTTTGCCTAGAAAATGAACAAATGAATATTCATCGAACATTAACTCTGAAGATCAAAACACTGTTCTCTCACGTGTCATTACGTTCAGTTAGCTTAGTTTTCTCATAAAAATGTATTTGATCTTCTAATAAAGGAAAAGTTTCGTTAAAACAAAAGCGAAAAGTTCTGTTTGAATAATCTGTACAAATACAACAATAACCTTAACAAAAGAAAAAACAAAAAAGTACAATCGGCTGTCACAAGCAATACTATCTATTCAAACATTCAATGCAACTGATTTCATTAAAGGCACAAGTTGTTCTGCAACTTCATCGTGTCGAACATAATTGTAGCATGTATTGAACGATTGTAAATGTGCGTCAATCGAAGCGAAAACAAGTTTGGTCCACATTTGAACGGCTTGTTCAAATCCATATGTACTTTCACAGTATTTCCACAACAGATCGACAAAGTAATTTTGTGTACGGAATAGCGAAAGGATGTCGTTCGCAATTGGTTCGGCTTCTGTCATATCTATGAATATAGCTGCGCCTTTGGATAATAATGCAATTATTAAAAATATCTGTACAATAACACGGTCCTTTTGTGTTGCATCAATCAATCGACGAACGCAACGCGTTGATTGATGATATTGTTCTAAGCTAAAACATTGTATCATATCTTTGCCCGCGAACATACAATCACCAGCACCCGGCTCATGGTAAGTATCAGTAATCGGGTCGTAAACGATTGCCGAACGTACGAAAACTAGTGCAAATGCGTTGTATTTAATTAAAACTAATTTATCGCTTTCGTTCAGCGCGGAAAATTCGGGAATCAGTTTGTAAAATGTGATTAGACGCAACGATTGTAGATTTACAGGAATATTCATCATTTCCCACGGAGCATTGATTCGCGCGGTATAAGGATACGCTGGTAGTTCCGGTGGTAGAGAGGCAAGACGAATTGATTCTTCGTATGCTTGGTTAATTTGTTCAATTTTACATGAATCTTCTGGAGATATTGAACATGGGGGAAGAGATAGATGAAGATCTTCGCTGATCATTGCTTCACTTTTGATCATAACGCTTGAAGACTATTCGGCAAAGAAAAAACGAAAAATATTTCAAGAACAAAGTGATTGTCGAGACTACGAACTTCATCGGAGTCAGCTGTGTCAGGGTAAATTAATCGACGAAGTCGCCGGTTTTCTTCAATTTTTCGTCGTTTATTCACACGTTCTTCGTCCGTCAAAATCCAGTCCGCTCGCATTCCTATTCGAAAAATAAAACTACATGCATTAATTTCGAATAAATCTTCCAAACCTTTTTCAAAACATTTCGCTAGTCTACATGCTTTGCAACGCTTTCGTGTTGCCGTTGTTATAGCACATTTTCCATCGTTACCTCGACATTTAAATCTATCCTAGAAACAAAAAAGCCTTCATGAATGAAATCACAAATAACTGTTCACATACTGTCGATCGTAAAGCATTTCGTCGAAAAAAAGCTTTGCATGATTCACATGTGATGGCGTCAAAGTTATAGCCGTGAGCCGGTCCTTCGCATATACTGCAAATTAATCCTTCAGGTTTCTTCCGGACATGTCGTTGTTGTTGTGGATTACTTGGGGAAGTCAATGAATCATCTTTGTCATACGTGTCATTTTTGAAAAGATTATGTTGACGACGTACGACGCGTTTACGATACTGGCTGTTGTTTGTGCTCATAATCAGTTGCGAAAAGGTGTAAAAAAGTTTTTGAGATCGATTGAATTTTCAGATAGTAGGTGTTTGTTTTTTAGAAGCAAGAAAGAAAAAGATCGTACTTTTGAATCAACTAGGTAATAAAAATGCACAACACCGGATAGAACAGAAAAAAGCGAGGAAAAAAATAAAATTACTCAGTTAATGGCATGGTTGTTTATAGAAAGAAAAAAAAGGAGCTAATCCATTTGAGAAGAAATCTATAGTTTTCACTCAAAAATATCTTGTTTAAAATTTTTCTCTTTTCTGCGGGATGACGAATGATAAAATCTCTTATACTTTGTTGACCTTCCTTCACAATGCAACGAGCATATCTTTTCAAATTTATGAAGCAAGACAAATGATAGAACAGAACAGAAAAAAATGTTTTCGCTACTAAGTACTAATATATTGACGACATTGGCTTCTCAAGCTCCGTCAGCTGACGAATGACGATAGCGAGAAAAGCAAAGAAACTATAAAAACAACAACGAACCTCTACTATTTTGTCAAAAGCTAGAGAGTTCGCTAGTTAACCAAAAGGATGCACTGGGTGCTCTTAGTGAACTTTTCGCTCGTCTACGAATGAAATACTTGCTATCAAACCTCAGTTATGTCGGGCAAAAAGATGTGAAATTTTTGCTTAAAATAGAACATTAACACAAATGACGATGTCTCAGCGACTTCACCTTGAATTGACAGCCCAACGCGACAAATAGAATTTTCTCCCAAAAAACAAATATACAGGAAGAAAGAAAATGTACTTTGTCACCATTTACCGACATTATTTCAAAAGAAGAGTGTTGGAATCATTCTTATGTCAAATATTGATCTTAACAATGGAATCAGGCAACAGATGACTCCTCCGACATCGCTGACGTCAATCAGAACGATTAGTGCTTTTATGTTTAAAACAAACAAAAGAAAATCATTGCATTTTATTCTCTATTTCGAGTTGAAAAACTGTTTTAACTACGAGATGCAGATGTATCTGGTAATTGTAAAACACTCTGCATCAATGGTGATAGTTGCGATGCGTCAATAACATCATGTGTAAGATCTTTCAAATGTATGGATAAACGCTGAATGGAGAAAAAGGCACCGATTAAATTTGTAAATAAATGAATTGTTTTCGTTGAACCGTACTGATGTAAACAATATTTGTACAACGTTTCAAGGTAAATATTCTGGACATTGTAGGCAACGAACATGTTATTTAATGATGGTTCGTTAGGAAGATCGTATGCACAGAAGCCTTTAATGTAAACAAGGATGAGTAGAAGGATTTTCACGACCACACGGTCGTATTCAACTATTCGAATTATTTTTGTGACGGTTGCGGTGATATCGTGATAGAAATCTTCGCCTAAGATTTCAACCCAATCCTTGCCTTGGAAGACAGGATCTTGCGTGTTGTGTTCGTGATAGGTATCGGCAACTGGATTATAGATTAGCACAATATGCATGAAAACTGCTGCTAATAAATTGTGTTTGACTAATGTTACACGATCGTCAATATCGAGAAGATGGAATTCTTCAGTTTTTTTTAAATATGTGATGAGACGCAATGACGAGAGGTAAGTTGGAACACGAATGAGTTCGAGCGTTGTATGAATTGAATGTGTCGCAGGGTAAAGCGGTACACCGAAAACTTGGTTATATTCCATTGCTTCGATATATGCGGTCTGAATTCGATGAATTTTGGACCAGTCAACTTCTGTCATTAATGACGTTTCTTCAATGGTATTCGTTGTTCGTTGAGGTGAAGCAGAGTCATCATCTGAGTTACTGTTTTCGGTTCGCGACTAAACAAGAAGATCAAAGATCGGGGAATGTTGGCACGGACATGTCTTACATTGGCCGGAATTCGACGACGATGCCGGTGGACAGTTGTTGGCGCCTGAGAGTGTTTTAGTCGATGTTTTTCTACTAGCTGATTTCTCTTCTTCTGCTTTCTAAAAACGACTACACTAGATTAAACACAAATACGAAATCAACTAGTTCAACTTACTCTTCATCGGTCAGAATCCACTCTTTTCTCATACCTAACATGATGTTCTCGATAAATCATTAGATATCATGACAGAAATAGTTCTTTACCCATTTTGAAACATTTTTCCAATCGACATCGTTTACATCGTTTTCTATTTTCAACGGTTATTTCACAATTTCCAGTACCACGACATTTGAGTCTATCCTAGAAGTAGATTTCAATATTATTCGATGCATCATTCCTCGCATCTATCATATTAACGAGAGTTCCTTTTCAAATACAACATCTAGTCATATCACTTGTACTTGAAGAGAAAAACGTGTTCTAGTTAGTATCAAACTCAGTCGCCATCTCAAGAATGGATCTTTTTCAAAATTATACACTGCAATAGACACAATCGAACTACTATCGAAATTAGAAAATCTTCCGCAATTGCCGACTACATAGTTGTTAACCATTCAACATAGGAAAGAAGTTTACCGGCGGTCGTAAAGCATTCCGACGAAAAAACGCTTTACACGATTCACAAGAAATAGCATCGAAATTGTAACCTGGAAATAAACGTTTGCTCTATGAAAAAAATGAAAGACTTTGGATTACCCAATGCACCGTCGCCACACACAACACATATCAGCGTAGCATTTGGACGTTTACTACTTGGCTTTTGCTCGGTGGATGGATTAGCATTCGCTTTAGCATCGAGGAAAAGATTGTCTTCTTGCGTAGTCATATTAAATCATATTAATCTACAGAGAAAAAATTTCGCTATATGATAGTAGTGGTTTGCGCAATACAAGCATACAAAATGAATACTAGTCGAAAAATGTAACACACGAGATTCAGATTGTTTCTACCTTCTTCACAACATATATAGATGCGCTATTCTTCTTCGTACTCGGTAGGGTTATCCATTAGAAGAAAAGAAAAGAAAAACTATGACGTGTTCTTTACCAATGACGACGATGATGAATAATCTTCTTTCTTCTTCTTCTTCTTCTTCTTCTACTTAATTGACGAGAGCGGCTTTCCTTTCTTTTGTTTGAATCTACACCAGCATAAACATTAATATAGAAATCGTGCATGAAGTTGAGTCAAAGAAAATGCAACAAAATCTAAAAACAGAAATTGAATTTTTCTTATATGAGAAAAAGACCATCTAGTCGTTCAGTTTTGTTATATTCCAGACAAAGATTGCCAAATTACATCGTCGACTTTATTCATGTCTATCCGATTCGGTAAATTAAGCAGGTGTAACCATCTATGGCGAAATTCAGCCCTAGGTACTGTGCTGACATTAAAATCATAGCGTTAACGAATAGGCAAATGCAATTACGTTCGTTGGATTGAAGTCAGACTTTAAAACGTACATAAATCTATGTTCTTACGTGCTCGCTAATGTCGTCGCAATGTTCAGTTTTATCGTCTAAGCCAATCATTGCGATTGAAATATATTTGCCTGTTCAAATGTAGTTTATTTAACGATAAGACTATTCCATCTGGCTGCGGTTCGTGTTTTTATTTCGCAAGGCAAGGCTCTATGTTCAATAAATAACCTAGCAAAACAGAATAATATATTTTACAAAGCGATGACGCATTCAAAACAAAAAAGCATTCGATCAATTAGCGTCTTTTCACGGAAATCAAATCGAACTTTTCAAATTATTTGCGGTTAGATCTATAGAAGACTTTGCATCAATGGCGATAATTTCGTCACATCAAGATAGTCATGGATTCTTGCACAGAAATTCGATATTAGTGTCTGCAGTTTCATAATGCTAGTTGTGAGTTGCAAATGCAATCTTAGTGATTTGGATAAATCATAGTGATGTAGGCAGTATTTCCAAAACAATTCGTTGTAGACGCTTTGTGCATGTAAAATGTGGAGTGCAGTGAGATTATCTGGAGGAGATTTTGAGGTGAAGCCGATACAGAAGAGATTAATTAAGAAGATAACGGACATAGTTTGGGTGCCAGTTTGCAGAATTTCGTTAAGATTCGACCGGATTTGCTTCATTTCTTGATGGAATTCTTTAGTGATCGTTTTCGTCCAGTCTTTTTCTAAAAATAATGGATCGTCTGTATTAGGTTCATGATAAATGACATTTTCAACATTGTAGATAAACATTGAATGTAGAAAAGCGATGAGTAACGTGTTTAACTTAACTAAATAGATTTGTTCATCCATCGTTAAGTGTTGGAATTCGGGAATTTGTTTAAAATAAGTGATTAATCGCATCGAAGAAAGAAATATCGGGATACGAAATAAATCTAATGTCGAGCTAATCGAGTGAATCGCCGGATACTTCAATATGCCAGTTATTTGATTTAGTTTCACTGCCGTGATGTACGCATTTTCAAGAGATTTTAATTTTGAGAGATCTGTTTCGGTCAAATGCTCCACATTGGAGGTCGAGAGACAGAGAAGAGCTTTTGGACTTTCAAGTAAAGCATCAACCGAGAGAGCCTAATGAAAAGAATAGAAAGAAGTTCATCTCATATATTAGGCATACTTCAGTTTTCAGAGCATTTTGAATTTCTTTTATACGACGATTCTCCGCAATTTTCAATCGTTTCTCTTCTTTTCTAAAATAAATACGTGATTAGCATTTGTTCCGGAATTGATTTTATTAACTTACTCTTTGTCTGTTAGAATCCATTCTTTACGCATACCTAGAAATAACCGTTATTAGTGATTCGAGACCATTGGTTGATCTGACCTGCAGCAAAACATTTCTCTAGTCGACACTTTTTACATCGTTTCTTGACATCAAATCTTACAATACAATCATTTTTTTGGCGGCAGATCAATTTACCCTGGAAACACAAAAATCCAAAACAGACAATTCACTATTGTGAGCCATTACCGGTAATCGTAAAGCGTTCCGACGAAAGAATGCTTTGCAAGATTCACATGAGATAGCATCGAAGTTGTAACCTAAAAAGCATCCACAATGGTCAAGCGTTGACAAATGCATTTCTCCACGGAAATACTTACCATGAGCAACACCTCCACAAACAGCACACGTTAGATCCAATTTACGATGTTTTACCACAAATTTTCTTCGACGAATATTCGCACGTTCGTTGAAATCATCGAAAATATCCATTGGATTAGTGCACATGGCAATCAAAAGCAGCGAACTATCTAATAACAAATTAGAAACTGCATTCATCAGCTCCGACTCGATACACTTATGCACAAAACGAAATCGAAATTTAAACGATTATTCAAGCATGTCGATTGATTGATGGGCTTTGTAATCTATCTAAAAATTTTCTATGACTTGAGATAGTACTCTCCTTCATTTCCAATCCAAATTAACAGACTGCGTAATCGCCATACCATTCATGTATTCGTCGAAGCAGACTATACGTTGAAAAGTAAATATATGCACCGTATGACTGACTTGATGTCATTCTCCTTGACGGCGCTGAGCCATAAGGCGGCTGCATGACAATTCACAGAATCGAACAAAACGCTTTTTTGACCCCTTCTGCGCGACTAACATTGATAATAATTTAGTAGAAAACTAGGTTAAAAAGCACGTTGGTTCTAACCTACATTTTTTTGGCGCTTTAACGTTAGTTGTCACTAACAACCGATGATGATATTTGATGAATAATGTTTCAACCATTTGTACTTAAAAGCCGAATCATTGGTACGGACTGACGAGCAATGCATGCTATGTTGATCAAACGTATTAAGAAATGTAATAGATGCTGTATATGGCTTGCTTCGTCGCATGTCGCAACAAGAAAACAATATTTGCATTCTACCCATGACACAGCTATTGGGAAGTACGCGTCAAGTTGTTAAAACTAATTGAAAGAGGTCACCAATATCAGCACGTCTGTCGATGTATCAATCCAACAGACAATCCGAATTTGTTTATAGACATGATCAAGAAAACTCATTCTGATAGTATTCGTGTATTTTACGCTCACGTCATCAAGTTTATCTGGATATGCGAGTGGATTCGAGTCTGAAATGTGGTTCACTTACTGCTTGGCAGAAGAAACATGATCGATCGGCTTTCAAAATAGTGTGAGTAATCATTAGACAATGGACATATGATTGGTCAAAATACAATCTGAATATGCATATTGAACTTGTTTACTAAATATATTATAGCTTTGTCATTTGACGTCATGTACTTGCTGAAGTGATCTAAAACATACATATTTTATTCGATATTTCTTATCTCGTCAATTTTCTGTCGATGCGTTTTACCGATCAGAATTTGATTCGGCACCCAATAATCATATGACAATCCCTTTATCTTGATAAAATAAGTTTGTCAAATAGGTTGATAATATAACAGTTTTTCAATGACGTATAAAGCGATTCAGTTTCGTTTCCCGAATATCAACTGCTCATGTCACGCTGACTGAGAATGTTTAGAATGAGCTGCCATCTATCGGAAACGATATACTTGTCAGAATTACATCTAATTTTCTACTATAACACTACTTTTTATCTTTTTAATTAAATCTGATAGATGCACAGTTGATTTTAATCCTGATTACAATGTTGTAATCAATTGGCTTCTAACTACATCAATTGTAAGTGAGCAATGAAGAAGGAGAGAATGCTGATGCTGACTGCCGGTCGTATGAAAGAAAGAGAATTCTTTTGGAGTTTTTATTCTTTCTGCTGCCATTTTTTTTTCTTCTTTTTTAAATGCTGTTTGTTCAAGGTAGGCGTTCGATGGCAACAGTCATGTTCCGCCGCCCAAAATTTTCGTCATTCTATTCTTTTCAAACTTTTTCGAACTTTTTCGCAATGAATAATGAACAGTTGATTTTTTCCCGTTTTAAAGTCAATAACTTTCGCGATCACTCGTCCCCCATCGGAATTCTAACAAATCATAAATCGATAATTGATTTTAAGAAAGATGTCATTAATCATTTCACATGTGAAGGCTTTTTTTTAGATTTCTTTCTTCGTTGTCAAGAAGATGGACGACAACAATAACAATATTTTCGATGCTCTAGAATCGGTTTGTTTTCTCAGATGACCATTCCCGGTTAACTCATATTCTTCTTCTCTATAGCCATCATCTTCGACCAATTCAGTCAGTGATTTACAAATGAAATCATCAACGAGCATATATTCATTGCGTCGTTCTCATCTTCCATTGATGAATGCAGGCAGCGGAATGTATTCAACTTCTCCTTCACCACCCGAACCCTCATCACCGGGTGAAATTCAGCGAAAAAAACGACGAGTAACTAAGAAGAATTTTCTTTCAAAATCGCTCGTCTGTCTGTTTAACTTAGGATCGAGCATTGCATGATCTCGGTTTTGCTAATCCAGGTCCAAAAAATCTAGTCAATGTAGCAAATGTACCACCGAGACGTTTGAAAACTCGTCAAACGTCAACTCAGGATAAACCTTGGTAAATTTAATTTAACTGACATTTACTGTCAGATGCTTGATAATGTTATCTATCGATTAGTGCATTCTCGCAAGGATGTTATCAGTCTTGTCTATAAGTGTAAATTTCGTTTTAGTGCAAGCAAACCATTGTATGATAAATCAGGATTACTCGCATCCGATCAAACCGATCGTTGTGATTGTAATCGTTTTAAATGTCCGGGATGTTTTGTACCTTGTGCAAACTGTCAATCGGCCAAATGTGGTCTCGAATGTCGTAAGTATTTCATTCTCTTATCGCGAAAGAATTCATCGCTGCGCATTCACTCTTTAGGCAATCTTCGAACTTATTCATATGAATATCGTCTATATGGCACAAATAAAGAAATCACTCAGCAATAGAAAATAATAAATCATCTCAGATCTTATGCATCTTTTTCTTTGTGTGTACTCTCGTCCTGTATATGTACATATTCTTAAGACTGATGATAATTTCTTATACGATATTGTACTTTTTTTTCTCGAAATCTTCCATATGTTTTTATAACTCATGTTGAGTATATTTCTAGACGAACTTATGCTCGTGCGGAAATCGCAGGGTAAAAAGAAATCATCGACAGGTATACCTCCTGTTATTCCATTAGACAGTAGTTTAACATCAATCGAATGGCTACCGAATATGCAAATAGGAGAAGGCTCGCCGGCGACATCCATGACTACAACGCCGTCGACATCGACAGCAACAACATTGCCGACAACACCTATTAAACAATCGTTACCTGTCACTAATAATTATCAGCAAAAACTCGAAGCTGTCGACGTCGAAATACCAACAACAACTGTTCATGATAATGCTCACGTCAAACCTCCTTACAGTTATGTAACACTAATTCGTCAAGCTATACTCAGTACGCGAATGCAACGAATGACATTGAATGAAATTTATCAATGGATTGTTGACTCGTATCCGTATTTTCGTACGGCACCACCTAAGTGGAAGGTTAGATATTTGAATATGACTGAATTCAAAACGAAAGGCTTCTTCCTAGAATTCGATTCGTCACAATCTATCATTGAATAAATGCTTTAAACGACTTCAAAGAAGTACCAATGATCCGGGCAAAGTAAGAGATTCTATTTAGTTCGATATGAAGTACGGATTATCATATGCGAACTAGGGTTCCTATTGGGCAGTTGATGAGTCATCGGACAGTAGTAATCAAATCAATTCTCGTAAACGAAAAGTAAACATACGCATACATTCTAAAGATCGAATCACATTTATCAACATCGCTTTTTTTTAGCTCGAGGAAATCCAACCATCGACTCAGATATTTCCATTATCGCCTGCTGGTTTGATTCAACAACCCCATGGATTTTATACGAATAATAATCCAATGGTATGTGGCGATATTTGCAGTGTCGGTGGACAATCATCATCAACGGATGAATCGGATTCAACAACGTCTCTGGCGAACAATGTAAGACGAATTCAGCTTTCTTACTGAATTTTCGAAATAGGATTACCATATGCTGTTCATTTATATAGCACACTTTGATTCCATGGGATGATTTAAATGTTGATTTAACTGCATCATTTCGTCGATTTCGTGAGCAAGTTTTAGATGCTCCGAATTCACTATCCACAACCAATCCTGGTATGTCCATTTGATATTCTTCTTCTCAGAAAACATCCGAATACTCTTCTTAGATCTTTCGGCTGCTAATCCGAACACGACAACGAACTGGAGTCATGATCTGTTTCCCAATGGCGAAACCAATAGTTTTTTCGAAAGTATCAAATTAGCATCAAGCGGAGAAATCAATTGGCACGAAATTGATGTTAAACCCTATTGCGGTAGAATGCTTTCTCCGAATTTGAATGAAAAGAGACCTTTCTTTTGCAGAATTTCTTGACGGTTTTCGAACAAACCCAGCATTTCAACAAGACCGTGATAAACTAATCAATCTTGCATCATCTCTTTCGTCCTTCTTTGACTATACCGGAATTACGAATCTAGCACAATCCCGAATTGCAAGTAAGATACAACAGATCGATTTAGTCAACGTAAACTATACTCATATCTTTCAGCTGACTCATTTTCTGGTAATCGACTACCTATGACATCTCACAACCTAACATCCGAACCAACAAATAATGTAAATTGACATTCTTTTTTCCACTGATCTTTTCTTCACAGTTCGCTTTTTTAGCCAATTTCACTGCCAGTTGTAATGGAAGAAGAACCCGCTTTCGACTGGGATTCAATTACATAAGATTGCTTATTCAATCAATTGTGTAGATATTTATATATGTAAAGACAAGCAGAGAATGCGCGCGATTGCTTTTTTGTTTTTGTTTTTAAATTCTATTTATCGAAATTCGTTTTTTTCCGTCCATAATGAGAAAAGAAACTGACTGTTCGAACGTCCAACACCAAACTAATGCTTTGTACACGTCCACGTAACCAATGCAATATAGTTTTTCTTTTCCTATCCGTTCGTTCAAATTGTACAAAAACATAAAAAGTGACAATGTACCAGTATGTTTGATGTTTTTATTTTATTCCAATTCCATGCGTACACTGTGTTGAATAATGCTTTTTTTCTCTCGTTCTTTGTATACAGTGATCGGCCGGTGTGTGCGTATTGTAATCACTTGTCGTACTATATTAAAAACAAGACAACTCCCCTGTCTGTTCACACTATCATACACTGTGTAGATTGTTTTGATCAAAATAAATCAATGAGTATGATCTCATTTGTTTTGTCTACGCATTCATCTGTAAAGATATCGTCAGAACAATGAGTCACACGAGTGCGTCAGCAGGAAAATCTCAATTTATCTGTTTACTCGAGTGTTATAATGTATGACTATTGTCTAGATGCTATGGCGAATAGTTTTATGTTTGTCAATCATTCTTATCGATGTCACTATTTTAAGGATGATTTCACTATTGAAACTAGAGTAGATGATTAAGCGTATATATATATATATATATATATATATATTCAATGGATGTTCTAATTTTCAGAACAACTTAAATAAGATGAATCTATTCTTTTGTTTAGAGGAGAGAATAAATAAATATAAAATAATTACACTTCCGCGTGTTATCGTCATTAGTTTTTGAGTGTAGAAGATCAAAACTGGAATTCATCAACTATCATTTAATGAAGCGATTACGGATCACTTGGTTTCAGTCGCAATTAGTGTACATTTATGCTTGAACAATGCCGAGTAACAGTGGAGGAGTATTTCATCAGTTCAGATTTGTAAAGGTCATAAGAAACGGCGGAAAAAGCCGGAACTTTTCCCATCGGATATTTCAAACTTGCAACTTCTCTTCGTGTGATTATTCGACAGACTCTACTGAGATCTTCGTCTAATGAATTCGTTTTGTTATATACGAAACATATCGATACAATAGTTTGAGATCTTGACGAAGGATAATCCTTCTTTTCGCATCATAATCCCGTTTGATTCTTTCGATGATTATTTCATTCCAATTATGAAAGAATAAAACTTTGTAAATCTGTGCAGTGTACCGTAAATCAAAATAATGATGATGCTCAATGGCAATTTTTTTATCGAAGATTCCCAGTACTGTACAGGCAGATCTTTTCTCAAAGTTAGTTATCTGATGGCAATACTTTTACATCTACGTGTTTCTCAGAAGCGAAGATAAGTATTATCTATATTTATCGAAGTAATCTGTTCTTCTATTTTCATTCTGTGAACTAAATTGTTAAGAATATTTAATGTTCATATATATATATATGTTGAATTGAATATTCAATCATGGTAAAAAAGCAAAATTCATATTTTTAAAATAGATTCATAAAATGATATTGAAAAAAGATGATTTAATTAATGCGACATCGATGTTTGTTTTATTTATTGTGAAAATTGCTTAAGAATTATAGACGAACAGAAACAATAAGGAGAAGCGTATGACTGACTTATTGTAAAGGCGTGATTTTATTGTTAAGTACTTGAGTATATGTTCTCCAAAAACAGCCTTTATCACCTCGTGAAGCTGCGTCGTGTCCGTAAGTTTTATTAATCTATTAATTTCAAAACAAAATTTTACTATGCAGAAAAATCAAAAACGAGCAATTCTTTCGGAATGATGCTTACTTCTTCGATGGGTATACGAGAACAACTGTCAGCACAGTCGCACATAGGTCCACAATTATCGGCTGCTTTTTTCTTGCGCTACAAGACAAAAGAATCGAATATGGATTTTGTCCTGTGAAAAACGCTTTACCATTGCAAACGTGTGATCTTCGACACATCTGAAGCAAGCTTCAAGGCAAGCGAAGTCTTCAATATCTCTGGCTGATGGTTCATGAGACATGGATGATGCTCCCGATGATGAACCTTGCTGTTTCTGGCCATCTATATTATAGATTGTATTGGTTTCCAGGTCGATTAATTTGCCCAAAATGGTGCGAATAGGACGTTGGTGATCGTTGTTACGAGATAATCGATTTGTATGATGTTTATTAAATTCGACATCATTGGTAGTAAAAACCACGTTTACACTGACAAGCATCACAATTGAGAGACAGAAGAAGCTAACCATATTGTTTCAATTGGGTCTAATCTACAAAAAATGTGATGTTAATGAGGACAAGATATGGTCATAGAAGCGAAGACGAATGGTGGAAAACTAAGGTAAACTGCCTGAGTAGCGGATCCCGATAGTCTACGCGATGTGTTGGAAAAGAAAACTAACCTTCTTTTTGCCGAGATTATCTGTGAGGGGTCGAGTGTCTAATGACTGTGATAGGGCAAAAGTATAAAAGAAGACCTCTCCTATATTCAGTTAGGATCAACTCACCAGGATGAGTTTTCGATGGATAACTGAACAAATGCGGGCAGAATAGTGTTTGAAAATGAGCTTGAAAGGAGGAGTAATATATCATGTTGATCTCGTTCTCTCTCTCTCTTTTTCTCTTCTTCTTTTCTTGATGAAGGTAACTCTTGAAGAGAGAAAGAGAGAACGAGAGCGAGAAAGACAGAAGTTGACTCATAAGAATGTGAAAAAAAAGATGAAGTCATGAATTAAAATGAAGAAAATAAAAAGATACAGATATATAGATCTGCGGATAATTTTTATATCAACGCATTATTTCTCTAGAATAACTTTCGAAAAGGATATAGTAAACCTTTTATCACGCCTACACTAATCTTTTCATAAATCTCATGAAAGTAACAGGATAGTTAGTTTTCATCAAAGACGTCAGCATATCTAATCATATTTATAGTGTTAAAGGCTAAGATGTATTATTTTTTAATGATTCATTTATTTTATTCCCTACAACAATTGAACATATTTTATTATTCAGTCGTATTCTTCTTTTATGAATAGAGATACGCAATATGCATTACGTCGATGAAGATATCCATCTACAATTCTAATTTCAACGAAGAGGACTTTCTTTCGAGAATTGTCCTCGGCTGATTCATGCATTTCAATGAGTAAGCCTGATGTTTTTCGTATAATTATCACCATCATCATCTATGAATAAACAGCGATCATGCGCCCATTCACATGAATGTCATCTCAACGGAGCGGAAGACGATAATTTAAAACGAAATATATGTATATATTTAAGAAAAGAAAAAAGTAAACGATTACCATGCAGCGATATTTTAATAAAAAAATTTGTTGTGCGTATAAGAGGGAAAATCAATGAAATCTTTTTTGTTATGGCTGACAAAAAAGACTTTGGAATAGGACGAATATGAAAAATAAAAACAAACAATAAGTAAATGCCAAGAATGCACAAGACAAGGAAGAGATAATCTTCTAGTCTAGGTAACAATATGATTTAAAAAAGACAAAACAAAAAAAACTCTTTCAGGCAAGAAGTTTTTTTCTTAATTTAGAACATATAAATTAAAAGTGAAAAAGCTCACTTTGAAAAAGTTATCCTAAATATCGGTGTATATCTGTCAACGAAACAATATTTGAAACAAAGGTATCTGTCATAATACAAAGAAACAATTAGAAAACTATCAGAAATTTTTCTCTTGGCACACTTCGCAAACGACAAAGACTTGTTTTCTTACTCTGGCATAGCACAGCACACGATTCTCACTCGTCCAGTACCACCTGGTAATCCTAATGGAGCACTACCCATGGATGAGAAGCCGCCAGCTTGAGGAAAGCCTCCGTATTGTGGAAAAGCAGGTTGTTGAGGATAACCGCCGAATTGTTGTGGGTACGCACTTGGTTGTGGATAACCGCCGAATTGCTGTGGATAGACGCTTGGTTGTTGGAAGCCACCGAATTGTTGTGGATAGGCAGCTGGTTGGGGATATGCGATTGGTTGTTGAAAAGCAGCAGGTTGACTAAAGCCAGCACTTGGATAGCTGCTATAAGATTGTTGGGGAAAGCCACCATATGATGGTTGTGGTAAGGCACTGTATGAAGCTTGCTGTGGGAAAGCTCCGAATGATGGTTGTGGATAGATGCTACTGAGTTGTGGTTGCGGTGCAGCAAATGAACCGTATCCTCCGTAGTTACCGAAGTTTTGTTGACCATAGCTTGCAAGTCCAGACTGACCGAATCCTCCATATGATTGTTGAGGATAGGCACTGCTAAATTGTGCTTGCATTTGAGGAAAGCCACCATATCCTCCAAGGCTTTGTTGACCATAACTGGCGAGACCTGTTTGACCGAATCCTCCATACGATTGTTGAGGATAGGCACTACCAAACTGTGGTTGAATTTGAGGAAAGCCACCATATCCTCCGAAGCTTTGTTGGCCATAGCTTGCAAGACCTGCTTGACCAAAACCACCATAGCCAGCTTGTCCAATAGCACCGTAACTTGGTTGACTGAAACCACCATAACCTGCTTGTCCAAATCCACCATAGCTTGGTTGACCATATCCAGCTTGTCCAAATCCACCATAGCTTGGTTGACCGTATCCAGCTTGTCCAAATCCACCATAACTTGGTTGACCGTATCCAGCTTGTCCAAATCCACCATAGCTTGGTTGACCGTATCCAGCTTGTCCAAATCCACCATAGCTTGGTTGACCGTATCCAGCTTGTCCAAATCCACCATAGCTTGGTTGACCGTATCCAGCTTGTCCAAAGCCAGCTTGTCCAAAACCACCGTAACTTGGTTGACTGAAACCACCATAGCTTGGTTGACCGTATCCAGCTTGTCCAAAACTACCATAGCTTGGTTGGCTGAAGCCACCGAAACCTGCTTGTCCAAGTCCACCAAAGCTTGGTTGACCGAATCCGCTGAAGCTACCATATGGGCTAGCGCCAATACCTGTAGGAGAAAAACATTATCAGAATCATAGGCACACTTGAAATCGTAATATTTATTACTTGGTAGTCCACCATATCCACTGAGACCTCCGAACTGTGGCAAAGCTTGACTAGAACCTGAATTAATTAAAAGTTCATTAATAGAATATTGTCTACGGTAGAGTATATTTCAAAGAGCGCTTACCTCCGTATGAGGATAGTCCACCATAACCACCCATCATACCGGATGGCATATACGGCTGTTGTGGAGCTATCGAAGGTAATTGAAGTGACATTGAGCAACAGTTTGGACCCATTTGGGGCATTGGGAGTTGTGGCATTGGTAATTGCGGCATTGGCATTGGTGGCATGATCGGTGCAGGAGCACAAGGCATTTGAGGGATCGGCATTGGTGGTGGAGCGCAGGGCATTTGAGGGATGGGCATTGGTGGTGGAGCGCAGGGCATTTGAGGGATGGGCATTTGAGGGATGGGCATTGGTGGAGGCGCACAAGGCATTTGCGGCATTGGCATTGGAGGCAATGCGATGGGCATTGGCGGTGGAGCGCAAGGCATTTGAGGCATTACTGGTGGCATGATTGGAGGTGGAGCACATGGCATCTGCGGAATCGGCATTGGTGGTGGTGCACACGGCATTTGCGGCATTGGCATTGGCATTGGCATTGGAGGTGGCATTATCGGTGGTGGTGCACAAGGCATTTGAGGAATCGGCATTGGCATTGGCATTGGAGGTGGCATGATCGGTGGTGGTGCACAGGGCATTTGAGGAATCGGCATTGGTGGAGGAGCACATGGCATTTGGGGCATTACTGGTGGCATAATTGGTGGTGGAGCGCAAGGCATTTGCGGCATTGGCATTGGCATCGGCATTGGTGGTGGTGCGCAAGGCATTTGCGGCATTGGCATTGGCATTGGAGGTGGCGCGCAGGGCATTTGGGGAATTGGCATTGGCATTGGCATTGGTGCTGGTGCACAAGGCATTTGCGGCATTGGCATTGGCATTGGAGGTGGCGCGCAGGGCATTTGCGGCATTGGCATTGGCATTGGCGCTGGTGCACAAGGCATTTGTGGCATTGGCATTGGCATTGGCGCTGGCGCACAAGGCATTTGCGGCATTGGCATTGGAGGCGGTGCGCAGGGCATTTGCGGCATTGGCATTGGCATTGGTGCTGGTGCACAAGGCATTTGCGGCATTGGCATTGGCATTGGCGCTGGTGCACAAGGCATTTGCGGCATTTGCGGCATTTGTGGCGCACCGCAGCCACCTTGTTGAAGTAAGTTTTGGAATACACCAACTATATGATTTGGAACACAAATTTGACGGACTTTTGGTCCGCCCAGACCACCTGCGAGTATTGGGTTAAAGCCCGGTGGATAAACACTACCGTATCCGCCAAGTCCGCCCAGAGGAGGTTTCACAGATGTAATGAATGGTCCATCAGTCTCACCATATCCTATTGGTATACCTCCTCCACTTGGTTGGTAAATTGAACCGTAATTTTCAATATCCCCATAACCATTGTAAGGATTATAACCGGCACCATAATTGGCGATGTCATTATTTCCTCGAACACGAGCATTACGACCTCCCATTATAAATATTTAAAAATCGGTTTAAAAGAGAAGTATAGGTATTAATAAACGTGTATTTTTGTATATTAATGGACGTTGATGTTATAAAAACGAAACTATCGAGCTACAAGTGTAAAAACTCAGTATAGTTCTATATGATCATATGTGAAAATATATGTCTATTTTGCCTACCTTCGGTTTGGTTAGAGGGGGAGTGGTTGAAGTTTTAGACGCAGACTGCGACTATATTAATATGAATGATTACAACACCCTACATATACACCCTGATGTCTTCTCTTTTTCTCTCTTCTTCCATGATCAATCGACCGCAGCCAAATTGTTAATGCAAAACGAGAGAAAAATGAGAGAAATATTTCATGAACATTTGAATCTTCTATCCTTTCTTCTTTTGCATTTTTGTTCAAGGCCACCTTTTCTGCCTTTCGTTTTTTCTCGCTCACTCTCTCTCCCTCTTTCTTATCTTGTCATTTTTGGTCTCATTTTTTTTTCGATTGGTATAATTGCCTTTTTTGGTGAGTGTCTTTGCCGCCATCAGTGATGGCCTCACCACTTTGAGATGGCGCGCTTATAATGAAAGACCTTGCTTTCAGTTTCTATGTTCACTTGATTAATCGAATGAATAGATAGAACGAAACTACGCATACTATGCTTATTGTACAACACTGATGAATATATCAGTGTGACAATTATATCGTCGGCCAACGCACAGACTAACTTGTCACACGCTTGTCATGAGTGTGGAATTGATTTCTTTCTCTTTTGCTTATATACTTGAGTAGAAGGTTTTGGTAATATATGTGTTAAAATGAATGTGATTGCTTCATCACCGGCAACTGATAGACGGAACACGATCGATAACATGCAAAGATTTCCATCATATTTTAACACTTTCGTTAAATAGAGCAAGAAGAGAGAAAAAGGAAGAGATCGTAAAACAATTCGAGCGAAAAAGAAAAAAAGAGTATTTTCTCAATAGCGTATCGCCAATTTTTTTTTATTGAACTCTCCCTATTACACGTCAGATCGAAATCATCAATCAAATTTTATTTTAATGACCATGAACATTCTGATTGAAACAGTTAAAAGAGAGAAGCTATTGATTTCATATAACAATCTGCGTATTCATGGCAGAAAAAGGTGTCCTTTCAATGTATCCGTCTTTATCGCGCCGATGTTTTTCGTATTACTTCAAAGTACTGAACATTAGTGAAAATATTTTTCACCTTCATACAAGGCCTATCGAAATCGGCCGTCTTCGTCGACGCGTAATTATTGCGCATAGTTAAGAATCAGTTCGTTTTCAAAGATTAATACATCGTCTCATGAACATGCAGACTCGTTTTCGTGTCTTGATTAAATCATTTTGTCAAAAGTGTAATAGTAGATTGAATAACTATCCGGATCATCATTATTCATTTCACATCTATCATTTACAAGGAAAAACTTAGTAGTGCGTGTCGTGTATCTTTAGTGACAAACATCTATTTATCTATCAATACCTGTCTATCAAATGAGTATGTCTAGTGAAATATACAAATCAGAATGACAGCTATCAAAACCACACAAATATTTTATATTTCGTTACCATCTGTCAGTGTATATCAGACGAAAATCAAGAAAGAAAAATCTATCATTACAATCATAATTACCGAGCTTTTTTTATAACATAGTTTTGTACGTATATGTACACATAGATGAAAGAAACAAAATTGAAATAAATTTTCGTTCGAAAATGATTAATATTTAGTTATATGTATATATGACATAGATGTAGAGAGTCGCAAGAAAATTTGTGCACGAATGAAGACAGGTCAAATGCATATGTGTAGAGATTTCCTTTATTTTTCTTGTCTAAACAAATGTTTAATCAAATGAAGCAGTATAACAAACAGACACGCAAGAAGGAAGAGGAAAAGAATTATAAACAATGATAATGAGCGAAAAAGAAGGATGTACTTCACTACTAAAATACTAATCTGAAATAGATTACGTGCATAAAATGGTTTAAGGAAACATCGATAAAGATTCCAATTGAACTAAATAAGACTGATAAGGTCTTGAAATAAAAGCGAACAAGTTTACTTGTTCGTGGTAAATTGTAGTTAAGTATGGGTGTATGTATGTATAGGTGTGTATGCGTCGGTTGTTATTTGTTTGCTTGTTTGTTTGTTTGTTTTAAAAGAATGTTCTATTGAGTTGGACTATTATTAAACGACAAAGTATTTGTGATGGTTTTTTTATGAGCCCAGAAGCACAAGAGTAAAAAGTAAGCAAGATGCGATTACACAGCAAAAGAAAAAAGATCAAAAAAGAAAACAAGTGTCTAACTGATAATCTAAGTTGAAGTTTTAATTAGGTGCTGGAAAGCAACAGCAAATCATGCGGCCACTGCCACCTGGGGCACCACTTGGAGGTGGTTGAAATCCACCGTATTGGTGTTGAGGTGGAGGTGGGAATGATGGTGGTGGAGGTGGTGGTGCGTGGAAGTGATCAGATTGACCGAAGCTAGGACCGGATTGTTGGAAAGCTGGTGGTGGTGGTGGAGGAGGAGGTGAATAGGGTTGTTGCGGGGGTGGAGGCGGTAGTGGAGCTGGTGGAGGTGGAGCGTAGTTAGATGGTGGAGCAAAACTTGGTGGAGGAGGAGCAAAGTTTGGTGGTGGAACGAAACTTGGTGGTGGTGGTGGTGGAGGTGGTGGTGAAAAGCTTGGTGCTGGACCGAAGCTAGGTGGAGGTGGGAAGCTTGGTGGTGGTGCTTGGAATGATGGTTGTTGACCGATTGGTTGAGGAACTGGTACAGGCACTGGGTATGGGTGAGGATATGGTTGAGGAACTGGATCTAGAACGACAAATTGATACACATTATCGTATATCTTTCTTCAACGACAGCGCAAATCCTTACATGATTGTGGGCCTGGGGCAACAGGCGCTGAAAATTGTGGTGGTGGTGCAGCTTGCATTTGTTGGTATGGCTGCATCAATGGTGCACCGACAGCTTGTAATGAACGCATCATACCCATTGGTGGAGCTTGACCGCCTATAACAAACGAAATTGTTGTAGAAAAACAAGAATACGCATTTTTGCAACATTTCGTCAGAAATAAAAAGAAACAACTTAGATTTTCAACACATACCGAAGTCACATCCTGGTGGGAATCCACCGGCTTGTGGAGCGCCGAAGCCTGGCATTTGTGGAGCACCGAAACCTGGCATTTGTGGAGCACCGAAGCCTGGCATTTGTGGAGCGCCGAAGCTGGGCATTTGTGGAGCACCGAAGCCGGGCATTTGTGGAGCACCGAAGCCTGGCATTTGTGGGGCACCGAAGCTTGGCATTTGTGGAGCGCCGAAGCCGGGCATTTGTGGAGCGCCGAAGCCGGGCATTTGTGGAGCACCGAAGCCGCTCATGGATGGAATACCAGTGAATCCGGTACCATAACCTATGGTTCGAAAAGAATTAACATGGCTAAATAATGAATTAATTGAGTCAATGACAAAACTCACCAGCACCAGCAGCACCTCCGTAGGAAGCCAAACCACCGATACCGCCACCCTCAAATCGTTCACAAATCAAATAGTCAGTCACGCATCATTGATTTCAATGTGATACGACTCGTCTCAATGTTGTTCCTGTCGTCGTCACTGTGTCATTGTCAAATTTATTTTACTTCAATAGTGCGTCTATGAAAATAGTGAACAACGCCACATTGGTAAAGCGCTACCATAACCTACGAAAAATTGAAAATCATGAAACATTTATTTGTCGAAAAGAGAGCACAGAAAAACTTACCGCCACTGAATCCGCCGACAGCACCACCGAATGGCATACCGCCACCCATTGGCATACCGCCCATCGGCATACCGCCCATTGGCATACCGCCCATGGGCATACCACCCATTGGCATACCGCCACCATAGCTGGCGAGACCTATAATTTTCATAGAGAGAAGCAAATTTCACAGTAGTAAAACATCATAATTCAACTGTGAACATACCACCACCCATTGGTGGACACATAGGTTGTTGCATTGGCATTGGCATTGGCATTTGTGGCATTGGCATTGGAGGTGGGCACATTGGTTGAGGCATTGGCATTGGCATTGGCATTGGCATTGGCATTGGCATTGGCATTGGTGGTGGCATGGGGGGTGGGCACATTGGTTGGGGCATTGGCATTGGCATAGGGGGTGGGCACATTGGTTGAGGCATAGGCATTGGCATTTGTGGCATCGGCATGGGGGGTGGGCACATTGGTTGAGGCATAGGCATTGGCATTTGTGGCATCGGCATGGGGGGTGGGCACATTGGTTGGGGCATTGGCATTGGCATTGGCATTGGTGGTGGACACATTTGTGGCATTTGCATAGGCATTTGTGGCATTGGCATAGGCATTTGCGGCATTGGCATTGGACACGATGGAGCACATCTATACATTGAGGTAAGAAAAGTACATAAATTGAATCATCATAAACTCAGTGAAATTACCCTCCGGCACCACCGGCACCACCTTGTGGGATGAAAATGACACGAATTTTAGGTGGAAGGCCGCCTCCCATACCACCTCCGAGACCACCTAAACCATAGCCACCGAGAGCACTTGAACCACCCATACTAAGTGGAGCACCAATAGGCTGTCGAGGAACGACGGCTGTGGTAACGTATCCTGTTCCGTACCCGCCAGTTGGAAAGCCGCCTCCAGTTGGATAGGCACCACCAGTTGGGTAACCACCACCATCTGAAAGAGCAATGCATTCACGCTCGTATTCGATGTCTGCGAATGAATACGAAATGAAATCAATACTTACAAGATACTGGATCGTAAGCTCCACCATAATAGTCCATTCCGTAATTAGGATCATAGGCTTGACCATATCCTGAAAGACCAGGTTGTTGACGACGATTTACTCGGTTTCCCATTTTGTCGTATATATTGCTATGTAACTAATCTAGTGCCTAGAACTAAGAAAGAGATAGTTTAGAAACAAACTCCATACTCATGAACTATGCAATATATGTATTGAAAAAATAACAGTACAACGTTTCCTTCTACTACTGCTGGCACGCATACACACACACAAATATATGTATACACACAGATGTATATATGTATATAAACACACACGCTACCTACTCTTCTTCAAATGACGACCACGGCTGTCGATCTAGAGTAATCGATCTAATATGAATGCTTCTTATTTTATAGGTAAGCGGTTTCACCTTTGCTTCTTAGTTAACAACGAGAGGAAAATAGAGAGAGAGAGAAAAAAAGAAGAAAAATAGAAGAGAAGAAGTTTTTTCCGGCCGAAAAAATTGCTTGCCCAGACATTTGTCCCTAATTTTGAGGACGAAAACTGTACGATACAATTGGTTTATCATATCTTTCTTCGAATCGTCCATGCATCATTCGACTACGCATAAAGGAAACGAAGGTTATTAATTCTAGTTGTGGCATAGAAAAAAAAAAGAGAAATTTGTTTTTTGCCGTCCACGGCCGTTTTGTCTGTGGTAGAGAGAAGACGAGAGAGAGAGACGAAAATGATTTTATTTGCCACACCTATATTCACGGCCAGAAAACCGCGTATAATTTGCCTGAACGTAGTTGTTTCCTCTCAAAACGAATGGTTAGAAAAAAAATCAAATGTTTTATGAGAACACATGCGAAAATAGAAACTTATCAGAAAGAAAAACTGGCAAGTTATCATTGTATCATGTGTATGTATTTTTCTGATAACCTTGTCGTTGATGAGTTGAAAAGGGTGCTTGCCTTTACACCAAAGATAGCATGAGAAGGAGAGCGGGAGAGAGGGAGAAGGAAGGTAAATAAGAGACAATTTTTGTAATCAATTTGATTGATCATCAATTTTTTTTTGTGGTTTCGCTTGATGTCTAACTAAAATCACTATTTATTACGGTTTCAAGGTTAAGACAACAAAATAAAGTGATCAAGAAAACATCGGGAATACTGCGATGCCCAAGCAAAGATACAATAACGTATATTTCAATGAGAGAGCGAAAATTGTGTAATGAGTGTGAGAAGGAAAATTGCTTTTTTACCGATAATATCAGTGTAAACAACTGTGATAATATGCGCCTGTTAGATCCCTCAAGGCAAGTGCTCATAATGAATAATAAACACTTTTTTATTTGCAAATTGATAGTGACTTGATTAATATTAATTAGTTTCAATTTGTGTCGAAATGAAATTTGCTTTTCGATCAACAGTCTTCTCTATTCAATATCAAAATAAATTGATTCAATGCTATTCGAATGTATAAGAAATAACAACAAAATACTAAACAATCGATACGTTTCACATCAGACGTCCGAGTCGTATTCCGAAATGAATCTTCGCGATAATGTGGTAATCAATAAAAACTAATCGTTTGTTTGTACTACATATTAATGAATGAAACATTAGACGGATTTCTATTGCTTATATACGTCTATCAAATATAGATATTACTCTTCTAGGCGATTAATTTGAATTTAGCTCTCGATATCTCTTTTTTTTTCATATATTGTTCTTTTCAAACGCCTTTTCTCTTTCGTTCTTGTCCGGCTTGTTTTCTCTCGTCGTTTCGAAACTAGATCATCATCATCATCGACAACAAACAACAACCTTCTATTCAATAATGCTAGCAACACAGAAACAAGAAAGTATCCTATTTTGTTATTGCACATATTAATCGTAACAAAATTATAAGACGTACAAGACTGACGTCATGGTTGACTGATTCACGCCACAATACTTATGTATACGCGTATCACTTACCCACACCTCATCAACGTCATTTTTTTCTTATTAATTGAAATGTTTTTTTTCTTTCATTTGACTAGTTTTCGTTTTATTTTTCTCCCCCTCTCATATTTTTTCTTCTCTGTCATTACCCGTCTTTACTTTTATTTCATATTCTACAACTTATTCAATCATTCGATGATCGATCGCGATACATGTATTTTTTATTTGTATCTGTGTTATGTTTTTGCTTTTCTTCTTAAACATATATATCCTGCCACATTATTTTAATAGTTGTTTTCTTCTTCTCATTCACTTTTAAGGTAGTTAGCATAATCATTTTCCTCAATAGACCAACGATCATCATTAATTCAATGAAAAAAACATATCAACGTATGATTCGTTTCGTTATAATTGCATTCTTTTGTTTTTAGACAGAATGAACGCACGTCCCGCACAAAGACTTCCACAACGAGCTCCAGTAGTCAATCAGTAAGTCGAACACTTTCTTCGTACTTAATCACTAATCTCGTTTTTCCTAGACAAGCACCAGGGAAACTTCCTGACCGTCGAATAGGCGCTGGTGTTCCTAATCGTGTTGGTGCCCTTCCCGGTGGACGCTCAGGTCTCACCACAGGAGTTGTCGAACCATGGGCAGTGACAGAATGGACTGAATACTACGTTCCAACTGTTGCTGGTAACAAACGTCCAGTTATCTATGTCGCTGCCCCATTGAATCAATGTGCAATGGGAGGCATGGGAGGCATGGGAGGAATGGGAGGTTTTGGTGGCATGGGAGGCATGAGTGGCATGGGTGGCGGCTTTCCAATGCTTCGCTAAGAAAAAGAGAAGGTTTCTTCCATCTTTTCCCAGATTCAAATGCAAGTTTCCTTTTTCTGATCTTCTAATGGACACATAGCACAAATATGATCTCGACATTCCCTTTATTGTTCGTACATATATGTGTGAATATCAATGTTAGATTTCCTTTCTCTTCTTCTTCTTCTTCTTCTTTCATTTAGGTGTCTATTGATTATTTTTTCTATCACCTGAGTTAACATTACCTTAACACATTTCTTTTCCGTTCTTTTTTTTGTTTTTTTTTCGCCTTATTTTTGTCATTTATTTTAACAAAACAACAACAACAATAATAATAATAATATGCTGACATAATCAACGTTTCTTATGTAAACATGGCGCAAGTGTGACAGTAGCTTTCGATTTGATATCTTCAGAGATTTTCACGAAATCGAATGTATAGAAATACTTCGACGGAGCGTTACTCTTCTCTTCCATTGAGTTTGTTTTCGAACATTGGAAACCCATGGCTTCGATTTTTCGTACAAACTTTTGCGGTTGATTTTCGAATCGTGAAGCAATTTCGACGATTTTCATCGTTCCACGTAAACGAAGAATACGATGCGCTTCATGAATGAAATCAGTTAAATTTGTTCCCATCAATGACAAGCAAAAGACAACAATATCAACCGAATTTGATTTCATTGGCGTATGTGCAATGTCACACACTTGCACATGTTCATTCAAGGCAACGAAATCAAAACTGGAAATATTCGGATGGGTCAACTTCAATGTCCGAGCTAGACGAGCATCGCCACATCCCATATCGGCAATAACGAGATTTCCCGAGCGTTTTCGAATGTATGCAATAATTTCATCCAATGGAGGATCTGGCCAACGAGTCATGCTTGTCTAAAGAGACAAGATATGAAGATTTTTTGAGAAAATAATTGCTAAACCTTACCGCGTAACCTTGGTGATATGCATAAAATGATTGAGGATCTTTTTTAAACATATTTTGAGCTTCCGTACTTGATGTGGTATATAATTTCTCATTAAGATAACGAAAACGAGATGTAATCATATTAGAAACAAGTTTATCACAAATTGACGGTTTTGATTCTTGCGAAGGTTTTTTCGCGGCTGGTTGCTCTTCGGGTTCATCGTCGGATTGACGTTGACGTTTGTTTGTTTTCGTTACGGACTTAATCACATCCTTCAATTCCGGATGATTCAATAGATAATATTTATTCTTTCGGCTTTTCTTCGGTATAAGTGAGCTTTGCTGTTGACTTTCCAGTTCTTTATTAATATGCTTTTTTAATTGCAATCGTTTGACTTTGACTTTGTGTTTCTCATCATCGGATGAATCATCATTCAATATACGTTCTTCACGTTTGCGATCAGCTGGGTTATTATCATGACGTGGAATACGTTCGAAACTTTTCTTCCCTTTTTTCCTATCAAGCAAAGATGATTCGCTATTGGCGAGTATCTTTTTCACTTGAATGTGGTTCTTATTCGCACGCTTCTTATGTGGCATCTAAAAAAAAGTGCATATTTTAGATTGACAATAAATCATTCGATGCATTTATGCTAAAACAATCCTTGATTGTGTAATAATTAATTTGCATGTTTTGTCAAATCATACTGAATGGAAGGTTATTGAAAATAGATCGAAAGACGATACGATGACAAGCAATGATGTGTGACGGTAAGTCATTTGCTGATATTTTTCAATTCTTTATCTAAATCAATGAAGAAGCATATCGTTAGCGAGGAAAAAACCTTTTCAAATCACAAATTTCTTCTTTCAAATGATCTATTAATTAAAATACGAATAGACATCCAAAAAGAAATATACAAAATGTTAAGAACTATCTGATGACGATTGCCGGTCGGATAGGAGCGGTCGTCGATCGTCATCGAATCGTTGCGAACTATGCCAGAAACCGTAGAAACCATAAATTAGGAAACCTGAATATAGATTCAATTGAAAGTAAACAAGAAGCATGATGTGAAAAACATATTTACCAGTAAACATCCATATACCAAATCGTATCCATGTTGCGGGCGACAATTTAAGAATGAGATAGGTGTTGATCAGCACACTTAATATAGGTACATAAGGAACTAATGGCGTCTATTGAATAGAAGCAAAATCAGATAAGAACTTGATTTCGAATGAACAAGTTTTACTTGAAAGTAAAGCGAAGCCGAGTTTTTAGGTTGGTTGGCCATTAGAATAACGAAGAATATTTCCAAAATAATACAAATTAAGAAAAGAGCGAGAACCAGGGGATTTTTTCGCATTATATAATCACTAGCGAAGATTTGTATTGCACAAAGAAGGAAACCATTGATTGCTAGTATTAATCACAAGAAGGTGAATGAAACGAAAGTTGGAAAGAGAAAGTTACCCAAAGAAACAATGAGATATCTCGTCACAGTTGCTGTGTCCTTTGTTGGACGTATTGCCGACGGTTTGAATAATCTAACGTAGAACGATTCGATCATTCGATCCTCCGTGTGCAATATTGACTCTTCTGAGGGCTGGTAACTAAGAGACTTTGGGGTTTTATTCGAAACATTTCGTTAGAAATCTCATACCGAAGGTACAGTACCGATATTGACACAAGAGAATAGGCAAGTAATGTTCCAATGGACATCATTTCAACTAGTTTTTGCAAATCGAATACTAATGCCATGATTGCTAAAGTAATCGAAAGAAAATTGAACGAGTAAAGATTCAGTTTGTGTTCACGTACCTGCTGCAACTCCACCGAAGATAGTTGCGACTATTGGTGTCTGCAATCGTGGATGTATCCAAGCTATAAATCGAAAGATTAGCCCATCTGACGCTATGGCATATAGCACACGCGGAAGTGGTAAAAGGGCACCAAGAAGAGAACAGAAAATGCCTATAGGAAAGATACAATTGAATCCGATCTTTGATCGTGTATAGGTCTATACCGCTCAATGCACCAGCCCCAATGATATATTTAAAAGCAGGTAGATTTACATAACGAAATGCTTCGGGTAAAACAGCATCAGGATTGATCAGATAGTATGGAACCTAAGTAAATGCAGATGTACTAATCTCTGTCATAAATTCACTCAACGAAGCCGCCTCTCTCATAATATTTTACCATTAATGTAACGACTATGGACACTCCGCAGTAGAGGATGGAGCAGACAAGCAAAGTCAAACAAATTGATATTGGAATTGCTCGTTGTGGATTTTTAGCCTCTTCACCTATATTGAAAAGAAAATGATATTCGTTCTTTTGAACGACAAGCTTTCATCTACCTGTCGCAGCCACAAGATCAAAACCAACAAACGCATAGAAACATGTCGCTGCACCAGCTAATGTTCCTTCAAATCCAAACGGAAAAAATCCACCTTCACCAATTTTTCCAGTGCTATTTGTTATATTATGAACCTACATCGAATGAAATTACAAACATAAGTATCTATATTTCATGGCACTATGGCATACTTCATCAGGCGATATATTCCAATAGTGTCCATGAATTTTTGTTAAACCCACAACGATGACGAGACAAATTACAGTGAGGTTCACAGCTGTAAGAAGATTATTCAAGACAGCGGATTCTTTGATTCCGATGACCAGAAGAACTAAGCAATGATCTTGAAATTTTTGAAAATTCCTCACTGGATGATCGATTTACCTGTGATAAGAAGGCAGAAGCTCATTGCCAATAGATCTGCATATGCTGAGAACATTCCAGCATGTAATGGAAAATGTTGAGTAAAATAATCTCTCAGAGCAAAACCGATCAAGGAATCGAAATATGAACTTAATGCACGAGCTGTGCTCGCAGCACCTAAGAGACAGAGAAACAAAATCTATCGTTTATTTTTCTTCAACAATCACGAAGATTAGCAAGCGCTCAATCGAATTCATAGCAAGAACAAACTTCTATCAATTGTTCAACATTGCACACATCTACAGAATCAAAAAACTAGGATCATAGTCGATTTTAATCTTCTTTTTAAGGTTTCATACGTTTATAATAATCGAACTTTCAAAGGACAATATGGAGGAGGTTTTATTCTATTATTCAAAATAATTTCCATTTAGTTTATATCCGTGACAACGAAGCTCGTCGGTTATACTTCATTTTGATATTTTTAAGTTACGCTTCATTGAAAATAAAAGCAATCATTTCTTGACATCGTAGGAATGACATTCAACATTGAATGATTGCTTCGCAGTACTTTCATTAAAGAGAAAGCAGTATTTGTCTATATTAGTAACAATCAAAACAAGTGCCGTGGGGGTGTCGATGCTTGTTTTCAGTCCTTTCTATTTTAACTTATTCTTATCAATCACGAGTATTCGCTTTCTAAAACAGGTCGATTGTATTCATACTGATGATATCGATTTACTTCAAAATTTCAATATCTGTTAGAAGAAAATGCATTAAAGTTCTAAAGATAGCTACATTGATATGCTCACGGCGTCAAAAAACCAGAGCAATCACGTGGCAAGAATATCGAACGAAGGTGGTCTATAGTCTGTATGGATTTATCACGAATTAACGCTTCTTCCTCACTCATCAATGTGTTTAAAGAACACTATCGTATCTATCTTAAAATCTGTATACTTATTATCTCTTCATACTTGAATATTACAGATAACGACATCGAAATTTACGTAACTGAATACTACTAAAGCATTTCGCAAAAATTGCTCTCTAATCGACTTACCTATCACATATTCTAAAATCATATTCCAACCTAAATTCAAATATATAATTTGAATTTCGTAGAAGTTAAATACGATCTTACCAATAATGAAAGCCATAAGTTCTCCGACACTGACGTATGTATATGTATAAGCACTTCCGGCACGTGGTGTCCGTGCACCAAATTCTGCATAGCAAAGTCCGGCAAGTACAGATGCTACAGCTGCGATGAGAAAACTAAGAATCACAGATGGTCCTGCCGTTTCATGAGCAACTTGACCAGTAAGAATATATGTGCCTGTTCCCAACGTTGAACTAATACCTAGAAAAAGAAAAGACAAAGATTAATAATATCATCGTATCGATTACTTGCCCAAAATAGTTAGGTCAAATAAAGTTAAGCAACGCTTCAGTTGAGACGCATGCAAGGTCTCTGCTTCGAACGTTTTTCGTCGTGTCAGACTGTTGTAGAGTGTATGAATAGCACTCGCCATCCTATCTTTCTAATCACGTGTAACTAATTATTAGAATTTATCCTTGGACGAGTGTGGAATGATGAGAATATTATCTATAAAGTAATACAACAATAAAGAACCCGTTTTCCTAAAAATAATGATTCAATAGTCGAGTGATTGATTTTTATTATTCGATTACTGGATTTATATTAACGCCATTGGATAATTTGACCTGTTTTTTTTCGAGCGATTGATCTATTCTACTTCATGTCTTGCTTGTAGGTATTTTTTTTCGAATTGATTGACCAAATAAAAAGTTGATCGAAAGATGGCGTGCTCGACTTGTATGTATCACATCTATTTGTAAATCTGGAAATTAAACTTGTACGATAAAAATGAAAGTTTATTAATTTTCGCTTTCTTCAGATACTTCTATTTTCTATTCGACAATTCTACATTGTGACTCATTTCTTTTCCGATTGGTGCACTTTTGAAAGAAGAAATTGTTCAAACTTCTCATAGGAAAAACACAACTAAATAAAATGTTCCATTGCTCATCGCATATCCTAATTTTTTACACTAATTCCAAGTAAAAGAAAACTGCGAGACTATGTTGACATGGCACCTGTAAGTAGTCGTCATTTTTCTCAATCAAATAGTCGACATTATCGACCACACACGCGTTCCGATGAACGATCTCGACGAGACAATCGCTACGATGTAAGAACCATTCGATATCCTTCCGAAAAAGTACTTTTGATATTTGCCAGAACAAACGCACTCGACGCAGTCACTCGCGATCGACAGAACGTCGACGAAGTGACACTCGTCTATCATCAACGAAATCATCTGCAAAGTCCAAACGACGAAAAACGGTTAGCGATAATGAGTACGATGATTTGTTGAAAGCAGAAACAGATCCGGAAAAGAAATTTCAATTGACTTTAAAAAAACGTAATGCAATAATCAAACGAACCTTAGCTAAATCTGTAAGTCGTTCTGCTTTTTTCTCCGACTGTCGAAAGATTCAGCATTATTTTCATTTAGTTTGACTTGAGCTCAACAGCTCTATCGAGACTAGTGGTAGACAAGTGTGATGAAACAATTAAAGACTCAATTCTATCAAAAATCAAGTAAAGTTAAAGAAATCTTTCGAATTGTACATTTGAAAGTCATAACGCAGGACGCAAGCGGAACGCAAACAAACGGACGATTCCAAACCAATTCAAACATCTCGTGTTGTTACTGATGAAGTATGACTTCCGTTTGCTTTCCCGAATTGAAACGAATCGGATTTTTTCCTTTTAGGTTCATTTATATGATCAAATATCTCGGCTAGATGACGATGAATTTGATGAAGTAAATATTCGAACTTCATTTTACATTATGCCGAAGTTTTTTTATTCCAGGCACCGAATAACGATTACTGTCAACAGTTTGTAAATATGGGTCAACGACCGCAGAATTATATTCGCGATGCAGGTTTGTACAGTTGCATATTCTCTTGATTGTACGAGTAAACTTCGGAAACTGCAAACAGGTCTTCGTGGTCGATTTGAAGAGTATCCTAAATTACGTGAATTAATTCGTCTAAAAGATGATTACATCGAGAAAACCAATTCTCCGCCAATGTATCTACGTTGCGATTTGTTAGCAAATAATTTTACGTTGGCATCACTTGATTGTGAATTTGATGTTATTCTTATTGAGCCACCTTTGGAAGAATATAAACGAACAAGCGGGATTCATTTTGATCGTTATGTTACCTGGGAAGAAGTAAGTGAAAGCTTAATGATTGAGAAGTTAATTTAATTCGAAGAAAATAACTAGGTGATAAAACTTGATGTGGAATCGGTGGCAGCTCAGCGATCGTTTGTTTTTCTATGGTGTGGATCTGCCGAAGGTTTGGATCAAGGACGAGCAGTACGTAGAGAACCAGTGTTGAAAAATGAATTCGATGCATTCGATTTTGCAGTGTTTGAAGAAATGGGGATTTCGACGGTGTGAAGATATCTGTTGGGTGAAAACGAATCGAACGAATTCCCGACCAGCACTAACGTCGCAATCGGGTTCGATTTTTCAACGGACTAAAGTAATTCATTTTGCCGTTCCTAAACATATGATTTTATCGCTGTCTAAAGGAACATTGCTTGATGGGTATTCGCGGTACCGTTCGTCGTTCCGTGGACTCTGACTTTATACATGCCAATGTGGATATCGATTTAATCATAACTGAAGAACCCGAATGGGGCGATCCAAACAAACCAATTGAACTATATCACATTATTGAACATTTCTGTTTGGGTCGTCGTCGTCTACATTTATTTGCTCGAGAGTCCACTATTCGACGTGGTTGGCTCTCAGTTGGTTCAGATATCTGCACATCAAATTTCGACAAGCGCATTTACAAGGCATACTTCGAAAATCCGCTGCCAGCACTTGAAAACATCACTGAACGCATTGAGCAACTCCGACCTAAATCACCTCCACCCAAAGGTCTGAAAGCTGCACCTGGAACAGCTTCTGCTGTGGCAAATTCCAATTCAAACGCAGCATCCGCTCAACAAATCATTCCGTCGAGTGTGCCGTCATCAGTATCAACAAAAGACATGGCTACATCGCTTGCTTTACAAGATGGTCAACAAGCCATACGTTCGACTATAACAAGTAATCGTCAATCGTCCTCACGAGCAGTTCGTCCACATTGGGGTTTATATACGGATGATATACCGCCTAATGTTTATCCTCCGATGCTGCCTTCGCCGACACGGCATGGTTATCCAACACCTTACTCGGAATTACATTTGCTATCTGAATATGATTATGCTATAGCAGCTGGTAGTAGTAGTAGTCAGAACGACTATGATAATTATTATGGTCATGCCAGTGTTGATCAACAAGATGAGAGAGGCAATTTTCGGAATTGAATGTGTGACCTTTTCTTGTTGTTGTTTATTTATAAATAAAATATCTACGCAAAAATCGAGGAAATGTTCTTGAAAACATTAGAGAATTAATCGGAAATTATTGATGGTCTTTAGGCAAAACTAGAATGTTTTATTCATCAGACAACCTTATGTTGTCGTCGATTAATAGCCGCAACTGCTGCGGATTGTTCTTGCTCGAGCGGAATGGTACTCGTGTTCGTATTCGTATCCGGATGTTCACAGTTTAGATGAACAAAAGCACGTTCTACTTCGGGTAATGCTTCGATCTTTTGTTCGAGATCAATGCCAACATGAACTGCATCACTCAATTGCAAATCATTTGGAAGAAGGACATCAACTTCGACCAAAAAATGCGTACCAAAATGATAGGCGCGGACAGCATCGATTTTACGTACTAAAGGCGAATGATGAAAAGCAAGCCAAGTTAATTGCTGAAGAAAATGACTAGGTGCCGTGTAACCAGTCAAATTCCGAATATGAACTAAATATTCGTATACGATTGAATAAGAACCCCACAAAATACCGAAAACTTACGACGAACTTGAGGAATCCAACAGATGATAATGTATAAACTGATCACAATTGCACCTAGAAAAGTCATCGAATCAGTATGACTGAATGTCTGACTCGTACACTTACCAACTGGATCAATAACTGATAGTTCTCTCGGTTTAATTTCTCCATCGATTGCTTTGGATCCTAAGAATATCATTTATTTCTCAAGACAACTATGCATATCTGAATTCTATCTTACCAATAATGCCAAAAACCAAGGCGACGACTGTTGCAACTACATCGTTCCGATGATCAGCAGCTAGAGCGGACATCGTCGGTGTAGAAATTCGATAGCATAAAACTGCCAGTACAATTTTGATAACTTAACAGAACAGAGCATAAAAGAAAACCAATGTTTGTATGAACAAGATCCGTAGATCTTACCAATGGTGATACACATGATTGAAATTGCAGCAGGATTGATATCAACCGGTGGTTTCTCATAAGCATAACCGCTAACATTCCGAAAATAGTTCACATCTTCGATAACGGAACGAACGCCTTCAAAAATCACTTGAAAACTAGCTGCACACATAACCACACTTAGTATGATGATAATAATCGGTTCAAGTCGTGTTCGTCCTATGCGAAAAGATGAATTCTGTATGAAATGCATACAATCAATAGTTATACAAATAAACCTTGTGGATAGAGATATGGATTTCGTTGTCTGATAGCTCTATTTGCCCACCAAATAGCAAAGTTTAACATTAAGTCAATAGCACTATCAATAGCAGACGAAGCAATTGAAAGAGATTTGGATATAATCGCTGAAAAGATCTTTCCTAAAACGAGAATCTAGCAAAACACGACAGTAAGGATTCACACATTTAATCAATGAATCGATTTGTCTTACGATGTTAGAAATCAGTGTAGTTTTGATCAATATAATCGTCCATCGTTTGTGTTTTTCTGCGCGTTCATCATGCGACGAACCAGACGTGTGCCGTTCATGAATTGTTGATAACTGATCGATCATTTCATCCTGTCTCGCGTAGAATCGCCTAAATGTTCATCGTCTTAACAGATAATCTCCTACGAGAGTTTCTTACCGAACTCGACGAGATAACGCTTTATCCTCAACGTGTTGCCCATGACGATAGGAGATCATTTGTTCCAATGAGTATCGATTTTCATCTTCTAATTGATAGTAGAAAAACGAGCGTTTGACAAATGAACAAGTCACTTTTCTACCTTTCTTTCTACTGTTTTCAGTTTCTGGTGATGGTGGATTTTGTTCAGTGCTGGAGAAACTAACGTTTGCCGAAATCGTATTCATGAGTGTCTCAGGCAAAACAGTCGACGTGATTGACGATAACCGTCGATTCTTGCTGTACGCTGGGACGACAAAGTCGAAATGAGGCAGATTATTTGTCGAGATTTCCACTTCATCTGTTTGTTGTTGTGATATTGATTTGGCTAGGAAATTTGAAGATGTTTGTTTGCTCATATTGACAGACGTCTTCTATCCACATATGAATTGGCAATGGAAATAACAAAGCAATCTGTTTTGATCTATTGATTTTAATTTCGAAGATAGACGTCAGTAATAACCTTTTTCCAAAGAAAGTCAGATAGATTTTCATCGGAATTTCAAGATTGTGTTGGTAATTAATATGATCAGACATTTGATAAGAAAAGAACTTTAGTAATCAAAGTTAAAAATCTCGAAAAGGTCAGTTGTCATTTTCTCATTCGTCTGTACCGAAGACAGATGCAGACCGAGTCAGAAATCTTCTTACCATCAAAACTGGACCACGATCGTCAAAGGCCATATCAACACCGTCATCATAATGCACCGAAACTTTCACTATTTCTATATCAATTATTCGAACAAACACCCGTTTATGCTTATGTTCTCTTTTTCGTCTTTATATTTGCTACATATGTCGGTACATTAACAACTTACGATGAACATCGTACGGCAAGCGTACCGGTATTGCTCTACGTTGAATTAAGCATCTTTGCCTATTGTTTAATTGAATTTATTCTTCGAATTTATGCATCGAATGCCAAAGAACGTTATTGTGGGATGCAAGGCAAACGTCGATTCTTCGTGGAACATTATCTGATCTTCGATTTTCTTCTGCTAGTATGTTACGGGATCGTTTTTCTGTGGAATTTTGCGAAATTTTACCACTCGCATGCTCTTTTCCTACATGCACTACGTTTCCTTCAATTGTTTCGGTTTATTCCGTTGGATCGATATATTGGATCGATTCCACTGATTTGCAAGATCGTCCGGCAATACCATCGAGTTCTTCTAGCCACGGTTTACATGTGCTTCCTCCTTATGTTACCAACAGCTTATCTTCTTTGGATTGTTGAGCGATCCATTAAAACCAATGATCTATTCTTTTTCCGAACATACACCGATTCATTATGGTTTACCATCAATTCAATGGCGACGGTAAACATGAATGCAAATCTGATCATTACTTGTTTCTTTTCCTATATGTAGATTGGTTATGGTGATACTTGGCCTCAGACATTGATTGGTGATGTCTATTTTCCTTTGATTAGTTTAATACGTTGCCTTATTTACTTGTAGGTCGACTCCTAACAGCAACATTGTGCTGCATAGGTGTTGTTCTTTGGACACTTCCAGCGGGGATTATTTCTGCAGGTTTAACATCCATCGATGAAAAACGTCATGCGCGCAAACAATTGTATGGACCAGCAGCGCGGTTTATTTTAGCGTGGTGGCGTTTACAGCATGTCAAGAAACGAATTCGGTCAATACGCAGTAAAGATAATCAAAAGGAGAGGTGCAAGCAAGTTATTGCGTATCTTCACTGTGCTCGACTTTGTCGTGAGTTTCAACAACATCGATATGGTACTCATCAGGACTATGATACACAATTGAGGAGAGATATCAATCAAATTCTTCATCAATTACAGATTATTGGAAACAAACTGAATGATACCAGTGAAAATCTTCATATAGAACAATAGAAATAGCAATATATTCTTATTAACTAGATGTTTTTCTGTAGTCTTCGTGGTTTTTAATATCCATAGCATACACCACCTTTAGTCCAGATCGAAAAACGTCAATAAAATTAGTAGGAGCAAGATTTCTGATAGAAAGAAAACCAATGAATGACCATGTGCGGCATCTACAATAATAAATATTTACAAAATGTTGAACATGCCGTTATAAAATTCATTTAATTTCTAATCTATATTCGATAATCTTTGGAAAAAAAACAAGTTTTAGAATAGAAGTCGGAATTTTTGGGGTGAAAGTCTATTATCAGGAAGTCTTAATGGCTTCTACACCACAAGATGGCTGATAGAAAACCATTATAGTTATGTTAAGAGAAAAGACAAATCTAATATACTTATCGAACTTTTCTTTGTCTGACTGATTGTTCTGATTTACTTATAGATTTTGTTTTTATCTTTTTGCAAGGAAAACTATCGAAATTCAATCAAATGCTCCGCATAATTAATCCCTCTCGCGCTCAACCGGCAGCACGAAATTTAACTCTTGTTGCCAAGAGATTTCAGCAATCCTCCAGTTCGTCAGGTTCCGCAAGCACTGCTTCGACGAAATCGACGCCAGGTTCAACCTCAAGTCAAGCTAAAACGACCACAACACCACCACCACCAACTTCGAGACCTGTCACATCCTCATCATCATCATCCTCGTCAGCTGGCGCTAGTGCTGGAGGCAGCGGCGGCACAGTTAAAGCAGTTGTCTATGGCCTTGCACTAGGTCTCGGTGTCACGCTTGTCTATGCTGAATATGACAATGGTCCATTCCGTCGCAAAGTTGAATCGACAATTCCATTGAGTTCAACAATTTTAGCTGGACTCGATAAAATCATCGACCCTGTGTTCGGTCGTCACAAGAAATTGACAACTATCATATCGGAAAAAATGCCGGACTTGTCCGGTGTCACTGATCGTTTACCTGATAGGGAACAAATCCGCAAAGCAGGTGAACAAGTTAAAGATGCTGCTAATGCTGCCTACAACAAATTACCAGATCAAAAACAAATTCAAAAGGCTTCTGAACAAGCTAAAGACGCCATCAATGATGCTTATGATAAACTGCCCGAATATAAAAAAGTAAAAGGTGCTGTCACTCACGCCGCTGATCAGGTATTTCTTGTTTATTCGTAACGGAAAAATATATCACTTTGCTTCTTAGGTTAAAGATGCTGTTCACACCGTTCGCGATGCATTGCCCGATCCTAAACAAGTGAAAAAATCACTCACTCATGCTAAAGAGCAAGTCGAAGATACGGCTAAATCTGTTCGAGATACCGTTAAAGACGCTCTTCCACAAACAAAAGGTATATCTGGTGATCAATCACGACGTGGAAATGATCCAGTCTTCCTAGAAGACGCCGGTGAAGTTGCTACTCCACCACCACGCAAATGGTAAGTTCCCTAGGCAAAACTCAAAAGCAAACTGCCATTCTCTATACATTTATTCATTTCAGGAAATAAATCCATTTAAATATCTAATTAATCAAGCGTGCTATGTATTACTTATTCTGTAAAACGACAACGATTAGTATGGAATTTGATCATTTAATGAAGTACAAAAATTCGAACCTAGTTCATAGTAAAACGCAAAACTGTCATCTAATGTGACTAAGTTTCGTCTTGCAGTGGAATGAAATAATAACATATTCGGCTGAAGAATGAATGGTTATTTTCTGTACTATTGTAGTTGTCGTTTCTAAAACCAACTAGCACAACTCGAATCTTGTCCATATCTATAATCAAGCGATTTTAGTATTTTTTTTTCTCTTTTTTTTAAAGTCAAACAAAGCAAATATAGATTTGAAAAATACGTCATTTCGTTAATTTCTCTGATAACTACAAATTTCATGATACGACTACTTTTTCAGATAGTAAAGAATTGTCATGGCACAACAAGCAGGTCGTTCAGCGGTTGCTGCATCTCGTTTTACAGCAAGTAAAATGGATTGGAGTCGTATACTGAAATTAAGCGGCTCCAATACAACAGCAGTTTCCAATCTGCAATCAAAATGGAGTCAAGCAGCAGTAAAGTAAGAATGGTCAAGCAAAACGAACATGTTTGAATTGAACTTTGTTTGCTTAGAATGAATGCCCTATCAGACGCATTACCCAAAATTGATTTCAGTTATTATCGAAAAATGGTCTCCGATCCAACACTAGTTGATAAACTTCAAAAAGAAGTAAGTTAAACATCTGAGTTTTCTGCTCGCATGAAATCGAGTGTCTGTTTTCGGTAGTATGAAAATGCCCAGATTGCTTATCCAAAAGATAGTGCGAACCGTCTCAAGGACCTTGAAGAATACGCTAAAAGTGAAGAACAACGTGCACAGGAGTTCATCAAACTAGCCGAAGGTGAAGTAGAAAAACTACGAAAAGAATTCGATCGATGGGACAATGTACCTCCAGCTGATGAAGTTACTTATGAATTAGGTAGGATGAAATTTCTACTTGAACTTGAACAACATTCGTTTATATTCATTTCAGCTTCTTTCTACATGCCTGAAGCTGTCTATCCACGTGTATGGGACAAAGATGAACATGATAAATTGAAAGATATTCAATTTTTACCATATGAGAAACGAGATTCGTTACGTTGGTGGGTTGAACAAGGTGGTGAATTACTTCCACACAAACACGAATGGGTCATTCCAGACGAAGCACTTGATCCCATTGGTGCTCCACCACGGCCACAAAAGGCAATCTCGGATACTCATGGACATGGCCACGGCGATACACAGAAGATCAGCGCTGGAAGCAAACATTAATGTCCCCCATTGATTTGTCTTATTTATATTTTCTCTTCATTTTGCTCTTATAGTTTTTCAGCCTAAATAAAGAAAAGTGTCGATATGAAAAACTGAACTTTATTCCTATTCAATGTACAGTTTTGCGAATCCATTGATGAAGAACTTCAGCTATTTGAAGATTATTCTTTTCCATCATTTGCATATGACCATTTCCATAGATTCCTAACTCTTCAAGACGAATGAAGTCAACATGAACACCTGCTTGTCGTAAGAACTCCACTGTACAATGATCATAAGTGGCATGATACGATGCTTGAGAAGTTTCGATCAAAACAGGAATATCGATCAGATTAATAAGAGTGTGAAGAGGTTCGTTTTGAAGAATGCACGATGTTAAATTGTCATGTGCGAATAGAACTTCTTTAGTAAGTAGATCAGCTGATGAATTAATAGCAGGATCGTAAGTTAGAGGAATATCAGCTATTCCCCAAGAACGAGTGGATTTATTTGAGAAAACAGCTTCTTGGAAAGGTGGTCCTTTTGGTTCAATAGCAACGATAGCTTTGACGAGATGCGATCGTGCATCGGCAATCAGCCATCCGAAACTGCCACTCTGCGAATGAGTTAGTAGAATCGCTGAACCAATTTTATCCAATAGAGCTACACCAGCTTTTTGGATCATTGTCTGAGTGATGGTGTCATTAACAATAAATTGAACAGTTGACGCATAGAAAGCATCGAATATTGGATCACCCATTCGACCTTTAGTAAGATTATTATCACCAGGCCATTGTGTATGCTCGCTTGCTTGTGGCCATTGTTTATAAAAACTACATGCTGTAAAGCGTTCTTCGAGTATCTCAGCGGAAAACATGTTAACTTCAATCATATCATTCGGTAGCCATGCAGATCGACCACGTGCTGGTTGGTCAACAATGTAAATTTCATATCCTTGTTCGAGAAAATACACTGCCCAACCTGGTCGATCGTCCGGAGTATTGAGCCAATTCGTTCCAGTCATACCTTTTCCGTGAATTAAAACTAATGGATACGGTTGCTGAATGCCATAAGGTGGACTTAGATGTTCCACATACATCTGTCCACTCATAAGAGATCTATTGGTTGCCATATCGAATACATATTCACCTCCGACATAGAAATATTTTCGATCGATAGGATGTACATTTCGTGTGCATCCCTCATCATCAGATGTGTCCACGTATGATAAAGTTAAAAGTACAATAATAGCTGGTCGTAACATCACACACAACACTTTACAAACATGATAAATGACAAGTATTCGTTCTATTTTGCGATGACAGGGATTGGTTTATTGTATCTAAAAGCACTATCGACAACATGTCAATCTGTCGTTTTTTTATGCAAACCATTGGCAATCAGTCGAACAGTAGCTTTATAAGCTCTCTCATCCGTGTCGATTTGATATAAAATAGATATTTATTGAGAAAATCACGAGAATAAAGAAAACTCTCAGTAAAAACACAACATTTTAATCTTTGTCAGTACTTCATATGGACTTGTTTCACTGGCGAGATTTTTCTTCACTTAAAATTTTCAATTGTGTCTTCATTAATTCTAATGTGTCATTCACAGTTGCTAAATAATCTCGTATTTGACGCATATTATTCGCTGGATTATTTGCATCCGTATTAGCGGCATTGTTATCAGTTGCATCGTCTTTCTTTTCGCTTTTCGTCGAATCTGATCCGCTGGTTGATCTAAAAGGAGTACACAACTGTAAGCAAGTCTTTTTCCGTGTTATTTACTAACATAGTCGATGAAATTTTTGCTGCTTTGACTTCAGCATGAGCGTATTCATACGTTGATGCGCCTTCGAATTGATACCACCGTCGTTCCACCTCTTTGTTGACCGGAATCATTTCTTAAAGGGAACGTTGCGATCGTTTGTGTGATTCAAATTGAAACTTACTGAAAACTTTTGCTCGGCGATCTCCGACTTTACCTTTGAAGCACTTTCGACGAATAGCGAAAAATGCGATACGACACAAATAGTACATATCATAGAAAAGGCTAATCGGAGGAAAAAATGGAGACCGCGTATAATATTCTCTAGTGAATATGTATTGCTGAGAATGCCAGATATTTTGCGTATCTTCATAAACTTGATCAAATCGTTTACTGAAAAAAAAACTGGTAATCATTGAATAGTTACCTTTTTATGCAATTATCTACCTGAACATGGCAATCAACAAATTAGTTAGAAGAATATTGACGAAAAGCATATGAGCCGCGAGCAGGACATGTGTCGAGATTGACCATCCGGCATTCCGATTTGCTATGAAAATAGAATCCGTCATCAATTGGTGCAATGTAAATTTGACTTACCATCAAGATCAGATAGCTCATTGCCAAATTGCCCGTACATGAGATAATATACTGGATAAGCAATCTGACGAAATATACTTCGTCCATCGAAAGAGGTGTCGATGTTTTCACTCGGAAATAGATCCGCATTGGAATAGTAGACCATCGATCGAGAGGCAACTCCGTATCCAGTCATAACAATGGCGATAATACACATGAAAAATAAGAGATCTTTCAGCTATTAGATGAGAAAGAATACCAAAATCAGATTGTTCGAAGGAATGTGAGAACAAGTTACCATTTTTCCAATAGCAACAAGATGAGGTCCAAGAAAGGGTACAACGATGATGAACGACAACGAACGAAGCCACCAGATTTCCAGATCAAATGCCATTACCACTCTGAAAAAGAAAAGAATATTGACTTGTATGAGAAAAACAGCTGAGGTAGAACAAAATCGCTTGTTCCGAACTTATGGTTCAGACACTGCCAATCCATTTCAATAAATACCTTGCCGCCACGAAAGAAACTTGATCACTCGCATACGTAAATCGCAGAATTAATCCAATATAGAAGAGCACAAATCCAAGCAGCGTCATAATCTTGAATAAACTCTGAAAGTAACTCCTGCACTTGCCAAGGATCGTCAGACTATCTTGCCCGATAAACTAAGACAAAGAGACGATACTCTTCACTCTATTTGATCATACATCAGTACTTACATAGTGAACTTCTTCAATTAACATGATCGAAACAAAGATAATCGTTAAAATTTCCGTCCAGTCAATCGATGGTATGCTGTTTGTCGGCGGTTGAAAGTCAAACAGAAGTACGTACGAGAACAGTAGAAGGAAGAAGCAGTAAACCAACTAAAATCAATATCATGATTATTACCATTAACTTAAATCGCTACATACGCAATGACAACAATATTTTACGCGCAAAGATTGATAAAAGTTCTTCACATTATGCAGATAGGTGTTCACCGGTGGTATTTTGCAATATCGAGGATGTTCAAGTGGATACGGATCAGGATAGTTTATACCATATGGTTGTAAACTAAAAGAATAGGAATATTTCTTTGTATACGTTGAATATTATCTGGAAAGAGTGACATACGTTCGAGTTATGTGTTGATCTTTCTGTGACTAAACATCAACGATCGAGACAATTATTTTCGTGATAAAAAATGTCATCTCACCTTGGATACTTTACGAAAATTGACCAGAAATGGAGCTAACAATCCAAATGAGAAGAAACCAATTGTCATTGCGACTTCATTTCGTTTTCTTGATTGATCAGGATGCACTTTATTATACCAAATATTTTGCATCGCTTGAACACAACATGATGAGGCAATAAATAGTTTATCTCCAGCATCGGCAGCAACCTTCAACATACACATTCAAATAAATATTCAATAGAAAACGTTTTTCCACATACTTGTAAACAGGACGCATTTCCATACAACTCAATTCGTTGTAGAACAATTTCACAAGCTAAGTCCGGATCATTTTTCTCACATTGATTGATACAAGCAATGGCATAACTTTGAAAATAGTCAATACTATTCGCATATCCATCTTTCAAATCTCCATGTGCTGCTCTGTCATAATATTGTTTCAAGATCTTTGTAGCAACCAATGCAGCACATATTCGATACTTCATATGACTTAGAAACACTTTTGCTATGTCTGTATGATTCACTAGTATCGCCCAGATGAATAGATCGCGCATGACATAATCATTAACAAGTTCTTTACAGGCAGCACTTGCATAATTCTCTTCATTTTCAACAATGTAAACAGACATTGAGTTTGTCTCCGTGGCATTATCAACTAAACCCCAAGATCGTCGATGTTGAAGCTCTTCTTCACGGGTATCAAAATATAATTTATGCATATAATCACCGACAAGTGTAGCGAGAAGTTCGTTCAGATCATCAGTTTTATGAATAAATTTTTCGGCATCGTCACTTGCTTCTATGAATGAACTTAAATGAGTCTGATCGTTTGTCTAGAAGGAAATGTCTGTTTAGAATCATCAAAGAAACAAAAATTTTAGTAGTATACTTCTTTATCGATTTTATATAAGCATTCAATCATTTTCCCATAACGATTTCTTCCGGTAAAGAATGTTTCCCTTGGAAAGAAGATTTCAGATGGATTAACGCCTAATTTCAGAAATTCATAGACAAATGTCGGTAAATTTTGGGATAAAGCATAGCGAAAAGCTTCTTCTTTATTCTAAAAGCAAATAGATTCATGAGAGTTCATCGACATCTTCTACGTACTAAAATATTATCGATAGAATTTTGTAAAATCAGCTCTTTTGCAACGTCAATACAATCCCAATCCATTGCTAATAGTAATAAATCAGAACGTTGCGCACTTTGATCCCGTCGGTGAACATGGTTAGTTGCTGTTGTATGTCGTTGTATCGTTTCGGGAGTAGGCGGCGGTTGAAGCTTGCGGTGACGCATGTCCATCACATCCGATTCTTCCATTTCTCGCCGTTCGAAATACTTCTGCTGTGCTGAAAACATCATAATGAAACTATGAAGTTGTTTGAGAAGAATGAGCTTTACCTTTGCAGATACTTCGAAAAATAGTTTCAGAAAGATCATTGTCTGAGTTCAAATTAAATACAGATAAACCGGAGCGAACAGCAGGCTGAAGGCAGTACATGACTTGCCGAAGTGTTGTGTTGAGTCCTTTATCGTCTTTATTTGATTTTGATTTTCGTTTAGCTGATTCATTTTCATGTGATAAAAGAGCAGCCAAATCCTTTTTTAAGCGTTCAGCAAACTTTTCAAAATTTCCTTCAAGTCTGCAAGTATAACAGAACTGCAAATATACAACGAAACTATGTAGCCATTCACTTACGTATTCCGAGACTTGTCTAGTTCAACGGTCACGTGTGTACGTCCACTAAATAACAACGAAAAGAACAGATGTATATTTAATCTATAAGCAACTTACTTTGTTTTTCCAGTACGTTCATCATAATGCTGTTGCATAGTTACTTTTGTTGCATCGGTAGAGACGCCACTAATCTCTTCAATTTCATATGCAATGTCAGAATATTTATCCTCTTCGTCGAATTCTTTCGTATATAGTAAACAACTTTTGAAGAAGTCCGCAACGCGTCCACTGCCCTATTTATAATTCTCTCGTATAAAGTACTTTTATATTCACATGATTAGCTTACATCGATGATGACAACAGGAATATTCTCTCGTAAATCGTAATATATATTCGCGATAGTATCCTGTCCGCCTTCGACAACAATCGTTACAACCGGAACTATTAGTGGAAGACAAAGAAAAATTGGTATAGAAAGGCGTTTCAAATCGAACTTGGCGGTTGGTATTCATGTTGTAATTTTGCTAAATGTGCACATAGTTTCGTTCGGTAATCACCGGTATCATAAAATCGATATCGTCCATCGTCTAACATTAAATAATGACTATGATTCAATTCCAAATCTCGTTGACCTCTTTCACGTTTCTTATCATCATCTTTGCTAGCATCATTTATAGCCATTTGATTTTTACTCTGAAAAAGAAACAATCGACAGTTTTGATGTTCAGACGTCTATCTTCTAATTACCTGTTTTCTTGTTGCTTGAGAACTAGTGAGCACTTCTACGTCTTTAATACTTCCCCATTTGCAAAGTCCAATCGCTGTAATATGTCGATTTAATTTAGTTAATTTTACTTTATTGATCGCCTGTCCAACGAGTTGAACTATACCAACGTTATATCCATTGGTGATTAACCACGTGTCTATCAGTACGTTACCAAGAGATTCTCTTCTAGATCGATAACGATGAATAGTTCCTACCTGATTTCAATGCAACATCAATGATCCCGTTGATAAAATTCGACTCTAAACGTTCACTCAGCGTAAAATATTTCGCACCACCGATTATCGACATAATCAAACGAGGTTCCGACATACACCAAAAATGAGAAAACAGTCGTTCAACTTTCACTTTAGGCGTGTCTATAGCAAGTCGAGTAAACTATTTCAGAGAAAAATTCATTCAAAAACCATGATATCTTTTCACATACTAGTGCTCCATTGGGAAGTACACCGTGAACAGGATCGAGTTTTTCGACAGTATTTTGATGCATATCCCAAGATGTTTCGCCAAGATCTTTTTCATCGTGAGCACTCATCGGTCGGTTACATTTACAAGTATCTCGCTCGTCATCACTAATCATTTCATAAGTACTCAACCATGATGAAAATATTTCGTACCTCTTTCTGGAGAATTTTGTACAGACGCGATACCGAATGTTCAATTTCTTGAAAACATCTTCCGACGACGGTTCCGCATTAACCTAAAGGTATGATCACCGATGAAAGATGAACACAGATAAAGATTTTACTCTACTGAAGAAAGCTTCGGCGCTTGGCGTTTACTCATCACTCTCAAGCGCTTGGTCGACGTTCTGTAAAAAATGAAAAACACAACCACTCACGATCGCGCAAGTAGAAATTAATATTTTGTTTCTTGTCGTTTTGATTTGTTTAGACGTTTATATATCTGTGCATACATTATAGGTTGTTTAGTAACACACTGCCGTAAATCAGCGTTACCGTGTAAACGAAAGGCAGAGGGAGAACAGAAAAAATATGCGTCAATAAAAAATGCAGTGACAAAGAGAAAGAAAAGTTCTTTTTTTAAATATTCTGTCAAACGAACAATCATTCCTTTGTCAACAGATTCAACGATAAAACATATCAAGTGACCGTCTCTCTTATGATTAGTTATGTCTGATATCGAACAAGCATCGTAAGTGATGATTTCAACAGAGGTGTGTTAAAAAAGTCGCTTTCTATGATCATTTTCTTGTTTCAATAGTATCATAAAAGACAAAGAAAGACATAATAGGGTATGTTGAGAAGAAACGGACTTCTATTGATAAAAAAAAGATTCTAGAAACAAGAGACATTATGGCAAGAACTTCAGATCGATTTTCGTCTTCAATCCTACGGATTTCCTGATAATAAAATCTATGGAACGATAACGGTCATCCCTGAATCATCTCGGAAGCTGATTGAAAAATTTATCGTAGGTTAAACCGTACTTTTAAAGATGATATTTAACAACTTTTCAACGATTGTGACTCCTAGTTAGTTGTAAATAAAACCAATCGTGTAGAATTTAATCGTCAATACGTAACGATTGCAGCATCGGGTTTGAATACCAAACGAGAGTATCCAGAGGCATATGTCGAAGCCATTCCGATGAACGGAGACTGGCCGGGAGGACCCAAACGATCGAAAACTCATGTAAGTTGAAAGAAAATGAAATGAAGTTGATGATCGATAGTTGTTGTTTAGCGTTTCCGTTTCACTGGTCTAGTGTTTACTTTGAGTCCCAATATAACTTTCGAATGGCATGAAGATCCCGAAAATCCGGATGCATATCTGATTATAGAATGGTATCATCTTGGTGACAATAATGCTCAGAAATATATTCTGTACTTAGACAATCTCGATATTCAATACGTATGTTAACAGCAGATTTTCTATGTAGTTAGATAATGAAAAAGGATTTATTTAGATACGACAAAAACAAATTAGAGATGCATTTCGTGTGAAGATTGGCAAATTTAAACCAGGAGAAAGACATACACTCGAACTAGTAGCACAATTGAATAGTACGTGACTGATTTGTGTTACAAGTTCTTATTGATTTTGTTTAGATGGAAGAGAAACATATCGATCTGATTTAATGCAATTCACTGTGCCCAGTCGTGAAACTCAAGAAGATACAGAATTCATTACTGTTGTCAATGAGCCTGCACCGCATAATCTACAAAGTATGTCTTCACGGTTCTTTTCATTAGTGGACAATAGAATCCAACTGATTATTTTAGTTTTTCGTCCTTCTGAAAAAGATGAAGAAGAAGAAGAAGAACAACAACAACAACAATCTACACCTGAAATCCCTTCGATTCCGGAAGAGAAAGTTCAACGTGCAAACATTCCTACTTCAAAATGCTGTGCTAATCGTAAACACACTCCACACGACACATTTCCTGGTATCGAACATTATTTCATGGATTCAACAAATACGTGGGAAGAAGAATCAAAACCAGTACCATCGATGAAGAAAAAGAAAACTATTTCATTCAAGAAGGATATTGATGGTGACGACGACGATAATGATGTTATGATGGGTAATGATTTTCAGTAGATTTTAATTGATCTTTGCATCTTTTTTCGAAAATATACGAAATAAAACGAAAATATCTGTCATGTAAAGATCAATTCGAGAACGAAACAACGAAAAACGTCTACGTTGGTGGTTAATCTCCTAGAAGGGCAAAGCTTAGCTACAGTGATGCATTGATATTTTTTCTAACACTCGAACGCAATAATAACAACAACACAAAACACCATGCAATACACACAATCGTTACAAAGACTTCGCGATCGATCTGTTCGACGATGTATGATCATCACATTGAGTATACTTTTAGCTGTACTATTGATCGGCACATTTGTCACATTGTTCATTATTTACTTTATACGTTACCGGACAGCTGTATCGTCACCTTTAGCCTATCCAAATTTTGTTTGTAATCAACGGCCATGCGGTTGTCCGAATGTAAATCAGATGAAGTTTTCTGTACCGAAAATCGTCGGTGGGCAAGATGCTTCGCCGTACATTTATCCTTGGCTTGTTACTCTAACCGATCGTCATCGAACAGATCCGTTCTGTGCAGGATTTATCATCTCTTCGAATGTTATTCTCACCGCCGCTCATTGTTTGAATGAGCGGTTTTCAGATCAAATAGAAATTCTAGCTAAAATACATGATATTCGCAATTTTCAAGGCGATCGTCATGCTATTGACCGATGGATCGTCCATCCCGATTATCGTATAAATGATAGCATGCATGTGAACGATATTGCTCTGATTAAGACGAAGAAGCCCTTTGCGAAAGATCTTCAACCCTGCTGTCTACCAGAACGGCAATCAAATTCATATCCACAAGCGAAATCTCAAGCCGTGATCAGTGGTTGGGGTAAAATTTTAGTCAAACCGGCCAGTCGCATGTCTCCTATCCTCCAGCATGTTGTCCTTCCAATAGTTGATCGAAAGAACATGAAGTGTCGTCAATACATTGCCGATTCTGATCGACAACTGTGTGCCGGCTATGAAAACCTTCCGATTGATGCTTGCTCGGGTGATAGTGGTGCACCTTTGGTTGTGGTGGAACGTGATGGAGACGAAGGATATTTCGTCGCCGCTGGAATTGTTAGTTACGGAAATCGGCAATGCGATGCATCGATTTCATCAGGTGTTTATACACGCATTAGCTTTTATCTCGATTGGATTAATGCAACAATCACGTCTTTCTGAGTATTTATTTTCTACCATGAAGAGAAGTCGAGTGTCGTTGTGGAGATTTTTCTTTCAGGTATGTAAGGAACGTTTTATCCAATTGGCAATTCGATTAAAATAAATTTATTCTTGATAAAAAGTTCACTGTTGCTTTCAAGAACAAAAAACGAAAATCATTCTTTGTCTTCGTCGTATGTTGCTATAGAAAAATAAATATATAGCTTATCTATCAAATAGAAATGGATCAATCAAGGATAATGCACATGGAGAAAAACGCAGCCAACGAAGAAAAAAAAAGGCGCATCTGACATGAACTTGTCATTCAATCTCATCAGCTTGCCGTTGTACTTTCCATGGCGTACTCGGCCATTTTCATATCGTATTCTAGACGAAGAGTTTTTTTCAATTCTTCCATGTTAAGAATCGATTTTGAATGGCCGGCTGTAATTATCCATGGATGAAGAAGAATTTGATCAGCACGCATACGTTTTTGGCGATCGACAATTAGTAAATGATCGATCAAATTCTTCACAGCTGGAGAATAAAAACAGTAAATCGTAGAAAAATACAGTTTTCATTTGAAAATCGTTTTCTACCTGGAGAAATTGAATTCCAATATTCAGTATCATAAGAAAATTTGCCGCGCTGAATCATTTGAAATAGTTCGTCTTGATTACGTTCCACGGTTTTGAATGGTGGATAGCCACACAAAAGAATGTACAGTATCACACCTATAGCCCAACAGTCAACTTCAGTGCCGTAACCTATGACAATCGAATTTCACATAGGGAGTCGTCTTACAACAAAAATATCTCACCTGTCTCAGCGAGAATTTCAGGCGCGACGTAACTGAAACCAAATAAATTTGTCCTTCTAGAATCGAATGCTATTTAAACTTCAAACTTACGTTGGTGTACCACAGACAGTTTTAATTGGATCTGTAATTTGTAATGCTAAACCGAAATCTGTTAATTTGATTGTTATTCGCCCATCTTTTCGATGCATTACTAGCAAATTTTCTGGTTTAACATCCCGATGGACGATTTTTTTTGCATGTATGTAAACCAAAGCTTCAGCAACATCTCGAATCATAAGTGCTGACGTTGGTTCATCGAAACACCGATGCCGAGTGATATACTCAAACAAATCTCCACCTTTAATCAACTCCATGACCAAATAGATCTCTTCAGGTGTTTCGTAATCTTCGAACAGACGGATAATGTTCGGATGACGACACATATACATGATGTTGATTTCATGCTCAAGCATATATTGTTTGCCCTATTGAACGAACTTAGAATGAGCGATAGACAGGCAAATGATCTTACTTGCATCTTTGATTTATCGATAATTTTGATTGCAACTTCTCGGTCACTATCACGCGCCTTCGAACGACGAACTATGGCGAAATTTCCGTCGCCCATCTTTTTGCCAAGTTCGTATTTATCCGTTACAACGGACGGTGTTGAATGCTGCAATGATTTCAGTAATTAAGCAAATTCACTTGGTGAGAATATAGAAAACTTACGATAACTGATGAACGTGTTTTGATCACGAAAGTTTTTGATACAGGTGAAAGGTCGTTTTCGTTCGAATAACTTGTCGGTAAGGAATTTATCGATGACAATTTCGTTCGTACTAATTAAAAGAACAGATAAGCAAATTTCTCAAGTAGACTCATCCGATTTGTTATGTACCTGAGGTTGGCGTTTTGATTTTGTTCGGATGAGAAGCATCGGTATTCGTATCGATTGCTAGTTGTTCAAACTTTGGAATAGAATATATTTGAATACCTTGCTGTGGTTCCTTTCTGGATAGAATTCGTTTGCGACGTAGCTCTTCTTCTTCACGCAAACGTTGTCGCTCACGCTCACGTTGCTGTTCAATAATACTGATCGTCGGTAATTTGTTCGTTCCTTTAACGAGACATAAACATCGATTCTCCTGTCAAGATCAATCTTAAGCATTTTACTCTTTGTTTTCTGAGGAGATGAATCGTTGGATGTGAAGAGATGTTCAGGAACGATTTCGTTTTGTTTATTGTTCATTGTTCGAGTTGGAATGAATGCGCTTTCCTTGGACGAAAGACTTTCCTCATCTTCTAAACATAATATCTCGCACGTCTGTCTTTCCTCCAGAGAAAATTTTAGTCACTTACTTTGCTCTACGATGGATGTATCAGCATCGGTTGATGTTTGAACAGTTTTCTTCGCACGCCTTCGATGCGTGGGAGAATTTTGAGAATCAGTGAATAATTTCAAGCTTATCTCATGCAAATCCACTGAAGATATATCATTATTATGCGTGACAGCAACGAACACATCATCTAGATGACAGCATGTTTAATATGAAAGTTGAGAGGATGAAATTTTACCATCACGAAAGAAATCATTGATACCATTTACTTGTCGTCCTCTTAGGTTAAATAACCGTTTAATCTATTCAGTATAAAGTATCCTTCGAAGTCGAATGAAACTCGAAGCAAAAAGAAAACCGTCGTACCTTATCTGATCGGTTCTTCTGATGTCCGAATGCCTCAGAAATATCACACAGCAGCTGATCGAATGTTTGCACAGTTCTTCGATTGAGTAAAATAGTTATCGTTTTAATCGCTTTCTCGTTTCCTTGCTTGATGATAGTTATCGAACGAGGCTTATTAAATGAAGATTCAGGAGTGTATTTATTCTGTTTGAAATGGAATTTCTTCTGCTGTTGAACAGAATTCGCTGCTGTCGAGGAGAATGATTGTAGAAAGAGATTGTTTGCAAGTAAACGATTGTTTGCATGAGTTGTGGATATGGATCCATGGATAGCACCTACTTTTGTGAACTGATTCGTCGGTAAAGGACGTACGTGGACGCGATTGGGTGAATGAATATCATTTAATGGTTGACGAACTAAAGTAGGAAAAGATTTGAAAACTTTTGGAGAATTTTTCTGTGAGAAAATGGAAGAATTCGTCGCAGTACTTATTCGATTTCTTGTCATGCAGGGAACTTTCGTTTTCTAACTAATTTCAACTTGTCGATTAGGATGTGAAAAATATTTTTTTTAAATTTCTCCTTCACTTCAACTCACCAGGCCAACCAAGTGATTGATACACATTAAAATTGAATACTTTAGGAGTTAAGAACATAGCTTTGGTGCAAATGAGCGACAATGTTAATAAGATTCAAGAGTTGTACTTCATTTGTTTTTCTTTTTACTTTATCGCTCTTCTCTTCTTTTTATTTGACATAGTATTCTTCTCTTTCTCTGCTACCGTCGTCATTTTTTCTTTTTTGTTATTATAATCTCGTTCGTTGCACAAAAAAAATGAAGTTTTGAGCAAGTGCTTCGTCGTTCTGTTGTTTATTAGTTAGTAATAATTGTTCCTCGTCGAGAAACAGAAGATCATTTGATTGGTAACGAGCTACGTATTCGAATTGTTTCTCAGTAGAAAGAAAGAAAGAAAGAAATCAGTAATCATAAGACTCGATAAGAAAGAAAGAAAGCAAAATTCTTCTTCTTCTTTCATAGATGTTGATTTTGTAATGCATAATCATAATAGTAATTAAAAGAGATGTAAGCAAACGAATGTCGACATGCATCGGGAGGGAAAAGAAATCCTTCTTATGTATATTTAAAGAATATTTTAATTAGAATAAGCAATTATTATGACGAAAAAGAAGTAATAGAAGACGAGAAATATTTGTTTGAATATAAACAGATGAAAATAGAGAAAAACGAAGTAGCTAGAGAACTGAAACCAAGGGTTACTTACAGTGTTCGCTTTTTAGAGGGATTCGGGGCGTTGTTATCGTTGCATATGATAATTTCTGAAATGGTTCAAATGATGCGCACACGTACGATGCACCATCTTTCAGATAATTCACATTAGTTATTTCGGAGCCATTTTGCATTGTAAATAAACGTCGTACACCATAAGGCAAATCGATGATAGTTGATAGTTGCTGAAAGAAGAGTTGCATGCTATTATAATTTTGCGGATCGATGCTGATCTGTTTGCCGGAAAAGTAAGGATCTCCATTGCGATACAGTGTGATCTTTCGTGTTGTTGAACGAGATGATCGTTCTTTGGAGAACTGTGGAACAATACGACGAGTCGATCGAGACATGCGATCGGTGGGTCGAGTAGATTTCGTTATCGATTGGCGTGGCCATTGATAATATGAAGAAATGACATCCGACATTTGTTCAAATTGACTGAAAATGTCCCAGAACAGATGGTCGACCAACTATAGCACCAAAATTATTGATAGGCAGAAAATATGAATATTTTAATATGCAAACATGTCAGCAGATCTTCGTAAATAGATGACAAAATTCTAACGTTAGTTAAAAACAAGCTGATTTTTCTTTTGTCGCTATGGCAATGCCGTCAAATTATGGTCGGAAACAAGAAAGAGGAAGAACTATTCTACTTGAATAAAAGAACAAATGGGAAAAGTAAAGATGAGAACGATATATAGTGCCATCTTTTTTGTCGGCAGTCACGCAAGTGTGTTTTCCGAAAGCGTGAACGAATGCTGGTGTTTTTGAGTGACATAAAATGAGTTATTGCTAGATGTTATTCATCGATCCGTTCAATGAAAAAAGTCGTCTTGAAAGTGCAAAAGCGAATGCATGTCTAAGAAGTTTTATTTCAGAAGTAGAACGCACAGATATTCACCCAGACCTGATGAGCTTTTTCTTTTTTTTTGTCTGCTGAATCAGCAGAGAAATTGCAATTATCCAAGTAACAGTCTAAGACGATTGAAATTTCACCTATGGCGGATAATTGCTTTCAATTACACTAATGATTTCCAGTGAAATCTTTGGATAATATCGCTCATATCTCATTCGAATAAAATCATACGTCATTTGGCTCGAAATACAATATTTTCGGCAGATGAACATCGTCTAGCTAATAATCTCATTCGCAATATCAATCTCTTCTGTTTCTCACTTATAAAAAGAAGCTCGACAGTTGCATTGAAATCATTTCATCATGAACTCTTCAGATTATACGCTCGGAGCAATTAACTACTATCTCACAGTTTATTCGGGATATGCAACTGTCATTCCTGGTTTGATTGGGAATATGATCAACATTGTGGTATTTACTAAACTAAAACTATTTCGTGGCAATCCATCGGCATTTTATCTGATAATCGGATCTATATTCGATTCTTGGCAATTGCTTTTCTTAACAACACCTCGGTTTGCTTCGATTGCGTCGGGCTATGATGCAACTCAAACGTCATTGTTTTGGTGTAAACTTCGTGCTTATCTCGTGAACATAGGCGCCGTGATTTTGACGACTAACATCTGCTTTGCGGCTATTGATCAATATTTATCAACAAATTACTATCTTCGTCTACGACAATTGAGTAGCTATAAGCTGGCACAACGAGCTGTCGCTACACTTATCATCTTTGCTCTTCTATACGCTGCCGTATTTTTGTTCTTCTTTGAAATTCAAACCATATGTGGAACTTTCAATCCTGGATTCAATTACTTCTATTCATTCGTTCATTTTTGTTTATTCATTGGCCTTTTCCCGATCGTTATATCATTATTATTTAGTTGTCTTGCTTATCAAAATGTTCGTCGTATTGTTCGTCGACCAGCAGCTGGTGGTCGGCGTCGTCTCGATCATCAGCTAACCGCTATGATTCTCGTTCGTGTCGCCTTATTTGTCTGCACGACGGTACCTTACATAAGCCTACGAATCTATCAAATTAATCATTCACCTAACCAGAATAATACATTCGCTGTTGCTGTCGATCAAGTGATTCGAACGTGTTTCAATACCGTTTATACAATTGACACTTCGGTAGGACATTTTACAAATGAATTTATCCAAAGTCAACCTTCTTCCGATTTCATTTAGGCCGTATTCTATATCTTTTTGATCTCGTCACCTCGGTATCGTCGACAAGTTAGATATATACTGTTCAAGAAAAATTGGCGTAAGACTTGGGCGAACAAAATCAAAAGAAATCGAATTGTAGCCAATGCTAATCAAATCCAAGCAATTGAATCGCCTCAACCAAGTGTTGAACTTGACTGATCCGAAAAAGAACAGTTTTAGATTTTCTTTGAAAGAAATTAAAGAGACTTGCACATCTTATATGATTAGTTATCTTAGTATACGTTCACACAGATAAGTGATGATTTATTTGTATTGTTCAGTTTAATTACTCAATCAAAAAGAAATGCATTTTTATGATAATATTGAAAGATTATAAGGAAAATCAATAAGAAAAGTTTTCCACCTAACTTTTCTTTTTCGTGCTTAGAACAGCAGCAACTAAAACATGAGCAACTTAGACTTGATCCTTTCTTATATATATAGACACTTACCAATGATAATAACGATAATTACGGTGACGATTACACCGACAAGAATCCACATCTGGAGGAAAGCAAAGAATATTTGGTTTTAAGAGAGAAAACTCTTCGAAGCATTTACCTTGACATTTTTGCACCAATATGTTCTTTTTAACTTTTGCGAACGAATTGCAAACTGTCGAGATCCTTCGTTCAAAATATCTAAATTCATTCCAATGAAAATAACATCAATTCAATCCCTAATTTTTCTGTTTACCAGATTTCGCTTCTAGATCATCGAGCTTGCCACCGCGTTCCAATTCCAATCGAAGATTGTTTTTCATTACTTCTGTAACCTACAAGATTCTTGTTCGTAGTTTACATCATTTATGAAATATTTCCATACGTCATCGACTTGTCCTTGTAATTGTTGTATTTTCGACGAAGGTGTGTAACGAACACTACTCGAATTTGATTGATAACCTGGATTACTCGTCCTGTGATTATAAAAAGAAAGAAATCGATTGACTAAAACGCGAATAAATATTTACATGGCAGTGTCTTTGACGATATCGGAGTTTGTGAATGTGGCGAAAAAAGAATGAGTCGATCTCTATTTGCCAATTACTCACAGAAGTTTTATCAGTATGTAAATGTGTTGTGTTTTTATCTCAAGTGACATTACAGTGAGAAAAAAGCGAAAGAATGAAACCGTTGATTGTTGTTGTAGGCGCCACGGGTAGACAAGGAGGGAGTGTGATCAATGCCTTGGTTAATTCGCGTCAATGGACAGTCCGAGGATTGACACGAAATGTTTCGTCGAAAGAAAGTCAAGTAATGAAGATCGAGCAAAGATGTAGGAGCAGATTTTGACTTTTGTTTTAGGAATTGATTAAAAAAGGTGTAGAGGTGGTGTCATGTAACATCGATTCTTTGAATGAATGTTCGCAGGCATTCAAAGGCGCCTACGGTGTTTTTGCGATGACCAACTTTTGGGAATGTGGTCCAATTAAAGAATACGAACAAGGCATGAATATGGTCAATGCCGCAAAACAACAAAATGTCGAGCATTTTATCTGGAGTAGTTTAGCAGATACAGTAGCTATCTCAAATGGAAAATTAGATTTGCCACATTATATGTAAGTCAATCGGATGAACCTGCCTTTGAATTTGGAATGGTATTCTTCGTTTAGGATGAAAGCGCGTATCGAAGCCTATATACGTTCACAGCAAAACCCGCCGCTGTTTCGTTATGTCACATTTGTTCATGTTGGTTTCTATTATCAAAATTTTCAAACGTTCTTTCAACCAACGGCAGATTTAGAGTTTCGGGTTTTACTCAAACCGCACGCCCGTCTTCCTCTCTATGATGTTCGTGACACTGGCATCGTAGTTGCTCAATGCTTCGAACATCCAGATCGATGGGGACAAGGAAATGTTGTTCCAATCGTTGCACAACGATTAACAATGGAAGAAATTTGTGAAATTATTCGACGTGTCACAGGTAATGATAAGGTTCGATATACGCAATTGACGGATGAACAGTGTGCTGGACAAGCAAAGGAAACGCTCGATAATTTAAGATGGTACAATGACTACGGAGATTTCGAAGAACGGCATCCGGAGAAAACAAAAGAAGTTTATGATAAAATGAAAACATTAGAAGAATGGATACAGGAAACAAAATGGTTAATGAATTAGAACAAATGTTTTCACTAATGTTGTTCACTTTCTTCTTCAACATTTTCTTCTACACCTTCTTCTTCTTCCTCATCGCCATCATCATCATCATCATCATCGTCGTCGTCGTCGTCGTTTTCATCTTCGTCCTCATCTTCTTCTTCATCATCTAAACAAAGGAATCATTAATAAATTCACTATATCACTAATTTCAATAAACGAAATGTACCATCATCGTCATCTCTCGCTGCTCGTTCTTCAATAGGTCTTCCGCCAAATGTAAAATTTCGACTGCCTTCGCCACGTGTGAAATAATCACAGCCACTTGTCATACCTAAGGAATCATCTTCGTCTTCGTAATCATTTTGAGTCTTTCTTCCGTAATCATAAGCACGAGCTAAAATATAGTAGGATACGGTGCGTTTCTGTTACATTGAAAAACTCGAAGATTTACTTGACATCGACAGATCTTTCGTCTCTCTTGTTGGATAGTTGCATTTAGGGCACGGATAAGCTTCACCTTGGGTATATTTAAAACCCCGTCGTTTGATGTGCTCATCACAGTAACAAACTTTACATCTGTACAAGGAAGACTATACAAGATTTTCCTTAAAGCAAGGTTATACCTTAAACACGACCATTGACCATGTTTGCTACACGACGCGCCTAGATCAGGTCGAGAAGAATGTAAATTTAATTGAATAAAGAGAAAATTGAATAGACGTACATTTGAAATTTTCTGATTCTAACACTTGACATGATGCTTGATGTTCAAACTGATCATCTTCGCAAAGAAATTGAGTGCAAAATGAACATTGGAATACTCGACCGCCCTGTTCCCATACACCTCGATTACATTCAATGCAGTCACCATTTTGTAGTGGACATTGGCAAGGATGTGTTTGTAAACATTTTTTTGAATGACATATCCACGCTTCACAAAAATCACAAATAGCGCCCTAGAAATTACGTACACATACGAAAAGGAATCCATGAAATAAACTCACCTTACCACTAACTGAAGGCCTGTTGCATGTACAACGCCGTGTTTCACAAGACAGTCACCAGTTTTCGACAGACATTTTTGTTTTCCTAAAGTCATCGAAAACTACTAAGCTATTCAGACAATTCAAGGACTAACCGCATTGTGCACAGACAGGTAACGCTTGTACAGCTTGACAGAAGTAGCAGAATGCACGATTTTTTTGCTGTTTTTTGCATTTATCACATTCCTTTACACGAAGTAAAAAAAAGGTGGTACATGAGGTCATTCCTGATGGAGATCATATACGAACCATAATGTAATTGCATGGCCATTCGACTAATTGTTTATTATTATAAGCTGACTGCAAGAGTTTTTGACGTTCTTTCTGTTTTTCAGCTTTTTTCCGTTGTCCTGTTTTCCGTTTCGGCATTCTGTTTGATGTTTAGCAATATGTAAGATCCGACACTGTCGAATCCAAAGTACTACGCGTGTACGTACGTACGAAACTCAGATCACAGTTATTGGATGATTCTTTGCATCAATGATATCAAGCCTTTCTATGTATGTTTGTTCGTTCCGCATCTCTTCTACTAAGATGACGCTACCAGTCATCAAGCGTTACACAATGACTGGGAAATAGCTTGTGCCTCATACATTCGAGTGATTATTTATCATACAAAACAAATTGAACAAGGATGAGCAAAAAACAAACTATTGTTATTCAGTTTTACAGCCTTTTTCGAATGATGCAAAGCCTTTTATATAGTCGCCCATCATGTAGTATGCACAACCGATCTTTTTGTAGGACGCAGCAATATCAGGGTGATTCTCAGGAAGCGATTGCTGTTCGAATTTAAGAGCTTTCTCAAAGAAAGAAAGAGCTTTTGAATAATCGTTTATTTGGTGATATATGCAACCAATTAGTTTGTACTCTGAAATCAGATCAGGATGATTCGCGGGAAGCAACTGTAGACGAATCGTGTGGGCTTTCTCAAAGAAAGACAGAGCCTTTAAGTAGTCGCCCATTGCAAGATATATGGAACCGATATTACTGCAAGAAAACGTCAAATCAGGATGATTGGAAGGAAGCCACTGTTGTTGAATCGAGAGAGCTTTTTGCTGAAATACATGTGCATTGGAATAGTCGCCCATTGAGTAATATACATTGCCTATATTATTATATGAGGTGGCGATATCTGGATTATTAGAAGGAAGCGATTGACGTTGAATTGTAAGTGCTTTCTCGTAGAAAGAAAGAGCTTTGGGATAATCATGTATTGAATAATATGCATTACCGACGCTGTTATAAGATAGAGCCAAGTCAGGATGATTGTTAGGAAGTAATTGTTGCCAGATCGAAAGAGCTCCTTCGGAGAAAAACAGAGCCTTCGTATGATCGCCCAAGCGGTAGTATGCTAAACCCATAGTGTAGTAAGATGTGTTCTCTTCGAAGCGATCAGGAGTACTTGACTGTTGTTGAAGTGCGAGGGCTTTCTTACATGATGAAATTGTTTTGGAAAAGTCACCTATTCGGAAATATAGGTCACCGATTCTATTGTAGCACGAAGCCAAACAATTAATATCAAGAGGAAATGTATTTTGAAAAATGGCGAGAGATTTCTCATAGAATAGCATCGCCTTCGAGTACTCTCCCATGTCACTTTGTATTAGACCAATTTTTTTGTAGATCGCTGCTTTTGTAACCTCATCGATTGTGTGAGAAAGTGAAATTTCATAGATTTTGATAGCATAGTCTGAGTAGCCTATCTCGTGTAAAATTGGGCCTAATCTGAGCCATCCATTATTAAAAGAAAATCTATCTTGCTTGATCCGTTCGGTAAGTATACAGAGATCTTTGTCGCTATCGTCAGTAACTGATAAACTGATCTCAAAAAGGCGATTGTTAGAGTGAGTCGGTGTGATACTGCGAATGCGACATACGGCATGCATCGAAAATAGAACTTCACCTTCGTCGAAGAAATAGCTTATCTCACGAATATAGGCATAGGGTGTTGTTGATTTAGAAGGATCTACCATTATGACGAAAACAATCCCAACTAAGTCAGGATTATCAGCGTTGCTTTCTGCAAGACGATCGGCAACAGCGCGATCTTTACTGGTAGACAGAAACGTATTAAACGACAATAGTCCACCCTGTGATTTTACCATTTCGCTGAAATCAGCCGATGATAAACCTTGGCCACGATAAACTGTGAAAGATCTACGAGATGGCTCACGAGCATGCTGTTCCTTATGTAACCGCTCGATGTGTCGATGAAGATCGTTAATAAAAAAGCCCGTTCTTACGATAACATTTGCATCCATCACACGTAAAGCAAAATTCAATGTGTAATATATAAAATTCTCCTTGCTATACCACCAAATCGGCGTTTTATGACGATACTCTCGTTCGAATTGCTTAAATTTGGTCAATTGATTTTCACTGACATCAAATGTATCACAGCAGTAGTTAATGAATTCTTTGATGTGTTCTTCGTCAAAGTCAATAGTAAATAAAATTTCCTTGAGAATCTGTGTATACATAAACGATGGATCCAATTGATCTAATTTTTTATCAGGTAAAATCAAACTCATAGGTACAGTATGTTGATTATATCGGCGCACTATCTGCTTTAGTTCATTACAGATTGATTCTTTATCTGTGAATATTCCTTTTACTTTATGCCATTTTTTGACTCGTTGTTCTTGACGTTTTTCGGTGTCGCCAAAGATGAGAATTGAGTGAATCTGAGAAATATCGTGAACACAGGGTATAATGTATTGTCCAAGAGATTCGCAGATTATCAAACAGACTTTGGCGTCTGTCATGTTCGATACAGAATCGACGCACTCGTCATTATCCGTAAATGTATAGACATCATCGACAACAGCTTGAAGTTCTGTGATTGTGTTCTGGTAATTTTCATTATGATCAATCATATCATTATTCAACCAAACTACGACCATATTGCGCGAGCTTTCGCTACTTATGCATCGGCGCCCACCTGCTGGTAACTCGAACGTTGGTCCGTGCTCATTTCTCCCCGTAATATTCGATTCCTTTTTTATCATTGTTTCTGTGTATAGGTATGCTTCAATGAAACAAACGAATCAGCAATGATATTGAAAAAGTTAAAAAAATGCAAGAGACGACTAGCAACACATCCTACTTCAGATGTATTTTTTCTGTTGACATTTGTTCGTCATGTTATTGAAAGGTACTCTTTCTGAATACTTGATTTACTCTACAGAAAAACAAATATGCACACGTATTAAAATCTGTAGAACGAAGGAATTATTTTGAATAGATTCGTATGGACTGTTGAAACACACAACATGGTTGCTATCTTTACAGGTAAAAAGTCTTCGGTCAGAAACAATACTATTCATTCAATCGTACGCCAGTTGAAATTCATGATGATTATTTCTGCTTTTGCTTTTGTTTTAATTCAAAAAGAACACAACGGTACAAAGAACGAATGCAACGATGAACATGTTTAATCACAGTTTATCAAATCATTCTTGGTTTAGACGATAAAAACAGATGACGACTGATTGATCAATCAATTGAATCTAATTGTAACATAAATCAGTAGATAAACATGTTATCAGAGTCTCTATTTGCTAGACTTACTTGCATTTACTAAAATCCATTTCCGGATGGGCGCTCATAAATCTAATTCGATCGCAAAAATACAAACGTATGATTTATAAACTGAAAAGCATGATTTACTTTTGAAGCATATCTTGTTTCTTTTGCTCATCAGAAGTAGGTAAACCAGCTTCACGTCGATGTTGATCGTACATCATTTTCTCTACCATACCACGTGTTTCACCATCCAAATCAGATAACTAAATTAAAACGCGCATTATTAATGAACCATTTGTGAAATTGTCTTACTTTCGAGTTTTCAGGTTGAACTTTACGCGTGTTAATTTCCGGGTCCGACTTGACAATTCGACTCCACCATTCCATTTTATTAACCTGTATATATATATTCACTGAATATGAACAGAATTGTCAGAGCAAAGGACAATACTTTTTCGATAACAATATGCAGTAGTTTTCCATCATCCAATGTCCAAACAGAGTCTTCTTTTTTCAATTCGGCAAATGTTTCACCATCAATAATTGGTGGGTGACCACGAAGACCGACGGTTAAATGCTAAATAGATCGTTCTTCCGACTATTTTCAGCAGAAAATGAACCCACATACCTTGCGTTCGAATTTGACGATGACATCTTTCGATTTAACACGAACATTGAGGTTAATTGGAACGCGCAACTAATTCGAATAAAGCCATACAGTTAGAACAAATGATAACTGAAAAACAAAACACGACTTACATCAATCTCTTCGAGTGTTTGTGTCCAGGAGTAGTTTGGACCTGTCCATCCATTACCAGAGTTGGGTTTTTCTTTACCTTTATCTTCTTCATTTTCATCTTCATCTTCTTTCTAATGAGTAAGAATTTGTCTTTTGATAGTCCGTAAACAATTATAGATTTTGCTTAAATTTACCTTCTCCTCTTTATTTTGTTCATTGTCATCTGATGACTCGACGACATTGTTCTTCTCTGCCTTAGCCTGTTCATCAGAATCCAATTTTTGAGCCTAGAGAGTGTAAAAATGTTGCAGAACGAGCAAATTTAATTCACGATCAGTTACTTTTGCTTGCGCACTTTCTCGTGTAATTCGTTCAGCTTCTTCATCAGTAACCTCGACGATTCGTGATGATGGATCGTTCTTAATACTTTCTTCTTCTTCACGTTTGCGACGTATCTTCTCGCGTCGTACACGATCAGCCTATGGAACAAATGAGGAACATTCACACGATAAATGATAATTGACATACTTCGTCTCGTTCAGCTTTATCTTTTCTATGCTTTTCGAGCGCAACTTTCTCCCATTTACGAAATGATTGTAAAATCAACTCTTCCGGCTTTTGATTAACGTTCGGACTTGTGTATAAGTCAGTTTTACGTGCGAAAAAGCCGAACAATGTATCGAGTAACTAGAGAAGACATTAAAAAAAATAATACATCATTCCCCTTTCAACTCATCCAAATACTTCATGAATGCCACCCGTATGCTGAGAAGCAATGTTCATTAAAAGTGCGTCGTATTTCTCTTCGTCGGACATGATTGAACAGAATCTAAAATAGAGAATAGCCTGTTGCTAATAATTTTACGTTGCTAAGGACCTTCATGCACTGAGAAAATGATGTAATTAACTCGTAATTGATGTCGAAAATGAATCATCTATGTACTGATGGGTAACAACTATCTGTACTCGAAAGAATGAAAGATGATAATGGAGTATATCTTGATAAATCCCGATGATTTTCATGTCAAATCAAATCCATGGAATATAATTAAGAATCACAAATGAATTGGATTGGTTGGAATAATTATTAGTAAAATTTGAATATTCTCAACGAAAAATTCTTGAATAATTCGCAAAAAATATTTTCAGAAAGTTTTCGATTACTTTTAGAAAAACACTGAAGGACAAAGTACACTCTGTTCAAGATGGCGACACTAAAGATCGCTTTTTGCTTGTTCTTTTTTCGATACCCATTTGCTATTCTACGTTTTTGAATGATAATTCACCGGTTGTTTATCTTTTAGATTTCATTTAACCTCACCATCATGGAAAAAAACACAACTGGCGGTGTTATGGCACGCGTTGTCAAAATTCTTGGTCGCACTGGCAGTCAGGGCCAATGTACACAAGTTCGCGTCGAAATTATCGACACATCAACATCCAAACGATCGATTATTCGTAACGTCAAGGGACCAGTGTAAGACTATTTTCTTTGTTCTCTATCATCACTTGAGTCGGATTTTGATTTGAATTTTTAGACGTGTCGACGATGTTCTAGTTCTTCTCGAATCGGAACGTGAAGCACGTCGCCTTCGGTAATCGTCGAACAGCGTTCATGTTATCATCCATTGAACTTCGACGGTTTTGTTTTCGTTTTCTATGTGATACTCTTTTACATCAGAGAGTTGTTAGAAAACCAATAAACAAAATAACAACAATAAGATTTCAACAGAAATAAAACACAGTTTTTTTTATTCTTTCACTGCGTCTTTATACGAGAGAGTTTCAAGCACTAAGCTGATCTTTATTTCGATTTAAACAAACACATTTAGAATAGATTCAGTAACGAACATGTCCATTAGGTGGTATTAATGGCTTGATTTTCCTTGGTATGACTGCCGGTGTAACTCGTCGCCGTTGTTTGGGCAATTGCTGACGCGTTTGTAAATGTGAATTGAAATTAGCAAATGTTTCAACGATGATTGGCATTGGCAAATCAATGATCAAGACACCAACAACCGTCGTTATTGCACCGAAAATCATTCCGCTCAGCGATTTTGGTACAACCTCGCCCACACCTAGTGTGCTGATCGTGCTTATAGCCAGTGATACACCTTCAACGATGGATATTAACTGATTATCTTTGATATTACTTAAACGTTCGATGTAGTACAATGATGCACCGGCAACCATGACCGCGAGAAAGAAGAAAAAGATCAATAAACTTAAAACACTCGATGAATATGACATGGATGTGATGATCACTTTTAGACGTGGATGAAGGTTACATAATTTGAACATACGGGCAACACGAATAGTCGAGACAAGATCGAGCGCTGCATTGTAACCGTGAAAATAAAATGTTTCGTAGAGAATGTAGGTTAAAATAAACCAGAATGTACCGAGAAAATCTAAAGAAAAACCAAGTCTCGTTGCCTATTCTTTCCTTCGTCACGCGACTAACCAATCCAATTCAAAATAGATGAACAAAAGCTTCGTTTCGATGGTGTAACTAAAAATCTTAGCGTGATTTCGAATATGAACCAAGAATTACCTAACACACAAAGAAGAAAAGCATATTATTTCTCTCTGCTCGTTTGACTTACAAATCCACTCGATTGTATCAAATGAAGAGATAATTTTTCGCTGTTGTGTATTCGATATAATCGCTTGTTTAGTTCGATTGTATCCAATCGTCACATTCACCAAGGTAAATTCAGCAATTTCAAATGCGGGCAAAGTGCGAAGGACAAACGCAGCGATGGAAAGTATAATGAAAAACATCGATATAACGGCAATGATCTTTAAATTATAAAATAAATGACTATTTACGGAACAAAAGGAATAGAAATGTTTATTCCACTTTAGATGCTCAATATTTTTCACTCATTGAGCGCTCGAGTAATGATTATTTCCGTGATTCAAGTACAGAATACAGTGTGATCATCTAGTACGAACAAAAGAGAAGTTCAGATGGTTGTTTTCCTTTACCTTAGATACTAATGATGATCTTGGTTCTTCGAATAGTTGCCAGATAATACCTTTCAGACGTTTTCGATTTGATAGATGACCGCTAGTAATCAAATCAAAATCATCTTCCCAACCGAACTTTTTTACAATGTCGTCCGTCGTGGAACGAACGGTATCTAGTTCTAAAGAATCCAATACTTGCAAGGTTTCTTGAGTCGATCGATGCTTCGTATAGGTCATCCTAAGAATATCAACATGACATGAACAATGTCTGTAAATGTTTTTTTTGTTGAATATAAATTTACCAACAACAGGGTTCAACTTCTTCGCGTTGTATTCCCCAAAAGGAGAGTTCATCTTCGAACAAAGGTCCACAGACATTTGTCGGATAATGTAATCTTCCTGTACGATAATAGTTGAGTATTTGCGAAAAAGCGCCTGGATGTCGATCGAAGAAGTATTCGTTTAAAATGGGGTCATAAAATGACAATTGAGGAGTTAATTTTGACAATCTTGTCGCTGGTAATTTCTTTAACGTTGCGCGTTGCGTTTCAAACCGTGTTCCGCCCACGTTTAAAATGATTCGTGAATCGTTCATATTAGCTGGATATGATTCTGTAAATTTTACAAGTTGTGTTGGCAGCATTTTCTCTTTTGTCGGAAATAGTATATTATAGAAGGGAAAGGAAAAGAAAGCTTCGCTTCTTCGTATTGCTATTTATTTCCACGTTTCACGTTGTTACCGTCGACATACAAACTTCAACTAATCAACTATCAATATTTTCTTCTGATACATATGCATCGAATGTCAATGGCTCGTCCCATGTTCTATTCTGAAGAATGCATTTGTTCGAATGAGAGACAGATGATCTAACAAAACGATTGCAGCTTGTCACGAAATTCAACAAACGACGTTCTTGATAAAAAGACATGATGATACAAAGGTGTTCTCTTGTTTTACTATACTCTTATTTCAAATTATCTATGCTACTATAATATGTCTTTGACGCAATACGAGTAAGATCGAACAAAACAGAAATATCAAGTTCTTATTACACAAAGCTATATTTAATACTCGAAATAAACAATTCTATTATTTAATTATAGTTCGAATAGGATTTCTTCCCTGTGCAAAACATGCTCACTAAATTTCATTCGTTTTCTTCTGACAAATCGACTGTGAACAGAAACGAAGTTTATCTTCTTAAAGTTTTATGAGATGATTGAATCTATTTGTTAGACACTTACTGCAGTCACTTTATCTTGATGAATGATGGTCAAAAATGTCAAGAGGTAATGTGATCTCTATATACATCGGATATCAATTCACTTCTATTTTCATTTATATTCTATAAACACTCGGTTCTGTTCAAATAATCAGCCTCAATCGTTCTCGAAACGAAAGCTGCTCGTCTTCATTTACATCGAATCATATACGCCGACAGCGAATGCGTAGATGCACTATGGCATTTACTACTGAGGACACATCACACATTTATCCGTTTTACTTTTGAACAAAGAGAGAGAGGAATGCTTTAAACACAGATTAGTCTTTGTTTTATTGATGGTAGACAGTAAACATTGATGATTCCATTTAGTTCGATCTTTACATTTGACTAGTACTGACAGCAGACATATGTCGTATATTAAATTAATGTACAATATTCTATTTGATGAATAGTCAATCAGATATGAACATTTGAAACACATGGTTCGATAAATATTAGGTGCCGACCCGTGACGTGTCTTCTAACAGGTCAACATTCATAATGAACAATGATGTAACCATTAAAAAAAAGAAGAAAGAGACAACTCACATATTCCAATGCAGTTGTCAAGGCTATCTTCTCTTTCTTCTTCTACATTTTTTTAGAATTCAAGGTAGACGATAACTGAAAGTTGTTCTTTTTCTTCTCTTCTCTTCTCTTCTCTTGTCATACTTTCTCTCTCCTCATTTATACTCAAACATTATCGAACATATCGATTCAGGAGGCATAGGATGCAGCAACATCCGCCGTATATGGATCGGCGACAAGCGAGACTGATCAATATTACAAAAAAGAGTAAATGCGATGATTTTTATACGAAATTAGAACGTATTCGATCATCAGCAGCCGCTTCTTCTTCAAGTAAGTATCTTAACAAGGAGTTAGCTCATAGAAAATGTCACTACCTTTATTCATTATCAAAGTTGTCTTAGTTATCAGCTCATAATCAATTGATTGCTATATACCAACGAAATCGGATTAGTGCGTAGTTGACTGATAGGAATGATGTAACATAATATTGACGGATTGTCGCTGCTTTAATTCATCCTGCGAAGAGAAAGTTCAAAATAGATTTCGTCTTCTCTTCCTAGAACAGTATCCACGACGAACAGCACGAGAATTATTAGATGAATCGAAAAGATTCTTTGTGAAGAGCCAGCAAGTTCTTTACAATCGGCAAACTTTATCAAATAGTCAACGGCTAACCCCGACATGTCGAATACTGTAAGTTGTATATTTGTTCCAACAGACTGGAATCTTTTCTTTTCTTAGACAATCACAACGAACTCCATGTGAAGAGCGTTCATACAATCGAGATAAATATCGATTAGAAAGTTCCATTCAAACCTCATCGAAATCGAATATCGATCATACATTTGATAGTGTTAGTATTCTCTCGCTTTCTGACCAAACAACATTGGATAGCATTGACTGTCCGACACAATTTATCTGTGCACCCATGCCATCAACAGTGACCGTCATTGAACGAAATGCTCGGGTACTCAAATGGCTTTTCCAATTACATAAAACTAATGATTCATCTTCTTTTCATTGTAATTTATAAGTCTTTTCAACAGAAATACAATTTCAGCTGTCCCTGCTTCTAGACACAGTAGTATAGTGATTTAGACCATAAAGGATCGAACTGATAGTAGAGAGCAACATTAGTTTATCCATTTAGAAAAAAAAACTAACAAATAGATTTATTAATAAAATACATTTTCCTGTATTTGATATTTCCTTATTGTATCTATGCGCATGGCCGATTAAGAACTGCTGACATCTGTCCGATTTTTCTGATCTATTGGTTGTTTATGAACAAATTTTCTATAATGGCACATATGATATAAAGATGTAAATAACCTTCGTTCTATTCTATCTGGAAAAGCAAACATTCGAGAACTCAACATGGTTATACAATTTTTAACTGTGTTTTCTTTTCTCCTACTCGTTATTATTAATATTGATATTAATCACGCGAAATGTAAGAACTCAAAGACATTCCATCATAAACTATTTTCCATTTTCTGTACCATTAGCCATTAATGTTGTTGAACACGTGCCAAATGATCTTGCTGTAAATGAATCTAATAATCAATCATGGCACACAACAACAGAACAAACTTTAATTCGGTAGGAGAAGGAGATAGGCGAGCGAAAGATACCGAACTGATATGCTTCTTATAGAATAACTCGCTTGGATCTACATGTTCCGGAACCACCAGCAATAGCTCGTGTTCGTCGTGGATCGTATGAGTAAGTGATATGATATCATATGACAAATAACATCTGATTAATTGAATTTTAGTCCTGAAGAAATTTGGGGAATGGCTAAAACGGTAATTGATTGAAATTGTTCGTGACAGCGATATAGGACAATGCTCGTGACCTACAACATGTTTCGAATAAAACAATTCAATTACTCAGATGATGACATTGGTCTGCACGAGTTCTCGAGTAGACAGGAAAGAGCGAGTAGTACACGAATAAGTTGTTATTCAAGTCGTAAAACGTTTGCGACGCTTCTATGTACTAATTTTGATATATTTATGAAAGAGTGGCAAGATCTAGGGTACACTGAAAAATCTGTATTTGAAGTGTGCGAATAATCATATGGGAATATTGTCTTATCTAATAAAAAAGCGTTATGTCGTAGACACTTTCTAGGGAAATTACTAATAAAACGATACAACCATGAGCGATCGTCACTTATTGAATCAATAACGCTAGGAAACCTCGAGCAGAATCTCATATGTTTAGGTTGCTATTTCTGTGTTCGTCCTTATTGCTGTCTGTATCGTATGCTGTCTTGTAACGACAATCTATATTTGTATTAAATGCTGCTGTGGTGGTGGTAGTGACCGAAAAAGAAATCAAGGTAGGTCAACTTCAGAACAAAGACCAAGCTGAATTGAAATTTGCAATCTATTTTAGGTTTTCACAGCGTGCCTCAACCAATCGTTATTCAAACAAGTCCTGCCAATTATCACCCACAAGTCTATCAACAACAAGCTCCACCTTCCCAACCCACATGGGCTCTAGAGAATCATCCCATGTTACCTCAACCAAGTGCTCCACCACAACCAGCAGACGATTTTCACATGGAACGACCACCACCCTATGAGAAAATATGCGGCAATTCATAATGTTATTATCTCTAGATGAAAAATGTTTTCGTCAGATTCTTTCTAAAGTCTTAATCATTGTGTACTATTGTAATTATCATCTCACATGCATTGCGTACATATATTCGAAGATAACTAATGTTTGTCTACGAAAATAATCATACACATATATAGAAGTTTTTTTTTTTGATACATGCTTTTGTCTTGAACAGAATAATAAATTCGTATAACAGACGATTCAATCTCATGAATTAAACATGAATAAAACACAAGGATTGGTCGTACTCGACAAAATGTTCTCGTATTCCATTTGACACCCAGTGCTAGCTCAGTTTTTTGTAAGTAAACAGTACAAAAACAGGCAGAATTTAAGTACTGATTTATAATTCAATTGTCTCGCGCCTTTTCGCACGTAATATTTGTCGAACGAAGCTGTCAATGTTATTAATCTTTCTAACTGCATAGGAAATATCTAATTTGATTTCTCAGAAATTCATCATTGCCAATGAGAATTTCCGTCTTTTCCTTTCTCTTTAGCTCTACGTTGTCGTATTTTTCTTTTTTTTTTCGTCGCTTCCCAATCAATGATATTATTATTTGCTTTGATCGACAGGTCGTAAGTACACGCGCAACTTCGCCGAAAGACAGTACTTTAATCTATAAGAAAATAGTCCTGACACAGAGAAATTCTTCAAACTGAATAGGATAATATTAATCATGATTTTATCTCACCTCTCGAGAATATGCTATAAATTATCGACAGAAAAGTAACGATATAATAAACATGTCAACGATAGAATAGCACTTTAATCAAAACAGTATGATTAGGTTGTAAGCCGAATTGAATCAACATGTTAATTGAAGTTAGTCAAATATATTCTTATTTGGATATATAAACATACTCCGACAGCTATTAAGATAATACAAAAAGAACTAATTGTAGTGTGGGGAAAAGAATCTATTGACATTTGTACTTAGCGCGAAGTGTAAGTTCATCGAAGAATATTTTTTCTGTCAGTCAGGACGGATCTGAGAGGAGGACAGTGTCTCCGGACAATTTAGATTTTAATCTTCTTTATTTTTCTCGTATCTATTATTTCGAAAAACGAATTTCTCTCCGAGTTACTCGTCTCAATCGCTTAGACCAGCTTCCCGACTATCAATACGTTCATTAGCTATTACAAGCTCTCTTCGTTGATCGTGGTTCACTTCCTCCTTCTTGTCGAAACCAGAACTCACTGTATTTCAGATGGGCAATGTACCAGCCTTCTGTCAAAATGTGACTCTAACACAGAATAATACGTCCTATGAGGTCTTATCACAATGTTGGCCCGAAAAACGCATTGCTGATGCGTTACGTCTGTGTTTACCCTTGATTATTCTTCCGATCTCGCTCATAAACAACAGTTTATCATATTTTGCTCTACGAAGTCGACAAATGCGCGGCACATCAACCGCATTTTTCATGTTGATTCTCAGCATTCTCGATCCACTTGTTTTATTAACAAAAAATCTCGTCTATTTTCCTGTTTTTATTCCAGCGAACACAATCTCGTGTAAAATATTATATTTTCTCATTTATGTCCTCGGTTACACCAACGTTTGGCTTCTTGTTATTATGACAATAGACAAATTCTTCGCAGTTTGGTTTCCACTGAAAGCATCCTACTTCTGTACAATAAGTCGTGCAAAGTGTACATGTATAGTTCTTTTTTTCTTGACAAGTATCGTTTCTTTCCATCATTTTTGGACAATTACTAGTTTAACGCATCCGCAAAATGTTAAAAAACATTTCTGTTATTATGACATGCTGCATTACGCCTCTTTTCATCGTCTATGGCGTTACATCGACTTCGTTTGTTGGTGTTTCTTTCCGTTTATTCTTCTCTTATTATTCAGTATACTGATTATTTATAAATTAAGTCAAAAGCGACAGAATTCATCCGAACACATTCAAAACATCATCAGTTCGAATCTACGATTTCGAGAAGGTAGGCGTTTGTCGAATCGAATGTTCAAATACATTCATCTGAACGAGAGTAATCTATATAACTAAATCCGAATAGAAGTATATTTATTCTTTTTACGAGAATGTATTTCCTCCATGTCATTATAACCGAATAAATTAAGTTATGTATGTGGAGCGAAACATTCATTTAGACTCGATGCATTTCTTTTATTGACATAAATATCGAGAGAGTATTTGACGTAGTCGGCTAGAGGTCAAACTGTCAAAAGAAAAGTTCCTTTTTTCGTATGCTGATGAATGCTCTTTTTTAGTCGATTTATCAAAACGTGCGAGTGTACTGACCTCGAGTAGTAATGATGTTGAAATGCGTTGTAATCAAAAGCGCGACGTGATCCGTTCTCGACATCGTCATATTACATTAATGTTACTCTCTGTTGCTGCTCTATTCCTTCTTCTAACGCTACCTAATAGTATCTATTTCGTACTCGACGTCACCTACGGTTTTAACAAGGCTCCGGTAGTTAACGATTATCATCAATGGTTACGTTACCGTCGTTTGACCATTCTCACTATAATCATGTTCCAATTAAGCGATTTACAACATGCAGTGAACTTTTATTTGTATTTATTAACGAGTCATAAATTTCGTCGAGCTGTCAGTCGAATCTGTTTAATCTTTCTGAATCTTCTACCAACTTTCTTGACATGCACATGTCACGAAAAACTCACCGAAATCCGATATATCTATAAAAATCTGGACAAAAATCAATACAGTCTGTCATGTCGTTCGAGCGTGTATGGAACACTGAATTCTGCCCAAAGCTCGCGTCATATGTCTCAACAAATGAAATCTTTATATGTCTACCATGGAAGTGTATCCAAGTCGACGACAGCGGTAATAAATGATATGATATGATATAAAATAATTCTATTTGTTATATAATGAAAATAAAATTTTCAGAACGAAAGAACATACGGTCTTACATTTGCACATGATTCCATGCCGTAGTTCGAAGAACATCTTTCAATAGATGAGAATTTTCGTGTTCGAAAGCAGTCATTTTTGCGGAAAAACGTTTGCTGTTGTAATACGGAGCAGTATTGATTACATCATCGTCATCATCTTCCATGGTCGATCGACTGAATATGGTTATTGGACTAGCAACCTGTCTTCGGTTTGATGTATGACGTGATAGAGATGTACCAATTCGTGTTGTAGTAGCCGTTCCTTTCCGTGGTGTTGGAGTTGCTGATGCTGTTGGTGACGAGGATTTTTTCTCGTTTTCGTTTTGATTGATCTCTTGTTGCAATGTTAAATTGGTCAGATGCATCACGTAGAATGGACATGAAATGTATTTTTCTTTTGAATTTCGTGCGTTCGTCTTTGTTGCACGTTTTTGAATGATGGTTGACAGTGATGTCGACGGGAAAGCACTTTCGCTGCCGATAGTCGATTGTTGAGGAATTTGGTAAGCATGTGCAACATGATAATTTACATACGGTCGATTGTTGTCTTCATTGTTAGTCTGGATTGAATCAGAAATCGTTGTTGCTGCTTGTGAAGGTTTATTGATTGAAATACTCACAGTTGGAATCGAGATCATCGTGTTTGTTGGTCCATTTTTTGTTGTTGATGAAAACTGTTGATGCGGTTGAACAGAACTTGTAGATGCAGATGAAGGTCCACGAGAAACAAAACTGGATATCGCACTAAATGGTGTGCCGGCTGCATCCTAAATGGAAAGTGCAGTGATCGAATGATTTAATTCATACAAAAATTTCAAATATTGTCTTTTCTATTTATCCAATCTTAATCTAAATTACATTTTCATACTTTCTATGGTTTCTTCTTCAAAAAGGAAAAGAAAGTTAAACATAATTCTATATACCCGGTTCTGCTGTAAGCGCGATGTTCGAGCGGAATCTTCGTGTAGTTTAATTTTACTAGTAATATGTTCGATTTCAGATTTCAAACGAGCAGAACCAGGTGATTGTGTATATGTTTGTCGAGGAGAAAGCTCCTGAGAAACATCTCGATGTGAAACTGTTATAATACCACGTTGTTTCTGACGGCGTATGGGCGACGGCCGAAAGCCATTGCGTAAAACACTTCTCGCCGACTGTGTGCTTGTTGTCGCATCTTGATTTTCATCTGTGGCATAATGTTGAATAAATTCTTGTTTAGATAGGCGTGATTGTTCGGTGTGATGATGTCTCTGTTCGGACAATGCTAACAATAGTTTCGCCGGTCGACTAGGACGATTGTGTGTTGTTTTCACTGGTGCTGGTACTGGATTTTCTACTAACGCAGGAGCTGCAAAGATTCCTGTTTTGTTTTTCGATGAGCCAATTCTCGCCATAGGTGTTATTTGGAGTAAAATGTTATCGTAAGACACCCACACCCACGGATAGAAGTGATGACTATATTCGAACAGAATTACAGCCGAAAAAGCTCGAACGTGTTACCGAGACGGAGAAAGGAGCAAAGTTTTTTTTTTCTGTATTGTTAGACGTCATATAAAGCATAGTTACTCAAACATACAGTTAGTGAAAAGAAAAAGTGTCTTCGTCATCTGAAGCCGATTAAGTGATTGATTGATTGATTGGATTGAATGTATAAGAAAATTCTCAAGAGAAACTAACAGTAATTACACTTACCTATTTAACTGTTTTTCTTTCGCATTGCTTTTTTTCTTCATTAGAAGAATACACAACAAAAATATTCTTGAATTTTGCTTTTTCATTTCTTTACAATAACAAAAATATTTTCATTCATAAAAAGAAATTCACATTCCTTTCGGGTTGACTGTAAGGAGAAAATGACTACATGTATGACACGGCAAACTTTAGACATTGAAATCAAACTCATGCTAGCAATGGCCTCTGATTAAAATTCCATACAATTACCGTCGAACAATTGCATGTCGTGTTTTAGAACTTTCGTAGAGTAAATATTTTATCTCGAAAGTAATGTTTTATTTCAGTGAAAGAGAAAGTCATGATAAACAATTAAAGCAAATAACTAAAAGCATAGCACAATGTCTTTTTCGGCGATTGCTTGTCATCTACAATATACACAAAGAAAGTGTAAAAGTGACTGTTTTTCTTTTAAAATTCTAAATCAAAGTTTAGGTTTCTAATCGACGCTGTCGAATCGTTTGATCTTTGTTTTCAATATCATCGGTATGATCAGCTTCGGACAACGATGTGTCCGTTGTTTTCTCATTCTAAATAATGTGTTAGAAACGGATTTCGATTTCGAACAGAATCTTCTCATACCGGTGTTGTTGATTTCTTTTTGAAAATTTTCGAAACAATCACTGAAAGTGTGTTGAGGAAAGATACGATACCCTACGAAGAAAGAACATTAATACGCGGGAAATGAAACGAAACAATCATACAGTTCCTAAACCAGCACCAACGAAAACGACTGCTAAACAAGTAAGTGGATAAACAACCCACTTTGGTAAACCGTATTCGTCTTGTAATGATGTAAAAAAATCCTAGAAGAAATCGTTGAGAGTAAAGTTGGAAATTTTACCGAACAAACCTTAACAAGTTCAGGCACATTGGCGGATGATGCGGTAAAAGACATCCTTGCAAATACTGAAGCAATGAAGAACAAAATTGAGAAGAAATTTGGTATTTACCAGAAGCCATTTGGTGCAAGATAAGATGGAATTGGTTCTGTATTTTGCCATTCTTCATTGTTGATATAAGCTTTCAACGCTTTTAGTGAACGCTCACCCTCGTATTTACGGAAAACGCCATTGCGAACACTACGATTATATTAAAACTAGTTGTAATAAGACAGAACATGCTCATGACTCTTAGTTAGTGATTATTTTCACATGAATTATGATTACTACATGAAAAGAAACCCCTATACACACTTTACCTTTTCAAATATTTGTATAAAAGCAGACAGCATGATTACAAACATCTAACTCCTAACTCTAGTTCGAGAGAGATACGTTTCTGAGACTTTGCTATACAGCAGATAGACTTACTAGAAAACAGTAGGTAGTTGAGCTATGCGAAAGCGACTGGAGAGTATAGAGTACTGCTCTATATTAACCGAAGCTACGTTAAGATCTTGAGACGAGGTTGCAGTTGAGAAGTCATTCCATACCGGCTGAAACTTTTGACAAGCGGAACACCATGGTGCATAGCTAAAAAACCGAAATCGATGAACATAGTGACGGATATTAAGTTGGTAATTACAATTCAACCATCCAGTGTCCACTGAGCATCTTTTTCCATGTTTTGTCCGTTAGCTCAATAGGTTCAGCAGAATTAAGGCAAGGACAAAACAGCAAGAGAACCACAAGAGTCGGAATGAACATATTGAAGCAAGAAAGAAAAATGAACAGATGGTTAACGATGTAGGCTCTCAAATTTTAATGGAAATGATGTAAAGAAGCAAAACGGCACAAGTGTGTTTCAGATATTGGCATACAGCAATGTTCAAGTTATATTCCAGCGCGATAGATGTCATGAAATGGTATTCTCAGGAGAAAAAAAATGAGCATTTCACAGGTTTTTATCCTGTTTAGTAGAGTTACACTTTCACACTGTTTTTTAACCTTGTCACAGAAAACGTTGCTATTTCCATGCGTTTACTCCAAGAAATGGAAGTTTCATAAAATTACCGCCAAGAAGTTTTTCAGGCGGATAGGAACAATTGTTCCATCGGTGACCCACCTATAATTGATCTATTTATGTTTCGTTGTGAACTTTCGATATCATATTAGAACAATGACATGTACACGAACAAACTAAACTGATTTAAATCAAAGAGAAAAGAGTTTTACTAAAATCTTCATTGATCTCGAGGGTTAAAATAGCAAAATAGTGAGAGTTTAGTGTGAAATGAATCGTTGTCTTCTCCTAACTACGTTCTACTGTTCACCATGATGAAGATTGAATCCACTATGTCATGTTCCTGCATTATCCTGTGATCGGTTTCAGTTGCAAAACTGTTACCGTGGTTCTTGTCAGGCATCTGTATTTTTTAGGAGTCGACAACAAGTTTTGTTTTTCGCCGTCGCATTTGGTAACAACATGGGCAGCCTTCTTGTTTGAAATATTCATTGACAAAATAGATAGATAAGTATTATTAAGTTGAGCAATTAATTTTTCTAAAGCGCTAATCGTACGACGTGTTTGTTGTTCAAGTAATTACACTCGATATTGATGATTTCGGCGAGGGTACCATGAAACCAACGATGCAATTCTTATATGATGTAAATGCTATTAGACATTCAATAATCGGCAAAGGATATTGTCAACAATTAAGTGAAAACCTTCGATTTTACTCATATCAAACCGAATAGGACGCAAACGATAAAAGTACGACTGAGATAGGTGAAAGACGCTGTTATCTGGTATAAGATAGCAGCAATGACTTTGCATTTTGTGCTTTATCGATAAAAATTAAGCAAAACATTTGGGAAACATCTATGTGGCACGCCATGAGTGATCTAATGAGATAACTGTCGATGGATGCTGATATCGTAATGTTTGTATCAGACGACAAACATTCGATGACATTCCACAAACGACAAATTTCGAATCAATTAACATTTGTAATTCAGTCAATAACAAACGTGTTTCGATTAGTTTTTGTTTTCTTGGCAAAAGATTGAAAGTGAATTGAAAATGACCAGTTCTATTACTTGTGTCGTTGTTATTGTCATGAATGCTAACAAAATGCCAGATCGGTTTTAATCGACGCAATTTATTGATAACTGTACGATCGTCAGATGCAACAAAGATCTGTTGAAGTCGACGATCTTTTTTGAATAATCGCTCGATTGATTTGATATACTTCTTCAATGGTATTTCTCGAGCTTCTTTGCCTATCTTGTCTCCCTTTCGGATATGAATTCCAATGGAGTTCGAAATATTTCCTACGCGATATCTTTCAATAAATTTCCTCGTTTCATTGGACATTGTTCTCCACAGATAATGTGCCGCTGGACGTTTCAACATTATTGAATGAACCGGTTGTGTTGCAATCCAGAATCTACGCACTTGTGTACCAATTCGTGTAGTCTTTAAATGAGCAATTTGATCATTAATACGACTATTATCCGAAAGGAATGTCCGATTTATAGAAGGATAATTGTTGTTGAATGGTATATCGAAATAGTCCGATAGACGACCGTAATTCCAAAGACGACTGTCAATGAGAAAATATCGTTTGGTGAAGATACTATATGCGAATGCTAACAGAAGCTGATTGAATTCACTGCAGAACCCTGCTCGATTCCAACTAATGTACAAAAATGTACGATTTCGATTACTATTCATTTGACAAGCAGCGATGTCATTAAACGAACAGGAGGATATTGGTTGGATCGACGTTAATGAATATCTTGAGTACTGATTGTATGTAATTAACGAAAGAAGAAAGATAAATAATAAAAGAACAAACTTAACTAATCGTGAGGTGTACATCAGAGTAAATATTGAAACTGGATACAATCAAATTGGTTTGACTGGCAAAGAATATTAATGGATCTCTAGATACTTTGTTTGGCACAAAAATCACGTTCTTCTTCCAATACAACGACTGACAATATTCCGATCAGTATATTTGTTTCTAGATGGATCCCGTGTGAGAAGTAAGATGATGCGCCTCATGCGGACAGAGTCGATTATGCTTTTCACGGTACAAAGAGAAAAGAAATCAGCTCGATAATGGTATTTCCAGTAGATAAACTCATTACCGTGGAAATATCACAGAATACCCGACTCATTGTTTCTTCTACTACTGTACGATATTGATTTATTATTACATTTTCATTCTGAATCAGCATATGCTCTCGATTATCGAGAACAAAGGACAATGCTTTTCATATGAATATTTTCATCAACAATTGAATTTCAAGACATCGAAATTGCGACTCCTTAGACCAACATCGCGTATCTTAGTTTTAATCTCTATTGACTAAACACAACGTCGAGGTTATCCTTGAATAGATAACAAGGTCACCTTGATGAGACAAAAGTTACTCTGGACGTATTTGTTGTACTAAAAAGATTGTATATTTTCTATTCAATCTAGAAAAAAACGAACACTAAAATAATAACAAGTTTAATTCTATCCATCGGTATATGTCAACAGATAGAACATCACAACCTGCAGGAAGTTTTTTTTTTCTTCTTGTTGAAAGAAAGTTATAACATCACCAAAAAAAAGTCGCTTCAATGCTGCACAAATTAAACAGGTGAAAAGCGAGGACAAGGATATGATAGATATAGGAACTAATCTAATTTTAATAATGGAAAATTTGCTTTGCATTGCCACTTCAGATAATTCCACGATCACGCAAGACTGATGTCACTGAATTGTAAACATAGAGGAAATTTTTGCTTAGACTACTTGTATCCACATCGATTTGGTTATTGATTGGTTTACTTTTGATGGTTAATGTGTCGTCAAAATCATTTCGATTCACACTAGTTTCCATTTGTCGAACTGTACCTTGTTCTTTGTTAACTTCTAATGGTTTGTATGTTGGTTGTTTACGTAGATTATCAACAAGATCAAGTGATTGTTGATAAACATCGCTCACCTTTTGTGTTGCATCGATTGACTGATGAATATTTCTTTGCTGATAGAATTCAATCTAAGAAAACGAACCATTGACAAGAGCAAGTTGATGAAAGGATTTGTTAAGTTACCAAGGGTGTTGTTTGTTTATGGTATGTATTCAAACGGGCATTGAGTGTTTCACTTGTGTCATCTGAACGACGTTCGAGTGGTTCACCTGTAACATCGTCTTTCATGGATTCTTTTGGTGGATTGAATTCCTCATGATAGGTTCGACCTGATGATTTATGGATAAGTCGACCAAGGATACGTCGTTTCAGTAGATCATCAGGAATCTAAGCATAAATCATCAATGAGAACCATGCCAGATGATGAGAAGAAGTCAGCTCTAACTTACGGCATATTCAATGACAGCATCAAGTCGTTTTTGTCTGCTTTCAAGTAAATGTTCAAGTTGTTCACCTTGGTTGATTGTGCGAGGAAATCCATCGAATAAAAATCCATTGCTACACTCAGGTTTACTTATATTCTTATCAATTAACGACATGACAATATGATCATCAACGAGACCGCCAGCTTCCATCGTTTGACGAATTCGTTTGCCTTCTGGAGATGATGCGTCTTGAGTAGCCTGACGAAGTAAATCTCCTGTTGACAATTGACAGATTTTATAATGTTCACTTAATCGAGTACTTTGTGTTCCTTTGCCTAAAAGAGAAAAACTTAGTTCTTGTTTCAACATGACGAACGGTTTTTTCGTTTTACCACTGCCTGGAGGTCCAAGAAGAACAATATTAGCACCAGTGCCCGTTTGTGGTTTAGTACCAAGGTTCTTCAATGATGGCTGAGTTTGTTCATTATCCTCGGATCGTTTTTTGGTTGCTGACGCGGATGGTGATGCCATAATTTAGTCTACAATATAACTCACTGTTTCACATCACGAAACGAAACTTTTTGTAGGTACAAATGCCCTTTGAGAGCGCCCGATCTTTTCACCCTCATGGCAATTGTGTGCGAGGCGTACGAATCGAATATGATGGTATCATTAAATTAAACTAAACTCGAACTTTTCTCTATTGAGTACATAAGAAAGGCAAATATAAGGTTAACTATTAATAATACACTTTATTATCGATAAATCATTTGATTTGCCTAGTATGTCGCGTAAAAACAAACTGATTAGCTACTTATGTTAACTATAACTTGGGCCTTCAGGTGTCATAGATGTCGCAATTTTACAGAAGAACTAAACTTTCGAACTGTTTTTTTTTCTTCAAAAGTACTTCAACGCTGCCTATTGACATTGTACTATTGCTTTGAAAGCAAGACATTTTATGTTTGTGGACAAAATCCTTTTTACATTTGAAAGAGAGTGATTTTTAAATGCGTGAGAGAAGCATTTACCCTGGAAATACGGGATGCAAAATAAGATTTATTTTGATTCTAGGAATAGACAAAAGAGAACGACTAATCGAAAAAAACAACTGAATTCCTAACGGCAATCTCGACCCCATCGATCCCATCGTAGTCGTTCTTGATCAGACGATGAGATCAATATTAATGCTTGTGCCAATAAACGAACATGTAACAATTGCGCTCGATGTTCCGTCATATGTCGTTCGTAGATAACATTTTGACCTTGCTTTCTAATCTTTTCAACATTAACGTTCGAGAGATTTTGCAAACGTTCGATTTCATTTTTTAATATATCCAGCGACGTACAGTCTACTGTTAAGAAATGCTCATTATGATAGAGATGAAGTCGTTCCAAGATTGGAACTAAATCATCCGTTGTGACAAGTGCTAAACCATTTGCTGGTAATTCAAACAGTTTCGCTATTGCATAGTTAACTGACTGACATGTGCCGAAACCAAAAACATATTGTTGCATGTAGGAAAAATACGGTTGTCCTCCATAATGATAAGCACTGTTACGCTTCATGTTTACACTATAACCCGGATGTCTCAAACATCGAACTAGATGCTTTAGTTTGTTAAAGCAAAGAGCGAATGCACGTGCGCGACACGGATACCATTCGTACACGTTTGCACCTGAGACAAACAAAACATTCGCTGCTGTGTGATTTATAGAATGATAGGATAACCGAGATGCTGCGTGTGGTAACCAAGTAATACGATTCTGTGATATGTTCGAGTAATAATTATGGAAGAGATAAGCATAAGTCGAAAAGATTTCGGATGCGAATGATTCGAACAAATACTGTCGGCTGCGATAATAACGTTTGTCTGTATAATGCAAATCATCAATAAACGCTACCAAACGAACTTTGAAGTTGTCGAAAACGGGTTTCCAATACTCGGAAACTTCATGCCATAGAACTAGATTAACATCCCAGATGAGAATAACGATCGGGACGGGATTTTGTTTGTAGGATTGTTCATCGAAATCACATGCATTTAGAATATATTTACTAAGATTAATTTTGCTCTTAAAATCAGTAGGTTGTGTAAATGTTCGGTATTTTACATTCGATCGTGTTCCAATTTGTTTCAAGGCGGTCAAGATCTCGGCGAATTCATGGGATACATAAGACCACCACGGTCCTCCATCGAGATCTTCAATCAAAAAGCATGCGTCGTGCTTGAAAGACTGATGATAGATTGAAGTGATATTGTTTAAATAGAATTCTTCGGGATGACAGACAGCATACGAGCGAAGATCAAATGTTAACGGTAAGTCTGGATGTAACCGACTCGTTATTGGCGATGGAAGTGGTGCGGCGAAGTATGCAAGAGGATTCAGATAATATACGAAAGCGAATAGCCAACATAGCAGAAGAGAACAGAATCGTGTATTACGAAATGGAGTTAAATAATAATGAATACGTCGATGCATGGAAAATCATTCTAAAATCTCTTCAAAACTTGAGGATTTTATTGCTTTTTTGCAAACAATTATGTAACATACGCACCTACACATTGAATGAAAGTGTATATTGAATGTAATGCATGACTTATCATACGACTTTTTACTATTGGTCGTTCGCGTCTGTTTGAATGCTGCACATTGAATAGGACGACTCAGTAAACACAATAAAGGAAGTAAAATAGACCTTGCCGATTTCGTAACAGGATGCGCATAAATTGTTTCTTTTTTTGTTTCATTCGTGATTTATTATTTGATTGAATATACAGATGTATGTATGTTTATACAAAAAAAACAAAGAAAGAAAGAAAGAAACCACATCTACTAAAATGACAACAATAAAAACAACAGAAACAACAACAAACAAACAAAATCGTTCTCTAGTTTGATTTTTCGATGACTGACAAAGCTACTGACTTTTTTGGTTTTCATTGACGAAATATAAAATCCAGACAAAAGTTGTAAAGCATGTAAAAGAAGAGATTATTGCAGTGTGTAAATAAAGAATGATTTTGTCGCGATGCGGCAAGTAATATGCACAAGAGACAGTAAAAGGAAATATAATAGATAGAGAGATTCGAATCTAAGCGAGACAAAGAAAAATAGAGAACAAGAGAAGAAGACGAAGAAGAAACGAACACTATCTGAATAGTAAATGTACAATAGAAGTAAAGAGACAAAGAAAAAAAAAGAACTTTTCTTCGTTGTTGTAAGACAAAACGACACACGGAATCTATTGATGATATTGATGATAGAGTGCTATTGTTGCTGCTGCATCGCCATAATCAGCATTTGTGGTTGTTGGCGGTGCGGCCGGCGGATTGCCAGTGGTCCAATTATCATTCGCTGAAGCCCATGTTGAACCGCCATTATTGCTTGCATAAGTTCTTCCATCATTATTTCCATTACCTGTCGAATATTCTTGTCCCTCTTGATTGTTGTAAGATGCCGGTGATTGTGTTGGATAGTGTGCAATCGGATTCGACACAATTGCACCGGTATTTCTTGCATATGTTTCATATGCTTGCCGGTTATAATCATTCGCATTGGCGATCACGGATGTCTTGTTCGTTGGCTGGCTTGACAAAAATGTCACGATAATGAACTCGATTTCTTCTGTACATGGATTGCAAAATGCATACGTTGATGTTTTCAATGACACATAATCGTTGTCGTTATTTGTACGAAAACGTACGATAATGTTTGTCAAGTTTGATGAGGTGTTTGACAGATTTTTTTGTGTCACTGTTCGTTTATAAAGCTCTTGAAATTTAATTTGATCGTCGGGATGGATTTGATCGTAGATAATCTTATGTAATAATTCATGTGTTTTGTAGCCAATTATTGGTGCACAACGTTGGTCAATGAATAGAATTTCACCTGTCTCGCTGTGGCAACGACAGGTGAATTCAGTTGTAATGGAATTGATTGATGAAATTGAACTATTGGTTAGATCATTAACATTGGGTGCACAGGAATTTTGTATACGTGCAATGGCAATGAATGCCATCTGACCATTGGAATTCGATGATGACGATGGATTATCATGGTGCGATGACGGATGATGATGTGTATTTAAATTACGAATATAACCGCTGATATGTACGACTTCATACAAATGATTGTCAATCGATGGGCCCAACGATGTACGATGACGACGACGTAGAACACATGGGTTAACAAATGGATTTTGATGTGAATGATCAAGTGGATTGGTCGATCCGACGCGTAAACGACAGATAAACGAGCGTTTTGAACTAACTAAAATAAGAAGAAAAGCTTTCCATATAGCGAATCATTTTTAAAGAGAATATCTTCTGAGCATTGAATCAAGTCTACACTTGCTAGAAAGATCTTCCCTCTCTCTCTCTATTGATGAGCAAGATAAATTTACCTAATCGAGCACCTGTAGCATGCCCTTCCTTTTTAACTGTGCCAGTTTTCAGATCTAAAACTCTTCCACTGCCGCTTCCATTTGGGCTTCCATCTTGCGGCTGTAAATTCAATTGCTCGCGAACCTTTTCCACATCGTCAGGATGTACGAAATCTAAACAGAATAATTCGTTCGACAAATTCGAAACAAAGTGCTTTTCGTTCGTCTTTTACCATAGAAATAGCGTGAATACCAATCTTGACATGTGTACGAAAGTATATGTTGTATTGCATCACTTATATAGATAATTCGTAGATTGTCACAATTTAATGCGAATAGAAATGCATCACACGACTCGACCATGAGGTATTTCAATTCCTGATCATTTAAAAATGATGGTTTATGCAGATCAAGCTGCTGCTGTTGCGGTACTTGAGATGGATTCAATGACAACGAATTGTTATTTGTACGCAACGTTTTCATAAACTGTGCGGCCATGCGTAAGATCGTTAATTTATCGGGTTTACGTGCTAGATTGGAACATGCAGGAACCATGTCACACAATTCGGCGAAATATGTGGCCATCTTTATACGGCGACGCCGTTCGATTTCACAATGATTTTCACGTGCTTGTTTTTCTTTATCTTCGTCGCCGCCTGCTCCTCCTCCACCATGTGGATGATTGTTCGACATCATCACATTTGGCATCGAAGCACCACGTAAATAGCATTTGTTTTCTTCGTCGTCATCATCGTCATCTTCATCAAGATCATCATCGTTGGTCTAGAAGGAAACACTTATAGGAGGAAATGTTACCAATACCAACACTCACCATTTTACGCTTTCCAACAGCTTTGTTTGCTGCTGTGCCTCCAGGTAATTTTTCCGAGCCAGTAGCACTTCGTTTTCGATGTGCCGTTTTACGCGAGGATTCAATTGAACTGGATGATGATGCAACTGACGGTGACGATGTGTTGAAGTCGGCGTGGTGTGGATGATGATTTAAACCTGTTGTCGTTGGGTAGAACCCTGCCGTTTGTTGCACATGAAGAAGCTGTTGTGGGGGCAATGTATGACCGTAATAATGTTGATATTGACCCACACCAGATGTGCTTGAGGCCGATGAAGCAGCGGCAACCGCCACAGCCGCTGCAGCGTAGGCTGCGTTGGTATTTTGGTTGAGATACGGATGTTGAATAATTGAGCCTGGAGCATTAGTGATATCGCCCGCCGAAGGTACACCATCATTGCCATAATTAACAGAAGACATAGTAGTTGAAAAGAAAAGAAAAAAAAAGTATTAACGTCGATAAGCAATATGATAACGGCTAATATCAACTTTATCTGAAAATAAAAAATAGGATAATTTTTGTGAAAATGAAAGATAAAATGAATGTTGTTGCTGATTTAGTTTTATTTCTTTTTTTTACTATCATATTTTTTTCTTCTTTGGCATTATTCTTTTTTATCTATCACGGTTCTTGGAAAAATCTTCACACACACAGTAAAACTTCATAGACGGTGTGACAATAGCGCGCAAGATATAAAAGAGAAAAAACAACAACAAATAAACGTTTTGCCTATATACACCGGGTGTTTGGGTTTTTATGAAGAAAAATAACAACAACAACAACAACAATACGGATTTATCTAATATCTGTGTGTATGAATTTATCTCGCGCGTATGTCAAATTAATAATAACGAATATAAAAAAAAGAAAGAAAATCTTATGATGTTTTAAAAACCTGTCTAAATGATAGGATACTGATGATAGTTAGGACTGGTGATAATAGATGCTTTCGTTTTTCCATAGGGAGTATCATGTTCATAGTTATTCTTCTCATTCGGTGAACTATTTTCTTGTTGTCCTGTACCATTATCAACGATTGCACCATTACCTCCTGCGCCCCCCGATGTATAATAAGAATTGTAATCGTAAACATTACCACCACCACCGCCATAGACTAGACATAGACGTACTGGTACAATGCAACTACTCTACGAAAAACAAAAGACAAACCAGTCGGATCTGCATAGACATTGGACGATGGATGAGGAGCACCATATCCATAATGAGAATAATATTCGTTCGCATTGATTCCACTTGATGGTCCGTAGGAATATTGAGAGTTCGTTTGATGTTGGGAATATTGTTGATAAGACGAGCTTCCCGAATTTGAAGCACCCGATGCTTCAGAACCGCCATACTGATAAGCCGCATGGTTGCCTTGTTGATTGTAGGAATAGTTATTCCACCCTGCGTACCTACGATAAAAAAGCCCATTATGCATTTTTATACTACCATCACGGCTTCTCAATTTTATGGAGACATTGAACTCATATAAGCTCGACTTATTTCGATAAATGTTCATAAATAGTTTTCTTACGGATCGGCAGCTGAATATGCGTTGACACCATAAGCTGGAACACCAGATCCATAATTGGCGTATATACTCTGTTGACCGTATGGATCGTAAAGTTGTTGTTGTTGCTGTTGATTGTTTAACGTTTTTGGTTTGGCTCTTTTGACATCAACAGTTATATCACCAATTGTATGTCTCTGTAAACGAAGTACTTCTTGTGCGGATTGTTCATTTTGAAATGAAATGAAGCAAAATGGACGTCGTTCGCTTTTTTCTTTATCGTATGGTAAATCGATTTCTAAACAAAAGTTTTTTCATCGAATCGACTCAAAAGAGAAAAAGTTAACCGTTCAGCTTACCATCAATTGTGCCAAATTGTGAAAAATATTCTCTCAGTTGTGTATCAGGAAAATTTGGATCAAGACCACCAATGAAAACTTTACGATTATTGTTCGATATCGAATTCATCGATGACGATGATGACATCGCATTGTTATTGTTCGCCGCGAGACGGCGATGGGCAGGTTTTGGGTCGACTTTTCGACCTTTGACAAAATGTTCATTTTGTGAAAGAATCTTATCAACTATATCTTTTCTATCAAATACAAGAAAAGCAAAGCCCCGACTACGTCCAGTTGTTGGATCATGTTTAATTGAACAATCAAGAATATTACCAAAACTAGAAAAATATTCACGCAAATCGTCTTGTGTTGTGTCCCATGTTAAGCCGCCTAGATGGAATAGCGCGCACCGTGAAAAAAATGAAATAAGCGATGTGGGAAATTGTTCCTTACCGACAAATAACTTTCTATCATCTTCTGCTTTTTGACCATTGATTTCATGAACAGGTGATGTTTCACCATCGCCATTATTTGAATTTATTGTCGTCATTTGAAAAACTGCAGATAAAAGAGAATCTTTGTAAAAGATAACTTTCGGTTGAAGAAGATGATGTTTACTTACAGAATATAGGAAATAACTTTTATTTGCTTTATATAAAAGGGGAAGTTGAAACGAAGAATGACAATCGAACAAGCGCAAGTTCTGATGTCTAGAAGAAGAAAACAATAACACCGTGCGAACAAAAAACAAACAAACAATTGAAACTAATAAACATTCGACAACAAAGAACTATGAAAGTGTTTATCTCTTTCTCAGATTCTCGTTGTTCGAATGAATCAAGTCGACGTGGAGAAAATGAATCATATTCTCAGCTATTCAGTATGATACGTGTTGAACAAGATGTCAACATAAATGAGCGAAAAATTCTTTTTTCTCATCGTCATATGTTGCCCGTGTGTTAGAGAGCCATAATTGAATTCTTTCGTTGGTCTCGACAGAGATGCTTTTTAAGTAATTAATGATAGAAAATTTTCAAGTTCAAAAATTGAAAAACAATTCACTTTATTCTTTTTTTAATAGTATAGATAAAAAGCGTTCGTTTTCTTAAAATGTACTTCAGTTTAATTACCGACATCTACTGCATAGATGTCGCCAATGCACAATAGGTTAAAGTGTATACCCATCATATATACTTCTAAATCTAAAGTGTCTCGTTCTTTTAATAAACAAAAGAAAACTTACATATTCATGTTGGCAAAGAGAAAAAATAAACAAACAAACTACATCTACGTTGTCTTCTTAATGTTATCGTCAGTAGTCTGTGACATAAATAGTTTTATCGGATGTTGTATAATAAACAGGCAGACTTGTTGAGGTATACGTAGGATTCGTTGGTAAGACGGTGATATTAAAGGCACATTGTGTTGGTTTGGGCATTGATGGGATAACACTGAAATATAAACACATGGATATGATAGCGTTCCGGTTGAATGCAATTCGATTAGGGAAACAAGCATGCAACTAATCTGCTGTTTTGTTTTCTGTAGGATGCTACTGAAATAAAGTGAACCTACATTAGAAATCAGTTATAAATCCGTTCTGATTCATAGGACTGGAAAGAGAGATGAGAAACATATGTCTGGAAAGCTGATCTCAACTTACTTAACACGACTAATATGATGATTCATTGCTTCTTGAACGTTATCGTTTGAGTAGAGAGAAATAGGTGAATTGAATTGACGATGAACGAGATGTGTTGGCTGTGGTACAGAAGGATCGTAGTATTGTTTTTGAACGTGAGGATTAATTTGGACTTTTTTCTGATATGAAGGGGCATACGATTCAGAGTCATTATTACAAGAATTTGCCCATGATGGCGATGCATTCGAAGAATTTTGATAATTTGTTATTGACATCGTGCGAGGACGATGATTATAAGTTGGACCGGGATAGAAAAGACGACCAGGAGAATAGGATATTTGATTGTTATTATTGAAATCATTGCTGCGATCTGAGCGAAAAGGTGGTGGTTGAATATAACCTCGTGTTTTCGTTGAAACAGATGGAACTGGTCCGGGCATCATTGGACTACCTGTTTGACTAGAAATCAGACAAGGAAGTTTATTTTACGAAGAAAATATCGATCTGTGATCGTACCTAAGTAATGGCTTGGGCTCAGGTATACGTTCTAATGGTCGATTTCGAAAGAATGACTATAAAATGGACATTGATTATTGCATTCTAATCCAAGGTAAAAACGGAATAATTACCATAGGTGTCAATTGATGTGTCGAAGGTGACCAAGGCGAATATGAATTTTCAGGAGACCATGATATCGCTGACATGGGACGTTGATTTCTTGATGGTGATGGTGATGGCAGAGAGCCAAGATCAGATCCTCTTTAAACAGATCCAATCAAATAAATATTTGGACAAGAAAAATAGCTCAAACCTTTGTATGAGAAATGTTATTCGACCGCCAGCTCGTTGTATTAATTCGAGTGCATCTGTATGCAACATGGAACTAATTGGCGTTTCATCAATTTCCAAAATAATATCACCACGACGGAAATTTCCATCAGCAGGGCTACATGCATTGATCTGCAAATAATTGTGAAAATAGTTTTTATGGAAATAAGAACTTGAGTTCTACTTTGTTGACAATGAATGGCGATCGAAAATCTGCCCCACCTTGCAAACGAAAACCCCATGAGGTTTGCAAACTATCTCGTTGAAGAGTAACCTTGATCGTTTGTGTTGTTGCCATTAACTGATAATCGTGCAGATTGATGTCTCACATCCGCTGTGTTCTTCTTCTTTTTCTTTATCGGCGTATTGTCGACGAGAGAACGATTCTTTTTGTCTAACTATATATTGGTATTTGAACTTTTCTATCTCAATAAGAACAACAAGAACGTATCTGTCGATACCAAATATTCTTTAATCATCCCTTCAGGAATAACTATCGTCTATCGGTAAAAAACAGTACAGAACAATAATAATAATAGAACGCTAAAATTCATTGTACTCCTCCCACTTCCATCTGTAGACAATACTTCTTTGCATTCGTCTCCCGCTTAGACCGGCTTCCAAGAATCACATCAGTCATACACAACACGAATAATAACAACAAACAGATTGACGACGTCAATAAGCTCTAAAAGAGATGGATGATCTTCGTTCGCATTATCGCCTTCTAGTATATCACCAATCACAAACAATGAATACGAAATATCGACCACACTGCTTAAAATAGATCTCACGAGTTTCTGTAGAACATAGAAGTTTCTAATTAGTAGTTATCTAGTTAGTGACACCTCAAAATAGGAAATAAATGATTCTGCGAACAATGGAATACGTATATTTATTAGTACACAAGTAACCTTCATTATATATTTGTATATTCAGCTGCCAATTGACTAGGAGAAGCGATAAATAGGATGATATAAGTATTTCTATAGAAGCCGCAGAGATGAATGTTGATATTCAAGAGATTCTCTTCTGAGCTGCTCTCTCAAAACTCAAAGTCGATCAATATCTTGTTTACATAGTCGGATATTTATTCAGTTATTTATGTGGAAGAATGGTTAAATTATGTCAATAAGGTAGAAAAAAGTCGGATAAAACAAAATAAAATTGCCGATATCTTGTCCAACCTCATTGTATTGTACATGCTGCCGAACGTTTATCATTAAAGAACAATGTGGGTGAATTATTGCTTCGATTAGAATGATCTGGTTTTGTTGTTTTTTTCCAAAGTGATCCGGCTGATTGGGTATCAGCCCGGGGTCTCCCATCATTTGCAGTTAATGTTCTACTTTGATTTGATAATTCGCTTCCTTCGTGAATCACGGATAATACATCCGAATCGGTTCTATGTGAGCGTTTAGGTGCAATCGATCGCCTCATACTAACGCGATAAGATAGAGAAACACGCCGCTGTTGATTGACCAGTCTTGCGTAGTAGTCATCCCACTGAGAGGAAAAAAAAGCGAATTTAAGATTAATATGTGTTGAAAACGTCTTAATTATAACGAGAATGGTCGTACACTTACTTGATTTTGTTTATTTGTATCTTTCTGCTCGATATCATCTAGATATTCTTTTTCTTCGTCACCAAATAGATAGATTTCGATAGTATTATCTCCGTTATCCTAAAAAATACGATTTTATCCTGAAGTTTGTTTCTTCCTGCGCGCTTACCACATTATGTGTTGGCTTTAGTTTCGTTCCTGTACTCGAAACAACCGCCGTCACTAGCTTGTAGAATCTGGTATAATCACTCTTATCATCCCATTCACGACACAATTGCTAATTGAAGAAGAAAACCGCTGAAAACCTAATGAGCAGAGAAACTTTCATACTTGAATTCGTTTTTCTTTCTGCTCCAAGCGGATGTATTTCTTGTGAAGTAGAGCCAGCTCAGCTTTCAATTTCGAATCACCAGATAGACTTGTGTTTGTATGGTGTGCAGGCGGTAAGTTCGTATTGTCTTGTTTTTGTTCCATGATTTTCATATCCTGAAACAAAGGTTCACTCTTCTCATTTCGTAAAATCTCGTCTCATACGCGCGTCGTCATTCGATATAATTTTGCCGAAGGTTTAGTTTCTTCTTGCACGGCAAAGATTTGAAAGATAATTGAACCGTTTTCGAAAAAGTCTAGCCAGTCCTATTCGATGAAAAACAAACATTTTCTTTTCAATAAAAGTACGACTACATTTCAAAACTCACTTCATCAACATTGTTGACGGTCACGATGCGCGTCTGATTGATTCGAGAACATGCCGCATTACGACATACGATATTTGTTTCGCTAAATTCCGTTTCGTTAAAAACTCGATGACGTATACGAAGACCTTTATTAAAACGCTCATCGGTGATTTCAATGTAGTTCATTGTTATCTGTAAAAGTTTGAAGAAAAAGAGAAGATAATGGTGGCAAAAGAATGAATAACTTACTTTGAAATAATATGGTTTGCTGAGAAGTTCCTCCGGCTGATCGATAAAGTGTTCTTCTGTTAAAATTTGACCATTGGACAGGCATGGACTTATATTGAGACTGAGTCGACCATGTTCTAAACCCTAATCACGAAATAAATGATCTATTTTTGAAGATAGATGCAAATATTTACTTTATGATCAACAATAGCAATCTCATCCTCGAAATCTAGCAGATAAGCTAAACTCTGTACGAAAGCATTCGCAGTACCAATTAAAACATCTTCCGCTGGTTCCCAAAACCTAAATAAACGTCACTTATTTATACCACTAACTCACAATCGTTCATTACGGATCGTCTTCCTTCGCAATGTATAGTATGTCTTCACCACCATCGAGGAATTTTTGATAATGTTCCTAAAATATTTGTACATGTGTTTGTCTGCGAGCATGCAGCTTAATCGTTACTTTGATGATATAACTTCGATTGAAAAATTTCATATCATCCCAGTACCAAAAATTCTGATTGATTAAATTTCTCATTCGAATCATAACCCTAGAAACGATATCATCGAGATTCTGTCGAATGAGGTCGTTATTCTCGAGATTTACTTAGATCCTTTCACTGGCACACCCTCCCACGTTGAAATCGGCATAAGAACAAGTTCAAATACGCGATATTTATTCAATTCTTCGCTGATCGCGTTTACTTCCGAAAGTAATGGTAACAATGTCAAGATTTTCTCTTGGATAACTTCTTGGTCCATGCTTAAATTACTTCCAAATGAGTAACCTTTAACTTGGGCAATTTCCTTCTGCGCAAATTCCCATGTTATCGAAGTTCGAGCATTTCCTAATGAGTCGTTTTCCTTATTTGGATTTAAAAACACATACAAATGATTGGCACCGAATAGAATACGATCTTTATGATTGAGAACAGTAGCTCTACAAAGGAAATAAACAATGGAATTAAGTTTCATAGAAAGTAGTTTACCCATTAATGTAGAAGCCATTGACTTTGATTTTCGCACCTGGTTCTGCAGGTGCCAATTCATATTCATCTGTCAGCGTTCGATCAATAACCGCATGGTGCTCAAGTATACTGATTCCATTTAGATATATCATACAGTCACGACTACCAATCGTTGTTTTCTCTGTTTTCAAATAATAAGAGATGACATATGACAATAACGGATCTTCATTGAGGTTCGCTAAGTACGGAACTTGTTGATTGGATCTTATCGACGCTGTACGAGGTTTATTTTCCAACTGAGCGTTCTTAAGCTAAATCGATCTTCGATGTAATTCGGCAAATTCTGTTTGCCTTCATCCCTTACCTTATCATCCCAGGATATACTGGAATCTAGTAACAGTTTTTGATTGTCTTGTATCTGTAACCGAATTTCTTCTTCCATTTGCTTACGAACTAGCTCAATGTCTTGCATAGACATGCCTGGTTTTACATCTAGGTCAAAATTGTAATTTCCGGTTTCGATCAACAGTTTTAAACGATGATTTTCTTCCTATTTGGATACAACAAAATTCAAACATTCGTGATCGAACATTTCACTTACTTTCAATTCCCGAATTAATTTATCCATGGGATTTTCATTGATAATAGCAACGTTTTTAATGCGTTTTACCCGGTCAGCAAAACGAAGTGTGCTCAAAGTTTCATCGTAATTGACGTCCGCCGGGGAAAGTGCGGCAATCATAATTGTTTTACTATTTCCTCCCAATGCATTTTGAAGAAGCTTCGTTAGAACAGAATCTCGATACGGTACGACTATTTTCCGTTTCACTCCTGATGATATGTCCACTAACGCCGAAATGACATTTCCCAGTGTTGATAATGATCGATTAATATTTGTACTTTCTTTCAACCGATCACCTGTCACTCCTGTCGTGGCGATTCGTTCCGATCCTTTGGACAAACAAATAAAACGTACAGTTCTTTTAAAAACAACAACTCTCGACCATTTTTACCAGCAAGATCAACTAGATTGATAACACTGGCTTTTTTCGTATTCTCTAGATCATTCTTGGTGATTTGGTCAAAATGGATCGTCACGATCGTATGTGCTCGGCTACTTGTTGTATTCATATTTGTCGCAGCTATCGTTCGATTTTCCGTTCCTTCATTTATTCGGCGTTCAATATCTGCATAGCTACCGACTGGTACAATTCGAAGACCATGCGGATAGAAACAACCCGAAGTCGGATGTTGTCGAACAGTTAAACCTAATGGCATTTTCATTCGTTGTTCGTTTCCGATCGGAAATTTTACCTCCTTTAGGATTATCTCGTGTCAGTAAGTCACGAACTTGTTCATTGTAAACTTCCATCATCGATACAGCAACTTCAAAACGCTAGAAGCAAAAATTAGCACACGCTCAGCATCGACACAAATCTTTGGCGACTATGTTTCATGATGGAATCACGTTCTAGTCAGATTAAGTCATTAGTTTAAGACGAAATCAGACTGATAACTGGTATAGTTAAGGATAAAAACTGTTTCTTTTGTTTCTTGCCAACGTGATAACACACTGAAGTTTCTTTTTCTTTCTACTTTTTTTCTAGAGAGAGTCATGATTTTTTCAGAATGGTAATTAAGAAAAAGCTTCTGTTCTCCCCGTTCTATTTGAAAAAGTTTTACTTAAAAACTCTTTCGTACTCAAATATTCGTCCTCAACAGAATCACAAACGACTTACTAGCGTTGCACTTCTCTGCTTTTCGATTTTTTGAAACAATTGATCACATGCTATCGGTACGATTCCCCTAAGAAAACCAATATTTAAAGAAATTGCGTCTCGAAAAAGTGCATCACTCTACCGATTAACGCCATAGCCAATCATCGAATAACTTTTTCCAGATCCTGTCTGACCGTACGCAAACAGCGAACAATTAAAACCTGTGAAAGAAACCATGACAATCATCAAACAGAAGTATACAAGTCGTCCCACCTTCAAAAGCATTCTTTAACACATCGCGGCCGAGTTCATCGAAAACTTTTTGTTGACTAGCATAATTTGATGATGAATCACTCGCTTCTAACTTCCCAGAAGAAAGTTCAACGAAACCATCGTGCGACCTACCAAATATTTTGCTTGACGATTAGTTCTATTAAACTATCCGACTCACCAATATGAGTAATCAAAAGAAAACTAGAAAATAAATTACAAATTAGATCATGTGTTTAAAGTTTGATGCTGTTTACGCTACTCACTTGTTTCTTTTCGTCAACTAAAAGAGAATCTCAGTAAACAGAACTTGTTTATAAGATGTATAACATACTGCAGCACTCACCTGATGATCGTGGGTCGATGATGAATGTTGAATTTCCATTCATTTCAATGATAAGTTTTGCTTTACGATCTTTTTCGCTATCGAATAAGAACGAAATTGTCATCGATGAAAACATTGTCTCTGTGTAAGACTTTACCGATCATTGAATGGTCGAACACGTACAGCAACTTTCACACTAATCAAATTTGATTTTAAGCATTATTTTCCACCAGAAAGAAAACTTCTACTTACGACTCTTCACTCATTGTTAAATGTAAAAGTTTGAAGAGAACGGTTTTGTCGAGCAGAAAACGCGTCGGTTAAATGTTAAGGATGATAGAATAATATATATATGAGAGAGAAATAGAACAAGTATGTCACGCCCGAGGAGTATAGAAAGCCTGTTGAAAAAGAAATCTATCATTTTCATTTATTTAACAACGCAAAACACGAAAAATTATGTTCATTGAACATTTTAATGTTTACACTACGAACGAAGCTTATCTTTTACCTGTCCCCCGAATTGAATCAAGAAAGGGAGAGAAAAAACACAGCAGTTGACAATTTTAGACGATATCACAGAAAAAAAAGTACATCGCAAAGTAATGCTGTTCATTTTACCACTTGGGAAAAGAGAAAGGAAGAGAGAGAGAGATCCTACAAACACTAATTGATTATTATTGTCATGTGTATACAATGTTGAATAATTAAATATGCAATATTTTGAGAAAATACCTGGACAACTAGTGGAGATCTGCGAATATGATTCTAATGAGTGTCTCGAACAAAAAACCTATACTGTCGACTCGCATCTCGTATGAGTTTCATTCATGCATCCAATACTTCGAATAACAGATCATCCTGACAGCAAGTAGCAAAGAAATATTAGAGTGAATAATTACAAATGCTTGTAGTTAGTGTAATTATACCTTCAAACTATTACATATGTCAGACATGATCATCGCGGCTACGAATTATCACAAATTACTATCGTATGTAAAAGGATAAACAAGAGTCATGCCTTACTCAATAAATAACCTAGTAGGACAGTCTCGTATGCGTTGTATTAAAACATGTTTTTCTCTCGAAATTTTCAATGAAATTACATTATGACAGAAAACTAAGAATGTCTGGCGAACGTCTTTTTAAGGTACCAAAAACAAGTGTGTTGAAAACTGATTGTAGAAATGCCAGCGCGAATATGCCAATTAGAAATCCATTTAATGCTTTATACGAAACTTCACATGATGGATCTCGCGAAGGAGATGCACTATCTGTGTTATTATCATTGCATTTGTCCGTTAAGATGATTATTACACCAATACCAAGTACAACACCGATAAGAATCATTTGCCAAAAGAACGCATGGAAAAGATTCGAATATGTTTTTCGAGAATGATGACGATACATGAAAATCGTGTTAACACCCATACATATGAGGAATGCCCCGGCCCAAAATCCATAATAGTAATAAATGATTGAATGCAACGTGAGAATACCGATTTGTAAACCAACAGCGGCAAGAGAAAAGAATATCGTCAGAAGTCCGTTGATAAGTAGATAAATGCGAGTCTTTTTTGGCATGATGTTTTCAGGACTGGAGGATCGAACTTCGGAAACCATGTCTATGCATCCATCAGTTAGTGGAGGACCGGGATAATTGTTGATATACGTGACAGATTGACCATTGATATCGGTGTATATCGGTGGTGGATTCAAATCTTGATTAAATTCGCTGAGTTTCTCAACAGCAGCCGTATATGGAGGTGGTGCTGGCGAGTCCATCTCTATACTAGACGTCCTTTCCGTGCTCATACGTTGTATTTATGTATTTTGTAAATATAATACACTTGTTTCGTACTTACGTTTATTTTGACTGACGAGAAAGGAGTAAGAAAAGAAAAGTGTGTATGAAATCAAGCATGGCCTGTACTAATGATCACCAAAGATGCTCCCCGTATTGCACCTGTGTAGAACGAATAAATATTTACATGTGTCAATGCATATCATCGGTAATGATGATGCATGCCACACCCAAAGCATACGAATCGATAAATACGACTTTATTATACTGAAAAAGATCGATATTAAAAAAGATATCCACGATATAAATGAATTTTCCGTATGACTACAGTCATGCCACTTGTGCTATAAACAACAGATATATTTGCTTTATTAAAAACAGTGACGTCAGTACAGTTAATTGGAAATGTTGTTTGAAAAACCAATCAATAAAAGATCTGACTGTGCGAGAATAATCTTAGAACGATATTTAATCGAAATCGATAAGCTATAACCTTAAAATCATTATGTTCTACCAGTTATTTAGTAAAAAAAATAACGTGGGCGATGGGATTAACACAAATATTGTCATCTGTGTTAAACAAAACTCGAGTTCTCACAGTTATCTCTTTTTATCATTTACATAAGTAAACGAATCTTTTCAAATAGCAGTATCCATTTTTTTTTCAAGAAGTCTGATAAAAACAAATCTATTATTTTGTTATTTTTGTATATATACACGGCCTTGTTGTTTGAATTAAACTTGATATATTAGATTTACATCGACATATGCATATATGTTAATTGTTTTTTTCTCGTTTAGAAGCAAATCCTTTTAATTAATTCATCATGTCCTCGTCTTTATTGATTCTTCCCGTTCTTCTCCTTGTCTGTCTTCTACAAATCAATGCAACACCTGCACCCGGTCCTACTAGTCAAGGACGCAACTTGATCCAATTCGGTAATATGATCAACAAAATCTTGGGCACAAACGCATTGAACTACAATGGCTATGGCTGTTGGTGCGGATTTGGTGGAAAAGGTGAACCTGTCGATGGAACTGATGCTTGTTGCAAAGCTCACGATGAATGTTACGATGAGGTCATCGCATCTGGCTCAGGCTTTTCTTCATGTTCACCATACCTTAGTTTTTACGGTTGGGATGTCGATCCCAAAACTCTTCTTCCTTACTGCAAAGACACGCCAGGCTCATGTGCTCATCGCGTTTGTGAATGTGATCGTATTGTTACTGAATGCTACAAACGAAATTCTGATACATTCAATAAGTCATTAAAATGCCCGAAATAAATTCATGCACACGCTCCTAATGTCTTGTCTTTGTCTTTATGTGCACTTGCATATATATATATATATATTCCCCTCCTCGCTCTGTTTCTCAAGGTTTAGTCCGTAAAGAACGACTGCAAGGTGAGTTTCCCCTTACGGCTTGATTCTATTCACTGATATATTGTTCGAATACAATCGAAGACTCACGGTTAATGATAGTCATTTATTCAAATAGCAAGACGTCGGATCAAGCCATCGAGGCACATTAATGGCATATATTGCAGAATCAATTAGATTTGAGACGAGAAGATACACGCGACATTTGTTCGATTCGGAAATTTTGTTATTCACTGAAAATTTATTATAAATATTGAAAAAAAACATAAATAATAGCATTTGTCATAATGCATAGCATTCTCAGTCGGATAGGAAAAAAGCAAAGCTCACACCGGTTATATATGTATTGAAAGAGAGAATCAGAAAAATAAATATGATTGAATAGAATCACCCCGAGATTGAACCGTCGTGTCAAGAGATGAGATTATTAGCTGGCGACTGATGTAGACAAATCTAAATGAGTCATGGATAATAGAAACGATTGTAGACAGGTGGAATATATGTGCTAGATCTCAAGGTATTGAATCTAGTCGAAAGATATGGATCATCCAGATAGTAAGTGGATGAATAGTAGCGATTTTCACCGGGTTGATCATGTAGAAATGACGATGGACTAAAACTCTTTGAACTTAACGGTCGGTAACTTCTAGGAATTGAAAAACTTCGTGAGCTCAATGTTGGTAAAGCTTGGGTGGGTGAACGGTATAGATACGATGATGTTTTGGGTGCAGGTGAATATATATTGTTGTTGAAATAAGTTAAATCTCTTAGCATTGGTCGACGAGATGTTCGCATTTCACTTGATGATAAATATATATCAGGTATTGATTCATAAGACGTTTCAATAAATGAAACAGATGTATAACCAAAGAGAGATTTTTCGTAATTCATTAACTAAACAGAGAGAGAGAAGCATTCAATGTTAACGTGACTAGTAGTTTTTACTTACTTGTTTTATAAAACCGAAATTAGGTCCAACAATCGGCCGACGTGACCGTAAATGATAAAATGCATCACGCAATGACATTTGTTTATATTTCATCAAATAAGCTAAAAGCGCAAATCAACAAAAATGAATTCTTGTATTTTTTTCTAAACTTTTCATTGAGTCAACAAACCTAAAATAATTGATGCTGATCTCGAACGTCCAACATAACAATGAACTAATGTTTTTCTCCCTTGTTGTAAATTTCGTTCGATTCGGTCGGCTAATCGATCGAAATAGATATGTATGGATGCTGTGGGCAAATCGGGTATAGCGATTCGTTCGTAATCAACTGTTGGACCGAGATCTTGTCGTGGACAATCCGATGATATGTTGATAACAGAGCGTATACCTTTATTGAGAATCGCTGTTTCGGATTCTAAGCCGGATATGTATAAGTTTTCGATAACCTCCGTTATACCCGACATATCTATTGATCGATGGTCGAACGATCTAGAACAAATGCAAGAGAAAAAAAATTGATTAGAGATATTTCATTTCTTTTTGAAAAAAAGAAGAAAAATAGGGCTTTTGTTTGTTAACACAGTTGAAATAGAAATAAAATCAACCGGAAGACACGCATCTGACATTCCGAAAACTACAAATGCGTATCATGTCGAAAGAAAAGAAAAAAAATCATATCTCATGGTATTAAAGGTTTAATAAAACTTGACCGATATGTTGTATCATAACGTGCACGTTGTTGATCATTATTTGCTGCACTTGTAATAGAATCAGTTGTTCCATTCGGTAGATGATGATGCTGATGCACATGGTGATGTTGGTGGTGCGGATGATGAGGTGTATAACGATGTTTGACATTAGCTGGTATGCTGACAGGTATAGTTCGACTACTTGAATAAATTGTTGATCCGGATGAAAATGAATGTGTATTCGGAGGATTAGTTATTGTTGTCAAACGGTTAACAGCTGGCCGCGTTGGTGCATGACAAGGCTGTCTGTTGGTTGTGAATAATGGTGTTTGATAAGATGGATTACTGACATAAGTTGATGCAGCAGCTACGGATGGTCGAATTGTAGATTGAGATGCTAATGATCGGGATCGTGTAACACTAGTTGTATGACTCGGATATGCATCCCGACCATTTGTTCGACTTTGACTCGATAGAGTATCGCTAGATGCCACACTACTATTTATTGGATTACTTGTAGTTGATGCAAATGCTGAAGTAGATATAGGTGAAGATCCTGCTTGTCTTTGGTGTTGAGCTTCGTACTGTTGAATTTCTTCGAATGCAACATCAGGTACGTTACCATATTGAGTAGGTACCACTGAACAAAGAAAGAGAGAGAACGAAGATTTTTTCAAGACAGGCTTTTAATTAAAAAAGTCAAGTCGTACTTTTCACACTATTTTCTCGTTTGAGTCGACTTTCATAGGCGATCAACTGGCTCCAGAAGCCTAAATTTGGAAAGCATATTGGGCGATGCTTTTTGCATAGTAAATACGCTTCTCGTAAGGTCATATTCATATAACGCATTAAATATGCGCAGACTATTGTCGTACCTTCAGACGAGAAAAAGAAACAGATTTTTACGAAATGAAACATGAAAACTATTCAGAGATGTATGTGTACATACTTCGACTAATTCCAGCCATGCAATGGACAAGCACTTTGTGTTGTTTATCAGCAGTGAGATGAGCATGGATTTTATCAGTGATGGTATTGAAGTAGTTACTTATCGGTGTATTGGGAAAGTCAAGTATATCGAATTTGTCGACTTTAACATGTTTTGGATAGACAATAGGCGAAGATTCCAATGCAACATTCTACCAATCGCACAAATACACAAGCAGAGGCGGGATAAGAAGAAGAAAAACAAACTACGACTTACCACAATGTAGGTGATGCCCAATCGTTGTACTTGTTCGAGAGTTGCTGCTATTTGGCCTATTTAAAAAAAAAGTATTATTTTTAAACCAAAAAGAAAACAAACAGAAAAACAATGCATACCTGATATGAAAACATGCGGTGTTATTTCTGAAATCGCCATTAGAAATGTCATTCGGTTCATACTCGCCATTGTTATTGGACTATTTAGCAGATCAGTTAATAATTAATGAGAATAGGAAGAGATAGTCAACACTATGAGTGTTGCATAAGAAAAGAGAAACAAATGACTATTAAAATTTCTGGAGAAAATATATAAATTTGCGTCTTGAGACGTCGATCGAAGGAGTTGACGGAAGAAGAAGAAGAAAAAGAAAAAACGATTGCTCTTTACCATTACTTGTCGCCTGCTAGGCTGTTATTTAGCAACCTACGAGAGAATCACGTGTCCTAGTAACGAATATTAGAATAAAAACATGTAGATCAAGTCAAACCTTTGCATGCCATTTGTTGACACACTTCTTTTCAGTTTAGAAAGTCCATTTTCTCGTATTAATTATTAAATTAATTAAGAAAATAACGATAGTGCGATATGATTTGCTGAATGTCTACCAATCGAGTGCCTTTCAGCCAAATGATTCATAAAAAAATTGTTTTTCGCTGATAATCAATTTATTGTCATGTCAAGTGCAAATCAAAACTTGATCCTGTTTTTTTGTTATGTTGTGGTATTTACAACGCCTACGGACGAAATAAAATGTGTTTTTTTCTTGAATATTTGCTGAAGTATTTTGTATTTTATCTGCTATATGCTATGTACACAGAGATAATCGAATCAGAGAAGATGAATTTTGATTATAGAACCATTTTTCCAAGTGACTTGCTGCGTTGTTATCTGTCAGTTTCAAATAATTTCATTTCAGATAAACACTGATCGATTTCTGTCGTCTCTTTTATTACATGTTCATTTATATGTGTATTTACATATGAATACCATTTGATATTCGGTCAACAGACTTCGCAATGGCTTCTTCTTGTACGTCAAAGAGAATTTATGCATTTCTTCTTGCTCTATTATTCTTGCTTTTCGATAACTATGAAAAAAAAAGAGAGAATTTGGTCAGCTGAATGTATACACGTCTCGCTAGAAGTTGCTCACGTCTGTGTTGGTTGACTTCTTACTCTAATCAACCGGATGATAATCGCTTTCTGTCCACTTCGCTTGCTGTAACAACAATATTGCCTTGATCAATGAGTGCTGCCATATATGCTTACGCAAGCTCATCAGAGATGTGTGCCCTTTTATCTCTAGTTACCATAGTATTTTACATGTCCGAAGGATGATGGAGACAACATGAAAGTCGAGTGAAAGTTATGGCAGAAAGCTGCTATTTTTCCCTTGTCCTTACAATGATTATGAAATTCTTCTCAGCTTTAGATTAATATATGGTTGTTATTGTCTACCATAACTTGACCTTGACTAATAGTAGATCGATTTCTGTAAACACGTACAAACAGTGTTGCGATCATATCGTATATCTCGACGTTAATCGTCCACAAGTGGATAGAAGAGAAGAGAAAAGATCTCCGATTCATTTTGATTGATCGTAACAATGTTCAGATGAGAGATATCTTTATATGTAAACCTTGATTTAGATGAGATTCATCACTAAAGCTGTTGGTGATACAAATCTCTTGCTTTCTTTTTCTCCGCGTCTCGGTCGCTCTTTCTTTATCATTATTGATGCTTTCCGAAGGACACATCCGCTCGTTCTCAGGCGAGAAAATGTTTATATAAACAGCGAAGCATGGACATCGTGCTAACTGAGAAGCGTTCGTTTTGTTTAACTAATATCGTCATCATCATCATCATCATCATCTAGAACATCAACATCGACTGAGAACGTCTAACTGAGTTAGATTGCACCATTTTGTCCCTTTGTTGAATGAATTGATCGTGTATGCACATACATATTCACATAGAACGAGGAGAGAGAGGGGGGGGAGAGGGAGAAAAAGAAAGTGGGTGAATCGTGTGCATATGTAACTTGGCAGTAGGCGATGCATTGTCCCATCACACATACATTTTCTTTTTGTGTTAGTTCTTTACTGCTCAAGTGAACACCGCCGTCAACGGTATGTTTGATGTAGATTTATACATATGAGAGAGAAAGAAAGAAAGAAAGAACAAAATGAAATCGATTCGTTAGCGAAAGATGAGACAACAGGTGATGATGATGATGATGAGCACTGTATAATACGTATGTGAATACGAACTTGAATTAGTTGGTGTCTCGTGAAAAGACAAGAACGAGTGAAGATAATGTGAGAAAATGAGACAGTACGGCAGATAGATAGGCGACGCTAATTGTCTTACTTATTTCTCTTACAGTTTTTCATCGCGATTATAAATGACATTGTGTCTACAAGACGCATTGTTTGATTGCTTTCATTTGTTATCTGCTTTTGCTCAAACAGATATATGCATATTTACCGTTAAACGTTTGTCTTTTTTTAAAAGAATCTTATCCTATACAATTTTGTCATCTCGCTTTGTTGATTCTCTCTTCATTTATTTCTTTTTCTTTCTCTTCTTTTATGCCTTTCTTCCGGTTTCATTTCTCTTTTTTTTAGATGAATGAGTTTTGATGACTCTAACAGTAAACGATGGCTTAAACATCGTTTGATTGGTACGTATATACACACATACATGCATGCATGGTTCTAGACAGAAATAATCTTGTTAATAACAAGTTTTCTTACGTTATCCTTGGAAAAAAAGACAGAAAATAGAGTCTCTTTAGAATTCTTCTAAAATAAAACATCATGTCGTGGATTGAATCGAATCGTTTTTTTTTCTCTCAATAATTGTATTAATTATATGCACATCTAAGCTATGCCTTTCATCAAAAATTTCCTAAATCGATTTATTGCATATATATGTATACACATACACAATCGATGGTAGTTTTTTTCCTCTCTCGTTCGTCACAGTATGTATGTATGTATCAGATAAAGTAATACAGCATGATAGGAAACGAACGAACAGAGTGCAAGCCGTTGATGCCATTATGTAGGCAATATGAGAGACGACGGGCGCTCTCGTCGCAATACTAAACTGAGGGATGAAAGAAGAGTTACGTAAAAATTGTGCACACATAAACATAGAAGAAGGAAAGAAGAAAAGAAAGAAAGAAAGAAAGAAAGAAAACCGAATGGTACCGCTATTGAGAGATAGAAAAACAGATCTTCCGACTATTCCAACTGCCCTTCTTCCTTATTCAATGCAGGCGAACATCTCCTTCATTCTTTTTTCTTTCTTCCTCTACATTTTTCTGGCACCAGCACATTATTAATGTTGTTCGTTGATTTTTTTTCTTTCTCCTTTGTTCTAGGCTATGTACAAAAACGTGCAAGTCAATCATTATAACAACGCTCCTAGTACAACTACTTCTTCTTCCTTTCCGTCACATACGACAAGCCAAAAGGCTACTAGCGTGCCTGTACAAATAACTAGAGCCTTTTCTCCTTCTTCGCATAGTAGCAATATTAGTGACAACGGTATATCGATACCTGTCTCGTATAAACCTTCAGAACAAATCATGTCGTCAACATCTTCATCAAAATTAAAGTCCGATGTTGACCAACTTGATGATCTTGTCAAAGATTTACTAACTGAAGTAAATCAACCAATCAGTGAATCGAACAATCATCGATACACGTATCAACGTCATTCAAATAATGATTTATCGAACTCAAGAGTATCATCATCGTCAACGTTGACCAATCAGAAACGTTACGATTTTGAAAATCCGCATAGTTCTAAAACAGTGCGAGAAGAACGCATCAGAATCAAACGTGGTGGTAGTAATACCGAAATTCCGATCACAACATCATCATCATCTATGACAACAGCAACTACAACCACTACGACCAAACCGCAAATATCATCATCAGCCATCGATGAACATCTTATCGATTCATTATTAGAAAGTGTTCAGAATACATTACAGAAGCGTGCTCAACGAAATCAATCAAATTGGTCAACAGATCTACCCATACATAATCGACGAACTTATAGTTCAAGTGCTTCTTACAATACCGACTCGGTTCATCGGGTAACTTTATTCTCTTTTCAATTAGCTAAAGATTCGCTTGACTAATCAGCACATTTTAATATTTAATAGAGAGAAGAGAAAAAAAACGGAGAGAATACAAAATGTCCATTCAGTTATTCAAGGAAATATGTGATGTTAAGAAGAGAAGCACACAAAAAGAAACTGTTTTTTATCATTTCGATTAAAAAGAAGATAGTACAGAGATTGCGTAAGAAAAGTTCATAAGAAAAGCATTTTACCTTGAGAGAAGATTCATCAACTCCAAAAAAATACACATACATATACCCACTTCATTGAATGGTACTTATTAACATTACCTTTTATGACTTTGAAATATATCATTCAAAACTTCACTGATAGCGGTCATATTGAAAAATCGATTGATTGATTGCTTACATGTCTGGACAGTTTATAAATACTTAAGAAAAGAAATACTTCTGCTTTCTATTTAGATGGATCCCAATCGAGGCCGATTTCCAATCAAACTTAATCGAACCGAGAGTCCAACGAGTACATTGTCATCGAGACGAAATTACAATCGAAATGATTCACGAGGTAAATTAAGAACAATTTCCTCTCTCTCTTTTCTCTTATTAATCAATGTAAATCCTTTCTTTTCATATGAAGATGGTTATATATCAGGATCAACGAATACCATTCCGGCACATTTCCGTGCAACATCAGAACCGCCACCGGATGGACCCATTGAATTACGTCGTATGGACTTAATTCGTTCGCCTTCTCGTACATACATGGACGCAAACGCACCATATCCACACCCTCAAGAATATTATCAGTATTCACGTTCGACATTACCATCAGGTGGTATTCGCGTTCGTGGTGGTCATGATTATTCGGGCTATGAAACTGACACGGGCATAACGACATCTCGTGGCTATGGTCCACGATATTATCGTCCACCACCTCCATCACAACCCATGTATCCATACTATTATCCACAACATCCGCCTGAGTATCATCATCGTCCGTCGTTTCGTCCCGATGGTTATGACACAGACAGCGGTTTAATCAGTAGTGGTCGATTACGCATGACACGTACACTATCACCACGCATGGCTGTCATACCAGAGACCGTTGTTGTCAATAATCGAATGGTATCCTCATCAAATCTGAATCAGATACCATCTGATTTACGCGGTAGTGCGTTTCTCAATCAAAACAGTCGTTCGCAACATCTCGCTGGTTATGATACAGATTCAAGCATAAATACGCGACAGCATTTCAATGAATATCGACAAGTACCTGTAGACATCCAATGTAGCGATAGCGGTTGGGTAGGAAATCAATCAATGTCACGATCAAGTTCACAACAACCACAACAGCAACGATATGTTGATAATCGTCAAACACAAGAGCATATACGTGCTACATCCATACCTGTTTATACTCAACAATCTGAACAGCAAAAATATAAACGAGTAAGAATAAAGATTTTTATCTTTTCTTCCAATTATCCTTGAAAAAAAAAGACACAGTAAAACACAGACTTAGTTGCACATATGAATATATGCACGGAATGTGTTCCGAACAGTGGAAAACAACATTCCATTAATCTATGTCTAACCTAGACAACAAGTGTAACACCATCGCCATCATTATCGACAACTAAAACAAGTAAAAAAGACATTTCAATAATCCCGACATATTTTCCTGGTTCTGTGGGTCTGTCAAACCCATTGAGTGATCATAAACCTCAACATCAACTACAACCACAACCACAACCGCAGCCACAAGCACAGCAGCAGCATCAACAAATATCTGAGTCTGAAATAACGCCTAAAGTTTCGAATGATAATATTACAAATCGATCTACTCGACCACATGGTGTTATCATTGAAAGTACTGTAATTCAATCATCTGTTGATTCTGCCGTACCAAATCCACAAGTAGTCTCGAATCCATCTGAGATTGTAAGAAATACACGTTTGACGTGATCAACCATCCCCTACACACTCGCAACCCTTTTGTTTTGATTGCCACAAATTACTATGAACAGTTGATTGAGAAAACACTCCGTTCTTCTCTTACAGGCTCCTAAATCAAATGTGGATAGTCAAGCCTCAACGGCGACGACGACGACAACAACAACAACAACGAAAATCACGGGAGCAACACCGACGTTTCCAGCCATCAATCAATCTTGTATGTATATATTTTAAAGTTCATATAAAATATCGCTCATCTTCTTTCTTTCGTCTCATTCAGACAATGCCAATGTTCCATCACGTGTTGGCAATAGGTAAATACATGGAATTAATGCTAAGTAGGGGTGTTACTTTATCTTTATTTTTAAAGATAAAGAAAAAAAATAAAGTCAATCTTTATTTTTTATAAAATAAAGATAAAGAAAAATCTTTACTTTAAAAATAAAGTAAAGATAAAGTAACACCCCTAATGCTAAGTCAACTATGGTCTCTTATCAATTGCAGTTCGATGCGCAATACCGAGGAAACTGTACAACGATCAAATGTTTCTTCACCTTCAGGTACCATTATCTTAAATAACATTTCCTTTCTCTAATTCATTACAGAAAAACAAACACTGTTTTAATTATCAAATCAAAGATAACATTTTTCTCAGCACTGAGAATTCTTTTAAATGTCTTGTTTATTCTAACATATCAAATTTTTCTCCTAGAAACAGATGCAACCCGTACAGCCGCGTATCAAGCTCATAATGTTAGTCAATTTTGGTACAAAGAACGACTCTCACGTGAAGATGGTAAGTTGAGTCATTTGATTGAAGTTCGATCGACTATCTGTTCTTGATTAGCGATCAATTTACTCAAAACAAAACCACCCGGAGCATTTCTTATTCGTGATAGTCAAGGTTTTCCAGGTTCTTATGGTTTAGCTGTTAAAGTTGAAAAACTACCACCGGGTATTCAATCGAAACCAGGTTTGTTCATGAAAACAATGATCGCAAATTCCAATAGTACACTTTCATTGTTTTGCAGGTGCGGATCCCAATGCTGAACTCGTTCGACATTATCTGATCGAACGGACACCGTCGGGACATGTTCGACTGAAAGGTTGTCCCAATGAACCTGATTTCGGTATGTTCATCTACGACAAATTCAATCAATTCTAAGATTTATTTTTTCTTTCAGTAAATCTTTCTGCATTAGTGTATCAACATACAATCGCTGCACTAGCACTACCAACGAAACTCGTCTTACCAACTGCCGACATTGCCGAGGATTATCGTCCTGCTGCCAGTCAGCATCACGAAGCCAAAAAGGTGTCTGTTAAGGATTTACTTGAAAAAGGAGCCGGTAAAATCAAATCTTTTAGTCAGATTTCATTCGACAGCATTCTCTTTCTATCATTTAGCTTGTAATGTTATCTATCTAAATGATGTGGATGTTGAATCGTTATCCGGTCAAATGGCTGTAGCAAAAGCATTACGTAGCACATTTGATAATGCTGAACGTTTACAAGCTACTATTGTTAATTTCAAAGTTTCAAATACTGGTATCACCTTAACTGACACGAAGAAAAAGTAGGCCACTCGGTTTTGATGTCTTCATTTTGTGAAATATGGTTTTTCTTAGAATCTTTTCACGACGTCATTTTCCGAAAGAATATGTTACATATTGCGGAGCTGATTATGAAACCGATCGTTTTTGGACGTATCAATTCAGTGATCTTGACATGTTACCACGAGCAAAGTCTGCTTTAAAAGATTTTCTATGCAAGAAAACGAATGTCGTGTGTTTTGCTTTCAGATGTTTTGGTTTCGTTTCGAAGAAAATCAATGGTGCAAAATCTTCTCAGCCGGAAAATGAATGCCATATCTTTGCTGAACTTGACCCATCTCAGCCCGCAACTGCCATTGTCAATTTTGTATCAAAAGTTATGATTGGCAGTGTACCCGTTTAAGAAAAAGGCACATATCCGACGAAAGAGAAACTCGCTAGCAAACGTTAGGATATTACTGAAGAAGAAGTATTTTTGAACAAATGAACATTATTTTCTCTTTCATCTCATTCATCAGAGTGTTTTTATTCTTAGAAATTTTCTCATCGTACAGTTTGTTTTCCTAAATTTGTAGTCGAATGTCAATTTTTTCTCGTTTTTTGCTTTCTTCTCCCTCGCCTCTTTCTTCTCAGTTCATTTCAAGTGATAACATTCTTCTCCTCTAACTATCGTTCTCGAAGAGATCTATAAATCTAAAAAAATACAATTTTATTCAATTATATATATACATATATCTTCTAGAGAAAAAAACAAAACAGTGATGAATATAATGACCCTTGTTCTTTTGTCTGTTGGTGCTTGCTTTAATCTTTAAAAAAAATATATATATTTGTTTTTCGTTTTCTCTTCTCTTGAGTATTTCAAATGTATGATGTTCTAGAAAGATAAGAATAAAGTCTGGATATGTCAACTACTCATTTGGGTAAAACTAATCTGAAAATATCGAGAGTTGGCTTAGGTTCGATGCCATTGGCAATTAACGGTCGACCAACACGTGAAGATGCGATTAAAGTCATTCATCGTACACTTGATCTTGGAATAACGTTAATCGACACAGCTGATGCGTACTGTGCAGATGAGAATGACAAAAACTACTGTGAAAAATTAATCTGTCAAGCACTACAAACGTATCAGGGTTCGGCAAATATTAACGATATCGTCGTTGCTACGAAAGGTATCTCATGTTCGTTTGATTTTGTACAGAATTCTTTGAAAATCTGTTTCAGGTGGTCTTGTCCGTCCCGGTGGAGCATGGGAGACAGATTTAAGTCCATCTCGCCTTCGCCAAGCCATACGTCAAAGTTACGATAGTCTTGGAGGACGGAAGCCGATTCCTCTATGGCAATTACACGATTCTCCTCAAGATGAAAAGTATACATTGAAAGAGATATTCGAACCGATCTGCGAAGCAGTTCAAGCTAACCTAATTCAATATGTTGGTGTTTCGAACTTCAATCTTGAACAGATCAAAGAAGCGCAAACTTATGTACCAATTCATGCCGTGCAGAATGTTTTCAGTTTGTTTAAACGCGGTGCTGAAACAGATGGTGTTTTGAAATATTGTGAAGATAATCAACTAACATTTCTAGCTTATTCACCCATGGGTGGACGAAGGAAACACAAGAAACTCAACAAAGATAAGTTTCTTACAAATTTAGCATCGAAATATAATTGTTCAACGTATTGTATTGTACTTGCATGGATTCTATCTAAATCGAAATGTATCGTTCCCATACCTGGTGCTAGTCAAATAACGTCGATTGAAGATTCAGTCAAGGCATTGGATATCCATCTTACTCAGGAAGATATTCAAAGCATCGATAATCACACGTTTATATAGAATCTAGTCCATTGATATAATCTATTCTCGCATTTTTTTTTGTTACGTTTTTTTTCTCTGAAAGTAATCTTGTTTTCTAGATCGATGACTAATATAATCTCAGCAACGGATCATGCCGCTAATCGACCACGTCTATGCCGTTCGGATGAGCAGCCTAATTTACTTGAATATATTGATACAACACTAAACGAATCGTTTTCTTTGAATTTGAACTTAACTCGCACAATAGCCAATGGAATTGATCAATACGGCAACACAACTCTCGATCAATACCTACTCTATTTACTTTGTCAGAAAATTTACCCCAATAGATCTGATTCCATAACATACGGTCTCTATCAACTACTACATCAACTATTAGTTTTGAATGGCAAAGTTTCCAAAGCTTTTCTCGAATATTCCCCACCGGTGCACAATCGAGCAATTTATCAAAACACTTTCAATAGTTACACAAACTTTATTTGGAATGAACTCAATGTCAATGTTCTATTAGAACTAGGCATGTAGACTTTACTCGATCACAAATCATATTTTACATCTATCTGTGACATTCTAGGCTGCTTTCTCTTAAGATATCGTCTATCCGACATTTTTACTGCCAATTCGACTCACAATCGATCACTGAATAGTTTACGTCGACAAAAAATGGCCGGTTACTTTCTGGAAATGATCGTTATATATTATCTCTCATCACATTATCATGAATTTTTCATTCATTCTCGTTCGATTGACATGATGTTTCCGTCTCCTGCACTTTATTCTTCTTTTCCAAATGTCTATCAATACAACAAAGAGGAAGAAAAAGAAACCTTTCGTCGATTTCTTCGCGCACTTCATGATAACGGTGAGATTTATTTCGATCTAAGACAAGTCCGACTGATCCTGCAGAGCGATTCACATCAATTTGTAAATAAAAAGTTGGAAAACAAGAAATTCGATTTCATGCATTTCTTCGAAATGAGTGTTTTTCATCAACAACAAAACTCCTGTCAATCGTTGAAATCACTCTGTCGCCTAGTCATTAAAATACATGTTAAACAATATCCAAGCGATATCAAACAATTATCATTATATCCGTCGATCAACAATCGATTACTTAACTTTTTAATCTTCGACAACAAGTTTGCGTTCCAGTCTTACGTGTGATTTCTATTTATAATCGATAAAAATTTTTTTCTCACGTTTCTCAAAACTAACAAATATTGTGTAGATGTCGAAGTGAAACATCTAATCAGGCAATCACATGTTTTCTCAATAAAAAAAGAACGATATTTTTGTTAAACTAAACAAATCACTTGACATGTTGGAGACACAGCAGATTATGTTTGAAATCAAATCATTTTATTAGATTTTAATGTGTACGAGCGAATTCAACGTTAAGATCAACTTTAACGAATTGACGTTTGTAAGCTTCCATAGGTCCTTGTTCGCCAGTACCACGAGCATTGGCAACATACATGATATTATCCGTTAAATCGTAGACACCCACATGTAAATCGCCAGTTTTGACAACCGAGGTGATATTTTTAATTGACAATTCAGGTGTGATTTGTCCGTATTGATCAACAATAGCTCGATACAATTTATATTGTCGTGATGGACATAACCAGTCCATGCCGGAATAGATAGCATGTGGAATACGTGGATGCCAATCGGCCAAGGGTTGTAAGTTTTGATCATCAAAGAAGTTTACTTTTGAATGGGAGTATTGAATCATACGAGCTGTGCCTAATTTACCGTCAGCAACACCGAGAATCAAATGGCATGTACGTCGTACATTTGCTATGAATGAAAGAGCATCATCGAGTGTTTCGCTGTATTGTAAGATGTAACGTTCAACAAAGATGAATGGTAAACCACTCATGCTTTCATCGCCGAAAGTATCGTCAGGAAATGAAACACCGATTTCGGAGATGCCAAGACGATATGACGACATGCCAGTTAATGTACCAATGTATCCTTGGTAGATGTACGAAAGAGATAGAGAACCAAAGTTAGTAAAAGTCAAGGAATTTACCGGCCCATGCAACATTGGCGAATGGATGGCCAAGTTTAGATGTACCAGGATGATAAATAGTAATAACTGGATAGTCTTGTAAACCACCGTCAACATCCCAGTCGAGCGCACGCAATTGCAATGTTTTTCCTCCGAGTGTTGCATTACCCCAAAGACCATAGAGTGAGCATCGACCTACATGAATCAAATGGCTTCTATTTTTTCAAATTTGTTAACACGATATTTACTTACCGCGAGTGATTTCTCCAAGCATGTGTAATCTCACCACAGTTTTATAGTCGATTTGTGCTGCATCAGCAATACCACGCATTTCATTATAAACCTCTTCATCCATATATTTTCTGACTAAATCATTTTGGATATCTAAGGCAATAGGAAGACCTTTCTCAGCAATTAACTCTTCGAACCATTTTGGTAGTTTTAAATCTTTCAAAGCATCAATAATTTCTTGTTCAAAATGCGCCCAAGCTCGCGGTAAAACTTTATGAATTTGATCACGTAATAATGTACCATAAGCATAACCAAAATCATAACCACTATTACCATAAACATGAATAAGCCATACTTGGTCTTCGCCAGAACCAATTTGATAAAGTGTACCATTTTCAACCTTGTTGATAAATCGTGGTTGACCTACATCAATCGGAATCAAATTTGGATCACCACGCGTTGTATCATTTGCACAAAATGCGCCAACGTTTTTCAATATACCAGTCTTATGAGCTAAACTTGTTTGGATAACAAGAACAAATCCAAACAAGATATAATAAACATAATTACAATCAAACATTTCGCAACCGAGTCGTCGTTTTTTGCTTTTACAAGAAAGGAAAATTCGCTTGATCATTGCTTTTTATTCGACAAATCGGTCATGAGAAAATTAGACAGATGCTTGTCCAGAATTTGCTGAATCATACTCAGTGGTAGCTGATATACATCTCCGATGAAGTGCGAACTGGTTTAAAACAACTCAGAATTGTACGCTAATAACTTTATCGTAATAATTTATTTAGCTATGTATACAATTTTTGCATGTATTCTTTCTATTTCTGTTCGTCACCGACATCTCACTTATCAGATCATTCTATTGGTTAAGAAAGGAAGCTTTACGAAATTTATTTTCGTATTTATCATTTAAAATGATATAATGACCAATGTACTTCATCTGATATTACCTGCATTACTGAGATAACATGGTAATTACATACAATTCATGTGTAATGTCAAGAAATAATTGTCATTGAGTTTCAGTCTTCGTTTTTGAAAGATTTGCCATGTCGAAATCCATCTAATTTCACTCGTATTCAAGCCACCGGTGCTATTCGTCAGATAGTAAGATTTTCAATCATTTTCTAACATAATAATCATGAACTTTGTTTTGAGTAGTCTGTTCGACCGACCTACACTGCCCGTCTCGATTCTAACGCACAAGGTATTGAAACCATTGACGAACATAGTTCCAGACTCCAACATTTCTATCGATTTGTTATGTTAACTAGAAATAATCAACGATCCAGTTTCTCTTCTTGTGCATCGTTTATCCTTGATACCAGTAAGTGAGAGATCTTTCGGAGATTTATTCCTCACAGATGATACTTTAGAAAAATGATCCTAGAAAACAAACAAGAGTTGAGGATGGAAGCGAAGTGCCAATAGCTCTTTCAGACCAAACAGAACTTGCTACACAATCAGCAACAATAACGAATCATCGAAATGAAGATCTCTGCTAAAATCAATGAATGCTCATGTTTTTGCTTTCATTTGTTTATTTTTCATTATCAAAACGCGAAGAAGAAGAGTATCGACAGAAATTCATTTTTTCTGTTGATTGATTTTGGACTTTGTATACAATAGACTCGGCACTGTATCACGCAGATTATAACTTTGAGTAATTGGTACACGTGGATATTCTAACATTTGATACCAATGATGACGATGCAGTCCGTTAAAATTGACACCGATACCCATACAACCGATTAGTTCGTTCAAACCAACGCGATCATAGTCAATCACTTTAAATATCAAATCCGCATAGTCCAGTTCTTCGTTACGTAAATCGAATTCTAAACTTTCATTGTATATTGGGTTGAGCGTATTTGATAGAACAGATGTTTTCTTCTTGCGAACTTTTTTACCATTGATCAGCAGAATGACTTTCACATACGGATCAGATTTGCCAGTTATATCCATTGGTTTTAATGAAGTGGCTTTAACAATTGTCACTGTAACACGTTTTGCGTTGGGTAAATAACATAAGGAAACCGTTAATTCACCAAGATCAGGATCGCTCTACAATTATGAACAAGTTCTCTTTCATGCATCTCATATGATAATTAATATTAAATACATGATAACTAATTCCTTTTACCCTCCTGAAAAGTTCTTATTTTTCTCGATTGAATGATCTGAGGTATGTGTTAAATACTATGGATACTTTATGGTTCAATTCTTATCCTATATCTTCGTCACGTTTAGCTCATTCTCGGGACACTATGATGAGTACAATCAATTTACACACAAAACTATTCATTTTTATCTTCAGCTTTTTTTGTGTCAACTGATGTTCTCTAATCTAATAACATTTGCATATCGAGATCATCTATTTGACGACTTGCTCATAACTTCATTTTTGTTTCATTATTTATACTTGATGTTCTTTGGTAAATGTCAATATAAAAAAATGTAAATCCCAGTGGAATTCTCGCGTGAAACAGTGAGCAATTATGTTGATTGCTCTCTTAATATTCTAAAATGTATTATTCAAGATTAATTTCCCACAAAAAAACTAACCTCCGTGCCAAGCATGATATGTTTCGTAAATGCGACATCATACGATGTGAGATTTGGTATAGAATAGATATCTTCGATTTTGATTGTACCGATGAGATTACGTTTCGAAGAACGACGAAAGTCGTAGACGGAGAAAAGTAGTATGCGCTTTTGTAAATCATCGAAAGCAATTGGTATAGGAAATGTTTCATTGAATTGTCTGGAGCGTGTATGTTTGTGGAGTTTGGTTTGAAACTTTTTTCGACGATCAGGCAGCAATGTTAGTTTAATGAATGGGTTTGGTAAAGCTTTCGAATTCGAATTTCGGTATGGCAATTTATCAATGGAAAGAATTGTGACTATCAACGATGATAGTGTTTGATTGTAGAAAAGTGTAAATGTCAGTTCACCAGTTTCGTTGGAAGAATCATTTGACGAGATTTGCTTCTTATACAGATCAGGTTCTAATTTGCCGAGATCGTCAGTTATGTAACGAATTGATTTAACTCCGTTTAAGCCAGGAATCTCGACGGACTCCATGCGACGCATGGCACGACGGATAGGATATGTACATGTGGCATCTGTTGACTGTCGAATTAAGGAACGAGATCGATCGGTGTGCTTTGCCTGTGAAGGATTGCTTTTGTTTAGTAAACAACTAACATCAATCGGTGGATTATCATGAAAGATTGGTCGAGAGAGATTTGCGTCGTCGGATTTGTTCGATTCTGAAACATGGCGTTTCAAAGTTGCGCGACGATATGCTTGCTGTTCACTGGCAAGTTTCATATTCGACATGGAGTCCGGTAATGTTATTGGAGTCCATCGTGAATTTAAAAGATGATGACTGCTAATTACTGATGATGTTGATGACGTCGAGAGTGATTCGGATAGATAAATGTTACGTATTGCATCGTTTGTTGGCATTTGTAATGTGTCTTGATCAGTATTTGTTGATAAAGTGAACGGAAATTTGAAATTGTCAACTGTTTGCCGAAATTTATCAACGAAGACACTCGTTGGCGTAGAGAGTTTTTCTACTTGATTTCCAACAAATGAACGTAGATTAAATACATCACCCATGCAGATGGTTTCTAATGATCTAAAACAACATAAAGACACTATTTCATGATGCGTGTTCCATTTGTTTCAATAATAAATATTCATTTGACTTGTTAGACAGGAAAATGTCAAACAGATGTACGACGATTAATAGTACATATACTCACTTGAATATCTAATGGAATTTCTTTGCACGATATAAACATAATAAGGTTACACGTTTCGTTTTTTATTCGCCAATGTCAGAATGTCTGCTACTTTAATTATTTATTCTTCTTCCTCTTTATTTTTATCGTCTAACATCTTGCACATCATTTGCAGTAAAAGTTCTTGAGACGAGAAAAAAAGGAGACGGAGAAAAGCGACTATACGAGATGATTTGGTAAGCTGTCATTAATCATTGAAACAAAAAAACTAAAATCATGATCTCCTCTTACTTATTTTCTGGGTTAAATATCATCAGAATAGAAAGCGCTTATTCAATCGAGTGACTGACAATGCAAATGCGTCTGTTTTAATCAACTGAGTGTTGGAATGAATACAAGTTCACAGTTCCGCAGTTTAGCATTGTAATAGTATAGGTGCATTAAACTCACAGAGATCTGATTTTCTCAACTGACAAAGTGCAGATGTTTGGTCAATTTGTAAGAAGACGACTTCTTGTGTGCATGATTAACACAAGAAGTATGAAAGTGGGTGCAAAGACGGAAATTAGTTTTTTTCTTCTTTTCTCTTTGACGATTGTTTCGATGAAAAGTAATTATCTCAAATAATGAATGTCCGTTAATAATACTCCTAACTCGTTTTTATCAAGTAACTCATTAGCTGTTTATTTATATATGTAGTGCAATCATATCATCCCTTTTTACTGAGAAACACATCGACATTCTACATCTTGGAACTTTAATCGATAAAATACAGTGTCATTTCAGTTTTTTATTTGCTTGGTTAGGCTTTGGTCAACTCGCTATGGTTTAATTAAATATCTGCTTTTTTTGAAGACTAAATGCGAACTGTGATGACTAACATTTATTGATAACAATAGTTTTGTCAGCTTCAAACAAAAGATGTGTCTTTATACATAAAAATATTTAGTGCGAGTCGTCTTCAATGAAGTCACATGCTCGTTAAAAGGTAAAAACGATCACATGAAAAAGATTTGATTCAGTAACAACACATTCAAGTTCCGTCCACATTATTTTTCAATTACGTGTTGGACAGTCTATTTTTTATGTTTACAATCAACAATTTCAATTCTTCGCTAATGGGTTGTTATTCTTTATATTATTTTTTATGTTTCTATTGATTCACATTCTTCAGTGATGTAGCTATTTTTTTTGCTTCAGCTGTACGCATTCGATGGTTATATTGACTTTCTTTTTACGTAGTTCCTCATAGTCAAGTTTGGTCAGTCATATTGTATAGTTCCTTGACTCTAATGTATAGTTTATGTACTAGCTGATTGTCTTCTCTCTTTTCGTGTTGGATTCTTGATTTTTTTAATCATCAGTGTAGTCTGCCGAAGGGATGCCATATCTGATAAGTCTTTGCAAAGAATGACTGCGAGAACATCAGTTAGTGTAACTTTTGCAATGAACGCTGTTCACTATGCTGGCATGTATGTTTCCTAACCGTATGAATTCAAATAATGAACTACTTGAACTCATTGAGTGGTTCAGAAAATATTTTCTCTAAAGAGATATCAATGGTAGTTACTAATCGAGTGATGCGAATAATTGCATGGGCCTAGAAATTTACTGAATAGGCTACGTTCGCAATTAGCCTGGAAGAAAATGTTTATCAGTCCTAAAAGAATCCTTACATTATTCTTCAAGGCAGTAGTATTTTTCGTTCATTCTGATCTGATAGGTAGAATTGTGTTCTAGAGTGATTTTCACTACCTTCGAGCGACATCTATAAGTAAAATGAATTTGTGTTCGAAGATTTTCTCTCGATAGACAACTTTTCTCCTTATCGTATTTAAATGCATTCATAAGCGAAAAGAGTATAACTTCTCGAATATTAACATTCGATTGATCGGCAGTCATCGACCAATACGATGCCAATGCAGAATAACATGATTTTGCGTTTCAGTTTGACTTTATCTTGTCAAGCAAAACGATTTACGATAGATAAATATGTCAACTTGGCAACAACATGCATTGTCTAATACTGTAACAAGCAATACGAGTCAATCCGCAACTAATCATACCACGACCGATGGATTAAAAACAAGCGAAAGATCTAATGGATTGGGTGAAATCAATCACACCTCAGCCCTATCCGGTGATTTCGGTATGTTCTAGTTGATAACTATCGAATTGTATCATACAGAATCAGAATTCACAGCAAATATTCCTTGACAGATGCTTTCATTTGAAAAATAGATTTCTTTCTCTCTGCCAACCTATCAGTATTGCTTTTTCTTCAGGTAAATTATACAATCAATCGGATTACAGCGATATTGAATTAATTGTCGAATCAGAACGTTTCTGTGCACATCGAGTTATTCTTGCAGCGCGATCGGAATACTTTCGTGCGTTACTCTACGGTGGTTTACGCGAGTCTCAACATGATAATCGAACAATTGAAATAAAAGAATGTAAAGCAGCAGCATTCAAACTTCTTTTACAATATATTTATACGGGAAGAATTAGTTTGATCAAAGAAAAAGTAAAGCATCCGATTTGTTTGTAATTACCTGCCAGTTCGAACGAAATATTCATTTTTAGGAAGATGTTCTAATCGATTTACTCGGATTAGTTCATCAGTATGTATTTGAAGAATTAGAAAATAGTTTATCAATCTATTTGAAATCCATTCTCTCATTGAATAATGTCTGTGTTATTTACGATACAGCATGTCTGTATGAATTGCACGCTCTCCAACAACATTGTGCACAATTTATTGATAACTATGCAACAGAAATTATAAAAACCAGTGAATTTCTTGCACTATCAGCGGTGAGTTCCACATCTGCCTGTTGTTTTCGTGTTAAAACTTATCTTTTCTAGGAAGCGTTCGCATCTATTATCTCACGTGATTCGTTTCATTGTCCGGAAATCGAGATTTTCTACGCAGTTAAAAACTGGCATGAATACCATCATCGTGATCAAAGTGAAAATTTGAAACCAGCTAACGAGATTGTATCAAAAGTTCGTTTAACATTAATGACTATGAGTGAACTATTGAAAATCGTACGCTATTCAAATTTATTTAATCTCAACCATATTATGGATGCAATTGATGCCATCCATTTGGAATCAAATACGTCGCCAGATACAAATAGTGAAACTCGAATTAAGAACTATCGAGGACGATTGCGAATTAATGAAAATATTGCAACAAAAGCTTATCTTGCACAAGTTATCACAGGTTAGAGATTTTCTTTTGACAACAAATCGACGCAATCCTTTTGCTTTTTTTAGGAGAAATGAAGCATACGTTACTGGATGGAGATACAATCAATTACGATCTAGTTCGTATTGTTTTAAAACTCTCTTTCACCTAGGAAATCTTCTATAATATTCAGGATCGTGGTTATACGAGACATGTGATTGATGATACTCACAATATCTGTGTAAAATTAGATGGACCTTCGATCATAAATCACATTCGACTACTTCTTTGGGATAAAGATACTCGGTATGACGGATTCATTCGGTAAATAATGGTAAAAGCGGAATTTCTTGTAGTGCCTATTCCTATTGCGTCGAAGTATCGGTTGACAATATCAATTGGACACGTATTATTGACTATCGACTGTATTTATGTCGTTCATGGCAAAAATTGTATTTTCCACCTATTGTTACAACGTATGTTTAAACAATTGGCGATTGTTTGTCTTTTATGTATTTCTTTTTCTTTACAGATACATTCGTGTTGTGGGCACTCATAATACTGTGAACAAAGTCTTTCATCTTGTTTCTATGGAAGTTTATTATATGCAAAAGTCATTTGCTTTGATGGGAGATATTCATGGTTCGAACACTGCAGAATTGATTCATTTTCTTTGAAAATTCTATTTTAGTTCCAACGGAAAATGTCGCAACAATAGAAGGCAGTGCAGTTGTGTCTGAAGGTGTAAGTCGAATAAGAAATGCCTTGATCAATGGTGATTACCAGTCGTACGATTGGGATTCAGGTAGATAGAATACAAAATAAAAATCGAAACTTAGTTCTTATTTTAGGCTATACATGTCATCAAATTGGCTCTGGTGGAATTATTATACAATTATGTCAACCGTATATCATCAGCTCGATGAGGTAAATCTAAGATTCGAATACAAGAGTAGATTTTCCTTTGGTTCGAATGCTTTATTAGATTGTTACTATGGGATTGTGATAATCGATCATATTCATACTATATTGAAACGTCTTATGATAATGCAACATGGACTAAAATTGTTGATAAACGAACGCTCGCTTGCCGGTAAGAAAATTGCCTACGTTTATCTAAAATTCGGTTCATTGTATTTTGATTTTCTTGTTGTCATCAAGTTCATGGCAAATACTAACATTTTCGCCTCGAATCGTTGGTTTTATTCGAATATGTGGCACACATAATACTGCGAATGAAGTTTTCCATTGCGTTCATTTTGAATGTCCATGTCAACCTGACGTATTGAAGGCACATATGAAAGAAGAGTTGTTAACTTCGACAAGCGAAGAAAAGGAAGAGAATAGTGTCGATTATGAGCAATTTTACGAACAATATGAGAAGTTATTGAATACATCGACAAATGATTCTTTAGCTGATCGGAATACTTCTCTGCAAACTTACACTATCCTACCGTTTATGACTAAATCAAATTCAACTGCCGTCTTTGCAATCGAACAAGAGAATGTTGAACAACATTGATCACATCTGTTTATTTACGGTTGTTTTTTTTTTAGTTTTGTATATTGTACAAATCCTTGAGTGAGAATATTTTAGTTGTGTTGTATAAAAAAATCCTGTTATGTCACGAATAACATCTTGCTGGTCAGATGTACAGCTCGCGATGTGAATATATTACTGAAGATTAATATTAAAAAAAAATACATCTAAGTTCAATCTGATTTCAAGTGATTCATCCTATGATTATATACTGCTCTATATCTCATATTTTACTGCTTAGAACAGATATGGGTGGAGAAAATGATCAACCTGACTAACCTCTAGAAAAGTAAACAACGAAATTCATTCGATAGCTTGTGAGATAAGCTCGCTATGTCTAAACAAATAATTCGAAATATTTGATTGCTTTCACCTATCAATTTATCTACTCTTGCTTTGATACGGTTGATTAACGAAAAATATCTATGCTTTCTTTGATTACATTACCCGTTGTATGATTATGGCGATGAAGTCGACAAAAAAAAATCTGTTCTCGACTAACACAAGCATGTCTCACAATAATATTGATCACGTAGACGTATGACGAGTATTATAGAAGTATTGCCAAGATATTGAAAATATCCTTTTTTTTGTGTCGGCCATCTTTCGTCATAATCATTTTCATTTCAATGTAAATTAGTAAGTGGCGCATGTTTTTTATGAAACAATTTCTCAATGCAATGTATACTGTTTAGCTCATTGTTTTGCAAACAATGGCAAAGGTTTTTTCAGGCAGTCGAACGAAATTTATGCCATTTAGACGTACAAAACCAGGCATCGGAGCAGAGAATCGTACAGCTATTGGGAAAAATCAACCTGGTAGCAGAAGATCAACGATAATAGGAGCGCCTGTACATTCATCGGGTACATTGGTTCATATTACCGATCCATCGTAAATTTCATTGTTATACACTCAATTGTATGAATCATTCTTATATTGTTTAGTTCCCCAGTACAATTAAATGTTTTTACCTATGATGGGGATACTTTCACGGAAGGAAAATATAAAAAGGTAGATGATATTCCTGTTAGTTCAACAGCGCCTAGTACACAAATGACGTGTACGTATGATAGAAAAGCTTTAATCTGATTAGTCGTTATCTCTGCTTACCTTCAGGGATTGATGTCGATGGTGTACATTATTCAGATGTCATATCTCAGTTAGCTGATCGATACGACATTCATTCACTAGTGCAAACAGATATAAAGACAACAGAACAACGAACGAAACTCGATGTACTTGATGATTCGTTATTTCTTGTATGCAAATTAATCTTTCGTGATGTAGCGAACACGGGACATACAATTATTGAGCAAATGACTTTTTATTTGAAAGAGAATATTCTTATAACGTTTCAAGAAACACCCAAAGATTTATTCGATTCAATTAAAAGTAACGACGAATCTCGTCCGAACTGCATCTTTGTTCACATCTGTGTTTCTCATTACAGATCGCATTCGACAAGGCAAAGGACGCATAAGAAAATCTAAGGTTGATTATTTGTTCTATTCTCTCGTTGACGTCGTTGTCGATCATTATATGGATGTACTGGATACGATGGGTTCAAAAGTCGAAGCGATTGATAATCAATTGATGAAAACATTAAAACGCGACACATTAGAATCAATCTATGATATGAAACGTGACATGCTCTATCTACGCTCGATCATATCGCCATTAAAAGAAATTATTATTAAACTACAGAAAGAAGAAGAAACTATGATTATGCAGGAGAGCACAAACATCTACTTGAAAGATTTATTTGATCATGTTGTTCAAGTTAATGATTCGATTGATACGTATAGAGAAATGTTAGCGTCATTTATTGATTTCTATATGATGTTAAATTCTAATGCGATGAATGAAGTGGTGAAAACATTAACAATCATATCAACTATTTTTATACCGTTGACATTTATAAGTGGAATATACGGCATGGTAAGCGATATCTTTTGTTGAAGTTAAGCGTCATTTCGTATCTTTTTAGAACTTTGAAAATATGCCCGAGTTAAAGTACGAATACGGTTATTACATTGTATTAAGTGTTATGGCTACTTTGGCCATTCTCATGTTGGGATGTTTTAAACATAAACATTGGTTTTAACAACAGCTTTGTATTTCTTTTTAAAAATAAATATTTTAAAAGCGTGGCTCATCGAATTGCTATTGTCTGATCTATTTGAAATATGAACATCTCGTATTATCAGCGTTACTGTCGTCAGTTATAGGTAGATAAATGTTCGATTAGACTTTTGAAAAGAACGATTCTTTCGCAAGAAGTATACACAGAATGTTCGAAGTATATCAGCAAATCTACAAGATAATCGCGGTGTCTGTATGATAGGTTTTTTTCCTAATCGCGATGAGTACCGGGATCATTTGAATACGTATACTATTCGATACAAAAATATCCAATAGTAGATTTCTTATCAATTGCTAATCATCTAGGTGCACTCTATAAGCCCAGGCTGGTGGCAAGCTATTGATAATTCTACAGGTGACTCACATATCTGTCATGTTTGTGAAATACCATGATTCATATCGTTGTGATTACACCACCATAATTTGCTTTAGCCATAGTATAAATAGGCGAAGCGTTTTTGTCTCACTTATTCTATTGCTACTCTCGTCGTCTGACATCAATCTTCAGCTTTTTCTACACATAATCATAACGAATGGCTACTGATACGCAAACACCCATTGTACAAATTCGATGCATACCAGATAATTCGTACGCTCTTATTGGTGTTCTCAACACAAAAAAGGTTCGTTTCGACATCGAAACGAAAAGTAAGGGCGAATCAGATCAACGAACACCGCTCAATCTTGTACTCATTCTCGATCGAAGTGGATCGATGGAATCAAATGACAAGTTAACTTTTGCAAAGAAAGCTGTTATTTCAGTGCTGAATCTTTTACACGACGATGACATTGTTCATCTTGTTGCATATGACAGCGATGTGTCGATCGTCTTCGAAAATGCTCGTGCATCTACTCGCGAATATCTATATGCACTTGTCAACAATATTCAGACTGCTGGATCAACAAATATGTCAGGTGGGCTTGAAGCTGGCGCGAGCCTTCTCGAAAAGTATGTGTACAATGGATTTTCGCGCCGCATGTTTCTCTTTTCTGATGGCCAAGCCAACGTTGGATTGAGAACACGAGCCGAGTTGACAAGTCTTGTTGCTAAGTATAACAACAACGGTATCATCACAGATTCATTTGGCATCGGCGCTGATTTCGATGCTGAAATTATGAAAGGTATTGCTGATGCTGGTGGATCACGATTCTTTTTTCTTGAATCAGCGCAAGTTATCGAACCACTCGTGACAAAAGCTCTCGTCAGTGTATTTGGCGTTTGCGGTTCACAAACCCGTCTAATTGTTCGTGGCAAGAATGGATCAGTAGTGACAAAGATCTGGGGTCATAATGATATTGTCGCCGGTGCAAGTCTTGGTGATTTGCATTCGAATAATCTTCGATCAGTTCTTTGTGAATTCACCACTGCTGCTGATAACACTGGCAATGGGCAAGAAGTTGAATCACTTGCTTACGAACTTCGATATCTGCGACCAGATGACCTAAATGGTGAACCTGTGAGTATCAAAAATACTTTATCATTGAAGTTCGTGGAAGATGAATCACTCGTTGCGAATGTTGATCCTCATGTGCAAACGATGTATGCAACTCAGCGGGCTGCTGATATGGACATTGAGATCGCTGAATTAGCGAAGAATGGTAAACGAAAGGAAGCAGCTGAAATTGTCAGCGCTCAATTGCAGATGCTTCGAGAAGCCGAGAAATACGATAACGAACGTGGAATGATCGGATTACAAATTCGTTTGGCAGAAAATATGCAAAACAAACTAAACGATGAAAACGTCGGCAATGATCTTGTTTGGCAAGGATATTCTCATCAAGGCTACTTGAAACGACAATGTTCAGAAGAATGTATGGCTATGTATGATTAACTATGTGTACTATTTCTTTACAATTATTATTTTTACATAAATAAAAAAATGTGATCTTTATTACAGAAGATATCGAAAGCTAATGTCTGTCTTTTCACCAACGCACATTCTCAGTAGAATAATTATATTTATTTAAGATTTATTAACAGTCTTCGGTTTTACATGTTCACGTCGAAGCGAGAAAATTTTGTATTTCCTTTTCCGACCATGACATCTTTTTTTTCTGTTTCGGGATACTCAGTCATTTGATTTGCTGGTGGTCCTGGTCGAGTACTATTAACCGGTTGTTGATCACCATAGCGATTCATGTGTTCAGCCGCTCTTTTCTGAGCTTTGATTTCTTCTGGTGACGGATAATGATATTGTCCATAGGATGATGCAAATGGATTATCTGGACTCATATTCAAAGATGTTTTATCTAACGGAGCAGATGGATTTGCTTTTTGAGGTTGGGGACGAACCGGCGGTTGGTGCACTGGAGGACTCGGCGGACGCATAGATGATGGTTGCGGTTGATTATAATAGTTAGGTTGCTGTGGTGGTGGTGGTGGTTGATTCTGTCCTTGACTGTAACGATTTGCAGGTTGACCCATATTATTATTTCTGTCCCAATTATCATTATTGGATGGATACGAATTTGGTGCGGGACCTGGTGGATAGTTTCTCGGAGATGGAGGTCGATAAGAATTGAAGGGATTCTCACGAGACATGTCATTTGTTGCTGACAAAGGCCCGCCAGCTTTTGGTATTTCAGTAATTCGTTTCGCTGGATCGATTTGGGAAGGATAGTGATAACCACCATAAATTGAATGAAATGGATTTTCATCAGATAAGTTTAAGGATTTATTATCCGTCGAACGTGCACCTGAATTTTGATTCGTAATTCGTTTCGTTGGGTCAATTTGTGATGGATAATGGTAACCAGCATAAACAGCGTGAAAGGGGCTTTCTTCCGAAAGATTCAATGTTTTGTTCAATCCACCATCACCTTTCGGTGGTGTCGTTATCGATGTTACGGTACGTGGTGCATTATATTGTTCGTGTCGACGAGCCGGATCATGAAATGGACTTTCATTTGACATCATATTTGTCTTTTCTATGTTGCCACCACCCTTTGGAGGCGATGTGATCGATGTAGCAGTTCGCTGTGCATTGTATTGTTCGTATCCACGTGCTGGATCATGAAATGGGCTTTCGTTTGACATCATATTTGTCTTTTCTATGTTGCCACCACCCTTTGGAGGCGATGTGATCGACGTAACAGTTCGTTGTGCATTGTACTGTTCGTATCCGCGTGCTGGATCATGAAACGGACTTTCATTTGACATAATATTTGTTTTCTCTATACCACCCCCACCGACTCCTCCAGCTGGGCCACCATAACTACTTCGATTAAAATTGTTTTGTGTTGGTGGTGGCGGCGGTCTTGGTTGTGCTGGTGGATAGTTGGTGGTGTTCGGTGAAGCATAGGATTGTGGCTGTTGCGGTCGCATCGGCTGCCCATAGTTCGGTCTGTCGTTTATATAAGTGACTGACGTTGGAGGTTGATTATTTGTATAATATGGGTAAGGTGGAGCAGGTGGACGCGAAGAAGGGTTTGATTGCGGATTATGAATATAGTGTCGAGTTGTATACAAAGGCGGCTGTTGATTAGGATGCATGATTCAAAATGTCGTTTTCTCTTCGTTTAGTTGTGCAACTGTTTTCTCTTTGTAATCAGTCCAATTCTTAAATGGAACGACGAACGAAAGAAAAATTTATCTACGTGCTCACCTATTATTCTTTTTATTTCACTGGTTGCTATGACTTTTCTCCGGTTAAAACATAACTACCGTCATTTTCTTTTTTCTTTCTTTCTGTCTCCCTTCTGTCAATCAAATCTCTTCAACAGGCTTCTGTTTTTTTTCTCTAATTCTCTTTGTCAATAACGTCACAACAAAATCGATTTCTGTATTGTCAAAACAATCGATGTACAAATTGAAAGTTAATTATCAGTATTTCCGTTGTCAGAAACAGGAGTGTCCGATTTCGATATATTTATTTTCGTTTCAAATTGAATAAATCGATTACAAGATCTTTGTACATTTAGTTTTCAAGACTTGCATCTTTTTCGTTTAAGGCTTTCATATCAATTATTTCTGGCTGATGTTGTTTGACACGTTGAGATTCTTGATCAGAACTTGAAAATTGTCTCGTCGAACGTTGAATCTTCGAATGAACATAATAAGACGAAGCTGCCGATGATGATATTGTACTATTACATAGCGCTCGTCGTGTAATAATACTATCATGCGACATGTCAAAACTTTCTTGAAAGAATAAACATAATCGATGACGAAATGTCATCTTAAGCGTATCGAGAAATTTCTGGTTGAATGCGCAGTAGAAAAAGAAATTAATCGAGTAGTTCAATAATAACATAATATTGGTGATTAGCTTTTGAATACGAAATCCGACATAGAGATACTTTGGATAGTGTTTTTCAGTTACCGCTCGTACTAAATTCGGATATGACACGATGGTAAACGTATTGCAGATGAGAAAAACTACGACGACAGCAACGAGTGTTTTAGTTAAACGATGTTCGTCGCGTAAACGTTTTTGTTTATTTGAATGCATGGTTGGTGTGGCTGACGTGATTGAATTATGTTGTCGTGCAACAAGTTCATTCAAAGTGTAACGATTCGAATGTTGTACACGTTGTATCAGTTTGAAATTTAGAAAGAGTAATATCATTGCCGGAAGTATTTGATTGAGAATGAACATACTGATATAATACGCGTTTTGATATGGTAAAAATGTTTTTCGCGGATAACCAACAACGCAGAAACATTGACCAATGTAACTTGTGTTTGTTGAAGAATATTTGATTATGAACGGATGTGTTGTACATGTTAAGGAATTCAATGAGCCGATAGGACCAATGACGTATTTGACTGTTTCAAATAGAAAACGAGGAAAACTAAGACAAGCGCAAATTAGTAGGATAATTGTGATAGTAATACGCGCATAGCGTGGCTTACAAAAACTTCGCGTACGTAATGGATAAGTTGTAAATAGATAACGTTCGATAGTCAATGCTAACGTAATCATGATGCTCACTTGGCCAAAGTAGTTCGCTAATGGCATGTAAAACTGTGCTTCAAAACGTGTTAGAGCAAAAAAGATCGTGTCGTGACGAATGTAGTCGCCGCGAACAACCGAGAATGGCGATATCGAAATCAATGTCAGCATATCAGCAACAGCTAATCCAGTTAAGTACGTATACGGAGATTCTTTCAGACGACGTTGAAGTAAAACACATAAATTCAGAATATTACATACAATACCGAATATACATATGATGAGAATCACATAACGATAACCATATACTTCAATATCGTGCAAAATATCAGAACGAAGTGTTTCGTTGTGATCCGATACACATGGATTTCCACTCATGATAATCAGATATTTTGTTTTACATATCTAAATGAATGAAATAGTATTAGCTTATTTCTCTCAGAAAGATATTTACGCGAGAATGACGATTTTCAACATTGAATATATTTCGTGACTATGAATAGAATAGTCAAAAACCTTTGCCTTCGCATTAGAGATACCAAAGATCTAAATGGGAAAAATAAGTAGTTGGTTTGATGATAAATAAAGTCATTTGTTTTCATCACTATGTGTAGACATGTCTCTAATGATGATAAAATATGAACTTGTCAAAAAGAAGATCTCGATGTATTCGAACGTAAGATATATTCACCTAAAGAGAAATTCTAAGCTTTCCTCTTCCAATCCCATCACGCATCAAGAACATTCTCGTTAGTGTGAATTACGCTAAAACTAAAATTTCCAATCAGAAGACAATTCTTCTTAATAAGAATCAATCATCAAATAAAAAAAAGAGTCTCCTGTTATCTCTTTCTGTTCTCTTGCACATATTTATTCATAGACATAAAATCGAGAAGGATAGATAATGCCTAGTGTCTATATATGTCAGAAAGAAACGATTTATTTCCTATTCCCAGATATGCATCATGTACTTGGTATTCTCAGTAGATGATGATAATGATTAGTGTGTTTTTTCCTTATATAAATAAAATTAATGCTATAGAAAAGCAAATCGAGAAGTGAATATTCGTCCTTTGAGACGAGAAATCATCGTTCTATATAAAAAAAACTTATCGTTTCTTCATTCCCAAAAGAACGATAATTCCATTCCGATTGATTTCTTCTTATTCGTCTCTGCTCATTGTATTACGAAAACGGATCAATCATTCGTCTTGTTTTCCAACGCACGAATCAACTCTTTAACATATAGTTCGATATGAAAGGGTTCTCCGATTTGTTAGCGTGAATATGCGAGCGATGTTTATAAAAATGAGATAACGAAGTCAACCAATCGTGTGTGATTTATCACTGTTCACAGTTGGACATGACAGAGAAATGAAAGTATCTTGACTACAAGTCAGATACTGTCAATCGTACCCAAATGATATCTGTCAATAATTTTTGTTTATGTCAGCAAATCCAATGATGTACACTTTCGCCATTTGTGATTCATTGACTTCTTCGCCATTAATTTCCGTCATGTTATCCGACTCGTTAATAGAAGCGTGGGAGACAGTGAGACGATCCGATGGTATTTCTTTTGATAAACAGTCAAGAGAGTTTTGTTTATCGACTTCGAGAATGAATCAATAGCCTCTCGTACATTTATGTTAAAAATTTTCGGATGTACACGCCGATCTGATTGAACTGAGCAGTACTGCGAACACGTCGAGGGTAGTGGCAACTTTTGAACGTAATAGGTGCATAGTTCGATGTGAAAATTAAGAAAATTAGGTCTTGTTGTTTGTGTAAGCGAAATATTTGTTCCGAATAGAAAGGGATGGGTAGTTAAAAAACCATATTGATTCATCGTTTGGAAGAGAACTAGAATCTTTCTTTATTTGCTCTTTTTGATGCATATCACGTTAAACGCAATCGTTTGAAACTAAATCGCTACAGTCGATATTTAACGTCAATACATTTGAAGTACGAAGCTTTTTCTTTTCCTACATTTCGATGGTGTATATGTTTTCAATATACTTCAGCATCAAAACAAGTAACTTTGAAATAATGTACGTGACCTATAAATACGACCGATAAGTTCTACTCGAATATCATTTTAGAATGTTACTGGAAACATTAACTTTGATAAAAGTTACCTTGATCGTGACACATAGGAATTAGTCCTTAATGTCGTAGTTATTCTTTTTTAAACGCAATTAATCTAGCGCATGACTGAGTAGTGATTCTTTTCTCGTTATATCTTTATTTCGTAAGGATTTCAACTAATACAAAAAAGCACACTATTTCGAAATTCATGTTTGCGGAAAATATCGAGTGATCAACGATGATCAGTTTATTTCTTTCCTTTTTGTTTTGTGTTATTTGAAGCTGGAGGTGTTTGCCCGGTATAAAGATATGCCATGAATGTCATGTATTCATCAAATGAGACTGTTCCATCACGATTACTGTCCATGTTCTTCATAACTTCGAGGATTTCGTTGTTGTCATGCGAGACGTGTGATCGACGAAGACATTCGTGCATCTCATCCGAAGTTATGTACCCATTGTTATCTTTGTCGAATGCCTTGAATGCTGTTTTGATTTCAGCAATTTCGTCGGGTTTGAGCTGTTTAAGCAGAGATTCAAGACTCATTTGTTTTGAAAAATATATCGAAATAGTGATGATTGCGAAATGCATTACTTTTTCTTTTCATTTTGTTTAATAACTCAGGCGTGAAGGTGCGTTTATGGTGATCGAGGAATGATTGTCGAAAAATGAATGCATGAAGAAAAACATTTGTTCGGTGATTTTTACCGTACTGCTGACTAATTTTATTTATGGTGACGTTCGTGATTAGTATTTATCGAGTCACAAAAGATATTGTGAACAAAAACAAGTGATCGTTTAGTCAATCGGAATGCAAGCTTGAGTTTTCGTTCGTGAATTGTTCTTCAGACGAAATGCAAATTCTAGAAATGTTTATTTGATATTTATTCAATGATGAAGCGAATTAATATGGAATCAATGGCTCGATCAGTAATGAAAGTGTACACTAGAGTTTCATCTAAGTTCTTCAGGAATTTTCTTTTCGATGTAGCGTGGTCATTCAGAGAGAGAGAGAGAGAAAAAAAATACAGAACGTCACGAATATTTTAGTTTATTCATCAGAACGTTTCTTCGAACCGAAATCATAGAAACGCTTTCGTGTACCGAAATCATAAAATCGTCGGAGACGTTCGAATTCGTCGTTGAAATTTTGTAAATCTTCATCATCGGCATGAACTGATCGAGAACCGAAATCGTAGAAACGTTTGTTTCTTAAAGCTTGATTGACATGCATATCATCCATTTGATGTTTTTCCTCCTAATTGACACAAAACAAAGAGGATAAATTGAGGAGAAGAAGACAGCGACTGCTGTGGAGCTTACCGAAAGGGCACATGTCATGGTAATTAAAGTAATATAACCAACGATCAACACCAGAATTAAACTGATTGGTTGCATACTGTTATTATTTGAGTTTTGAAATGAAGAGGAAATGCGATCTAAAGACAAAGAAGAAGTTTTGTTGTAACGTGAAGGAGACTTGTTCTTTAATAAATGAATGCACTGAATCGAACAAGAAATGATTTTCTAGTCGACATTGGAATCCAATCTTCTATCTCTTCTCTGTGCTGAAAAATAAACGCGGAGGAGATGTTATTTTGCATAAACTCAAAGAGATTTCCATGATGAAAACAAAAGCAAAAACATGTTCGACACTAAAAAGCAATACAATTTCTTACAATTAATAAATCGATCGTCAGAGGGAAGAGATAGAGAAACATTACGGAGGCGGAAAATCTCCGATTGTTGTTTTTTTTCTTCACAATGTACTTGCGTCGAAAGACTTGCCCGGGACTCGAATGCATTTAGTCTAATTGGCTTTACTAGTGCATCGAGGACGGCATCGTTCAATCTCGATTATTCAATTCATTAGCATTCATTCTAAGCATGCTAACAAGGAGACATACGGTTCCCGACATTGCAAAAGGAGAATCTTCGCCCGTGCTAACATGTATCGTAAACATCATCATTTACTAGATGAGGAGAAAGTACTTTTCACGAATAAATAAATGTGTGTATTGTCAACTCGATAAAGTCTGAAATGTACGTTTTAACTATGAACGCAAACTAAGAACTTCTAAAGTGTTTGACGAGACAATGATTGAGAAAGTACATCTAATTACTGTGAAGATTTCAATAAAAAGTACATGAGCATGGTTGCAGGCGACGGGTTGTCAAAAACAGTAAGAGGCCTGAGGTATTCATTACTGAAAAATCAAAGATGCCCTCTAACGAATGATAAAGACGTTCAGTATAATATCTACCGATCTTTTATTAAAACACGAATAGTAGTTTAGATCATATGCTGTTGTTTAAATCGGGACTGGCAAAAAATACCAGTTTATTGTTTTTCTCAATTTTTAATTGCTTCTAATCTTGTTTCTATTTTCTGATCCTATAACGCATCTTGAGCCAAAGTCGTGCAATGTCATTTTCTTTCTTGAAATTTATCTCATGGCATTTAGCTTAACGCAATCTCTGCTCATCATGCTTTTCGTGCATCCATAGATGTCACATACAGAAGATGCAAATGAAAAACACTTTGTATTTCTTATTGCGCTTAACAACCTAATGGATGCATAGCAACGCTTTGGACGAAAAGAAAAATTGTGTTGTGGTTACATAGGATTTCTTTATTTTTCAAAAAGTTGAAAGACATTTCTGTAAAGATGATGAACAGTCGAGCTAACGTTCGGCCTTACAATCCTCAGTGTTTGATTGGAAATTGGTATGAAGATCGAGTCATGGAAGAAGTAGGGCTAGGAAAAATACATATTCAAGTTCATGCTATTGTTGTTTGAACATTTCCTAGGAAGTTTTGAATGATTTCCTCGATAAGCGTTATTCCGGTCAATTAGCATCGCAAAAAATGACTGAAGTTGAACGTATGTCACAATCGGTAAAGGAACCTGCTTGAAGAATTTTCTCATTGATTATATTCGAACTGTTTCTTATTCTAGCTGCCGTTAAGTGTATCCGGAGGTGATGGTTTACTTCGTTTTGGTCATCAAATACTTCTTGCCAATGCATGGACACAATCAGCTCCATACACAGGAGAGAAATCCGAAATGAACTGTTGCTTAGCTCTGGGCATCCCGCATGCTTCAGGTGCGAATGAAGGAGCAACAGAATTGACAGCGACGGGAACGACGTTGATGCGACCAACACTTCGCTCAGCTTTTGTCATCCAAAGACCGAATCTTTCTGTAGATTCACAAACGGTTAGATACGGTGATGAAATCATGATATCGGACACAAGTGGACAAGTAAATATTACTGCATTTGATTTGATTCGATTAGTCAGTCGATTGATTCTAGCTATTTTTATCGTGTGTCAAAAGTGGAACACGTTCAGCTCGAACATGTGATGTTATCTTTACCAACCATCGAAATCGAAGCAGTGTTTGGGTTGTATTACATCCAAGTTCACACCTACGATTAGAATTCGAAGGATCCGAAGTGAAAGTAAGGAGTTCGTTTCGTTTTTAGTTTTCTCTCAATTGCTCCTGATTTAGATCGATGACAAAGTTGTACTTGCTCATGCGCCAACAAACAAGTGTTTATCCGTCAACGGTGAACACTCCAATCGGTATGAGATGTACACAACGAGATTTCTGATGATGAAAACTTTGCTTTGTTTCAGCTCACCATACGGACGTGAATATGAACTTTTATGCGAATTATCGACAGGCAGTCACGCATCGTACAAATCTCCTATTCTTTGGAAATTTCAAACTCAACCAGCATATTAAAATATATATTATATCTATACTTCTTTTTTTATTAGAAAAAAACAAAAACTTTTCGTCTGCGTATGTGTGTGTGTCATCTTCTTCTGAAAAAAAAATAGACGCACTCTTTCTTCTTAACATTCATCCAGAAAAAGAAAAAAAAACAAACAGGTTTATCGAAGAGGGTCAATGCATCTTAGGGATAAAAATCATACTGACTAACATAAATCAAGATCTTCATAATCGATATTGAATTTAACATATTGTTCGTATAGATTTTCATTTCGATACTTAATTCGATTTCTTGCAAGGCATTCAATTCTTTGACAACCATTAAATGTGCATTATGTGGGGGATAACGTTTTAGTTGAAAGTGTTCAAATGATGTGTGAGTTATATTAGTGAATGGATCGCGCGAGTTGATCAAACGTAGATCGAACTCGGCATGTTGACTCATGGTTAGTTGACTGTTCCGTATGCGAAAGATTTCGGTCGGAATACGTATTTTGGCTAAAAAGCAAACAAACTTTCACTTCTTGTTTGTGATCAAGCGATTTACATACCAGGCAAAGCGATGAATGAATAAACAATTTTAACTGGTTTACTAACTGTACAGCGTTGATTGACATCGTTCTGATGGTCATTACACCAGCGTGCACTCAATTGACATCGACTACGAGAGAAGGAAAACAAGTGAGTTGAATTCATTGAAAGGCAATTTACCTATTGCCTTGTCTTTCGTAACCGTTAGGGCAATCGACATGATAGCAACGATATCCACCACGAAGATTTACACAAACATCTTCAGCACGGCAATTATGCGTGCCAAGTTGACATTCATCAACATCTTGACACTGACGACCACGTTCAAGAGAGAAACCCGATGGACAAATACATTTGTATGAACCTGGAGTGTTTACACAATGATATTGACATAGATTCGCGATCATCGAGCATTCATCAAGATCTAAACGAAAATTTGTTCAAAGATAAATTCCAGAGCATTATCACTAGTCCTACCTCGACAAGTTCGTTTATCACCATTCAAACGATAACCTTCTTTGCATAGACACTATGAAAAGAAAAGAATCACCACAGTTTTTCTCCCATAAATTATGAAGAAAAAGGGAGAAGTTATTTACATAATACGATCCTTGAACATTAATACATTTCTGTTCACATGTATCCGGTGATGTTTGACATTCATCAATATCTATTCAAGAACTTTAATCACAAGTATGTTCGTGGGAGTTTGTTACCTTCGCAGAATGCACGTTCAGCTAACATCTTGTAACCAGCCACACAGTCACACTAGAACAAAAGATCAGTTCAACTGTTTTGTTTAGTCGATTAGCTATGTCAAATGATATTACAGCATACGAGCCAGGTGTGTTACGACAGAATGAATTTGTTGGACAAATCGAATGTCCTCGTCCACATTCATCATCATCTAGTTGCAAAGAAAAACTAAAATTAGCCACGCATCTTTGAAACACATCAACCGTACCAACACAAGCACCATATTTGAAAATAAAGCCTGGTGGACATTGACACTACGATGAGCAAGAAGAAATCGATAAAGTAATGCCTAATCGAATAAACTTACATAAAATGATCCATATGTGTTTTTACATGTTGCTGGTGGTAGACACGTATGATTTCCAATAGCACATTCATCAATATCTTGAAGATTCAGAATGTACTATTTACAAATTATTTCGGTTTACAATTACCTAAACATTGTAATTCTTTCATTTCTAATCCGTTTGCACAAGCAAATGTTTGAACGCATTTGTACGAGCCTGGTGTGTTATCACATCGTTCGCCAAGTTTACATGGGCCTGGCTTCAGTGCACATTCATTTATATCTAAATAACCATCATAGTGAATCCAAATCTGATTATGAATTACACGTACCGATACACTTTCCAAAGAGAGTGACATTATAGCCTGGTTGGCATTGAACTTTTTCACAGCGACCGAAGAAAGCATTAAATTTTTCACCAAACGTACAATTTTGTGGTATACATCTAGAATAGAACGATCCACACGATTGAATCAAATCAGCCGATTCTCGCATATTTACTTGTATGTCCCAGGAACATTCTTACAGATATAGCCAGGCCTATACGACAAAGGGAACACATTCAATATATTTTGTCTTGTACTTACAATTAATCTTTTCTTACCTACACTCATCAATATCTTGTTCACATTCATCAATATCTGAAAGAAAGAAAAGGTAATCGATCGATCAAAGAAAAGAAACTTTCATTTTTACCAATGCACGTTTGTGTAATTGGATCGACTTGGTAACCAGTACCACAGTTTCTCTCTCGAATACATCTATTCTCAATAAATATGAAGTTCTTCCAAGAAAACGAAACGAAATGATCGTACCTAAATGAACCAGGCATATTCTCACATCGGTGACCATAGCTGCAGTTATGTTTGTGTAGAGCACATTCATCAATATCTGAACAAAAGAACAATACAATGCACCACAAATCAATTATTCATACCTCGACATTCTCCTTGTTTGAGCGACCATGTATAACCCGGATCACATCCTTCCACACATCGATAGGAACCTGGTGTATTTTCGCATTTCATCGTTTTCGCACATGGACTCGAAAGACATTCATTGACGTCTAAATAGCCGCATGTAATACATAGTGTGATTTGTTCTCTCAAGTAACTTACCATGACATCGTCCGTTGTCTCCCATTTCAAAACCTGTATCACAATTTACTAGAAAAGACAACGAAAGGCTTGTATACAATTCGACCAGTGTGTTCTTACAAGATTTCGCCTTTTTGCAACAACTTGTAAATTGTTCGCTACATCTCTCATCGAGAACATTCACCGGTTCACAGTCTTCCAGATCTCGACCTGCTCGAACGCCCAATTCGCAACACTTACAACACATCTAAACAGCTCAAGCAAAAAGTGAATACGATAATTCACTTTCTCTTCAACCTGATATGTATCTTTGGCTTCCAGTTTGGTTTCATTGCATGGTAATAAACGAAGTGCCGTTTTTAAACCTTCATCACAAAAGAATTGCCGTAAATTCGATAGGCAGCATATGTGCGCCAGAAATCGACAATTAGCTGAATGATTCGTATGATTTTCAGTAATTAACGATTGCAATGTTAGAGTACATGTTCTTGTACTTTCAGCTTGAGTTCGACCTGTTTGACAACATTCGTCGATATTATTACGAAACGCATCTAAATAAACTGCACTCACAAAACTATTCTCAGGTTCGTTTGTATTTACCTGATATTGATATGCATAATGCGAAGTATCCAACAAAAGCAATGATTATTTTCGAAAACAACTCCATGACTTTCTTTTTTTATTTGCTTTCCGAGTGCAAGCTATCTAAGGATACTAATAGAAATCAACCGGTAATGTCTTATGTCCAAACTCGTTTTTTCCTTTCTCTTTCTTGTTGATATGATATTACAACAGCATCAGTTCTATTCGACCTTCGTACTCGTCCTCATCTGTTCTCTCAAAGCGCTGTTTATGTACTGACTTAATCGATTGTCAACGACACATTCTATCGCTTCTATCTTCAACGAGATAGATGCGATCTGTTCGCATACAGTTGCTTTCGGAGATTGTTTCCATTCAATAATCATTTGTAGATTATTATGCAAGCATTGATCAATCTAACTGAGCCATAGAAAGAGATATTTGACATTAACGAAAGATCTATGATATCTTTCGAAGTTTTCGAATGAGAATTTAACAAGGGATGTTTACATCGAAGTGCCACATAGCATGTCAATTTATTGCTAATGAGAAAATGGTAATTTGGTTACTCGGAATACTCCGGAGAAATGTTTTTCTCGTTTTGTAACAATTATCTTTCAATCAATTCTGACGTCCGAGAATAATTCTTTTGTGCCTTTCTTGTTCTATTGACTAATATGAGACTGAACTTGTTCGTTTCTTCGTTGACATGTTTAATTGACAAACAGCAGCAGTAGCATATACCTTTTGCAGCCATGAAAAGGAAATAAGTGGAAGAGAGAAAGAAAGAACAAATATATACGCACATTGCTGCGTCAATGCCACCCCTTTAAACATGAGACAGTTCTCTTTCTTCTTCTTCTCACATTTTTTTTTATTAAATTTTGACTACATGAAGTAAAATCCAGCAGGCATTGAAAAAAGGAGAATGAGTATATAATAAACGTATACTTGATGGAGAAGTCTTGATGAAAAAGAGAGGGAACGGAAGAAATGAAAACATAAATCTATTCTTTATTTATACAAACATCTTTCTCGTTTTTATTACTTCCCTTTTCTTCCACAAAATCATACAACGATGATGATTGGAACTTTCGACGCGATTTTGCCTAGCTCAAATTTCAATCGATTAATCTTGGCTTTAAATACGTCGTGATAAATGATTTTTTTCATATTCTTTTTTCAGATTGAAATGATTTTTATTCTCTTCATCGCACTAATTATTCATGCCGATGGTACACAACTCCAGAATACTACAACGACGACCGAGTCGCCAATAAAAAATCCGTATAGTCCACGTGATCATATTGTTAACCCACATGATTTTTTGTACATTCTCAATCCTGGTTATTCCGTGTGTAATGATAGCAATTCGGATTTGTTTGTTCTTGTTTATGTTCATTCCGGACCGAGTAATTATCAGCGACGGATTGTCATACGTGAAACATGGGCAACGCGAAGTTTATTTCCCGAAATGCGACTAATCTTTATGATGGGCAAAAGTCTTGATGCCAACCAAATGAAAGCCATTCAATATGAAAATGAAATCTATCGCGATATCGTTCAAGAAGATTTTCTTGATTCGTACAAAAATCTCACATATAAAGGTATTATGGCTTTAAAATGGATATCGAAATTTTGTCCAAATACGAAATACATTCTCAAAGTCGATGACGACATCGTTGTTAACACATTTACACTGTTGAATCATTTGAAATATCTGGATAAACATAAGGTAGATGTACGAAAAGGAACGATACTTTGTTTGCTATGGACAGCGATGACTGTCATGAGAGATAGGTAGGAAAAAGAAGTAAATGTATTGAATGGAATTGTATGCGAACTGCTTTTCTTTCTAGTAAGTCCAAATGGTACTTGAGCAAAGAAGATTTCCCGTTCGATAAGTTTCCGCCGTATTGCAGTGGATCCGGTAAAATAAGAAAAATCTGCTATTCTAATATTCTATTTCGTTGAATTTCCTAGCGTATATCTTAACTGGCGACATGGCAGCTAAAATGTAAGTTACACTGTTTTCGTAGAATATTCGACAAGAGTATCATATCTACTTTTTTAAATAGCAATCGAAGTTATTAGTTGACTTACTCTATTTTGATAACATTTCCACGCTTAGCAAAATTATAGACTATTTGTGCTTGTTCTATTTATAGGAACTCTAGTTTACTGAAGGTAATTAGGAATGAAGGAAAAGTATATAGAAGTCGAGAGTAGCAGTATTTCCGTTCATGTTCTAATAAGAAAAAGTGTTGAATAATCACTGCTGATGATAGAAGGACTACTCTTATTAGTATATTTCATCGACTTAATTACACGTCTCACTGACATGTTTTTGTCTTTTTTAGGTATAATGCTAGTTTGTACATTCCATTCTTTTGGGTTGACGATTATTACATAACTGGAGCGGTTGCTTCTGCTGCAAATGTTACTTATGCCCAGCTCGGTTCACTGTATACCATTCCCGAACAGTTAGCACATACGCGTTTCATGTCTGCGAAATCGTTCTATACGATTATGTTTGGCCACTTTGTAAGTAGAGGTTTGAAGCAACGAGAGTCATGGCAGAACCTTCTTTTCATCTAGCCGAACTCACTGAATAGCATGCGAGAAATCTGGCGACGAATTTTAACGTTACATCAACATAAATTTCCGAATCGCATTCGAGTAAACTCCTTCACTTGGGACGAAACAATTCACCAAAATGACAAAGCAATACAATGACTCAATGTCTGATAATAGTTCCCTATCGAAAACGATTTTCTTGTTATTACTTTTCTCTCTGGTGAATGTTATATATTTGTTAATAGTTTGTAATACAACGAAAAATGAAGACCAACAATAAACAATGAATGTAGTTTCTAGAGTATAATTTATTCAATCGAAATCTAGGAGAAGAGAAGTACAAGATGAACAAGCATCGTATGTTTGATATCTGCATTGCTAAAACGAAGAATTAATTGTTTCCGCTACATTTTGCCGGACTTCGATAGCGCGTCGTTTCGCTCGTTCGAATTCCTCTGGAAAGACGCACATCGAAAGATTTCTCATAAAAAAGACGAACTTACCAAGTACACTATGGACGTTAGACATAAACGCATCGAATCTACATGAAGTTCAAATGAGAAGAATGAGATACATTTGCTCAGACCTTACCCGTAGCGATTCGCAGCATGAACACGCCGTGTTTTCTTGTGTTCCATTGCGAAACTTCTATTAACAATTACGTGAACAAAATGAAACTTCGATGAAATCTTATATCATACTGTGATTGAAAAACCACATTGAAACGAATGTTTATTGAACCTGTGGAAATTGTGCGAAAACCGAAACGACTCAATAGTGAGTTGCTCTAGGAAAGTTCAAATCATTCGACTGCCTGCTTGTCAATGTGGAACTCATTACCGGTTCGCTTCGAAACAATGTTGGAATTGCGATGTAGCTGATGTCTTCAAGCTCCAGCGATCCTCCAATGAAAAATCGGCGTACTTCGTTAAATATGGAATCACCACGAGGTCGCCAGCATGATAAATGTTCGTCATAGAATCCTGAGGGCGTAAAAGTACTGAAATTTATAGCAGAACAGATGGGTATCGATAGAAACCTGGTATATTTGGAATATCAGTATAAGTGTAGCCTTCTGTTCGATGTCGACCCCATGAATCTAATGACGCGACTTGGAAGTAAATCTTCGGCATTCGTGGAAAACCTGTTACGTGCAGTGATAGAAACAAAGCAAAAATAATTCGTAATTACTTCGGTCAGCCCCATATGAAGATGGTTTGTACCACAGTTCAAATTCAAATGGATGAGAATAATAAACAACATCATCCTGCAAGTTAACAGTTATTGTTAAAAGATTTACTCATTACGCTCTTATACTACAATCTATTTGAATCACAAGGGACAAGCAGCAATCACTGGTGTGACAATGTATTTCACGTACATGTTTACTAGACATTGTCGTACTACCCGTATGAGTATAACCAGATAAGAGTGTCGAAGACTCAACATGCCAATCTAGCGGAGTAGTTTCTGGTGCGTGCGGATAGAAATTTGAGAAACTCACCTTCGGCTAAATCGAGTACATAATAAACATAAATATGATCGTACTCGAAGTTTCTTGCACTGACTATTTCACCGATGATATTCAATTTTAAGACTGTCGGCGGTGGCTGAAATCAAACAGCCAACATCAGTATACTAATATCTCATTAAAACGATTCTTACCACGTCAAATTTGCTTCCAACCAACTGTGCTAAATGTTCATGTTGTCTCAAGCAGATTTCATTGTATAATTTTCGTTCTTTCACCAAATCAGTCTTGCTGATTGACGTCGAAGCATGTTCGAGATAGTATTGATACACTTCATTGCTCAAATATCCGGTTTCGATTATGTAAGCGACTTTACCAGGATTGAAGTCTGGCGTGATGATGATTATTTCATTGGAATGAACATGTATACGACAAAGAACATGCTCATTTGGTGGTCGAGCAAAAGTAACAAGTTGAGCTGCGCTTGTATCGACCGGATCATTTAAATCAACCATGATATACATCGTCTGATGAGGAAAGGAACCATAACGGTTGATAAGAAGATCATCGGTTGTTAGATTTTCCTTGATAAGATCTGCTTTCGGTAGATTTTGATTATTACTAAAGATCGAATGTCTACAACTGATTGAAGGTCGAAAAATGGATGTGACAAACCTGCGAGACGGAATAGTACGACGTTTGCCTAGATAAGAATATGTTTGAGAACCGTAGAACGTCTCCATGAAATACTTACGAATAGAATTGAGACCTAATGCTAAGTTACTCGGTTGTTCATTTGGTGAATCGGTCATGAAATAATCGAGCTGAATTCGATCATAGACTAAGATGAATTCGTGTCTAACTTATACTACTTACATCTCGTTCCATACAATATGGATCATCCTGAATATAAGTAAATATTCTACCAGGTTGTTGTCGTTTCGCTCTAACGATTCAGAAATGACAGATATGAACAAGATCGATACGAATTTCTTTACTTCATCTTTTGTATTTGATCAAAATATATCTTCTCAAGTGGTGTACTTGACGATCCCATATCTCTTCCATAGGCTTCAAATTCCAACTAGATCGAACAGTAGATTGCGTAAGTGGTCAAAGATAAACTCTATATCTACTCGGCTGAACAGTTTCTGTTGCCAACTGATCACTACTTCTTCGTAGTCTGTAGTACTCTGTGCATTCAAAGCTTGCAGAACGTCTGTGGCCGTTGCTTTTGGTTGTTTAACTTTCTGTCCATCACTATCGAGCAGTGCTAATAGATCTTCTTGAATTTTGAGTCGTGACAAACTCGGTATTAGTGCATTGGATGTTAAATGTTCCAATTTCACACTAGCAAAATCGTGATCTTTACACGTGACAATCGAGCATTTTTCTTACCGAATTTTAAAGTTTTGAATTTGATCCTTGGATCGATAGACAGCATAGTTCACATCGTTGTCATCTAAGCTTGACATAATATTCGAATGTAAACGAAAATTGCGAGATAAGAATAGGTCTTAGCGATATCATATGACTGGCCAAATCGAATGTAGATGTCGTGGGTCTTATCATACGGTTGATTTACTATTAGATGACTAATGTCTCGAAAATAATACTTTGAACTTGAAAAGTGGAATATTCGAATGATTTATCAATCAAAAGTCGATTTCAACAAAACGATTGATTGTATAAGCCATTCCAATGATTCGTTTGTTTAGATAAACTATGAGTGAACTCACATCTCGCTTAAACTTAATTCTTCAACGTATCAGCGAATTGCACCCTCATACTCGTCGTCCTGTTCGTCTAGTTGCCATATCCAAGACTAAACCCGTTGAAGATATCGTTGAACTCTACCAAGCTGGTCAACGTTACTTTGGAGAAAATTATGCCGAAGAATTGGAGAAGAAATCCAATGATAAACTCATTCGTACTCATTGTCCCGATATACGCTGGCATTTTGTTGGGCATTTACAACGAAAAAAGGTTCCACGATTTTTAACACGTGTTGCCAATCTCGACTGCATTCAAACAGTCGATTCCATTGAACTTGCCGAGCGTTTGAACTTCATTCTTCAACAAAACGCACGGAAGTTAAATGTGCTGATACAGATTAACACTAGTAATGAAAAACAAAAGTATGGAATTGAACCAAAACAGTTTCTATCGTTATACAATTTCATCGAAAAGAATTGTCCAACATTGAATTGTCAAGGTTTGATGACCATTGGTTCGATGAGTAATGTGCAAAGTGAGAATGATCAAGATTTTCAAGTATTGATTCAGTGTCGGAAAGATTTGTGTGAAAAGTCAAATCGTACTTTCGACGACGTTGAACTATCGATGGGTATGTCACATGATTACGAAAGAGCGATTCAAGCTGGAAGTACCATTGTTCGCGTCGGTAGTTCAATTTTTGGTGCACGTCGTTAGAATTCGATTTCAATATGTAGAATAAAGTATCTCATCAAGTTTTCTTTTCAGATTAGTTGAAATGGAATACAGCGATGCTGATCCATCGTTTCGCGCTCGATTTGTCGAGCCGAAATTTGATCCCAATTTATTCATTCAATCGATTGGTAAAGTTGATTCGAATATTGAATAACTCGATTCAATGTTGTATGTTTTTATTTAAAAGCATCGCAATCGATTGGAAGTGAAGGATTAGTTAATATGAAACGACGAATGTATTTAATCTCAAGTGAAGCAAAAACCGACTTGAAATACAATGCCTTTCGGAATCACACAAAATTCATTGAAACAGCAAAGCAAGTGGCTGCATTGGAATCCGAAGTTTATCAATTACAATCCTTGTTAGCCGATGAAAAACAACTATTAAGTACAGTGAAAGAATCACTGACTATCGAAGCGAAGGTCAGATAAACCAATCGAACATAAATCTGGTGATCATTGTGTTCACACTAACATCTTTGCTCTGTGGAATAATACCGGTTTGAATCTTCGTTATGCTATCTGTTGAAATGTGTGGCTAATATTTGCTTCTAAAACCACTTAATATAACAATGATTGCATTCTTATACGCATTGATGTAACATGTATGGTATGTGTTCAAGGTTTGATCGCAACTCACTAATGGATTGCACTCTAGTATCCATCCCTATTGTTACATATATATATATCTTTGGTTTTAGTCGGATTCGTCTGCAACATTGGAAACGGATGCATGTCAATCACTTCTTCGTCATTGTCAAAGTTTAGATCTTGTTTCTGCTAATCCAGATCGTCGTCTGATTTATTCTGGTAAACTACTTGAAGTTAAACTCGATCCGTCTACGAAAGTACCATCATCGTCACATACAACACAACCCTGCTACGGTCTTCTTTGCACAGATTGTTTCGTCATTGCTAAATCATCGAATATTCGTACAGCAACCGCCTACGATGTTGACCAAGTAATAAAACTTCAACGAAATTCCTTAAACACAAGCGATAACGATGCTCACAAACAATATTCATCGTCATCAGTTCGAATTATTAACGTTAAAGATGATGTTCTTCGCAATGCATTTACAATTCAATACAACACGGATACGATAACCATGATGTGCGAAAGTGCTCAAATCAAGAAGAATTGGATCGAACTATTTGAGAGTTTATTTTACACACGCATGCGCCGACTGTCTCGCATTGCTTCATTTCAAACTGAACAGGAACAAGTTTTTCAAGAGGAATTCTTTGCTGAAGATTGGATAACGACTACTGAAGAGAATTTGACCATACTCTTAGCGGAACGGAATCTTCAGCAAGCTTTGAAACTCATTCTCCAAGCGAGAAAATACGCCAAAGACTTTCTCTCGCAGCATAAACAACAATCACTACCATTCGTGGATGATTACATAAAAAATATTCAAGAAAAGGAACAAGACTTGCGTCGAATCGTGGAGAAAGAAATTCTTTCCATGTGCGAACATGGTTGTTCAACAAATTTGCTAAAACACTATTACCAACGAATAGAAATTTTGAAACAACTAGGATATGTTCCCAAGGCTTGGTAAGATTCTTCAATTTGCTTCAAAGTTACGATATAGGCTTCTTTTTCTAGTGATCTGTTCTTCACAATTCAATTCTCGTTGATGAAAAACACGTTAAAACAAACGAAAATCGAAGAACTAAACGTTGTTTTCGTTGAAAACTTCGCCAATACATTTTTTACGCGTTTAGTCGACAGTTACTATGAATTCGTTCAAATATTCAAAGATCAACGTTCGACATTTACGAAGTTCATCGTCTGGATGTCGAATGAAATCGAAAAACTGATCACCATCCTTCACAATCAGCAATACATCGGCACGAAGAACTTCACGTTTTCTATGCGAAACATCGATATTTTATTCACGAAGGCCGAGGAATTTTCAGTGAAATTAATCGACGTAAAGTTCATTCTCGAAGAACAACTCGAACAAATCTTGACACAAATCATTCGCTCGCAGAAAGAATTTATCATTGACAGTTTAAGGCAACGACATCGCGATGAAAAATGGATACCAGTGACATTCCAAACTCACGATCGATTAAATCAATTATTCTACGAATTTCACGAACTAGGAATCGAAGGGAACACACTTCTCGAGCCTTTCATTATCGAGGAACAAACAAGTGATGTTTTACAGATTGATTTAGCACCGAGCACACTACAATTTACTAAAGCGTACTTAACATTCGCACGTGATTTATTCAAAGTTTATTATACGTCGATAAATTATGCTATTGTCGAAGCATTGGTCGAATTGATCAAACTTCATTTGAAATACTACGAACGAACTTTGAAGAAAACCAATGATATGAATTTGAAAAAGTTCATCATGAAAAATGTTGAATTTTCCTTGAATTATCTCTTTCGTTATGTAGAAGAACTCTACACGCCGAAAATCGGCATTGCAACCAAACATTTAACGAAGGTCTACGGCAAACTTAATAAACTACGAAACCTTGCGGAAGCCTAAACTTATCCGTTCATTTCTCAGTCAAAGTAAGGCGCTGGGGAACGCGACAAGTCGATTGTATTCGAATTATCTTATTTACTTTATTAATACATGTCTACAAAAGTATCAAAGAATCAAACATCATTTATAAAAATAAACATGAAGAAAAGAAAATGACATGGTCAAATTAATATTGCGATAAAAATAGAGTAAAATTTTTCTAAGAAGATGTTGGAGAATTATCTGTCGTAGGAGGTAGACGTTCAGGTCGAACTTCGAAATGAAGATCAACATTGTCTGACGTGTCCGGATTATTCAGTATTTCATTGTGTAGAGTGCCAATGGGCATAAGAGATTCTTTCAGTAGTTTCTCACTGCAAAAGTCGCACACACGATATTGCGGAGAACTGAAAGAGATAAAGAAATGAGATTTCAGCATGACAATTGATATGAAAGTTTACTTTGTTTTCGAACTCTGTATCCAATTATTCGCACAGTAATAACAAAAGATCTTCTGGCAATGTCGACAATGATGCTAAACGAAACAGAGCACATTGAATTTTTGAAGGATGAGAGTATTGAACGGCCTACTTTTCGTACTGTCCATCCAAAGGCTGTATTACATTTCGTACAATTCAAAACATCTTCATCCGCAACCCATTTTCTCGATTGTTCCTCTTCAAGTTTAATTTCGTATGTATGTATAGAATTGAACAACTCTGCTTTATCACTAAAAATCAACGAAATCACATGGATATATTCTGATCGAATGCGACCTTTTTTTTATACATACCGAACCGCTTTGAGTAATCGTCGTTTCATCTCTTCAAAGTCAAGTGTTCGTTCTTGCAATGTAGCTTCTAACTGTTCTTGTGCTTTGTCACGTTCGACCTAGAGACATAGTTCGATGTCTAATTGAGAAAATAATGAGACTTTCGACACGTACTCGTTCTTTTTCGAGTATTAATCGATCCTGTTCAAGTACTTTTCTTGCCTAAAAATAAACTTTTATCAGTAAGAAAGGTTTGTTGAGAGTCGCATTACTTCTTCCAGCTCATTCTGTAGCATTTCGATCTGTTTCGTTTGTTCGTTTGATTGCGAAGACAAGTCTTTTTGAAGGGTTTCTAATTGATTCGTTTGCTCATTCAATTTTTGTTGTAAATCATTGAGAAGGATATCTTTGTCACCAATCAACGATCGATATTGTGCAAGATCCCTTTCATAATCTTTGATTTTCTAAAATACACAAACAAAATAATCGTCAATTGTCTAAGCTGATATAATCTATTTACATCGGATGATGTTGATCGTTGCATCGAAGCAGATGAAATTTGGAAGTTTAAACTACTAACTTCTTCTTTCAATAAACTAACTTCACTTTTTAATTGCTCATTCTCATCATTCAGTTTTGTCATTAATTCATCATCAATCGATGTTTCGGTAGATTCGGTCGGTGGAGGTTCGATTATTGAACATTGAAGTTCAACATCCGCCGTTGACACTGAATTCGACGTGTGTATTTCTTGCAGCTGCATTTCCAGTTGCAGACATTTCTGTTTCCAATAGATCATTGTATTTTCTGGATCTTCTTCAGCCGATGAAAGCGATTGAGCTGAACTACCATCATTTACAGACGATTCAAGGTTCTGAATAACATATAGAAGTCACTTTACAAGTAAAAAACATCATCAATTGACATTACGCGAAATAATGCAGGCGTGATTGGAATAGATGTGGAAAGCTCGGGAATAAGTGATATAACTGACTGAGAATCAACACTGTTCTAAAGGAAAAGGGTACGATATAAATTTAACATGAATGTCTGTTTTGCTCTTATTTCGTGTACCATTGAAAGAAAACTAGACACACTACTGTTTCTTAGTCGTGACGCAGCATCGGATAATGTTTTTGGTCGACTTTCAATTGATCTAAATAAGATCAAGAGACAACTCTATGTTTTGTCTTCCGATTTTCATAGACAAACTCGATAGTTGGCCAGCAGACATCAAGTTGATATTGTGAATTGGAAAGCAGATCGAATTGTAAGTCATTTAATTGATACAGTGCTTGAACAATTCGATTGATATAGTTTGGCGTTGTCCAAAAACATTCATCGATATAGAATTGACTAAAAGGAACGAGGATTTTATGACTAAATGTTGGAAAGAAGAGTTTTACTTGACAATTTTAGTCGTCATAAAACTTTGTTGAATAACATCACCTAATCGATGATTTTGCAGACAAAAACGAAGAAATAATCGTCCGCGACCAGTTGGAGTTTTGACTTCTTGACTATTGAGGGCATATAATACTGTATCGTATAAGCCTTTGCTATCTTTCAACGCTGAGGAGAAGAAATTCCAATAACTTCGTTTATTATTATTGCTGTTCAATAACGATTTTCTGCCTGCAAGAAGGAAAAGAGAATCGTGCGATACAATATTTCTAACGAATTTACTCTTCAAATCAGTCTCTAACAGTTGTTCAAGATGTTGGAAGAATGTTTGTAAATGTACGTTGGAATCATCGATTAGGACTGGCTGAAGACTTTCCGTGGCAGCTGTTGTATATTGCGAGTAAAGTGCATTCGTATTTTCTAATTCACAATCAATTGAAAAATATGTCTTTCGTCTACGTGCAATGATTACAAGTATAATGTACCTTCAACGATTTCAATCGATCGCAGGACCGATGAAAGTTTGCGAATATCTTGAGTGGACATGTTTCGTATATGACTTAGTTGAGTAACTGGAGATGATAAAGCGGAAACCTAATCTTTTGGTTTCACTTTGTTGGTAGAATAAAAAAACATATCTATTGGTAGATGACTGTTTGTTATCTGATTCACTAGTATGAAATTTTCATTGGTGAAGAATAGATAGACTTAAATGAGGTCGCTAAGCTAAGGCTTACAAATGATTCGAGTAATATACGTTTTCACAAGAAACCATTTGGAAATATGAACTGCAGGGTTGAACGAGAACCGTTTTCGCAGATACTAAACTTCGTTGTCAGATATCATAAAATGACGACGAAGTTTATCATATTCTAGTACTGTCAATCGTTTATGACTTTCTCATTTAATGGTAAGATTCAAGCAAATGTGCATTTTTGGTTACGGAGAATCTATCAATTTCTCTAACGATTTGTACAATATTTTCTTAGTATCATCAGACTATGAATATGGGTTATATCCATCGTTTAGTACATGTATATATATACGCGAGCGACATCTACCCTGTGCCTTTTTTATTATCCAGTTCGTCTGACTGAATAAAGGAAAAAACTACTATTCATTGGTACAAACAAATAACTAATCTTATTACGATTTCATAAGAAAATTTTCGAGTACATTTATTGTTTTTTACTACTTTTAATAAGTGCATGGCATCTGATGATAACGATCCTTACTCGAATAGTCTTGATCGAAACGATACTGAACGTGATCTCTACGCCGTGTTACATATCAGTAAAGATGTAAGAGATACAAAGTCCAAGTTTCTTTCCAGCGAAAATCAATCTGTGACTGTCTTTAGGCCGATACAACAACCATCCAACAAGCATACCGGCGGTTGACACTTCTGTATCATCCTGATAAACATACAGACCCACGTTTGAAACAAATGACAATGGATTTATTCATTCAAGTAAAAAAAGCATATGACATTATAAACAATCCACAAAAACGCGCTATTTACGATGCACTTGGAATGAAAGGTTTGAAAGAAGAGGGATGGGAAGTATGTATCCTTATAATATCGAAATATGAATGTATCGGTATATATTTTTTTCGAATAGATCATATCTCGAATGAAAACTGCACGCGAGATTCTCGATGAGTATGAACGGCTTGCCAAAGAACGAGAAGAACGACGTTTGAATCAGATGACAAATACAACTGTATATTCCTTCATTGTTTTTCGAGTTTTATTTCATTATTACTTATTGAATTGATAGAGTTCAGTACACTCCACAATTGATTTAACTGACATGTTTAACCAGATTCAATCGTCTGACGAGAATGAGTAACCATTCGCTTAACTTTCAAGTCGATATTAATGTTTTCTCTCTCTCATTACCAGAGAATTTTCACCAGATTTTCATATCACTGAATTTACTATCGAAGAAAGTATTGATATTCCAATAACTAGTCAAGACACGGCGATGATCAGTGCCGTGGCTACGACACGTAATCAACGTGGCACCGGTTCACTAACGACATCCTTTCGGCATCTACTATCTGATTTGTCCTGGTTTCGTGTAAGTACATCGAATCGTTCTATATACCTGCTCACTTCTTTTCTACGAACGTCTTGGTTTCAGATGGATTTAACATGCAGTCAACGTCCTCATCTTGGGCTTCGTTACTTTCGTCGTATAACGCAAAAATTGTAGGTAATTGCGAAGCTTTATTTAGCCGAATAAAATATACGTTGATCGTTAGTTTAGTCACGCTAGTGTAGCCACAACATTCAGTTTTATCAATGGACGAAGAGCCATAGCAACACCTGGTTTTGTATTTTCAATAACCTATCAACTAAGTCATCATTTAACAAGCAGTTTACAATGGAAAACAGGACGAGGATCATTTATGAAAGGTGCTCTACAGTATGATAACCAGAAATGGGCGATATCCAGTGCTGTTCAAGTACTTTCGTTTCGTCGAGTTAATTGGAACATGCAAACGTTTCTTTATAGCTAGGAATTGTCAATACCTTTGCGACGGTCGATGGTGCTTATCGATTTCCTGGTGTGTGCAATCTACGATTTAGTTTCAAGTAAGTGCGTTCTTCATTCCTTCTTCGAAAATGATTTCTCGAAATTCACGTCCTGAAAACTGAGAAATCTTTGTGTTTCAGAATGTTTGTATTTGGTCCATGGATTGAATATGGTATTGACCGTCAATTCACTAAATATACACATGGCTCAGCAGCAGTTGCTATTAGCGCCAAAATGGGTGTTCTATTAAGATTGAAGTATGTTTAATGCGCACGAATTTGACTATTGATCAGAAATCTTTTGTTAGATTCAATCGTGGTAGTCAAGTGTTTACCATACCTTTGCCATTATCAAAAGAAATTCTTCCGAGTGCCATATTTTATGCTACTGTAACACCGGTTCTTGCTTACTTCGTACTCGATCGATTCGTAATCCAACCATATATTCGATTGGAACAAGAACGGTATTGTCATTCTGTTCATTGAAATGAAAACAATCTATCTACTTGTAGGGAACAAAAACGACGCGATGATGAAGAACGCGAAAATCAAGGCGAACGTCGGCGCGAGGCTATGAATGCTCAAGAAGTTCTGCGATCGCTTGTCGAACAAGTAAAAGAGAAGGAAGGCCCACAAGGTTTGCTTATTCTTCGTGCACATTATGGTCATTTAACATCTGCAATGAATGAATCGTTGATTAAAATTATTGATGTTACAATACCATTACAAACACTTGTCAAAGATTCGACATTGAAAATTGAGACTACAGTTTCTAAATCGAATTTAACTGGCTTTTATGATCCTTGTATTGGTGAAGAAAAGTCCTTGTTTATCAAATATTCGTTTCATTCACAAATACACACAGTCACTTATAAAGATACCGATCCTGTTCTGTTACCGAATCGAAGTAAGATTTCTAATGCTCTTTTCGTCTACCACTCATAGAATTGATTTTCATCTGTTATAGATCATTTGATTTCCTGAATAGTCAATGAATTTTTCTCATATCTGTTTATAGTTTTTCTTTTTATACCAAATACAGTGTAACTTTATTAGCGATGACTCTCTCTCTCTCTCTAACTTATTTTTAGATGTTAACTCGTTCACTTTCATCTCTAAGTCGATTCACTCGTCTAGCACTTTTTCGCACTCATTCGACCACATCGAGCACGACCACCAATTTCGGTTATGATCAAGTACCCGAAGCAGAAAAACAAGCACGCGTCAATCAAGTCTTTTCATCAGTAGCTGATAAATATGATCTAATGAACGATGTCATGAGCTTTGGTATTCATCGTATATGGAAAGATTATTTCATTCGAGTCGTTCGTCCTGATCCTCAATGGAATTATATCGATGTTGCCGGTGGAACTGGCGACATCGCTTTTCGTTACCTCAAAGATATCGATCGATACCAGCCACCATCTCAAATTCCAACCTCCGCAACACCGGAAGCTCCTACACATACGTACATGGCAGAATCTCTAGAGCAGACACGAATTCGTCCAACATCGAAATGTGTAGTTGCCGACATCAATCCTCAAATGCTTGCTGTTGGCAAACAACGCGCAATTGATAATAATTTTCATGATCGTATTCAATGGATTGAAGCGAACGCTGAAGAATTACCGTTTGAAAATGAACAGTTCGACGTCTACACGATTGCATTCGGTATACGAAACTGCACACATATTGATCGTGTTGTGTCCGAAGCCTATCGTGTTTTGAAGAAAGGCGGACGATTCCTCTGTTTAGAATTTAGTCAAGTCAATAATACTCTGTTGCGATATTTTTACGATCAATATTCGAAGACATTTATTCCTCCGATGGGACAAATCATTGCTAATGACTGGAAATCGTACCAATATTTAATTGAGTCTATACGTGTTTTTCCTAAACAGACAGAATTTGCCGATCTCATACGTTCATGTCAATTTCGATATGTAACATATGAGAATTTGTCATTCGGTGTTGCAGCAATTCATTCAGGATATAAACTTTAGGAAGTTCTGTTGTCTTCATTTTAGATTAACCTTTTCTCAGCTTATAATCAAGAGAATCATCATGGCCGGTGCAAGTGGTCGACGATTTTTCGTTGGTGGAAACTGGAAAATGAATTATTCCAAGGCTATTTTAGAAAAAGTTAACGACGCTTTAAGCAAGACAAAAGATGCTGACGGTAAGACTCGATTGAAGCAATGAAGAGTAGATACAATGCGAAGTTCTTCAATTCTAGTCGATATTGTTTGCGCACCACCAGCTCTCTTTATCAAGGACTTCGTTGCATCAAAACCAGCCCATGTTCAAGTTGCTGCACAAAACTGTTATCATGCTAAGGAAGGTGCATTCACCGGTGAAATAAGGTAAAGCAAGTTATGCTATTTTGAAATATCCGAAGATATTCTTTTATTATTCGTCAGCGCGGAAATGATCAAAGAAGCTGGTTGCAACTGGGTTATTCTCGGTCATTCAGAACGACGAACATTATTTCATGAAGATGATGAAGTGAGAGGAAATTGATGAGCGACTTCCTGTAGCTTCTATGTAAATGTTTTACGAATAGTTCTTGAAAAAGAAAATCGACTACGTTCTCAACAAAACTGACGTCAATGTTATTGCTTGTATTGGTGAAACTTTACAAGAACGTGAATCAGGCAAAACTAATGAAGTTGTTGAACGACAAGTCAAAGCCTATCAAGGTGATTATTTCTAATCCTCAGAAGACGAATTCATTAATGAACGTTTTCCTTTAGAAAAAATTGCCGAAAATCAATACGATCGTGTTGTTATTGCCTATGAACCTGTTTGGGCTATTGGTACTGGTAAAGTTGCAACGCCTCAACAAGCCCAAGAAGTTCATGAACATTTACGAAACTTTATCGAGAAAAATTCTAGCGCTGACATTGCTAAGAAAGTCCGCATTATTTACGGAGGTAAAACGACTGTTTAGAATGCTGATCGATTCATATAGAGAATTTTAATCGAATTGCAGGCTCAGTTAGCGGATCAAACTGCAAAGAATTAGCTCAACAGCCGGATATTGATGGTTTCCTTGTTGGAGGTATGTTACGACCAATCAAAGATATTCTATGATGATTTGTTGTTTGTTTCAGGTGCATCACTCAAACCGGAATTCGAACAGATCTGCAAATCGCGCCAAAGTTAAAAGAAAAAAACAATTTCTCCGTTCATTTTTATTTTTCCTTGTATTAGCGGCGACAAAATTTACCTATCACTAGTCCTAACACTCACATCCAGTTTCTTTTAGCTAGTCTTTCGTTTTAATGAAAACAACTTTGATGCATCTCGCAAACTAGTAGTTTTATAACTTTTCTTTTCCTTTCTTCAAGATCTATCGCATAATGTCAACATCCGAGGAATTTCAAGTAAAACATTCAGACCGAAAACGTAAACGTGAAGCAGCTGAAGCGGAAAACAGTACGATGGATACTGAACAAATGACAACAGCTCAATTTCCACAAATAAATCCATCAGAATTACAAGTAAGACTTCAAACGAATTCATGCTTGAGACGAAACAAGACGACTTCCATTGATTTTTGCAGGAGCAAACGGATAGCTTTCGCAAGGTGACAATTCCCGCTCATCGATATACTCCATTGAAAGAACAATGGATGAAAATATATTCACCAATTGTGGAATATCTTCATTTACAAATACGCTTCAACTTACGAACACGTTCTGTAGAAATAAAAACATCCGAACAAACTGAAGATATCCAAGCGTTGCAAAAAGCCGGTAAGACAAGACCGTGAGTCGAAGAAATTTCACTGATCGTTTTTTGTTTAGCTGATTTTGTTAAAGCCTTTGCACTTGGTTTTGAAGTTGAGGATGCACTCGCTTTAATTCGTCTTGATGATCTCTTTCTTGAATCTTTTGAAATCAACGATGGTAAGAGAGAAAACAGTAACAATGACTTAATTCTCATCTCTTCGTATTTGGTTTTTCATAGTTAAACCATTGAAAGGTGATAATTTGTCCAGAGCAATCGGTCGTATTGCAGGTAAAAATGGTCGCACGAAGTTCGCTATTGAAAATGCCACACGATGCCGAATTGTTCTTGCCGAAGAGTAAGTATATTTTTTTTTTGCGAATACGAAACTATACTCATTCGTTTTCTTTTAGCAAAATTCATATTCTCGGTTCATATCAAAACATTCAAAATGCACGAACATCAATTTGTAATCTGATTTTGGGCTCACCACCATCCAAAGTCTACGGCAAATTGCGAACTGTAGCAGCGAGAACGGCCGAAAGTTTTTAATATCAATTTCTTTCTGTTGTTATTTATTGTTGCTACTGTTTTTGCATATAGAAAAATAAGATAACAATCGACAAGAAAATCATTTGTTTATTCTACTAAAATCTCAACTAAATAACTTTATTTTAAAACGTATAATGAGAGACTGTAGGGTGAGGATAATAATCGTGCCAATGGTGGAAGTAATGACAGAAAATAGATCAATATGTCATTTTAATGTTATCCTTTTACTGCACGGTATATTTTCTACGTTGGAATCAGCATTTTCTCTTGACTTATTGATGAATTTAATCATCGTTCTACAGTGAAATTTTCTGCAGATGGTTCGATGCGATTTATCTAGCACCGAAACGAGGTAAGTACATCCCGTTTTATTGTCTTTCTATTTTGATTATTCGCAAACAAATACGGTGGTGACAAAATGAGTAACAAAAATGAATAAGACTAAATGATCTTCATTTGTCAACTGTAGACTACTATTTCAAATGATAAACATATCAAATAAGAAAATGTTCATCAAATAATATTTTTCCTTCACATGATTCATGTGTGGCGATAGCATCGTAAAGACAAAAGAACAAACAGAAATGTTAGTCCTAATGAATTATTCGTTTCACAATGAACGAAATTGTAAACTTTTACTGATCATTCAGGAAAAGCCAATTATTTCGAAATGGATATGATAACAGGGACAAACGATAGTGCATGTCTTCACTCACACCCTTTTACACTCTATCTTACATTTCAATCGTGACGGGAATGTTACCGTTCGCTTCGCTTCAATATCCCAACGAGCCATGTCCTTCATTGGACTGTCAAGATCGTTATTAAACGTGTGAATATTGCTCAGAAAATTTCTAGTTTTTTAAGTACGATGCGTTCTCAATGTGTCACTATTTTCTGCGTATCAAAATAGGAATTTTGAATGATATCATTAGCAATAGTTTTAAGCTATAGTGTGAAACAACTTTGTTTATTTTCAACTTATCTAAAAAGAATATTCTGGTGTTATTAAAAATGCGTTATTTTTTTAAACATTTTTTGACTGTTTCATTTCATAAACAACTGAAGATGCTTAAAAAATCATCAGAATAAATTTACAGCGAGCCTGAACCACATTACCGAGCCACCCAAGCGAAAAACTATAGAAATCATACTTCATCTGGGTGGAAAAAAATTTTTTGATCTTACCCGGCAGTTCTGACCATCGTGTTAACGTATGAAGGGTTCGTAATCTGTGCTAGTATGGTTACTTTCTTTCTGCACTCAAAAAAAAACCTGTCGGCTGTTAAGGGTACTAAAGCGGTGACAGGCATTATACGCATCGAGAATACCAGGGTAGAGATATCTTGGTAGTCGAAAACTGAATACACAATTTCTACTAGTAATGCAAGAGAAGTTGTTTTTGAACTATTCGACATTGATAAGAGTTGCTGAGATGTGTAATGTTAATCGAAAGTATGCAAGATACTTTTCTTTTGATTAATTTTACTTTCACGATTATAGACTGTGCTTACAATGAGTCACAGGAAGAACCTGTGCGAATGATGTTGCCACCCGTTTGCTATAGCCAATCATGCTGGAACTTGACTATACATTTATCCTTTCGTTCTACTAAAGATCTTTGTCGTTGATTTTTTTCTTACAAATTCTGTTGTTCTTAATGTGAAGTCATATAGCAATTCTATTTCCATGATTTCTCTTTCTATAGGATTAAATGAGGAAAATTCCAATACAAGTCCGAATGTTGTCTGTATTTCAAAAATGAGACAAATCAACATGGACGATGAGTCCATATATTTTAAACCTGCCTTCAAACTTCAACCTACATTGAAATAATACACATTATGTTTACTTGGTATTACAGTTGTTCAAATTTAAACACATTCTGCCTGCTTTGAAAGTTAGGGTTACACTTTATAAATTATAAAAACGCTCTCAGGGTCAACTGTGTGCGAACTGTTGGTCAAATGTGATCTTATGGCTCAAATTGAGAAATATCGTCATTTTCGTTGTGAAATCAACCAACTGTTTCTAACGTATTTTTCAATTTGATCCATTGTCTATCGAGTGGAATAGAATATGTTTCTAATTGACGTAGAAATGGACCAATACACATGTACTTGATTTCAATTGGTTGTTTCAATTTATGAATGGGTAATTTTTCGATTTCATATTCGGGAAAATCGATTCATATATTCTTATTTTCAAATCACTGAACGAATATATGCGTGAGAAAAAGCGAAGTGACGAGTATGATCAACGAGAAATATCAGTTGATGTAAGTTTGAACAGTGAATATTTTGCTAACTAGCGAAAAACATTATTTTCGTCTTTTAAGAAAGAAGCGGATATTCTGCGGCAAGCTGTTGAGTCCGAGTATACAACTTTATATCGTCAAATACATAAAACGGCACAAAAAACCGCTCGGTAAGAAAGTTCTTATCCAACTATTCCATATACAAAAATAAATACAGACTAGCGAATTTTTCATGCCATATATGTATTATTTGTTTCAGTCGTATCCTTCGACATGTAGTTCAACCACCTGCACCACAAGCATTAACTATTTCTATTCCTACATTAACGAATGAATTAAATAGCGATACAGATGATAACGACACTACTGTTTCAGTGACAGTAGCAGATGGTACAAATAAAAATCCACACAAGGATTCAACTATTCCAATAGTTATGCCAACACTTCCTGTCGTTCGAGAATTGATCTCGTATGTGCCAACAACAAGAAATCTTGCAACACGCGGTCATCTTATCGGTATACCATACTTGGGAGATAAATTTGATGCTGAAGATCAACGATTAATCAATTCGATTTCGATCGAACCATCCAAATCACAGAAGTTAACACGAAGTAGGAAATTTCCTAATTTGTTTTTCGTATCTTTTCAAATGATCTTCATTAGAAAAAAAACTCGATGAACAATCATTAGAAGCTTTGTATCGGTCACTTCGCTCGAATCATCTATGGAATAATTGTTCGAATGAACAACTTATTGATGCAATACTTTGTAAGAGAATGGATGGTGAAATAATCTGATGTAACATGTTCGTTTCTTTCGGCAGATTATCATCGTGACTCAACACCGCGAGCCAAACTTTTGGCACTAGCCAGTGAACATGACTGTTGCCTCAATGAAAAACAACGAAATCATACGAATATTGATCAAGATGATACGCTAGATATGGACACTGATGAACTTGTCATCAAACCGTGGTGCTCTCGATTTTGTCCACGATGTTATACTTATAAGTAAGAATTCATTGTTCATAAGAATTTAATATAACGTTTTGTTTCTAGCTGTTTACTACATAAGGAAGGCCCAACGCATTTACCATTACCAAAAAAGTTCTCTCTTACGTTCGACAACCAAACAGAACCTTGCGGTTTGACATGCTATAAACATCAACGTGAACATCTCAAACGGCCGCTGTCGCCATCATCTTCCCCAACCGAGTCGACAACGTCACCTGATAATAATAATAAGAAACGTCAACGGCGAAGTTCTTCCAATCAAACCTCTGTAATGTCAGATGAAAATCTTCACAATGAAAATCCTCTCGATATAAACGTCCGATCGACTGATATCCAAAAACGAATCTCATCACATTATTTAACACGAATTGAAAATCAGATGGATAATCAACTGCTTCCAGCGATATCCGTCGAGAACAACTGGACACTAACTGATCAAAGTTTATTTCGTTTATTTTATTTTCTCTTCGACGGTGATTTATGTTTATTAAAATACATGTTTCAAAGCAATCACACATGTCAGCAATTGTATGAAGAATTTATTCGCGATTCCAAATATTTTTCCGAACGCATATCATCAACAGATGGTTCACCCTGTTTAATACGTCTTCCATATCGACGACGTATGCCAGAAGGCACTACGCGTGCCTTTCTTCTCTATATCAAACGAACTCTCAATCGACCCAATGATAATCACAATCAAAAGAATACGGCAACAACTCTGAAACCATCGTATCAACCTTGTTTACATGATGGTCCATGTACGGTCGACAATCCTCAATGTTGTTGCATGAAAATGGGCACATTTTGTGAAAAATTTTGCAATTGTGCTAGTGATTGTCCACATCGATTTCCTGGCTGTGCTTGCAAAGGATCGTGTCTATTTAATAGCTGTTTATGTAGTGCTGAAGGACGTGAATGTGATCCTGATTTATGTCATAATTGTGGAGCATCATTATTTTTCAATGTAGTAAGTCCTCCGATCAAACTGTAAGTTACTTGTTGCTATTATAGACTATAGATTCATTGATCCTATCGTTTATATCGAATGATGATTATCTAGGGAAGCCGATGCGTCTCCATCAGTATCGGAAACAACAGAAGAAAAGTCTTATTCAAAAGCATCTGTTCGAAATGTTCGATCACGAACTCTTTGTAATTTACCAGCTCGATCACAAACTCTCCGATCGTGTCGTAACAATGAGACAACGTATAGAACAATTTCGAAACAAAGACGACGCGCCAATTCTCGAGCATCGCTAAATTCTCTTCCAACTCCATCATTACCAACGATTTCATGTGCAAATATATCTTTACAACGAAAAATTCATAAACAAATTCTTGTTGCTGAATCCGATAGTAATACCAGTTGACATTTGTATCTATTCTTCGAACATCGATATTTTAGTTGCTGGATATGGAGCATTTCTCGGCTCACCAGTTGCCTATCCTGGTGAACTAATCGCTGAGTATACAGGCGAGATCATCTCAGAGGAAGAAGCCGATCGACGTGGTCGACTTTACGACAAACGCGCATGTTCTTATTTATTTAATCTCGATATGCAACATTGTATTGATGCTCGACAATTTGGCAATAAATTACGGTTAGTTATACATTGATTTTTCCTTGTGCACCACGTGTTCTCGACTCACCACCTTTCCATTTAGATTTGCGAATCATTCTTCGAAACCGAATTGTGTACCCAAGATTAAACTAGTCAATGGTAATTCTTATTCATCGGCTGAGAACATGTTTTGTAAAACTTCTTTTCCAGGCGACTATCGGATAGGTATCTACGCAAAAGAAGTGATTTTTCAAGGCGATGAATTATTTTTCGAATACATGTATGACGCTCATCAACGTCAACAATTCATCAATAACGAACGAGTTGATGAAGCCGAACAAGAGAATGTCACAGTTTTAACACGATATGCGGATAATTTTATGCTAGTCCAACCATCAATTGATTGAAGTCAGATTTTTTTTATGTCAGATATTTCCAATATAGTCAACTTTTGTGTACCTCTCTCGATGTATTAGTTTTTATTTTGTTAAAAACGACAAAATTGAACGCATTTTTTTTTCTTCGAACATGTTCATGATCTATTTTTCTTGTTCTTTATTGTTACAACCAAATTAAATAAAACAAATGATGAAATTAGACTTGACTTGATATTTTTTTTCGATTTACAACTCTCTATATTCTGATTATCGTCTAGAATTAAATGCCACTCATTGTCATCTCCGGTGGTCCGTGTTCGGGCAAATCAACGCGAGCCAAAGAACTGCTTGACTATTTCCAAACAAAAGCGATGCCCGTACAGATTATTACGGATAACAATCTGGATCGAAATGCAGTTTATACAGGTTTTCAATCAACTCTCTCTCATTCATTCCAATTGTTTTTCTTCTCCGAAAACAAATAGATAACACGCTCGAAAAACAAGCACGAAGCGATTTGAAAGCTGAAACACAAAGGTAGAATTATCCTTCTCGTATTAATCTTACGCTGATATTAAGCTTTCAGATTAGTAACAAAAACGGATTTGGTGATCCTTGACGCTTTGAATTATATAAAAGGTAATACACCTTGTCGACTAGTATTCATTAGAAACGTTCCTAGTTGCATATGCAATCCTAGTTATGCTTTACACTAGATATAATTGGAAATCTCAGACAATAGAGTTGATCTTAACCATGATGCATCATGATAGAAAAGAAAAGAAAAGGAAATAAATGATGGACGTCACACTCTAGCTTGTTACTTTTATCTCAACATGAATATGCAAATTTTCCGGTTTAACCTCTCGTGACAAATTGTTAAGATATTTATAGATGTCTAGCATAAATGACAAAAAAAAACTCTTTTTTTGACTTTCCAGGCTATCGCTATGAACTTTATTGCATAACTAAACTTTATCAAACCGTTCAATGCACAGTAAGTTCAACGATCGTTTTATGTCTGATCGATTGTCTTTGATAACTAAAGATTTACTGTAATACTCCTGCACACGTTGCACGTGAATGGAATACGGCTAATCATCGATATGATCCATCGATGTGAGAACATGACCTGTATGCAAAGAATTGTTTAAATTTTGTTTCTTTTGAATAGTTTTGATGCATTAGTGCAGCGTTACGAACCGCCAGAAGGTCGAAATCGTTGGGATGCACCATTATTTGAAATCACGCCGGAGGATCAATTACCACTAGAACAAATTGCAGATTATCTGGCGAATAAACGCCCACCACCTCCCAACAAATCGACAGTTAACGTAAATTGTTCGCTCAATGGAAACTCTATAGTAGTTAAGATTTTTTTTTTCTTTCATTTTAGTTACCAATCTCGGATACAAATTTCCTACATGATGTCGACCGAGTAACGCAGGATGTCATCGATGTATGTTGTTCGTTATAGTCAACGATTGATTTTGTTCATTTGTTCACTTTAGTCAATCGTTCAACAAAGTAAAATGGCTGTGCTCGGTCAGCAGTTTTCAATTCCAGGAACAACAGAAAAAGTAGAGAGAGAAAAGAAAATCATTATTTCAAGAGAGAAAAAAAAACATTTTCTTTTCGTCGAATTTTTTAGATTAACTGGAACCAAAATCATTCGGTTTCGGATCTACGTCGAATTCGTCAACAATATTTAAAATTCATCAAGACACACCCACCATCAAAGGACAATACAAATGTAACAGCCATGTTCGTTCAGTTTCTTAATAACAATCTTTGTTAAGAATCGTTTTTCTCTTTCTTCTGCTCGTTCTCGATAATAAAAACACACACATAAGACACGAATCACTGACATGACACGTCACTCTTATTATCAATGAATCATTATTTCTCTCTTTCACAGATGTGTTTTTACTCAACATCATCTAACGTGATACTTTTTCTTTAACGGTCGTTTTTTTTTCCTTTTGATTCACTACTACTCTCCAATGTCGCTTTTCTTCTTACATTTCTAATTAAATCAAAAAACTATCTATTAATTAAGAATGAGAGATTGCTCAAGTGAAAATATTATCTGCCAAATAGCGTATTTAATTTTTCACTTAAGATGGGGAAAATGATAAAGCATCCATACTCTCTGTCTCTCGTCGAAAGGCAAAAAAATGCTATCGACGAAATGACAGATCTCGTCCTTGATGCGATATAAGAGAGTTATAAATATTCTCGACAGAAGCAGAAGTTATTTACATATGAAAATAGAACAAAGTGGCAAGATAGCTTCCCAACACGGTCGAAGTTTATTTTCCCAAATAATAATTACCGAGATGATACCCGTACCCAACAGATATGTTGGCCTTTTTCGGCCTACTGATTTCTTTTAGTTTTTCTTATTGATAAACATATCAGAATTGTTCCTTTCTCATTTCCTAATATGATTGCGACGTAATTATAATATAAAATCCGATCAAATCGTTCATTTCTAAGACAACATCATTCGGCAAGGATGTTTTTCCCCGTTTGACAGCCGTACTCGTCGCCGATGCATCGAGTAAATCTCCTTCTTTCATCATTGATACTTGTCAAACATCTTCATAAGAATAGCAAACTTAACTTTATTTATTAGATCGAAAGGCGATGCTTCTTATTCGTTCTCCGACATTAACCTTTGCATTTATATTTTTCATTCTTTCCATTTGTTTAACTATCTTGACATTCAATGTTCCATATGATGATTCGCAGTATCTTATACAATTCTTAATAATCTGTCCACCAATCAACTCCATATTCCTCTTTCTATTTTCGGCAACATGGATCGAACGACGATTTCGTTTATCCTACATGCCATTTATATGTTTGATTATCTTGATGTTGTCATCATTAACATTAACCCTCGTATCAAGTTTACTTTTATCATTATCGATTACGATGTATTTTAATTTAATTTTTTATTCCTTTTTCTTTCTTCTATTCTTGTCTTTAATTATCGTCACTATCATATCGTATTCTTACGGTTCATTGTTTATACATCGTCATCGGAATATGATGACAGTTCAGCAACAAAACAGTGAAATCCCGAAAAATGTAGAACTTCTCAAACTTGATAAATACTCGTTTAAATCCTCAGATAACAATGAACTTATACTCTTCATGTCAAAACTACCCGGCCGTCGTATTCGTCATGATATTCGCAACATTCAAGATGATTTAAATCAAATACAAGTTCATACAATCATAACATTAAACGAGCCGAAAGAATTGTCATTTATGAATATGACAAATAAGAATTTTTACAATATGGACATTTACTCCATGCATGTCAAACGAGCTAATATGGAACATATTGTGTATCCCATCCGCGATCGTTTTATTCCGAAGTCAATTAGTGATTATATGCAATTTTTATATTGCATTATCCTTAGTGTAAATCGTTCCAGTCGTAATCGATTGCTCGTGCATTGTATGGGTGGAATGGGGCGGACTGGTCTAACAGCGGTTTGCTTGGATTTAACGTATGAAAATATGATGGCAAATGAGAATGAACCAAAAACGAAACAAAAGTTTGTCGAACGATTCTGTCATTATCCATTTCTATTAGCAAATCATTGTCGCGTATGTCGAGCGATTGCGAATGTTCGACAAGCACGACCAGGTACAATTCATAATCCATTACAAATCTTATTTGCTCACGAATATTACGCTCGTCTGAAATCATCTTCTTACATGCAACAAATCAAACACATCCTAGACCTCAACGAGAAACTCCTCTCCAGCACGCAGGACGAATTTGCATTACCGACGAATATTTCACTTTAATATCGATCGTCAATCATCACATTCGAATGTGTAAAGAAAAAACAATGACACGAGAAGCTAAATGAACGTTCAATTTTCCCCTTTTTCAAACATCAAACATATGTTATAATATTATGTAAACGAAAAGCTAATCTGATTTTTTTTCTATCGGAAAGGCAAAAACGTTCATCTAATTAAAGCCGGAAACAAGAGAAAACACACATCTTTCGATTTGATCTGCTTGACTGCTGTCTATCTAGGCAATGTTTTATTCACAGCATGACACATTTGCCTCATTCTTCCTATTAACAGCATCGTTTATCCGACAAGTAGAGCATCGAAAAAACAAATTCAAACGCAAAAGATGTGATGTTGTCTTCACACACACACACACATAAACGCATCAGATATCCTGTCTCTCTTTTCCCTTGTGTCTATTGTTATGTTAAAGAAATTCGAGAAGAAATATTGAACTACTGATTGTTTGAAAGATTTAGCAAACAAACGGCAAGTTTGTTCGTTATGTATGTCAATAGTTATCTAACATTTGTAGATAATTGGATTGAGAGTTGAAACGAAAACAGTCAAATCTTTTCACAAGTGACTATTCCGACCGTTTGAATTCGGAATTCAAAGGTATAATCAAATCGATAATTAATACACAAGATTGTCATTTTTTTTTGTGTTTCTCCATTCCATGTCTTACGCATGCATTCATTCATCATTCTTATGTAAAACAGTCATTTTCGTTTCCACTTCAAATGAATGAATACATCATTGACATCGCATGCAATTGGCACGTTGAAATATTGACGAAAGACAATCTTTCTCGATAATTGAATATTGATAACATATTTTGTCGTTGTTCAAAGAGATGTCATTCTTTTATTTCATCGAAAACGAACACTTGATACTTCTTCACAGATTACGTCGAATCGTTCGAAAAGAACTTCTGTGTAATTCATCGAACTGACCATTGCCTGCCTATCAATGTTTTATTTTGAATTACAACCTCTTCATGACATCATCAGAACATTGTTTGTTTAACAATTCAAACTCATTGATTCTTCTAGTACTCAAATGACGCCTTGCCTTGTCTATGAGTGAGTTCTCTCTCTTTCGATTCTCATCTTCCATTTGCCGGAAGACATCAATCGCAACAACAGAAGTCAATAATCATAAAAAGTTTCTTTTTCGTTTTTAATATCTTTCTTAAATAAATCAAGTTTCAAATCATCAAACACAGCAATGTATGTTTAAAGTATAACAACGAAAAAAACAAAGAGCGAAATTATCTTGCACATACAATGCGCATTGGAGCTTTTCTTTCTCTTCATCGTGTCTTCCACACACACACGCGGTCATATCCGAGCAAAATCAACAAACAAACAAAAAAATAATAATAATAATAATTAATAACAAGAGACAAAATCACATGTGAACTATACATACAACAGACGTGATATATAAATAGAAAAATAAGTTCAATATAGAGACGAAAAAGAAAAAGAGAAAATTTCAAATCTAAGGGAGTTGAAATAGTTTTCCTTTTTTTTGTGCGTTCAGTTTCACTTATTGAGTAAAAACGGTGAAAAAAAGATATCATCGGATGTTATTAATGGAGACTCCATTGGCGAAATCGAGCGAGATGATGATACTGACGAACGAGTATCACTACCAAATGATGATGATGGTGAGATAGTTTTGCATGACAAAGTATCAGCACATTCATCATGAACAAAGTGGCATCGTGGACCATACGGACCTAGTCAAGAGAACAAATCTTAAATTCTTCGTAAAGACTTTTTCGACTTACAGTAACCAGTGCAATGATATGTTCGACAAAGGACAGTTTTATATTTTGGGTGTCGATTTAACGAACGTAGTTCATGATAGCCATGGGCAAATTGACATTTTTCTCCATACTTGCAGAAGGCAGTTTCGTGATATGAACGACACAATTCAGTTTTGTAGCGTTGTGATGTGCTTTTACTATTCGCATCGGTTGTCGTTGTTTGAAAAAGGTGTGTCGTGATTGTTGTCAAATGTTGCGAATTCGAACGAACAACAGGACCTCCAACAGCTTTCGAGTAGGCTTTCGGTGAAGATGTTGGAGATAAAACGTTTACATTCTAAATAACGAAAAACACTAGTCTCACACGTACGACTAACTCAGGTTGAAAACTTACAATTGATGTAAGTACATCATGTAAATAGCAAGCTGGAAGTTGATACATGGTAGTGAATATCAAGGCACCAATGTCGAGACAATAAGATGACGAATATGTACGTATATGTCGTCTATCCTCTTATATATATATTTCTCTTTTCCAAACGAATGTCTAGTGTGTATATTTTCTCTCTCTCTCTCTTTCTTTCCTTCTTTTCTTTTCTTTTTCTTCTATGAACATGCCATGTGAGGAAATCAAAGCCAATAGGAAAACACCCATTCGTTTTCAAATGACGTAAACAATTTTCATATTGGCATGAAATCAAGAATATCGTTAGTAATGCAGCGAATAAAAGGAAGCAAGCGATTGACTAATTTCCAAAAATGAGATCGCGTCTCGATGTTTTTCGATTGTATGATTAGAATGATAAAGGTTCCTTCTTTTGAAATGCACACTAGGCAATCTCGTCGATTCCTTTGATCCAAATGAACAAGCTACTTGTTATTCTCTACAAAAGAGAGGAGGAAGATAGACCTATGAGAATTCGAAATGGATAAGAGACCATCTTATCACCTTGTTTAGTTGAGAAAAAATAACAAAATGATATTCACACATGCCCATGCAGAATAAAATACAACAAAAACGAATATTTAACACTTGAGAGATTAAGTGACAATGATAGATTTAGTTCGATTAGCTCCTGTAAAAACGTTTCTCGAAATGTCAAAAAGAAACGTCCATTGATTGCACTTGTGCGAACTAAATACGTCTAAGTAGCGATGGTACTTGATTGTTAATTGTAAAACTCTGACATGTTCATCTTTGCCTCCACACTTGCCTAACAAGTTCAAAGACGATACACCCCCGGAGAGACAGGAAAAAGTGTCATGAATGTATTAGAGAATACAGACAATGATCGATGAGGATCATCTCTTTGATTTGATCAATGTTCATTCAAAGGTGACGTAAACCTCATTAATCGAAGAAGATAAAAGAAAACATCTCTACGGAAAGAAAAGCCACTATATCCTATCTGTTGTTCGATCTGAAAATTAAATCTATCCCATTGATTTTGTTAGAAAAGAAAACTCTCTCTCACGTCATAAATTTACGAAAGAAAGGCTCTAATTGAATAGCTATCCTGCGTTGTCAATTGACATCATCGATATGTAACATGCAATTGCAATAGCAATGAACACGCATTTTTCTCTTTCAATATCCTTCACCTGCCTGGATATCAAGATGATAGTAATTGCCTTCTAGCTAGTCTAACGATATGCAGGTGATGATTAAACCAAATCGAAAAAATTCTCTCTTGATCGATTAGATGCGAAACTATTCGTGTATTATAGGAGCAATTATATTTTATTTGAAGTGTCGACGATTTAGGTCGATCTTCTCTTTTTGAAATTGTGATAATTGTTTGCACAAAAGATTTCTGGCGTCGAAGTCAGTCGTTAGAAATGAATCATCGACTTGTGTTATAACGATTAAATTGTTTCTTTAGGAAACGAACAAGGTGTCATTGTGTCACAATTCGATTATAATCGAAACTATGTAAAGTGAGAAGATACGAAAAGCAAATCGAATATCTGTTTGAAATAACAAACGAAAGAGTTTTACCATGACTGATTTGCATAATAGCATTACATTCATTTCTCTATGTCAGATGAATGTTATAAGGCAATGTTAATTGGCAAGAATAAATCATTCATTTGTCTATATGTCTATCGATTACCTCATCATCAATATACATCGATGTTGTGAGTGTAATTGGAGAGTATCATTCGTAGATGAGCTAATATTATTAGATAGTTTGATATTAGTGTCGTCATATGAAATTTTCAATGGAGAAATGTATCTGTATGGAAATTCACGAGTGTAGTTGGAGTGGTAGGCTCGAAAAGCGATTTTCCGATGAGGCTAAATTTATAGATTTTGAAGCATTTTAGAAGAGAATGTCGATAAGGTAAAGTTATGGGCGTTGGAAGATGACACAATTTTTAAATGATCATTGTATTGAAATTGAACTAGTTTTTCTTTTCAAAGGATGATTATTTATTTATTAATTAGTAATTAGATTGTTTTACGAAGCATCTGCATTATCGACATGTGGAGTATAGTCAAGTGTTTGAAGGAAATAGAGTAGATGTGCCGTTTTAGGGTTCGTTGCGTTCGAAGTTGATCGTTGATGAACATCGCCTGACAGTGCACTGACACAGAAGCTGCTCGATGGAGATAGTTCATTGGAGAAGATTGAACTCAAATGGCTTATTGAAGAGCTTGCACGTGGTAAAGTAAGAAGTTGTTCAGAACTACCGTTGGAACGTCGCAGAGGACTCTATAGATATGACATGATTATACGTTAGTAACGAGAATTAGTTATTTTTTTCGAAATATACATGCGAACTTTGAAAAGATGGAATGGTCAGTTCATTATGACTTCGCGTTTCGTATCTAAATGAAAAACTCTATCAAAATGTCAAAGAATGCCAGTTTTACTTGATATTTTCATTTGGTATACAATCGTATTCGTATGGTGATGCACTTGGATGAGGAGCCAGAGATATCTTGACACAGAGAAATAGATAGACAAGAGAAATTGACTCAGAAACAACATACCATGCTTGAGTGGTTACTTGGAAGCAAAAGAGGACTTTCAATATTCATTGAATCACTTCTCATACTGCCATATGCTGTACTACCAGACTGCGCACTTATCCGATGATTTTGAATGGAACGAAATGCAACTTGATGTTGTTGTTGTTGTTCTAAAAATCGGATGAAACTATTTTTCAACTTGATATTCGTTCCTTGATCACATTACTTGTTCGAAGAACTTCATTTGAACATTCATCTGTGTTCAACAATGTTTCATTTTCAATAGCCTCACAAACTCCAGTGATATGTATTGCTGGTAGAACTGCTTTTCTTGCAAGTTGTTTCAAAGGATTCATCACTGGCATGCGATGCACTGGTAACATAGTGCTACAGCCAACAGATAGTTCTCCTAAATTTTCTCCTAGTGCCTAGAAAAAAAAAGATTTGCACAATGCCAACGATTGGAACGAATGAGAAAAGGTATCGTTTACGTCGACATTAAGTGCAGCACTGTGATCCACAATTACATCTTCTTCATCATCGTTATCGAAGTCTTGATTTACTAGCATAACATTGGATTGATTATTGGAAACATTCGGTGCATTGATCTAATCCGAGAAAAAAAAACGTTTAAAATCAAATCATCAAGTATTTCTCACATTCCAAGATGGAACTGTATCCGGAAAAGGTCCTCTAGCATCCTGATATTGCCGATCATTGTTTTCGTCTGTTCGTTTATGTTTCTTTTGTTTGAATGCATCTTCACCGTGAGTACTTTTAACATGTTTTCTTAGTGAACTTGGATCTGTATACGATTTACCACAACCTTGAATTTGACATACATATTCTTTCTAAATGAGAACGTCAAACGGTTGTATTGCGATTAAGTCGGATTGGAAAATATCAACTTTATTCAAATGTGTCCGTTTCACATGCTTAGTTCGATCAGATGGATTGCTAAATGCCTTCGAACAGTCGGGATATTCGCATGGATATGGTTTTTCACCTAAATGTTGACAAACGTCGGTGTATGTTACTCCTTTAATCTCAATAATTATGACCTGTATGCGAACGTTCGTGCAAACGTAAATACTCTGCTCGTGTAAATGACTTTGTGCAGCCAATGTGTGCACATTGAAATGGTCGATCTTGCGTATGAGTTCGGAGATGGAGAAAGAGAGAATAAAGCGATTTGAACGGCATTCGACTGCGAGTACATGATTGCCATTGACAATGCCAGGTACGAGAATCAGTGCGATCGATATGAACAGACCGAATATGCTTGTTAAAAAAAACAAAACGCAAATCTAGTCTTTGAGTAATAAAAATGACGAACTTCCGTCAATTGTGTCGGTGTCGAGAATAACAGATCACAACCACACCATTGACATTGAATTTCCTGTGGTTCGATCAATGGAGCAAGAATCTGAGAAAGAGCAACGAAAAGTGTATGCGAAGAAAAATGAGCCGATAGTTATACTCGAGGTGTTGGATTGTTTGACTGTTGAATTGTTGGCATGACATTAATCTCCATGAACGATTGTTGTTGTTGCGAACAAGATCGTAAATAATCGGACATCGGAGAAAATGATAGTGGACGTTTACCTTTTCCATCACTTGAAGAGAATGACGGTGTTGATAAGCGAGAATCTACATAGAATAAGTCAACATATAACGTGCTCTTTTCAGATCGATGAACATATTAAACTTACTCTTTGTAGAAGTAATCGATGGCAAGGTACACGATTTGGAACTCGAGCTCTTTGATGCAACGGATAGCACACCGCCGTCATTGGTTGAAATAACTGAAGGTACACCACCTCGTTGTATGTCTAGATAACAAAATAAGTATTAGTTGTCGATAGTATTCAATAGAAAAGATCTTACCGATTGATTGTTGAATAAATTTTACAGCTTTAGATACATTCGTCCAGTCTATTGGTGTCATTCTTTTCCTTTAAATGAATACATTCTTGAATATATGCTATCCACGTGTTATCTAGTTTATTTACTCACTGAGTAACATCTATTTTGCTCATTATTACAGATAAATGCGATAATGATCATGCCAGACAGAAGAAATCATTTGATCAATATTTGCCATTTATATAATTATGTTCCTTAGTATCCATCTACTATTGGCCACCTGTGCGTGTTTCTCAGGTAAGATCAATAGTAGTTGCTCAGGTTCTGATTGATTTGACATTTATGAAATGAAAATCTAAAGATCATTTACATTAGAGATCTAATGAATATTAGAGACAAAAGCCATTCATTCGTTTGAATCAACTCAAATTACGCATACTCCTTATCGCATTTTATTAAGAATTGTTTCGTTTTTCATCAACATTTTTCTTATTTATTTTATCTGAACATTGGAACCAGCAGGGTGGTAAGCTCTCTAATGATCAATCAACAAGATTTTTTCGCCTCGTATTCTCTCTATGTTCCTAGACACTGACAACAACATGAATATCACTGATGATGTTAACAAAGCCTCAAAACTAATACGACCAGACCAAGCGAGTATCATATACGTGACCAGTATATGTATTAGTCTTCTGATATTCCTTTTGTTATGTGTGATACCAGCGATGTTAATTATGTATCGAACACGACCACGTCGACAATCGTTGAACTACAGAGACTCACGAAGTAGTAGTGAATTCATGTAATTTTACTTGCATCGACTCGATTTCAACTTTGAAATATGGATTTAAATAATAAAAGTTCATTGGCATGACTTTTCATCCGATTTTATTCATCCCTTTTGTCGAATTTTTGGCTGATTAGAAATGTATTGAAAAAATCATTTTAACAAACAGCAGGCGATGCTTTAGTGATGAATTCACTTCAATATACTCCCCCGCTCATTTCTTCATGTAATCATCTTTTTGATTGAAACTCAATATATACGTTTCTATTTTCTTAACTCTCAACACGCTGTATGCATCATCTATAAGGGTGTACCTCTCTTGTCAACGAAATTGACATTCATTCTTTTTGTTTGTTTTTGTCACTTTCGCTAGACATGTCATTGTAAAACATCAATCGTACGTTTCGTTCTTTCTCGTGTTCATTACTAAACTTTCGAGTGAATTTTCGTCAAAAAATCTCTCTCCAAACTTATCTAAAAGGCACACTTAGATGTAATCGGTCATGCTTATTTTATCTTCATACGTTTCCTCAAGGTGTCTAACGCCTAGCGACCTCTATTGCTCAGTTCGAGAATTCTTCAACAATCAAATACGTATATTTTACTCTCAATTGATCGAAAGAAATAGTTCAGCATGAAATTGATATTCTAGTCGAGAAAATCAGATTGAGAATTCTGTGTCGAGGTTTTACTCAGCTCCCTGAATGCTCCATCACAATGACAGCCATGTCGACGAATGAAATGAACGAGAGTATAAGCGAATAACCGACACTGCATTTGCCCATATATATATATATATATATATTCTAACTTGCTTGTTTATTTACCGCTTTTCCGATCTTTCTCTTCTCTTAGCTTCTCTATTTTCTATTTTTGAAAAAAATTAAAAAAAGAACTATTTTATTGTTCATATATTGTCACTGAATTAAGTCGAAATTAATGTCCTTCAAAACCTAATATCCAGGAATGAGGATATGGAAAATGAGACTTTGCAATGTCGTTCAACGGCTACAATCAAGAATATGGGTAAGGAAGAACACGTTCAGCCGCAGATTCGTTGAAACAATTTCGTGTTTTTCTTTAAGGAGTAAATTCTTGTTCTGCATTTGGCGCTCAAGGTAACATTACTGACGATAAATTAACTCTTCTACCTGTACTGCAAGATACACTTACTATAACACAAGAACGACAGACATCCGAAGCAAAACATACACCTTACGACGAACAGTTATCATCAAGGTTAATAACTCGTCTACTAGTTGTTACGATATGTCGATTTTTGTACATTTCAATTTAGTACTTCTTCAACTATGAACTGGGATATGGAGACGAATTATATATGTCCAACAGTTGTTCATCATTCTTCGAATAATAGTAATAATAATAATTATGTTAATTTAACTGAATGTGTTTTACAAACAAGCCCAACGACAACGATGATGCAAACTCCACAGACAACCAAACTAAGTACGAAGAAAAAGCAATGCTATGATAGAAAGGAAGAGTTTCGTGGATTGTTTTTATTATAGATAATGATGATAGTATCGGAAATAATACTCAACAGCAATCAACAAAACAAAATTTTACAAATTTTGCTAATACAGATCTCAATGGTGAGAGGAAATTTAATACTATTGTTAGAATTCGTTCGAGAGGAAGAAGAGAGAGAGAGAGAAAGTTAAAGATATAGCTTTCCTTTGTGAGAACACTTGTTCAAATAATTGTCGTATTTTGTAGGTTCAAAAGTGATTCGTCTAGTTCGTGCGAAGCAAGCTACCAAACGTAAATCAAGTTTAGATACGCTAATTGAAGTTGTTCAGAAGGAACTTCTTCGTGTCAATGGTCAATCCAATTCGACGTCACCGTCATCATCTCCGCCTCACTATTCTCAAACACGTTCGACAACAATATTATCCTCATCCAAAGCTGTACAATCCCAACAGCAACAGCGATCTACGGTGTCTACCGTATTACCCTCATCACATCCAAGTTCGTTAACATCTCAATCAAATCGTTCATTTAAAGCAGCACGGAAACGTGTTAATCAGCATTTTACTAATCCAAAACGAACGACATCAAATCAAAACCGAAGTAAATCATTCAGTTCGAATAACGATGAATTTACCGATGATCTTGATCTATCGAATGAAGATGACATGAACAATCATCATGATGAACATCATCAATCGCCTAATGAATCCCTTGAACAGACAGAATCTTCAACAGAGAACATCGAAGAAATTGTTCGCGAAACTGTTGATAGACTTGTTGCCATAACACTGCTTCATAATGCACCATTTATTGTTAACATGATTACTGGTACGCCCGGTAATGGTGTTAATACAACTACAGAATCAAAAGCAGTAACAAATACAGTTAATACTAATGTAAGTCGATTTACATCGAGAACGGAGACTTCTAATCTCGGATGCTTCCTTCATTTTTTCTTTCTAGAATACATCTACTGCAAAAACTTCGACCACTACATCATCGTCTGATTTTTATCGTACTGATCTTGCATTACTCTCATCAACTGCCAGTGAATTACGAAACTCGATGCAGCAATCATCACCTCTAAAGCAACCAATTGTGATTCAGCCGAATCCATCAACAGATCTATCAAAGCCGTCGACATTGTTTGTTACTCCACGTGTATTGAATATACAAACTGTTGTGCCGAAACCAACAACGAACATTCAAATTGGTAATACAAAAATCATTCTTGTATCGCCATCGACGACGGCAGCAACAGGCAATTCTCCTAATCAACACTCACAACAATGCCTTGTTAATAACAGTCCTGTCAAATTAGTGAAACTAACGCCAACACTACCAAAGAATGTTCAAATTGTGATTCCATCCCGAACATCTAATGAATCTCGTTCAACAACAACAACAATTCGTCCTCTATCAACTTTAACAACTTGTTCTACTGATCAAATTCCTCAAGCAGCACAAGAAGTAACCATAACTACATCACCCAATTTACATAAACCACGGAGACGTTCGTCAAGCACAACACCAACAGATAAACCTGTCGGTAAGATCCTGCGACCTATCGCAAAAGTTCTTCCAGTTTATTCGTCTAACAATAGTACTCATGGTTCGTATATTCATCTAACATTGTAAATATTTTCATACATTTCCAATATTTTCTAGCAAATAACTCTTCATCAAATACGACTACAAGCGCAAAAAGTGATGATCTATCAAAATCAATGTCTCTTCATTTTCAACAACGTCCATCAACAACACATGGCCCAATGATATACCGAATGACATCAATGAATCCTAGTATGTTTCGTGAAAAGGTAATGTTTACCTAGATAATGCTCATTTGTTTGCAGATGTGCCTGTCTTTCGTGTACGTGCTACAACTAATCCGACATCTTCGACAATAAAAGCTGATGCTAAACCAATATCAGTTGCGACTGCTGCTAGCATGTGTTACGAACCTAAACCAACGCATAGTACAGCGACAACCAGTGGATCAGTTTCCGTAGTTGCTTGCTTCAAAACGACAAAGAAGAGAAATAAGGTATGTACAATTCTCAACGAAACTTCGACTGTTCATTCGTTAAATGGATCTTGAGAAAAAGACGTTGACACGTATTGCTCTTCATTTGATTAGTCTATACTTTTTAGAATGTTTATTGCATATAAACTTATGTATAATGTATTTTAGGAACGAGCCATCATGCCTCGTCCAAGTCCAAGTGATTCTCTTGAGACTCCTCATGATGTCCAACAGCGTTTAACTACTGTATCGAGCACGACTTCTTTAACACTTTCGACGAATGTACCGTTAATCATAAACAATCATTCAACAGCGGCTGAAACAACAAATAATAATACTAACTCATCACTTTTTCCATCCACGTCTTCTCGTTTTACTCAACAGCACACTTTACCGACAGTACTTTCCGATAATAAAACATCGAACCTACATGTATTATCTCGACAACAACAACAACAACTCAATGATTCAACAACATCATCGAATGAACTTGATATATCTTCTCCGAACAATATTTCGATTCAACGCAGTAGTCCGACACAGCCGAATAATTATTCAAATTCGATCAAAACCATAGCAACTTCATTGATATCAACATCAACGACGCGACCATTGATGAAAGATAAATCCATTCAATGTATTGATAATAATGAGAACAGTACTGGAGATCATGAACAAATTCTTAAAAGTAGTCGATAAACATTCGTTTGCTGATAAAATTATGTTCTCTTGAATTTAGATAATTTGTCAAAGAAACGCAATGGTCATTCTCTAGATGAGAGTTCATCCAATGATGAGAATTGGAGAGTCGCTGCTGACGCGTAAGAGATAGGTCTTCATTCCTGGCAATTCAACGTCATTCTCTTTACAGGCTTCTTCACAATGTTCTCTCTCAATATGGTTTCCGTTTTCTTGACGTTAATTGTCAACAAAATTTATCAGCTCGATTTGATTCTATTCAAGCCAATCTTGTCGTAAGTTTCACATACATTATTAATTTGACGTGCTCAACAAAGAGATTCGATTCTCAAATTTCCCTTCTAAGATGAAACGATCGGATGATTGTTGAATGTCATCGATATGTATTGATTTGTTGTAGAGCGGTGTGATACTATCTCAAGATGAGTTTTACAAATCGGTACGTGAAACGAAAGAAATACTAGTCCAAAACGGTTTATCGAAAATCTCCGCTGATAATCTGGACAAATTATTTCATTATTTTGAAATTGAATATCCGAAATTATGTGATGGTGATCCATTGAATCGAACAAACGATCGGGTAATTCGATGAATGCAATAACATTCACATGGAAATTTGTTTTCTCCTCTTTTTAGAAACGAACACGTCGACAATAGAACAATGCCTATGTCGAAATATCTTTTGTTTTGTCTTTTTTTAGTGTTTCTCTTCTAACCTAATGTACATATGCATTTTTTTCGCCTTGATAAAAAACTGCTACTTTTTGTTCGTTTTCCGTTACTGTTTTGGTTATTTGTTTTCTTCTCGGTTAAAAGATCGTTCGATAGACTTCTATCGAAGAAAAAGAAAAGAACAGCACAAATATCAGTTCGTTTTCTCTTTCTCTTCTTCCATGTCTAGGAAAGGAAATATGCATACAACTCTTGCTTTCTACCTTGTAAACTGAATTTGCTTGTTGTTTTTTGCACCCAACAAAAATTAGCGATCAACCGTGATTGAGAGAGAGGGAGAGAAGGAGAACAAGTGATGAAGTCTCTCGTTCTTTCTCTTTGAATATGTGTATCATTTTATCATGTTTTCTCTTTTTTCGTTTGTTTTGTTTTTCTCGACTTGTTCATGTGAGAGATAAAAAGATCTATTTATCATTTTCACCCATCATATAGTTGTGCATACATGATGTGTTTATTTAAAAATAAAAAAAGGACACGAACGGAAAAGAAGACAAAAAAAAAGTAATTATATATCAGTTTTGTTTTGAACTCAGTTTTAGATGAATGGTTAATACAATGCCGAAAGGTTCTGAAACAACAGCTAAAGAATGTCACGATTGTGGACAAAGTGGTGAGTGACCTGTAGGAGTTTTGCTCAATCTAACGTATGTATGTTTAGGACCGGAATGGTGCTCAATCAATCACGGTGTGTTGTTATGTGATGAATGTTGTAGCGTTCATTTAAGTCTTGGTCGACACATTTCGCAAATAAAATCATTCAAACGAAGTTATTGGCCACCGTGTCAATTGAATGTAAAGTATTAAGTTTTGTATCTGAAATCTTTTTATCTCTTCTCATATAGCTGATTCAAGAACTAAGTTCTAATGGTGCTAATCTCGTCTGGGAATATGGTTTACTTGATCCACAAAATAAATTACCAAGGAAAAAACCATCGGCGAAAGATTCTTTACCGTATGAAATATCGCTTGTATTATCTGAATATCGTGTGTTTGTCGTTTAAGGGTTAAAGCAGATTTTATTCGAACAAAATATCAACAAATGGCTTATATCAATCGTTTAAAGGAGGAAACCAATGGAACATTCGAAGATTTACATTTGGTACGAACAATTGGACTTTGAAATTAAATGTTTACTTTCTTCTCTTTTAGCAATTACATTCCATTGCACGAACAGATAATATTGTTACATGCTTACGATTTCTTTCTCAAGGTGCCGATCCAAATTACAAAAATCCAGTAAATTTCAATTGAAACGATCTTATTCTCAAATATCTTCGTTGTTTCTGTTCTAGGAAACAGGAACATCATCAGTTCACGTCGCAGCCAGCCGTGGTCAACAAAATCAAATTGAAGTGAGTGTTAGCATACATGTAACACGTATCTACTTAGTATTGTTTAGTTACTGTGTATTTTTGGTGGTGATCCAGCAGCCATTGACAGCTCGGGAGTGTCGCCAGAAGAACATGCACGCGCAAATGGCTATTCCGATCTCGCTGACCGTCTAGTTGAACTTCAATATGAATTAACCGATCGTCTTACGTGTTTTATTGGAGGAAAGCGACCAGATCATAAAACTGGGGTGCATATTAATCTCCCCGAACTCAACGAAAAGTATGTTGAACAGCGTGAAATACAATTCTGATTGTCTTCTTTTTTAATCACAGTCTCGATATATCCGATCAAGCACTTCTAGCGCGAAAGAAACTACAACAGGTAAAAAAAAACTTTGTTACGGAAAACACAAAATGCTATTGTTGCATTTTTGTTAGTTACCCGATCAATTATTCGAAGACTTAGCAATGGATGTATTCGATGAAGTAGAACGTAGAGAACTGAATACAAGTAAAACATAAAGTTTTGAGCCTCTTTGTGTTTCTCACCACCTACCCATTTATCTAGCTTGGCATGCTCAAGTGGATAAAGCTTTAATACCTCTGCATGTTGTACCATTCCTACCCGTTAATCCTGCATTTTCTGCAACGCGCAATCAGGTACCCAAAATTACCAGTCGATGATTCATCGAATCATTCAAATTCTTTTCATAGGGTCGCCAAAAACTTGCTCGCTACGGTCCTAGGGAATTCACCACTTTCATTTACGATATATTAAATGAAGTTCGTCGTCGATATCATGGAATTGTTCAACAATCACCAGTTTCACCTGGTTCATCATCAAAATGTATTTCTACTTTTTATAACTAACTGCAGTTGAATTCATTTCGATTTCTATGTAGTTCACACTCTACCTCGACAGCATAATCAAACCAATATCACTAATAATAACGCATCTGTATCAACACAAGATATGTTACATGCGAATGGACAATCGATAATGTCGTCGACAGCGGCACTAATTAATGCATTTATTGATTCAGATGATGAACCACTATATGATAAAGTAGCATCGGATGAAGATTATAGTAGTTTACCTCCAAACGAACAACAAAAACGTTCTAAAATGCATAAGAAAGCGAAAAAAGTAGCATCGAACTTCGAATTGCCATTCAGTTTTATGTTTTCATCTATGGAATTTATTTTAGCCGTTAACAGGTGATTCTTCTAAAGAACATTTTGCCGATGGTTCATTACAATCGCCAAGCGGAGTAAGAGAAAATCTTTCTTGTTTCTCGTTTGTTTAATTCAATCAATACTCATTTCTTAGAGTATGAATTTTTCGGAAATATCCAATGATGAAATGCCGCGCAATCATCGTTCTAATGATTTAAAATCACGTGTTGCTAATACTGAACTTCAACTGAAATATTTAGCATGCGCTCATATAGATCTGAAAAATGAATTAGCTGTTTTGCATCAAATGGTAATAGTTTGTGTTCGAAATGATTGGAACGAAAACTCATCCTTTATTGTTTATTTAATTAGATTCAACGTTTACTCGACGAGAGCTTGCTGAATAAAGTAGACTTTCAAGTTTCGAACGATGTCATTACAAATCATGACAACAATATCTCCTGTTCACATATGGAAGTTCATACATCAGGCATGATCAATGGCGACGACACCAACCGAATTATCAATAAAGTAGACGTTATCTATCTACCTAGATCTAAATAATCTAAAGATCACTTCTCTTGCTTTAGTCAATTCAACAGTTATTTGATAATCATAGTCGTCAATCAAGTCCAATTGTGGAAAGTGACTATGATAACACAACAGTTGTGGAAGATCCTGACAAGTAAAGTTGATCCTTGAAATTTGTCTTAGTTATTCATTTTCCTTTGGAAATTTTAGTCCAGGAACCCATATTATTCGACAAACATCACTTGCCCATGATAAAAGGTAATTTGTGCACGTTAATTTGACCATTATATTCTTTATTTAGATCCAGCCGTAGTATGCAGCGGTTTCCTCAAGCAGAAGATGACTCAACTAATGGATTGAGTACTGCTCGAGCATTTCGTTCAACAGATTACATAAATGCAACAAATATTGAAGTTCCAATTTCCAAATCTCCAGCAACAAACGCTAATTCAGGACAAAAATCGGCTATTCCAACAAGTAACGGCCGCGCTCGTTCATGTTCAGGCGGACGAAATAAAGTTGTTTCACCATCAGTTCAAACACGAAAAGGTACTTCAGCAATTCGACACTATGAAATAGTCAAATGAATTACTTTAGGATCAACCGGACAAACTGAATCAAGCGCTGATATAGATAAACGAACAAGAAAAATTACTCATCGAATTGCCGAATTATTTAGTTTAATTAAAGAAAATCAATCCGATCGGTAAATATTCTACGCATGAAAAACGATAAACTTTCATCTTCCTGTTCTTTAGCTATGTCACATGTGCCGACAGAATCAATAGTTCTGTTCAAGATATGATTCGTCTATTCGATAGAGTAACAAAAACATCCAATTCCTTGAGTTATCTTATGTATTCTTTATTTTTAGCTTTCATTAACCGAAGACATACGAACCAATCTTGATTTATTAAACTCAAGTGCTCAACAACTTCTTGCTCATGCGACGTTAAAAGAAAAGCTTCCAATGCCGAATAGTACCAGTCGCACCGAACAAATTCAATTCATCATTGATGATTGTTACAATATTGCCTTAGCTACGAAAAGTCTTGTTGGACTTTACCAAAAACTATAAACAAGTAAAATACAACCAATCTCTATCTCTCTCTCTCTCTCTTTATCTGCTCACAATAATCATGTGTCTTGTATTCATTGTTTGTCTTTCATTGAATCTCTTTTTCTTTCTTTTATGAATGTTTGTTTATGCCTAACGATATAATCATTTTTGCAATATAATCAAACATTATTTGTGCTTCCAAAATCCATTTTTACTAACTTCTAATCTCAGGTATATGAAATTTTTCTTCTCCGAAAGATACGATGAGTAATCTCATTCATATTATATTTACTCTTTCGTCGTTCTTCCTACCTATACGTGCTTGTACATTCTTCTTCTTTTTTTTTTAAATAAAAATAATAGTGGTATTTAAAAGGCATAAAAATTTCGCGCCCACTAATCTGTTCTTCTGATAGCTTGTTCGCTAATTGCTTGGAATGACGTGAGCAACACTAATTATTAATTACATAAATGACAAGGATATTTTTTCAATATAAAACATGTTTATTTTCTCTTATAATAACCACGAAAAAAAGTATTTCAAACTATGTTGAAGAAGCACTGTTCGATGACCAATCTGACTGAAGTCACAAAGTCACAATCAACAACATAGAAAAATCAATAAACATACAGACAGAAAGACGAATCGCACGATCGAAAAAATAAGAAATTTTCCTCTCAAACTTTTGTATCACAATGAAATGAGAACGACAAAGAAAGTGAGAAGTGCTTCACAGTTATTTTTATCGATCGAACGAAAATGAACAAAGCCAACAAGAACTAATTCTATATCTTCAGTCAACATATTTCTAAACGCACAAAAAGACTAGAAATGACTCTTGTTATTGTCCATGAGAAAACACACACACACAAACGAAAAAGAAAGAGAGAAGAAAATATCTATTGCAAGAATCTGATTAGAAAAAGAAAAGAATCACCGTCCTCGCCATCGACATAGCGGATTCAGCCGTATGTACAAAATACTGCTTTGCTTTGCCTTGCTACGCACATATATACGCATTGTTTCGAACGAGATTGCATAAGTAACAAAGCATTCCTGTACAAATAAGAGAACCTGATGAAAAGGTCATTCTCATGAAATTCTCATCCCTAAGCTTTAACAGATACGTATAATGCAGGAAACTTGTTATAATTTCGTGCAGAATTATAGAATGGACTGTAGAAACCTTTGTGATTCTTTTTGTAATTTGGTTTGCGTGTAGATTTTTCTTGAGGTTTCTCTTTAATCTCTTCAATTATTTTTGCAGTTGGTACTTCGTCAACCGTTGTCAAATACCACGATTCAGGTGGTTGTGGCAATGCTGAACATTCTGGAGGATCAGCATAGACATTTGAGTAGAATAGTGGAACAGCAGGTGATGAACTTGCTGATAAAGCAGTTGGTGATGTCGTATGAGAGTTCGTCTTTTTTGGATACGATGATCCCATACTACTATTTGATCGCATACGGTTGGAATGAGGAACAGATATAGCGTGAGAAGATTTCATACGCTGTTGATTGGATGGAGATTTTCGATTATTGTTCATGTTGCAGTGAGAAGATGCGGAGAAAAAAAAGATGGAAGAGATCTAAAAGAAATAGGTGAAATTTGAATACAAATGTAGGTCATCATTTTCCAGTCCTCTCGTCGTTTTTCGTCCGTAATGCTAGAGTAAAAGGTCAAATCAAGCAAGCGACGTTCGTATCATTTCGTAAAAGAAGAAAAATGAATTGAAGAAGCATGCACAGAGGCGAAAAATGAAGTGGCGAGAGGCAAACAGAAAAAAAAGCTATTATATACAACACCCTCTCATCACACACACTCATCATTGGTAGAAGAAAGAACAGAAGGGAAAAACAGAACGTACGACGACAAAGCCTCAATTCAATATGTATGCAGACAAAAAAACGAGAATATGTACGGAGGCGTACAAAGCTTTGTCGTAGTTTCTTTTTTTTGCGTCTTCTCTTTTCATACTTACTTATAGTTTCGAACAATTATTGAATATTCAAATGTCCTTTGCGGCAGCTGTTTACTTTAGTATATATACGTATTCAGTTTTCCCTCTCGACATGTCACATGAAGAGAACGAAAAGGATAAAATACTTATTAGTCATGTTGACAGCAAACTATTTCATCAGCAGAATTACGACAGAAAAGAAATTGTTTATCTTTATGAGTCATGAAAGAAAAACAACACGTATTTATTCGTAAACTTGTGATATTTCTGTTTGGAAACGAACAATCATGAAAAGATAAAAGAACAGTGATAAGAAAAAGAAAACGTACTTTTTTCGCTCATTTCTCGCGTTGAAATCAAATTCATGCGTACATATTTTCACTTGCGTTTAAGTGTAGTAACCGACGGGTACAACGATCAGACAAAAGAAAAGAAATCTATACAAGATAGAGAACAGAAGAAGAAATATATGATTCAATAAGTTTATTTAAAGAGAAAAAAAGTAAAATAAAAGTCACTAGAATTTATATCCATGATGATTTTAACTATTATGTTTGTTTGCATTTTCCCACCTTGAATAGATTATAGTAATGTATAAAAAAGCAGCGAAGTTAGCTGTTACGTTCATGAGAAATTTGTTTTGAAGTGACAATATACTACCAACAAATTTGTTTGATGTCATCAATCAAACCATACACGCATAACTTGAAATTTGAATACTTGAATTCAACTTTCAAGTCTAAAACTACTGTCAGATTTCTTCTTTACAAGTACGTTGATTACAGATAAATAGAAAATGAACAATACTATGAAGAAACTAGGAATAATCAGTCAACGAAATATATTTTTTTACCGCCTAAGCGGTATCATCACTGTTTGAGTTACCGCAAACATATATGCAAGAAAGAAGATATCGTTCGATTCTATTCTATCTACTTCGAAACCTGCGGCTGACGTGAGGGCAGATTTAGTTATCATATTGTCGCTCAGAAAGAATGTTGGTATATGTGACAGGAACAATGAATTTCGACTCGCTTCAACTGTTGAGTTTGATGAAAAGTATCGTTAATACTACCTATCGCATGTGGCAGTTCGACACACGAAAAGTAACCCAGAATTATACGTTTTGTTCTTTTATGAATATCTATCGAGAGAAAGTATATACGACAGAATGGAGATTTCATATGACTTGATGTTATGGTAGACTCGCTCTATCGAATTAGTTGTGGATTATGAAATTACTGTGCCTCTTTCGTTGAGGAAAATCAAGAGACATCAAATGTTACTAAGCTTTTATGTAGCACAACTAGCAAGAGAGTGAAATTACCAGTCAAACGTACTCGGAATCGTTCATAGGTGTTCAGGATCTGATTGAGCCGTCGACAAATATTTTGCATCGAACAAAACATCGATGTGCAGCTAACACGAACAAACGATGTGTTAGCTAAAACCGTTTTTTATTAAATAAGTCCTGTTCGCGCAAACCAGTCCATTCCACTCAGAATCTAATTCTGCATTGAATGGTGATGTTTACACTCACAGGACAAACTTTGGGGAAATGTTTACTAATATCTTTCTTTGTCTCCTATAAGTCTACTCATGATCCAAATAAAATTTTTCCAAAGTTTGTCCCGTGAGTGTAAACATCACCATTTGATGCAGAATTAAATTCTGAGTTGAATCGACTGGTTTTCACGGACGGGACTTATTTAATAAAAAACGGTTTTAGCTAACATATCGTTTGTTCGTGCTAACTTTACATCGATGTTATAGGGCGGTAAGTATACATTTCATAATCTATTACAGTATCTGACCAAGTAATAATGATTTTGGAATTCTAGAAGAATGTGCATCTATATTTGCATTAATTACTTTGGTGTATATGCCTGGCTTATACTCATTTGTAGAAGTACAGTTGAGGGTGCTCGTCTTCATTTTTGACTATCATTATTATTTTTATTTTGCTGGTACGAATGGTTGGATTTTACGAATGTGTAGATTTATCGTATAAACGTGGATCTATGAATTCATTTAAAGTGAAAAGCGATTCTTCGAAATAAATCTCTAGTCTAATCATTGATTGCCTATTAAATCAAAGCTTTCAAGAAATGCTAAATATTTTAAATTTTATACCATTCTTTCGCCTACGAGGTGAAGGTTGTTACTAAGCAACACCTTCGATGAGAAAAGAGTCGTTGTACACGTGTGCATTTTGTCACACATCTAACTGTTGTAAATAAGTCAAGAGAAGTATGGCACAAAGACCATCGATTCCGTTCACGGATGGAGGTTTATGGAATACTCGAAAGCCGCAATATAGTACAGAAACAACCAAATTACTTAAAAGTATGGATTTCGTCAGAATTAGTATCTTTGCATGAGTTCGTGCTTTTTAGCACTTATGGATGAATCTCGAGTGAACAATTTTCAGCGTCGACAGCTAACAAGTCACATGCTTCGTATGTTAAAAAGAGGCCATCAGATGGAACATAACTTTTTAATCTATCCATCTATAGGTGGTGAATCTTTACCGGAAAAGCTCGGTCCCTCATCGACACAAACAAAAGCACCTGCAATGAAGCGCGTGGAAAGCTCCCGCTCAACAAGGTAATCGATCGTGTTAAAAAAGGCAATCGTCATCTTTCAATTCAGAACGTCACACGGATCAGGAGTACGCTCATACAATGATATTGTTAGTTCTGGTGCTTATATACCTGCTGATTATCAACCAAGACCGATGAGTATGCATTCGATTAGCTCAAGAAATCAATTTTAGAACATGTTTCACTTTCACAGAAGCTCGCACAGAGCAAGACAAGGATCGTCTAGCACATATGATGGCCTATGGTATTGATCCAACAAAAGTGTCGTCAAAACCAGCACAACGATCACCTACACCACCGAAAGAACTTGATCGATTCGATGAATGTACGTATGAGTTGTCATTTTTATAGAAAAATGTTTTGTTTAATACTTTTGGTAGTGGTACTCGAAATTGAAGAACGAAAACAATTTCTGGATCAAATGGCTGCAATTGGAAAGCGAAAAGATTATCAGCAAGTGATTTCGAATGAAATTGCTGAAGTATGAATAGGATGAAGAATTAAATAGAATTTTCTTTATTTTAATTTCGTTTAGAAAATACGTGAAATGGAGCAGATCGATCGTCAACGTTCAAAAGCGTTAGAAAAACGTTTAAATGAACGTTCTTGAATAGACATTCAATGCGTGTAGAACTATTTATTTAAAATGTAAATGTATTCGATGTTACGATCAAATAATATGCTAGAATTCATATTTAATTACGTTGTTTTTTTTGTTAATTGAATATGTCCTGTTCGTAAGAACAGTGATGCGCTATGACATTAAGAATATGAGTTCAATAGATCTAATTGCTTTCAAGTAATGCGGAGTTTATACATAGATATAGCTAATAGGGTGCATAGAAAAAAAAATACGCCGAACGGTTTGTGTTTCATCCCACCGACGAACTAACGGAAGCATTCGATAGGATAATTGTTGAACATTTCACTGAGCTAGTAATCCAAACACAATCATAATGTCAATATCAGTGTATAAAATCGAACGATATACAGAAAATAGTTAGCGTTAACAATCGTACAGATACTTCTGTTAGTTTCCCGGAATCACTGCATAGTTGAAGCAAACCAAATGTGCAATGCAAGGTAGTACATCTAAAATGAACAATCTGTGATGGAGGTGCGATAAGCAACGTTTGAATGGCTCCATCGTTGTAAACGAGCATGTACTGACGTTGTCATATATCGATTAAGGATAGCTAAACAAAAATTTGGATACAGATAGAAATCCATAGATGTAAATGATATAAGTTCGCAATGCACAAGTAAGGAAAGAATGCTTAATTTATTCAGCAAGGAACCCATCAACCAGTATTCGGTATAGATAACCCAGTATTAGTTCAATAAGATTTGCTACAGACATGACTATACTAGATAAATACCTCGAAGAATGTTCATGAAAGATGCAAAGACTTAAGGAAACAACGATGTTTAAAACTCCACCAATAACGCCAGGAATGATGGTTAGAATACCCATATATGATTTGAATCGAAAGATGATATTCCTGCAGACTGTGTAAGGGGATCAAGTTTTCACATCTTTATCCAAGTATCTATTTAAAATAATCCTATAGTCGTCGAACACAATCATAAGAAATTACTCTCTATTATAAATATATAAAATACTATAAATATTCATACATGAACATTTCGCTCATTGTATTATAAACACGCAGCATTTTTAGGTGGTATAACAGATAAGTCGAGCTCGAGATATATGTTTCTCAAAGAAAGACTGAAGAAGATGTACAAAAATGAAATTCAACAACGCCATCTATACAACATGTATGTTATTGGTAAATTTTCAAAAACGAATTAGTCCTAGTAACATTCGAGAGAGAAAAGATTTTCGTTTGTTCTATGCAATAAAGTATCAAATCTATTCCATTCAATCAAATATTTTCTTTCAAATGTCAGACCCGATCGATGAACTAAACTCATTTTTTTCCACCACCAAAGCCTTAAAAGCAAAAGGAAAAGTAAGCACATCTTTCGATCATGTTTTAAATGAACTTTCTTTTTCATCAGGATTTCTTTCAACTTCACAAACAAATCACCGATTACAAAAAGACAAACAAACAACGGTCGGATAAACTCAATGACCCAATCCTTCGATTCATTCAATTTTCATGCGAATTAGCTAGGTAGAACGAATTCCTTTTCTCTGAACAAAATCTTATTTGTGAAAATCTAGTAATTCTGAATACGGTGCAATTTGGCAAGCATTGATCGATGTTACATCTGATATCGCTAATTCCTATGGATCTTTACATTCAGGAAACGATACACATACCTTTGATGTTTTCTTTAAACCATTGCTTCAAGTAAGCGATGTCCGAAAAGTGAATTCATAGTAACATAATGAGTTTTCTAGGAAATTGATAATGAAGAACATTCAGATTTATATAAATTCATTGAACGTCTTCTCGCCAAAATGAATTTAGGTTTTAAAATTGCAACTAGTGAAGTAGGTTACGCACTCCCGTACTCATCTCTATTCTATCGATGATTTTAGTACTTTCGAAAGCTTTTCCTCGATGCATTTGCTTCTAATGTCAAACGTAAACTAAAAGAAAGTTATGATTTATTTCGTATTGTTCATGTACACATTCCGGAAATCATTCCACCGGTATTGACAATGCACCAAGCATTTCTCAAAGTAAGAAGCTAGTAGCGTGAAAACGGATACATTCATGCAAATGTTCTTTTCTTTGTGTAGAATTCGAACCCTGATCAACATGAAATTGGTGTTCGGTTTTTCGTTGATGTTCTTACAGGAAAATATACAATCAAAGAAGAATTAAGTACGGATGTTCTCGATGATTTTCGAAAGAGGTAATGTTGAAACTAATTGTTTTCATGATTGAATTATTTCAAATTTTAGTTTTCATGAAAAAGACACTGAATCTCAACGAATTGTGGTTGAAAACCTTTCCAGATACCTTTTACGAAAAGCTAATATCACCAATATTCTCATTGGTGAGTCATCTAAAAAGCTCTCTCTCTCTTTCCTGTTTATTTATTGCATACATCTTTAGATGATTTGAGCAAATGTTTTGATTCGAATACGATTTCTTCTTCACTTCTATGTGTTCTTGTTGATCAAATCAGTTTAGCAATCAAAGAATGTTATCATGCTGCACCTGATTCTCTTCTCAATCTACTTGTCATTGCATCAAACCACTCAAATGTAAGGAACAACTCATATTCATATTCTCTCTTTTCGACAAGAAATCTTTCATTCAGTCAAATGTAGCAATTATCTGTGTTGACACAATCGCTTATCTTTATCGTCTCTATTACGTCAAAGATCCGTATCCATCGCCGACTCGTTCACGTCTTGACATTGTTCCAAGAATTGTTCTCCATGCAGCGATCAAACATCCAGATCTTATTGTTCGGTAATATTCGAAAGAACTTTGTTAATGTTTCGCATGAAATACTATGTAGGATTGAATCTCAAACAAGATTCTTTGAGAACATTATTTTCGAACACTATCGTATTGACGAGCGAACTCGTCAATTTTTTATTTTCGCACAATCGGATTTAGGTGATGAGGGTGTAAAGTAAATCATCCATTTCTTTTTCTAATTCATTGATTCATTTGTCATTGTTCACATAGAAATTATGGTCAATTACTTCATATTCAATCTGAGTATGTTATCACATCGAAAACAACAATCGAATCAATTTTGATCGATTTAGATTGCGATTATTGTTACATAAAGCACTTGTAAAATGTTGTTCAGCAAGTGAAAAAAGTCTCACTAGGATGAGTACAAGTGATCCTGAAGAGGAAGAAGACGCAATTGATATTACACCAGATTTGGATGAATTAGATAGTGAGAATGACGATGATCATGTCAAACTATCTCAAATTTTACAGAAACTTAGCGAATGTAAGCATACATGTTACATGTAATCGTTGTGAAATGGACGTTTGTTTTTGGTTAAGTGTGTTTCGCACCAAAAGAACATGGCGTGAAAAAACTACAAGAATGGATTATGAAATCCGAACCAAAAGCAAGAGAACAATTGCAATCAATGTCATCATTGACGATCGATCAATCGACATTAGTGGATACGACATTTTCCAGAACAGCAGATGTAAATATTAAAAGTCCAATGAATCTATTTCCGTTTTCGAACAAGCTTTCTTTCTTTAGACGACGACTATGGATGACTCAACAGTAACAATTAATGAAGCTGTTCAACTCGTTGAGGATCGTCTAGCCAGTCGAGTGTCAATCGTTTTTTCTCATGATTTTCTCGAAGAGTTTCCCTCATCAGCGCAAACTTACTTCAATGAAGGTAAATATTCGATATTGAACAAACATCACGATTATTTTCGATTGTTTTTCCAGAAGCACAATTAGAAGAACAGACAGATGATGATGATGATGACGATGATGGTGATGATGATAATCGCTCGTCTTCGTCTTCTTCAGTCGTAACGAATCTTCGATCACAAAAATATGATCAACGTCAACATCGATGTATCAAACAAATGGGAAAATTGACGAAAGTAAGATGAGGCTGTAAATTATTTTTCTCGAATTACAACGTGTCAATGTCAAGGTACTTCGACCATATTTGGAGAGTTGTATGGATGTTGAAATCTTGGAGAAATTTATTGCAGTTATTGATGAAAACCGACCAGTACTCAGTGAGTTCATTCCACCGAACTGTATTAGGTCTTGATAGTTTACTTTCAGGTACATTTGTTTTTGGTATCCTAGCTGAATTTGGTGCATTACTCGGTCCAGGTTCGATCAAAACCACACTTATTGAGTAAATTATGACAACTTCTGCATCTTCATCAGATTATTCTCTCGTTTCTTTTGCTACGATAATCTAGTCGTCTAGTTGATGTATTGGTTGACGTAATTAATAAAGGTGATACGACAACAATGGGTAAATGGGCAGTACGTGCACTTGTACCAATTGTTGGATCCAATGAACAACAACTGGAACACATCATTACACACAGCTTATTCGGCAAAGTAATCTTATCAAACTAAGTCGATATGTCTTATCTCTTCTCTTCTAGACAAAAACATCCTGGTGGTCAACAGATGGTTCGGCATCATCGCATCGATGGTTATTGCTTAGTCATATCGTAAAATATGCACCATCGACACGAACCATGTTCAGTATCCTCCAACAAATCATCAAAGTTATCTTACGTCACTTTCACAACGTAATACATATCTTCTTCATTTTATATGAATCTATTTTTTTTTCATTTAGCCAAAAAGCCTTGGTGAACCAATGAAATCTTTCGATGAAATTTCAAATGACATTCAAATGAGAGTATGTAAATTCGAAATACATTGAGCTCTTCTTTGATGTTTGTCTATAGGCTAATCAACTGAAATTTCTCTCACGCTCAGCTAACTGTATTCGTGTTCAACGTCATGGAAATACTTTTCTGACAGATAACGAAGACGATGACAATGAAGATACCGATGATGAAGATCGAATTGACACCATCAATTCGATATTGAAATTCCTATTGAAGTTTATCAAAGATGCTCTTATTTTTCCCAAGGATGAGTCGGTTTCACATTCCTCTATTTTCTCAAAATATTTTGTTTGTTTATCGAAGACTC